CATATGGGTTTTTGTGTAATCGCAAAATCCCCCTTAAGTTAAAAGGAAAATTCTATAGAACAGCAGTAAGACCTGCAATGCTATATGTAGCTGAATGTTGGCCAGCACATAGGCAACATGAGCATAAAATGGGAGTAGCAGAGTTGAAGATGTTAAGGTGGATGTGTGGTTATACGAGGATGGATAAGATAAGAAATGAAGATATTCGACGAAAGGTAGGGGTACTACCGATGGCTGAGAAGATGAGAGAACATAGATTGAGGTGGTTTGGGCACGTAATGAGAAGGCCCCTGGATGCTCCCGTAAGAACAGAAGTTTGTTACCAAGAGTTCAACACAAAAAAAGGTAGAGGTAGACCAAAACTTACTTGGGGGAATGTATTAAAACAAAATTTAATGGAGTTGGATATAGATTGGAGGACGGTATGTCTTAGAACGGATTGGATAAAAGCTATAAGCATGGTGGAGGGTTAGACCCGTTGTTACTCTTATGTTCCAGATGATCCCTTTTTAGTCATTTCTCCCTCTTCTTCTTTTTCCTTTCTTTTTTACTTTTATATATATATATTTACTATTCTATTTATTTATTTTCTTTTTCTTTTTTCAACCTTTTTGTATATTTTATTTGGGTTCATCTACCACCGACCCTAATTAATTTGTGATAAAGGTGTTGCTGATGTTGATGTTGAAAGGTATATACGAAGGGGAAAGATATACTTACCACCAAAAATATATATTTTTTTTTGGTGAAAACCACCAAAAATATTTACCACCTTTATAATCAATTTAATCACTGTTGATTTTCGTTAATCTAACAGTTATAATTTATTAAAAATTATTGGGTTGCACTTATTAACTAATTATTAATTTTCAATAAAATCCAATAAATTGTAGCTGTTAGATTGATAAAAATCAACAGTAATTAAATTAGTTATAAATGTGATAGATATTTTTTGTGGTAAATATATATTGTCCCATATATGAATCAATTCTTACATTAGCTTTGGCTAAATTTATTTTCCGGTACATTTAACATTCCTTCACATATAAAAAATTTAGGAGAATTGACTTTTACTTGTGTTAGTCCGAAATTCGAGTATGATTGATTAAGTATGCCACGTTATCACATTTAGTAATTTATAAAATACTGATTTTTTTGTCACTATTTGCCCGTAATCATTCATTTTTGGGTAAACTGTATGTCATTTCAAACGATGTAAAGTTGTATCATTTTAAGAGAGAGAGAAAAAGAGATAGATAAAGGAGGAGAGAAAGTTGACAAAAAAAATAAAGGTGTGAGTCCCACCTCTTTGTGAGAGTGAAAGAATATAAGTTGTGTTATTTAAAAGGATAAACATTTTTCCCTTCATTTTTATTCTCCAAAAACATGGCAACAATCGGAAAAAAATAAGATAGAAAAGATGTGAAAAAAACAAATTATTAAGAAAAATATTATATTTACAATCTCTTTTCACTTATAATCTTTTATCATTAAATTTTAACCGTTAATTTTTATCAATCTCATAGTTTAATTTATTGGGTCATATTAATTAATTAATTATTAATTCTCAATAAATTATAACTGTCAGATTGACGGAGATCAACAGTTAAAATTTGATGATAAAAGTTATAAGCAAAAAGAGGTTGTGAATATAATTTTCCTCAATTATTAAATAGTAAAAAGTATGCTATAAGATTTATATTAAACTTGTTGTTCTTGTGGTTGTCGAACTTGATGAGATTGGTCAATTAATCGATAAATTGGTGGAGAGATTTTCAAAAAGATTAATACTAGACTTGCATAAATTAGAGAGAATAATTAATAACTAATTTAAACTTATTTTGTGGAGTGTATTTTTTTTAATGTAAATTTTTGCCTAATAACCACAAAGCACATGGTTTCAATTGGCACGAGGTTATTCCTGTTTAACTAATGATCCTGAGTTCGAATTTTAGTGCACAGTTGTGTTAAAAACCCTGGGTCAGTTACTATATATCTCCATTTTTCTCCTTCCTTACTACTAACATAACAACATATTCATTTTTCTCCTCCCTCACTACTAACATAACAACATATTAATGTAATGTCTTATTTCTATTGGATGGATGTATTAAGTAATGGGTGCAACAAGAACACTTAAATATTTTCCATATAAAGAGTGTTTGCGTCTTCAAATTCTTAGAAATCTTCACTTGTGAAAATCATTTTTGTTCTTTTGGTTACCCAGATAGTTATAATTGACAAGAATACTATACTTTCAATTTCGCCCCCTCCCTTGTCACTAAATTTGCTGGCTCCGTCATTGCTCCATAATAGATGAATTGCCGAGTAGGGGTTCAAATATCGAGAGGGCCTTTGGGTCAAAATTGGATAATTTTCGTGTTGATTGATTTGGGATTAGTTTCATACTTGTGCGGGTCTCTTTTCATGCCTAAGTTGTGGGATGCTTAGGGATCTAATTTTCCCGAAAGTGATAATTAAGGTTGTGGAATCCAAAAAAAATGTATCTATATTATATTTTCTAATTAATGAAAGTGTATATTTGTGCTAAGTTAATAAAGGTGTATATTTGTTCTAAGTATCCATTTTATTATTTGCTATTTTTCAATGTGTGATCTTACATAAAAATTAACAATTATCTAATTCACAGTTTCGGTATTTTAATTTGGAGCAGGAAGAATGCAGTCAAATAAATTGCAGTCGTCAGATGCATATGACTCAATGGCTAAATTTGTACTTATTATTATTTTGCGATACAGATACGATTTATACAATACAATACGATTCACAAGCCCAACAATACATATCGTGAGTTGTATTAGAAAGAAATTTGTATCGAACGATACGATACGAAACGTGTATCCTACGATACAAAAATTAAATCAAAATTTGTAATTTTTAATATAAAAAAATAAAGATATGATTTGTGATTTAAACAAAAAAATAATCGAAAAAATCTGTATTAATAAAAAAAATTAATTAGATAAATATTCTAAACCTCTTTAATCTCTAAGGAAGAAAGTTTCTTTTAGTCAAATGTTGTATCTAATTTATTTACATATGTAATTATATATTTTGTTATGTATATTTTTATTTTGTTATGTATTATGAAAAGAATACAGGTTCGAATTTTGGAGAGAATCTTTAATATCAGTATTGGATAATTATCATGCCACTTAATTCAGAATTAATTTTATATCTATGTGGGTCCTTTTTTTCACTCGAATCATGAAAATATTCGGAAAATCTAATTTGCTATAAAGGAATAGGAAATATTATATTTACAAATTTTTTATTTACAAACTCTTATAAATTATACTATATACTTCCAAAAATATACTAGGTTAGACCATGTACTTCCGGGAGTACATAATGTAATTTGTAAAAATTTATAAAAAATATTTGTAAACATATCCTTCCTCAAATATTATAATAATAGGGCATAGAATAAAAAATAATAATGATTGATAATAAATATTAGATTGCTCAACGGTAAAAAAAAAAAAATATTATCAAGTGACTGTTACTTAGGTAAAATTAATTTCTCGATAATGAACGACATTAATTTTTCTTATCAATATTTTACATTTTAAGTAATGATATGTAGCTGACACAAAAAATTTCCCATGCGAATCGTGGATGAGTGGAAGGCTGAGTGACGAAACACTATCGTTATAAAGGTATATGAGCGCCACCCTCGTCTCCAACTCAGAAAGAAAGAGGAGCACATCTTTGATATTACTAGAGTATATATTTTTTATTAAAAATAAAAAAGAGTGATGATTTAGAGAAAAATAACCATATAAGAAAAGGTAAAATAACAAAAAATATATATTATTATTTTTAAATTGAGTAAATGATGCACTGAATCTCCAGTATTTCAGTAGTACTAAAAATATTTCTCATAAAGAGAAAAAGTAAAGGGACAAAAGTCCTCAATTCATAAAAGGTTTTTATTGTAACAGATAAAAATATATCTTATAAATAAATAAAAGTATATGAAATTATGTGGATTTATATGAAAAAGAAGTGAAAGAAAATATGAATTTTATAAACTACACTTTTATACATGTAGGAGCGAAATTTTGACAATTTTTTTTATCTAAATATCATATGAACAATATCTTTTATTAGACTGCGACGCAAAGTAATTCGTTACGATTGGTAGTGAATTACGTTCGCCAATAATTTTATGATACATGATTTATTTTCGCAGAAAAAAATTGACTGGACGAAGTTTGCTACTAGTGATAGTAAATTTGGTACGTAATATGGCCACATGTCATGAAATCATAGACGACAAAATTCGCTATCAGTCATAATGAATTACGTCAGGTGATAGTCTAATAAAAATTACTATTTACATGATATTTGGATAAAATGTTTGAAATCACTGTTCCAAGTCGTAAAACATGAAATATTTTACAGTTTTTCAGTAAGTGACGGCTGCCTATGCAAGTTAGAGAGAGAGAGAGAGAGAGGGAGAGAGAGGGAGATTTGAATAAATCAGTGGGAGACAAGCAATAGACAAAACACACAACAGCTTCCTTAGTTCATGCATGCAAGCTCATCCAATTGGTTCAACAATCTCAACATTTCAACCTCAACCAACAAAGTAAAAGCAAAAGTGGAAAAATAAAACCACCACCCAAAATACACTGAATTGAACCATCTACTGTTTTGTAAGATGAAAAAGAAAGAAAAGTTCCCCTAACAAAGCCTGGAAGAATTAATCACACACACCTGTTTAATTTGCTTTGCTTTGTCGCCCACCAGTACCACCACAAACCCTAACCTCAAAACCCCTCTTTTAATAAACAAATAGAAACCCAAAATTACACTAACCCCCCCACTAATCTCTCTTTTACTTTCTCTCCATCTGTCGCCTTCAATTGCGACTTTCTGCCACTCCCACCCATTCTCTCTCTCTCTCTCTCTCTCTCTCTCTCTCTCTCTCTCTCTCACTTGGTATATAAAAATCAGAGCTTTTTTTTTGGGGTATGAATCAAATTGCTGAAACAAAGGAGCCAGAGGAGGAGCCAGTGTCTGAACCACAGGAAGTGTTACAGGGTTTGGAGAAGAATGAAGCAGTGAGTGGTGAAGAAGAGGAGAAGCCACCGGTGGACGATCCAATGGAACAAGACTCAGTCACTCCCGCCACCGTTTTTTGTATTAGGCTCAGGCAACCCAGGTCTAATTTGCTCTATAAGATGAGTGTCCCTGAACTTTGTCGCAATTTCAGGTATCTACAATAGAGTGCAGGAAAATTCACGGATTCTAGTTCAATTTCCTGCATTTGTTGATTTTTAACTCTCTCTTTTTTTTTTCGGTGAATAATTTTTACTCTTATCTGTTTTTTTGTTTGTTTTTGAAAGGGTGTGGTGGTGTCATGAATTGAGTGCTGGTTGATTTGAATATGACATTGCTAGTTCAAAATAAATTTGATGAGAGCAAATTTTGTTTGCATTTTGAGTGTTAAACTCTCACAGACTCACTATATCAAAATAGAAAATTTTCATCTTTTGTATGGTTGAACTGGGTGGGGATCACCATATCTACTGTAAGATTTTATGATATATATATATATATTTTTTTTCTTTTTACCATTTTTATTTGTCTGTTGCATTCAACAGTTGGTTGTATATCCACTGACAAAACAGTGAAGCTAGATTGGAAAGAGATGCCACGGAAATAATCCTGTTCCATAACATATGTAAAGGAAAGAGATGCCCTTGAAAGTGATTGCAACCAAATACAACAGAGAACAGCATAAAGTGCAAACTGCCATAATTTTTATTGCTGAAGCCCTTGATACTTATCATGAGAAACTTCTCGAAATTGGCAGGACACACACAATAGTCACGAAAACTCTAAGGATATTGTTCCATAGGATATTAGCTTCTTGACAATGCAAAAATAAATATGCATCTATTTCTAAACCAACCCTACATACAACAAATTAGGCGGCATAGCTGTGTGATGTCTGCGAATCTGTAATGCCGTATTAGTATTAATTATATTAAGTATTTCTGTCCAAACAGATAATTTGACCTAGAATATGCCTTTGATTACCAGAGTAGGGGAACAAGTCAGAAATTGTAATAGGATTTAGAAGAAAGCACAGCGGAAGTGTCAATCGTCCAGAGTATTTTATTATAATTGGAAGAAAGACAAACAAAATCAAGTAAGTGCAAAAGAGGTTCTAAATAGTGCCTCATGTCCCAAGGGTGCGTATTTCCTTTGATCACTTTCTTTGGTAAAAATATCCTTTTATTACTTCTGGATTTTGTTCACATCAGATGGATAACCATTTAGATTGGGATGCTTCTTTTGGAGGATACTGAATCATTGCTTTGTTTTACTTTTTAATAAAATCACATTCTAAAAAAATAATGAGCAGATATCAATGCTTTGGATAAAGAAATCATGGAAAAATATAAAATGTACAGTGTATTTTTCCTTGAAAATGTGGATTGAGAAAACTTTCTGTCTTTATCTTCTGCTACAATTTTAAAAAAAAAATATTATTCTCACATATTTATTTGAATGTTCCAAATCGTCTGAGGAAGATATTTATGGAGATAATACTACCTGTTGTTGCATCTTTGCATTGCTTGGAAATCAACACAGTAAACATCTTGTCTTTAGTACACACATTGTTTTCATCTCAATAATAGTAATTTCATTCTTATGTCAGGGTGCTGCATCAATTCATGCATTTTACTTTTGCTTTCATTTGCAGTTGGAATTTCACTCTTTCTAATGTTTAAAATAGAATAAAACTTTTTTTCTTTTTTTCTCCATGTCAATATAATATTGAATAATCTTCATCTCTCCCTTAAATATTTATATAAGCATCTTTGGGAAGTAGAAAATAAGTAAATGGTCGGCTTCCTTGGCTGTTCTTCATAATCCCGTGGAGTGCTGGTGTAGCCAGTGCTCATTAGTCATCCCTATTATTGGGAATGAGCATATCATCTCACATTTCACAATGAATCTATTGGTGTAAGATTGAGATTTTGTGTTTGAGCACTTTGTGTAAAGTGAATTTGTTTGTGTATTATTTAGACCTTTTATAGCATACTAACTCTGGTACTGTCAATTTGTAAAAGAACTTATTAATTTTTTTTTTCCCCAGTGCTGTTTCCTGGTGCGGAAAACTGAATGCTATTGCTTGTGCTTCTGAAACGTGTGCCAGAATTCCAAGGTTGGTGTATTTTTATCCGTTGGTCATGTTTCCTTCCTGAAATTCTTGGTCCATGTGCTAAATGTTTTGTTAGAAATATGACTTTTGTTTGGATAGGTCGTTGATGGATCAAAAGAACTGATTAGATTCAGATTACTTTTGCAGGGCCTTTGCATTTTAGAATTTATGGATAATTTCAAGAAGATTTGATTGATTAATGTTTCAAACTTTCTCAACTATTTTTATCCTATTGTTAGACCCAGAAGAGGCACTAGGAAGAGATATTATGGGATAGATATTCTTGTAGATTTATATGGGTGACTGTTTCTTGGCTTCTTTCTCTAATTGGCTTATGTAATATTTTTCTTGCTCTTAATCAGTTTCTTCATTTATTGGCAAATAAATTTGTCAACTTTCAGTTTTGTCCTGTCCAGTTTCTACTTTCTAGTAATATTGTAAAAAGTTCATAAAACAATGTGTTAAACTATGGGTTGAAATCAGACTTTCTGATCAATATCAACATATATTGTATGCATATTATAGGCGTATTCATTTGTTAGACAGACCCACAAGCAAATTTGAATGTACAGAGCTTATGCCAAACAGACTTGTTCATGTGCTATATAAGCTGAGCTTAATGATGTCCGAAGCTCATATCATTTATTAAATGTACTTCTAATATTTGTTCAAATCATTAAATTTTTATTGACGAACAGTCCCATCTGATGTCTAACCCTGCTAAATCATGTCTACCCATTGCTTTGACTCGCTAACAACTCTGTATGTTTGTTTTGTTGGCAATTTTGTGATGATTATTGTTGTTTTTCTTTTTACCATAGCTCAACTACAAATCCACCATTTTGGATCCCTATACATATTGTGATCCCGGAGAGGCCGACTGAATGTGCAGTATTTAATGTCATAGCAGGTATTTTTAATGTCATTGCTTCCTTCTATAACCATGGGTGTTTCATTTTTGCTGTGTTTGGTGGTTTTGTTTGATCTTATTCTTCACTCAGCAGTAATGCCAAGCCTAAACAATAGTAAAGTTAGGAGTTGGTTTTTCAATTTCATTACCAGTATCAAGATTCTGCTAAGTCCCTGAGGCCACTCCACATTGTAATCCTGCATAAACTAACTTTATTAATATATGGATTTAGGAATATAAAGTTCGAGTACAAGGCCTCAAGTTAAAAAGCAAAGAAGGAATCTTTTAATCTTCAGAACTTTTGGCACTCATGTATGTTGAATTAAACCCTTGCAAGATCTTGATCTGGATAGCCTTTAAGCATCATATTTCAGATGTTATTGACACATCAGAGTACTCTTTTTGATTTGATGTTGGGGTATTAATTGTGGTCAATCTTTATGAAGTTGTTGTCTCTCAATCAGAGGGGCAATATAACCGATATCAATGAAAAGTTCGAAGGATGTTCATGATGACAATATATGCATTATTATTATTAACATAACCAATTTACATTGAATTTTTTGACAAGTCATATCTCATTTGTAATATTGGTAAAATGAAAAAGCAGCCAAGTTGAATCTAAATGATGCAATCTATAAAACCTGCAATGGAATTTGAGGTTCTCTATAACAGTAGCAGATATGTAAATCATGGAATTAGCATTCAGCTCATCTATAAATCACCTCAAATACGGGAATGTTTGGTTTATTTTGCTTGATGGACTATCCATCATATGGGAATAACATTTTGATGTTATTTCTTGTCTCTGTTTTTTCCTGGTCTTTTAGTTTCCGAACTGAACTGCTTCATTATTTGTGTGTATTTGGATATTTGATTAGTTGCACTGTATGCCTTCTGCAGATTCTCCTCGTGATTCTGTCCAGTTTATTGAATGGTCCCCTACCTGTTGTCCCCGTGCATTATTGATAGCAAATTTCCATGGGAGGGTAACTATTTGGACTCAGCCATCGCATGTGAGTTACTATGGAGATAATACTATCATAATCTCTAGCATAGTATAATTGCAAGTACTCTGTCATAAGCTTTCCCATGGCCATAGGTTTAATTCTGTGTGCCTGTAATAGAAAATGTGTTGCTAAGACTTACCCCAAACTTTATAGTTGCCTGTATTATTTAGGTGGTTTTTTTAAATCCCAGGATGGGAGATTTAGCTATTTAATATATATTATATATTATAGCCTAGCCTTACTAGGAGCTTAATGTGATTGACTTACCACTTGTGTCTTCCAGTGGGATGATATTTTGCCCACCTTTAACCTTCCATCACATGGCTTATCCATTGTTCATATATTTATGTTGTTTGTTTGTTACTGATTTCTTGTCCATTCAGGGGCCAGCCAATCTTGTACGTGATACTAGCTGCTGGCTGCGTGAGCATGAGTGGCGACAAGATATTGCAGTTGTTACAAAGTGGCTATCAGGGGTGTCTCTGGTATGCAGTTAACTTCTCTTCTATGTGTTCAAATTTTCGTTATGTTGTTTTTTAGGAAATCTTGTAAACATTTTTTTTCCTGGGTACGTTCTTATAAACATTTCTATTTGTCTAACTATGCCCTTAAACTTATGTGGTTATACAAAGCATGGGGAAAAAGAAAACAAAATTTTTTCTCTAAAAAACTATCTCTCTCTCAACAACTCTCTAAACAAATCACTGTAAAAAAAATCCTATCTCTAAAAGTTCTTTAGAGAGCGAGCTTTTTTATAGAAAGAGAGAAATTAAGAGGGGGAGATATATTTTTTTGAGAAAGAAAGCTTTGTTTCAAGAGAGAGTTTTTTTAAAGGTAAATGGATAAATTAAATTTTTTTTCCTCTAAATTAATTTCCCCCCCTCCAAAACCCCCCCAATTTGGAAGAAAAATTATTTTTTAACAAAAAGAAAGGTTTCACAAGATTAGTGAAAATCCCTAATTGCCCTTCAGCCACAAAGTCATTTGATCTGTGCAATTACTTACAATTTGCACTGTAACTAGCGTGCATCTAACCAAACACATATAAATCTTGTGCAATTTGAATCTGATCCTTTTAATCTGAATAAATTACTTTTCTTGAAAAAATCAGTATAGGTGGCTTTCATCTAAACCTAGTGCTTCTGCCAATTCGAAGTCAACATTTGAGGAAAAGTTTCTTTCACAACAATCTCAAACTTCAGGTCAATTCTTTTTGTATATGGCATTTTGATTGTCAGTTTTTTAAGTAAGGTTGTTCACTGTGGTGGTGGTAATGTGATATTTGGAAGAATACTACTGTTTTTATTGCATTTTTGGCAATATTTTTTAATTCTTTTTGTCCTTTTTTAGTGAACCATATGAGAAAGGAAGCTAAAATTGTATCATCCGTGGTGCAATACGACAAGGAATTATCGTGCCGAATAGGTTGTGGAAGTGGAGGGATCCATGTGTGTACAGTGGGTGTATGTTGTGTGTTGGGAGTTTGAGTGTTGTACAACTACTCTTCGTAACTTCATTGATCATAGTGAATTAGTTTCTTTCACCCATGGACATAGGCCTACCACTTTCTCCTCTTATTTTTCTGCTGCACATCAGGCTATAACAATTTTCCATGTTGTTTTTGTGATTTAGTGATAAGTGTCTTCATGAAGACAAATCATTTGAGATGAGTACTGGACTTAATCTTCTTTCCAATTTTGGTTGATTTTGTCTTTTAATTATAATAATCAACCATTTAGTGGCTGGCTGATGCCAATTCTTAGAATACATTGTAGCGGTTGTTCTCTCTTTTTCTTTTTCTTGTCTACATCCTAAAGTTTTAACATGGTATAAGAGCAATACCATCTGCCATGACTTGTGTGTCTGTTTATGCTAAATTGAGTTCTTGGAACTCTATGTATATGCCCCTTTTGTTTTCCCTTAACCTTATTGTTTTCTTAGAAGTGAGATATTTCTGTTTTGGAAAAAAAAGTAAAATGTCAGTTCATGTTCTCGCTGGTTTCTTCTAAACAGCCAATGGTGGCTGCAATTTGAGAACTTTCAGGTGTCCTTTGGGCATCCAACAGTGAGGATCAGGCTGGTCATGTCTGACAGGCAGTGGGAGTGATAGACTGTGGTTGGGTGAGTGGCTGCTTCACCAGGTTGTGCGTGTTTATCTGTTGACATGTTTTTGGAGGTTGTGCATCTGTTTAAATTTCTCGAGCAACCGGTGGTAGTTCCCATTGATATCAGTCCGGTCGTGGTTGGTTCATGCTGGGAGGAGAGATGGAATTGAGCTGGGTTGCACATTTTTTGGACCTTTTTGGTGTGTTTTGCTGCGTTTCAGGATTGGGTCTGTGTTTTCCTAGTCCAGGCAATGTTGTTTGGCAGCTTGTAGGTACGCCGATGACAGTGGTGCTCCAGGGAGGCGTTTTCAGGTCTGTGTTGTTATTTCTAGTGACTTTTTCTGGTAAATTTTCCCTCCTTGGTGGTTCGGGTATTTGCTTCTTGATATCATCCTGTTTGAGGAGGAACAACAAAGCTAGCTCATGATTGCTGACCACATTTGGGTGGATGTTGGTGCCACGTTTGGCTGTTGAGGAGTTCCTGTTGATTGTGATTGGCAGCACTTGGCTGGTGGTAATGATGTTCTTGTTGCTGCTCTGCCTCTGTTTGATTCTGTTTGAGGTTTGGAAGTAATTTTGTGTGGTTTGTATGGAGATTATTATTCTAGGTTTCTTTCGCAGATTGAAGACTGGGCACTAGTAAAGGTCCCTAATTTGTGTTACCAGGTGGTATGATTCCCGACACAGTGTTCTTGAGATTAAATTAGGAGGCTGAGGGAGCCACCAAAAAGAAAGTTTGAATATTCCATAAACTTATCTCATATGCTTGGGACGTGTGACAACGAGAAGCAAGGAGCTATCAACCAAGGACGTTGCCAAGATTTGTGCTTCAAGGGGAGTACTAGTTGCCTAAGTTTTGTTATTTGATGGGCTGGTGGTTTGCTACTTGTATCAAGCTTAAACATAGTGAGCTTATGCTTGAGGTGGGGTGTTAGAAGATATTAGGATTAATTGTCTTGTTAGTATTTGTTGCGTAAAATCGGCAAGTGCACCGATCGTACCAAGTAATAAAATAGTGAGTAGAGATCGTCTCCGCGAGGATTGAGGCACCGAATTTATTTTAACTATTCCTTTCTTATTGGATGAACAAAAGTTGGTTTTGAGAGTAATTGTGTTTGTGAAATTGTGAACTATTCAAGACTTGTGAACAATTCAGAGAATGATTTGAAAACTTGAGAATAAAAGATTTTGAGAAAAATACTTAAAAAGGCTATTGCAGTAAAGGACGCCAACACCTTTCCGATCCCCACCTTGTAATATTGATTAATGTTTATATTTAATTACCCAATTGATCAAACAATTCACCATCTAATTATTAATTAGTTAAGCCCTAATCCCTTAGTGATCTTAACTTTATTAACCTTATTAGAATCCTAATCCCTTAGAAATCCTTTTTCAAGTTAATCCTTTAACCCAGTGAATTTTCCACGTTTGCAGTTCATGTAGCCTATCCCTAGTGCATACATGAATTGTTATTTTACTCTTGTCAGGAACTAGAATCCCAATATTCCTATTGAAAACCCTAACCCTCGCAATCCTAATAGAGTGATCAATTCTAAAAGAATTAAAAGATAAAGAACAAGATAAAATAAATGCAATTGAAATAATTAAATATAAAATTAACCAAACTACAAGAGGTTCACATCAAGGGTTGTGACCCTTACCACAATATAAAAAGACTAGCCAGACATATTCATGTCTGACAATTCTAAGAATTGAAAAGAATTCATAAAATAAAATAATAAAACCAGAAAATTGGAGAAGAAGCTTGCTCTGCGTTCTGCCTCCGTCTTCCTCTCTGTGCAAAAGCTCCCTTTCTCTTGAGGTCTGAGTCTCTATTTATAGAGTCTTTGACCTAGTGTAGAATCTTGATTGAATCCTTGTCGTAATCTCAGTGTGATCTGTCTCTGATTTAAAACAGATTTAATGTTGATTGACGCACCTCCCACGCCACTAGTGTGGTTCCCACGCTATGAGCGTGGGAGTTTTTCTTCAGAATCCTGGAGCTCCACGCAACTAGCGTGGTTTCCACGCTGCAAGCGTGGACTGATTGAGAGTCTGGCGCTACTAGCGTCAATGCCACGCTAGTAGCGTGGTAGCTTCTGCCTGTTTTTGATCTCTGGCGCTACTAGCGTGAATCCCACGCTAGTAGCGTGGATGCCTCTGGCTGAAAAGCTCCTTTCATGCTTTGAGCGTCATACCCACGCTGTGAGTGTGGGCCTTCAGTTTAGCTTTTTCCTTTTTAGCTCCAGTTTGTCTGTTTTTCCTACGAAATCAACATAAAATCAGTATGCAATCTCTGATTAAGATTTTGACAGATTAACAGTGATTATTGCCCTTTTTGCTTAAGATTTAATCAACATTCTTTCTCTTTTTGGCTTAGATTTCCTTATATGCTGAATGCATATCAGTATTGGCCTTGTAGTAGTAGTACTAGTACTTGACCTAAGTAATATCTTTCTATCAAATTCATACCACATTGTCATTCTCTCTTTTTCTTTTTTATTGTTTAAACCCTAAAGTTTTAAAAGCTATCAAGCCCGGATAATTCAAAAGAGGAGCCATGCCTGTATCAGACACTGATGCCATGATGACACTTGTAATCCTAGTGGAACACTTTCCAAATTGTGTGTCTACATCTGTATCATGTTCTGTGTCTGTGCTTCTTAGGCTTATTCTAACGCAAATTTTTTATATTGATGATGATGGTGGTGGTGACGACCATGACGATGCCGAAAATTATAACTACGTTTTCCTCTTATTTGATTGCTTATTTCAGTTATTTGTTTAATAGCTCATTTTTTATGTTCATTTTTCTTTCTAATTAATAGTGCATATCTGTATATTAAATTTCTGTATGCTTGTGTCTGACACATGAAATTTGTTTGGTTTCAGCCAGATGGCCCAATTTTCTTTGTGTATGTTCTGTATTCTCATCAGGCTCGGTTCAACTTCATTGGGCCCAGTGGCCTTGTCAGAATGCGACAGCACCCAAATGGTTTTGCACTAGTAAAGGACTATTGGGTTGTGGGCCTAGTGGCATAATGGCTGGTGATGCTATAATTACAGAGAGTGGTGCCATGCATGTAGCAGGTGTGCCAATTGTTAATCCATCCACCATCGTTGTTTGGGAGGTTATGCCTGGGCCTGGAAATAGTTTCCAAGTAACTCCAAAGACAAGTACCAATAATGGTGTCCCACCTCTTAGCCCACCCAACTGGACGGGTTTTGCACCTTTAGCGGCATATTTATTTAGTTGGCAAGATTATCTATTATCTGAAGAAAAGCAAGGGAAAAAACAGACAGACCAAAACTTTGGTGATTCTATACCACTTCACTGCTCACCAGTTTCAAATTTTTCAGCATATGTGAGTCCTGAAGCCGCAGCTCAATCTGCGGCAACCACTACATGGGGTTCTGGTGTAACAGCAGTAGCCTTTGATCCAACTCGTGGTGGTTCTGTGATAGCTGTTGTGATAGTTGAGGGTATGGACCTGATTCTGATTTGATCTTTTTCTCACACAGTAGTTGTTCTGTGCCTAGGCATGCCTTCATTAATAATGATTTTTTTTCCCCCCAGTTTCAATGTTTTCCTTCTTACATTATAATCTTCAACATCTATCATTATTTTACCCCTTTTATAACTGAGTCTTGTTGAATGGCGTTTAGATCTGGAAAGCTTTATTGTGTTTATCTGTTCAAGTTATTAAATTCATGTATATGTGAACCTAATATTTTTTTCCACCAGCTACTTTATAATTATTACTATTACCATCTTTAGTTCTACTCCATTACCTTCAATTAAATTCGTATCTCATTATTCAAAATGAAGAAATATGGAGATAATGTATATTCAAATATTAATTCTTTCCTTCATTTTTGGGTATACATTTCCCTTTTCAGCAGCCTGTGTACCCATCCACTGTCCCCCCCCCCCCCTCTCCATTGCAAGCATTTTGCAAAGAAGTTGTTTCCTAGACTCGAACCCTTGACCTTCCTATCACAAAGGAGCAGCCTTACCACTGCTCCAAGGCTCACCCTCGTTTGTAAATGAAACCAATGAATTTATTAAATAAACTTGTGTTGTGGTCAAAACTAGTTTGTATTTGATTAGCAACTATTCAGTTATGAAACAAAAGGATTTTATATATCCACAATTGAGAAGAAAAAATTGAATATCAAATTATAGTGATACTAATGGAACAGTACAAGCTTTGACATGTTCCCTCGTAATAGTCGTGTTTCCAGTCTTGCACTATTCATCCTTGTGCTAGTTGTATTCTAGCTGAGACCAACTAAAGTAACATATTGGAAGGACCCATATACTTATCTTGCCTTCTCTATGCCTCTATGTTTTGCGACAATGCTGACCATGATTCATGTTTTTCAGAATTTTATGCTAGATTTCTTGTACCCTGATTCTTGATCTAGGAACTTGATTTTATAATAATACAACTTATCTTACCTTTATAGGACAGTACATGTCCCCTTATGATCCAGATGAGGGCCCATCAATCACAGGGTGGAGAGTGCAACGCTGGGAATCATCTTTACAGCACGTTGTCCTCCATCCAATATTTGGGAACCCTACTTCAAGTATGGGTGGACAGCCTCCAATGCAAACTGTTTGGCAGTCCAAAGTGGACCTAAGCATTGCACCAACTAATGATTTCATGAATCATCAAGCACTTGCAGTTGGAATGAATGCTGGTATGCAAAAGGTATCTGAGTCTGGCTTTGACATGTTAAAAGGGGTCAATTTTGATCCTTTTGATCTTCCAAGTGATATTAGGACACTTGCTCGAGTTGTTTATTCTGCTCATGGTGGTGAAATTGCTATTGCTTTTCTTCGGGGTGGTGTCCACATCTTCTCTGGTCCAAATTTTGCACCTGTAGACAACTATCAGATTAATGTTGGATCTGCAATTGCTGCTCCTGCTTTTTCTCCTACAAGCTGCTGTTCAGCTTCTGTTTGGCATGACACAAGTAAGGATCAGACAATATTGAAAATAATCCGGGTTCTTCCTCCTGCTATTCCAACTAGTCAAGTAAAGGCCAACTCATCAACCTGGGAGCGTGCAATTGCTGAAAGGTGATTTATTAAAACCCTTTTTACTACTTGGCATGTTAACTATTTCTTAATTATCCCATAAATTATTGGAAGTTGTGATTTATTTCCTTTTGCAATGGTTTATTTCGCTTCTAACATCTGTTGGGAAAAGCAGGTTTTGGTGGAGCCTTTTGGTTGGAGTTGATTGGTGGGACGCAGTCGGATGTACACAGAGTGCTGCTGAGGATCGTATTGGTAAGGAGTTGCCAATTATTAAGTCCTACTATTTTATTTTTATGTGTTCTTGAAGTTTGTTACAGGGAAGTTAGAGATGGTAATTATTTAGTCTTATTATTTTATTTTTTGGGGTTCCCTTGAAGTTTGTGCTAGGGAAATTTAAGAAAAGGGAAAATTAAATTTTACTTTGTTTTGTATATGCACTCTACTGTGTAATGTGCTATTGATACTCTATATTGATGAGTTTTTTTTTTTTTTTTTTGCAGTTTCACTTAATAGCGTTATTGCAGTATTGGATGCGGATTTCCATTCTCTTCCTTCTGCTCAGCACAGACAACAGTATTGTCCTGTATATTTCTGTGAACTGTCACCAATTGCTTTCATACTTATGTTCTTCATTGTTAGTTGCAGGGGTGTTCATGGGTGAAATTGGCAAGTATATGAATTTGAAAGTAATAAAGTGGATGAGTTTAGAATCTTCCCAAGAAGATGATAACTAATTACAACTACTCGTATCCTTAATTGTATTTGGAAGAAATCAGAATAGAAAGCAAAAATTGAATCCTAAAAATCTAGAAAGAAACTGCAAAAAACATTATGATAGGAAGTTAGGGAGTAAGCATGCAACATTGATGACATTAGGGATCCAATGCCACTTGGTTTTTCTAAGTAGTATTTAGAATTCCAACCTAACTAAGATCTTATCAATCAATTGATTAGGAGATTCCCTGGATTAACCAGTATCCAATTCCTTGGCATGTCAATCCTAACTGAAAATCTAAGTCGTGTAGATTTTTCAGGAACAGAGGTAATTTTTTTTTCTTAACTTGTGGATGGATAAAGAGCTTAAGATGTTGCACTGATCATAGTTGACATTTCATTTGAGTATAGTTCGATGCCATAGAGCTTTAACTTTAGGCTTCATAACAGGAAGTTATACAGACACAAGTTACACTTATGTTCCACGTGATGATCCTGATTTGTTAGCCTTCTTGTTTTAGAGCCTGTTTTGTGCATCTTTTTTTTAAGCTAAAAGCTACTTTTAAGTTAAAGTTAAAAAAAAAAACACTTAAAAAATAAAGCTAAAAGTTTTGGGTGATTATATAAAGTTATTCTCAGGGTTTTGAAGGTGGGAGAAGAAATGATTTGTTATTAGGGTAAATTATTAGGGTAAAGGGTAAAATTTGTAAATACAAGTTTCGAATAAGGGTGACTGAAAAATAAATGAGAACTCCAAAAAGTTGAAATATATCTTAAAAAAACTCCTCTTGGGAGGGAGCTTTTAGGTTTTTTTTTTTTATTCATTATAAAAATAAAAAAATTTATAATAAGAGCTTTTGTAAAAAAAAAATGGCTAAGCTTCTTATAAGGAGAGAAGCTAAAAAAGAGACCCGCCAAACGGGTATTTACTATGTTTCAAACTGGCACAATCCCCTCTAAAAATGTTCTAGATGTAGCCTTACATTTTTTAATTAATTTTTTAGCCATTTCATTGAATTGTTTAAATTTATTTATTAATTTAGTCTTAAATCCTTCAGAAAAGCTGCTAAAGCTCACTTTTCATCCAAACTTTCGTGATCCCTTTTGTGTGTCTTTCAGCTGGGACAATGCTTGCTATAAAGCTAAACAAAACTATTGTTATAAAGCTAAACAACATTATTGTTATAAAGCTAAACAACATTAACTTTACTATTTCAGTTTCTTCTGTTTATTGTAGTTTTTTTCCTCACGTGGAAATGGCTGTGTTGCTTCTTTTTGGGCCAACAGTAACTTGGTTTTGTATGATTGCAGAGTCTAGACAGGATAAAGTGTAGACTACTTGAAGGAGCAAATGCTCAAGAGGTCAGGGCAATGGTTCTGGATATGCAAGCTAGGTTGTTGTTGGATATGCTTGGGAAGGGAATTGAGTCTGCTTTGATAAATCCTTCAGCTTTAGTGCCTAATCCGTGGCAAGTATCTAGTGAGACATTATCCAGTGTTGACCCTGAAGCAGTTGCTGTTGATCCTGCACTAGTTCCAAGTATTCAGGTTTGCTTAGGTTACAGTTGTAATCACATGCTCCTTATTTTGTTTAATGAGAAGAACTAGAGTCCAGACAGAACTATCTGGTGCAGTGGTGGTTACTACATGGTTCTGTCTGCATACTCTGCTTGTTTATGTCTTGCCATACATTCTTTTATTTAAATTCACACAATTAAAAGAACTGAAACTGTTGCATTTATAATGCACTATTTATATAAACCTACCTACCAACCTATTGAATGTGTTTGTATATTAAACCATTCAATTCCCTCCCATCTTTCAATGAGCTGGCATTTCTTTGAATTTGTTAAATATTTGATTCTGTATACATCTACTCTTACTTGTTTCAATATCATGCAGGCCTATGTTGATTCAGTTCTTGATTTGGCTTCACATTTTATCACACGGTTGCGGCGTTATGCAAGTTTCTGTCGTACATTGGCCAGTCATGCTGTGACTGCAGGGACTGGAAGCAACCGAAACATGGTTGCTAGTCCTGCCCAAAGTTCTGCAACTCCTGCAACAAATCAGGGTCAGTGTGCAATGATATGATATTTTTTTTTTTGAATAACTATTTTTGTTATATTATAGTTTGTCTGGTTTCGTAACCAATTGTATAGATCCATACTTCTATAGTCTTTTCATTATGGATCTACTACAGAAGCAAAGATTTGGTGCTTTTTTTTATTTGTCACAGAAAATTATCAGTCGTCGTACCTGGAATGTAGGAAATCTCGCAGTCAATCCCTATATTTTAGGGATCCTTGTTCTGTCCATTGTTACCCTAATTAGGCTGATTAGATTTGATTCCTTGTAATTAGTTGTTTCCTTTTTGTACACATAGACCATGTGTGTATATATTGTAACCATTCATGCTTGGAAATAACAAGATACACAGATTTTTCACGTGGGATATCTTTAATCATCAGCATGACTGCATGTTCTTTATTGTTTATTTTACATTTCAAACTAAAGCAAAGACAACATTGTCCAGGAGGTCAAAATGGGACAACCAGTTCCAGTGGAAACCCACAGATGCAAGCTTGGGTGCAAGGGGCCATTGCCAAGATTAGTAGCACACCTGATGGGGTATCCAACACAACGCCTAACCCCCCTATCAGTGGTCCTTCTTCCTTTACGCCCATAAGCATTAATACAGGAACATTTCCTGGAACACCTGCAGTTCGACTTATTGGGGACTGTCATTTCCTTCATAGATTATGCCAACTTTTGCTTTTCTGTTTTTTCTTTCGTCGGACACAACTTCCCCGCTATATGGGTGGTGCGCATAGAACTGTCGATACAAATACACAAAAGCCTCAACCTAATGCTTCTGCTCCCGGAAAGGTGGATGATACTGCAAAACCTGTGTCAACTGTGGTTAGGTCAGATGATGGTCAGACAGGTCGAGTTGGTCAGCTTGTTCCTGGGGCAAAAGGAGGTGAAGAACCATCTCCTGGGCGTTCAAGACTTGGTACTGGAAATGCTGGCCAAGGATATACATTTGAAGAGGTATAACTTTATTATAACTCATCCGAAAGCTCCTATTTCAGTGATTTGTGTCTGACATAAATGTGTTTTGCAAGTTCTGGTAATTATTTATTTTGCTTACCTGACTGTTAATTTTACTTATGGTCTTACCGCACTGGTAATGCAGGTCAAGGTTCTTTTTCTAGTACTTATGGATCTCTGTCGCCGAACTGCTGGGCTGCAGCACCCATTACCAATTTCTCAGGTGGGGAGTAACAGCATTCAAGTTCGGCTGCATTATATTGATGGGAACTACACTGTACTGCCAGAGGTTGTGGAAGCATCCCTTGGCCCACATATGCAGGTAACTCTTTTATCATTCGAAGTTAGTGTTTCTAGGAGACAAGTGAAAGTAGTTATAATTAGTATTTCATGAGCATGATATACTATTGCCACAAATTTATGATGCCATTCAATTCATGATTTGAAAAAGTGATGTAATAGTGATAGAAGTTAATGAAGTAAGATTAGAAAGGGACTCTATTGTCTTTCTTTACGTAAGGATGGCTATTATAGCAGATGTATTTCTGATTTAGTGAGACAGCACACTGCGTTAGATTATGTAGGAGCAGTTGATTTGATGATTGAAAATCAAGCTTTTGATAAAATACATGTTTTTGTTCTTTTTGTTTCTTTTGGGTGCATTAAAATCTGTTTGCTTTCTAGGACTAAGTGACTAATTTTCCTGTGAATGACCGCTGCCCCAAAACTAAATAAAAAATGGCTATACAGAACATGCCCCGTCCTAGAGGTGCAGATGCTGCTGGTCTTCTACTGCGTGAGCTAGAACTCCACCCTCCAGCAGAAGAGTGGCATAGACGGAATATGTTTGGTGGACCTTGGTCTGATCCAGATGATGTAGATTATGCAAATGATACACCAAAGCTAGTTAGTTTAAATCCACTTGATTCCAGCTCAATGGAAAATTGTGATGTCTACTATGGAGCCAATGGTTTATGGCCAAGGAAGCGCAGGATGTCTGAACGAGATGCAGCTTTTGGGTTGAACACTTCTGTGGGTCTGGGAGCTTATCTTGGTATAATGGGATCTCGAAGAGATTGTATTACTACATTGTGGAAGACTGGCCTTGAAGGGGTCTGGTACAAGGTGCGAAGGGAAATCTCAGTTGTTTATGTTGCTTTCTGTCCATATGTACTTGTAAGGTTTTATGGTTATTGAATACTTGTTATTGAGTATGGTTTAGGAGAGTTTTTTTATAAATAAAAAAAAGAAAAAGAAAACTCTAATGTAGTCAATGCCAGGTTTTCTCTGTATATATCTCTACCGATAGATTGAGGAAAGTGCCAACTGGTGTAACTGTTTGATAGTGATTAAAATTTTTAGCAGTCCCAGACTTTGTTAATATGGTTAATCAGGGCCAATTTTGTAAACAACGACATTCCTTCGATGATGCTTGGAAATTAGTAATAGGCACTTGGTCTTTATTCTTCCGCTTGACCTCCTAATTTTATTGTCTGCCTGCAGGATATTATTTTATTTTCTGATTCTTATTTTTACTTTTGTGATGCAGTGCATAAGATGTCTGCGGCAAACTTCTGCTTTTGCCTCACCAGGTTCTGCCAATGTTCCTAGTCAAAATGACAGGGAGATTTGGTGGATCAATCGCTGGGCTTATGGCTGTCCAATGTGTGGTGGAACATGGGTTCGAGTTGTATAGCTGGATTTATTACAAATTGTCATTATGTGAATTTCTGTCGGGGTGAGGGAAGCAACACATATTTTTGGCTAATTATAGAACTGAATGTGGATCAAATGCTGACTGGAATTGTACAGGAGGGAGAGATGTTGATTTACTTGACAGGTTCATTCTCAGCATGTTGTCATCGTTGGTGACTAAATGAACTTGTATTTGAGTATTTGTCCTACTTATCACCTTGTTTGGTTCCAAGTATTCTGAAGTAATTCATCCAGATCTCCATTTTTTGGGAATAATGTTCCAGTCCCACTTATCCATGTAGAGTTTACAGTTGCTTCCTCCAGGTATATGTTCAAGTCCCACCATATCATGCTAGGCATATAGTGTTGTCCCCCCCCCCCCCCCCCCTCTCTTTCTTTCTCCCCACCAACACAATCTTTTTTTGTCCCAAGAAAAAATGAAATTCAAACAACATTTGAATTAGTCTTAAAATCAAATTTCTAAAAACTTATTGAAGCCCCACCATAGTAATTTGTATATAATTTTCAAATTTCTTAGATCAAGTTTATTTTGTCATTCTATACACCTCAAGGTAGAGAATAGGCAAAGGAGTTGGATATAAGCTAGCTAGTTTTGGCTGATCTTGGTCATGCAGAGTCTGATATTATTATGAGTCTTCTGGCTTTTAACTCTGAACTCTCATTATCTGTTCTGTAAAATGCATCACAAGTCAGCCGGATGATCATTTTGTCATAAATTTTTCCCTTCGGCCATGTTCCTTTTATTTTCTGACTTTTATAAGTTATTCATTCGACAATGCAGATTGTAAGACCTCTGTAATAACCCTGGTGAATATGTTTCATGCATGCAGGTGCTTTAATCTTCGCAAATAGGATTATTATATTAGAGGTTGCTGCCGAAGGACAAGAGAGTAGGAACTAATATTTGGTGTCCCTGATTAGTCCCAGAGAAAGCTCTGCATAGCATACTACTGACTCCTTGTGTGCACATGTGTGTGTAGAGGCGTCAAGTGGTCCGGGTGCTAGAGAAGTTTGCCTATTTCTTGGAACAGACAGAAACCATGTAATTAATTGAATAACTGAGCATTTTATGTCTTTAGAACTCTGTAAATTGATTAATTAGTTTATTTAATTTTTTGGGGCATACGCAATAGTATTATATTTAAGCAAGTTATACATCAATTTACTATGGGTCTATTATTTCTCCTGTTGTAAGATAAAATTACTTCTTACATATAAAAATGTGTGAGATTTATATTTTCTTTTTCTTCTCTTCACATTGATCCATATGACCTTCACACACTGTGTATAAAAGATAATTTTATTTTCTATAATATAAAAAACATTAAAACACATTTACTACACAGCCTAGTAGTTTATATTTTGGGTCATTGAGTATCTTCATATTCACTATATATATATATATATATATATATATATATATATATATAGGTAGGATCTTTTGACACTAGTGTCAAATTTGAATTTTGAGACCTCATTTGAGAGCCATTGGATAAAAAAAGATCAATGGTATCACATGTTTACAAATCAGAGTTGTTAATCTTTTTTTATCTAATGGCTCTCAGATGAAGTGGCAAATTTTAAATTTGACACTGGTGTCAAAGGATCCTACCTCATATATATATATATATATATATATATATATATATATATATATTGGAAATTCAATTCTTATGTTTCAGGAAGGTGAAACCATTTTCCTACTCACCCATGGACAAGCGTGCTAGATTTTTTATATGGAGAATTGTGTCTGGAAATTCGAAAATCTCTCTTGCAAGAGAGAAAAAAGTTTCTACACCTAGATGAAAACTAATACCCAAAAAAACATCCTTATGCACACCTAGCAAAAGTTGTGTTTTCTTTTTCCCTTACTACAGAAATATGAGAAACTAATACCCCTCATATAATTACTAACTATTTATGCGTGAATGTAGCATACAGGTTTGATGTTGTGCTTTACAGCTCAATAGAACAGGAAGAATGTCACTGAGGAATTCTTATATGCACTAAGGGGCCCATATCAATGGGAATAGGATGTTGATTTGATGTCTCCATGCATATTTGGTCAAATCAATTGTCTAAATCCATTGCTATTGATTGTGACAGCCAATGCATAAAAGAATTTTTTATGTGAATGAATGATAAAATAGGCCTTTTGACCTTGGTTACATGAGTTTTAAAATATATCACCGGAATGATTTCGAGGTGAAATGTATTGTCGGAATAGTGCATAACCACGCGGTGGAGAATGTACCGTTTTCAGTTGCGTTTTGTTCCAAACCGCGTTACATGCAACAGGTATCACGTGACAATCGGTGCTGGAAGTGATGGAACTGGGCTGAAGTGATGTAACTGGAACGTGATCATGTGAAGACCGCGTGTCTGCAGTGTCGGAAGACCACTGACGCGGTACTGTCAAGCCGCGAACCACCAGCCAATGGTGGTCCACCATCTCCTCCACTGAAGGCGGTCGTCTCAGAGCCGCGTCCGGGAGGCGTTCTTCAAGATGCCGCGTCCAGCCCTCCCCGGACCACTACTTATTCTCCCTCGTCTCCGGCAGAACATCGCACTCTCTTCCAACAAAGAACGTGTCTGGTGGTTGTGGGGTTTCTTTCGGTTTGCCATTGTTTGTATCATTTTCAAGTAAGTAGTATTATTATATGCTTGGTTTGCTGTATTATTAAAATTAATGGGTTGCAGTATTATTAAGATATTAGGTTTGCTGTATGATTAACATATTAGATTTGTCATATTTTCAAGTAAGTAGTATTATAATCTGGTCCACATGTGTTAAAATCATATTATTAAGATATTAGATTTTTGTAAGTTTTTCTTTTTGTCTTAAAATGTTAGAATAGTGAATTTAATTGTGACCACAGGGCGAAGTGACCATTACTCTTCAAGATGTGAATGCTATTCTTGGATTGTCATCAGACGGGGAACCCCTGATTGGACCGACATCCGCAAATTGGAGTAATGTTGTACAACAAATGCTAGGACACCAACCTTTGCCGCATGAGATTGAGGGAAGCTATTTGCGAATGTCCTTCATAGATCGACACTATGGACATTGGGTTGCGCACCAAGGCATGCCTCATACTGAACTCCTCTATTCACGGGCTTATATATTACGCCTCATTGGTGGATTTCTGTTTAGTGACAAGTCAGGGAATAAGGTTGCCCTACGATTTTTGCCATTTCTAGATGGGGATTTTTCGAGTATGACCACGTATAGTTGGGGAGCAGCAGTGTTAGCACTCCTCTACAGGGAATTGTGCATGGCGACAAACCCAGCCCAAAATATTATGTCTGGTTGCCTAACCTTGTTGCAGATATGGGCATGGTCCAGATTCCCCCCATTGCACCGTTTATACCACCTGAAACCGATCCAAATGATCATTACGGAAGAAGGTATGATGATATTTGCGTATTGTACTGCGAAAGTTGTCGTTATACATGTCGTTATACAGTAAGACTTGGAGCCAAATGGCATTTTTCTTATTTTTTGGGCTTGTTTTTTTCAGATTTAATAATTTTCCAAGGCGGATACGACCAAAGGATTTGATGCACTATAGATCGACACTTGACACTATGAGCAGAACCGATGTAGGAGTTATGCAGTCGTTATGCAGTCAAAATGATCAAGCAGAACAGCACACCCCGGATATACCTGTTAGATCATTTGTCAAGGATGAAACTGATCCATCTGATGACTTCTTTGCAGCGGCCACACATGAATTAGATTTCACATCCCAAATGGATGCAGAATCGTCATTACCCCTGGCACGTAGGCTACCTCACAGGGATGCGAGGACGAGACAATGGCCTCCCAGATCGTAGATTGTTTATATAATGGTTATTGTTATGAATGCACTTTATGTATACAGTTTTATTGTAATTGAATGTGGTGATGTATTATGGACGTTATTTTATTTATATTTGAATGTGGTGAATGCACTTTATGTATACAGTTTTATTGTAATTGGAGGCTGCTAATCAAGATAAGGGTTTGCAACTGCCGATAATATTCCTCGATGTCGATCTGATATTAGGCATATACCTGTTTTTTGAGTGACATACAAACGTATACAAGACAAGAAGTATTCCCATGACTCCTTGGTTTCACCTTCTACCACTGCAAATGCCAATGGTAATACCTCGTCGTTTCCATCCTGCGTTGTGGCAATCAGCAATGTACCTTTATACTTCCCATATAAATGAGTGTCATCAACTTGTATAACAGGTTTGCAGAAGTTGACGCGTCACAACAATGCTTAAAAGTCCAGAAGATTCTATGAAAAACCCGGGAACCAGTCACAACACGGTGATTGACCACGTAATCATTTGTCTGAATGTGGTAAACCGAACCCTCAGAAAATGTCCATATGTAATTCAACCATCTGGGCAAATAAGCATAAGACTGGTCCCAATCGCCATATATTTTTGCCATGACTTTTTTTTTAGCCATCCACGCCTTCCTGTATGAAATAGTGAATCCATAATTGTTTCGGGTTCTTTCTTGTATCAAACCGATTGATACATGAGGTTCTTCCTTCACCATTTCTGCCAAAACAATATACATACATAACCTTAATAGCTTGCCGAAGTGGATATAAAACTTGAGAAATACAAATTTAATTGGACAAAAACACTCACCTAATATCGTCGAAGAAATAAAGGCGGAATCAAGTTGTCTGAAATCTTGGGACAGATTACAAGTGACACAATTGTGAGGTCCCTCCCATCTACTCACAACCCACATTAATCCATTTTTTGGTTTTATTGCCCTCATTCGCCATGGACACCCCGACCCATGGTTCCTGCACCTCAATACTAGCTTCATAGTCGTGCTCTCAACAATAATAGCTTCCTTATTAATTTTCATACAATATGACTTAACTGCCATCTGCACTGATTCCTTATTAATTTTTATCAATTAATGGTTATTATTTTCGCAAATTTTTTACGATCGTTAATTTTTATCAATTAATGGTTATTATTTTCGCAAATCAAATTTATTAATTAATTATTAATTCACAATAAATAATAACTGTTAATTGACAGAAATCAACAGTTAAGATATGATTATATGATGTTGTAAATGAAATATGTCGCAAGTATAACCTTATATTCCAGTTTTTGCTGTTTTATGTTGTTATAAAGGTAGTGACTTATGCGCTTACCGGAAAAAAAGAAAAAAGAAAAAAGTAGTGACTTATGCAACATGTCATAGCCACTAAATCATATGAACCGCTGCTTGATTCAGAGGTTATTCGTTTACAATCAGCTGGTGACATGCCTCAAGGTTTAGATTCTCTTGTAGTTACGGCTAATTGAACAACGTGCATGATCATCAAAGGACTTTTCGTTCAATCACTTCACTGGACTCAAATGCAAAGTTCAATAATTAAATTGGAGTAATGGGTGGTTGGTTATGTAGGCAAATTGCTTGTTTTTATTAGAACAAAGAAAAGTGCTTGGTGGTTGTATTCATTCATTTCATTGTCATTGTTGCAGAATATTTCTGTAACTGGAAGTGCTTAAGCAACTTTCCCTGTAGATGATGTACATCACAGATTTTCAATTGTAGTAAATGGTCAACAACACGAGCTTTATTAATTGACAGACAACTTCCTCAGTTTATTTTGTATGCGTGATTTTCTCCTGCCCTGTTTCATTTTTTAAGAAAGATCTAATAACAAACATATAACGAAAGCAAGAATTCAGAATAGAAATTATCATAGTCATGTTCAACATCGAAGCATGAATATGTACAGAACAATGGAACCAAACAAGAATAACCAGATATACCAAAAGGGCTACAACTACAACTCTACAAGCAAAGAAGTACCCCCCAATCATATTAAGTTGCTCTTAGCATAAAAAAAAACACTTAAAAGGTTATGATTAAATTAGTAAAAGCTTGGTAGCTAGCCCCAAGTAGCCCAATTAGCTTCGCTTCCAACACGTGGCATCATTGGGATTCTTGACTGAGAATCGACATTGAAGTTGGCCCCACACATAACCCCTTCACTGTCAATCCGAGGCATTGCTTTCATCTTCCTCGTTGGATGCTCAAAGCTCATTAGACCATGCTCACTATGAAACATACACCCTGCAATGCATTTTCAACACCAATTATGCATTAAATTCCAGACAAAGAAACTCACCCTTTATAGTTACTATGTTTCTATTAGTCCCTTTGCCATTATCTCATAATTTTATTAATTTGATAAAAATTATGGACTCTTTTATTATCTTACAAAATCCTGATTTTACAAGGGAAAGAAAGAGTAACCAAATTTACATACCTGTTGGGAAAGGTGCAAACGATTTAGCACAACTTGCTTTTATAAGCTCCAGGTTCTCAGAAATAACTACTGAACCATCAGCTGCAATACCCCAGAAGAGCCCAATCTTGCCATTAGAACCCTGATCAAGCATAAACAACATGTGGGTAATTAGTCCCAGAAAGATCAGTAACACCATGTATACATTATTAAATCAAAAATTTCCTTTTTTATTCCCAATGTATATAGGGGTTCAGAAAGGGACTTACAGATGCAACAAAAACTGTTCCATCTTTGTTGTCATAGATCACGAATCCAAAACTGCCTTCAAGTTCTTTGAGGACCTGATCAGCTGGGTATGGACCCCTATCCCGAAGTGTCCTATAGGCTTCAATGATGAACAGTGCCTCATTGGTTCCCTTTGATAGCCCATACTGCTTGTTGAGATTGCTAAGGTTGTGCAAGGAACCCACGAAAACACAGTATATGTTATCCAAACCACTAAACAACCTGTGACACATTTTTTTTTCATTAGCAATACAACTCAATAAACATACATATATATATATATACATATAATTCATAAATCTAATACTGAAATAATAGATTCATTAATAAATCTGCTCTTTTTTTGTTTGTTAATCTATTATAAGCCATTTTCAGACATATACCTTTGGTGAATGGAGGGCTTGTTAGAAGGGGCATATGCTAATAAAGCATCATTTCCAAAGCTCATGGAGAAAGCATTGGAGGAATTGCAGGACATGAAATCTCTAAGGATTTCATGAGTTAGCTTAGGCTTATTGTATGAAGAGAAAGAAGCTGGACTGTTCAGCTCCTTGGGTGCATTAACCAACTTCTTGAAAATCCCCAACATCTTTTGTCTCTTGGTCTGAGTAATTAATTCCAATGTCACCACTCTTGTGTATAGACTTTCTCAAAGAAAAAAATGCACAAATTTCAGTATTGCAATTTGCTGCAAAAAGAGCATGAAAAATCTATGAGCTTTGGAACAATGAAGATAATGCAAATGAACAAATGTAAACACTCAAAAAGTGGAAGAGGAGAAGAGAGAAATGGAAATGGAGGGTACCAAAAATCAGCAATCAAAATAGCTGCAGATGGAGAATGAGATAGATAGCCTTTGATAACGGACAGTGATGAAAATAATGAGTAACTAATGTCTAGATATAGATAGATATATATAGATACAACACAAACTCCAAAATGTAGGAATTGAAGAGAGATAACGTGCCCTCAATGTGGCGATTCTATCCATTCAGGGAAAGTAGATAAAGATAAAAAAGTAATATATTATGGGATAAGATATTGTAACAATCAATTAGTGTTATTACCAATCAATTTCATCGTTAGATCGATTATATTGATACAACGGTTATATTTATTTTCATCTTTGTATGGTTATGATTCTTCATATTTAATGTGAAAATTAAATATGGAAAATCATAATTATACAAAGATGGAAATAAATATAACTGTTGGATCAACATAATCGATCTAACAGTGAAACTGATTGATAATAACACTGGTTAATTATTACAATATCATTCCCCATATATTAATATATTATTGATCAATGATTTTACAATAATATGCTAGTGCTTGGTACGTATGAGCTTCCATATATGAATTAACTATATGTAATTTGTTTTCGTTGAAAAGTTTAGAACATAAAAAAAAAAAGAATTATCTTAAAGAAAAGGAAATGGTCAATGATATATTTTGTAGACAAAACAAAAGTAGCATCAGATTCTAATGATAGGAACGTGATGTGATGAGGTGGAGGTGACTGGTTGGCAAGTAATAACTGGAGACACGGGCAAAGTCTTATCCACATTCATATATATGACAATGATCTGACTCAGCAACTTCCAAAAGCGCGTTCCCCCATCCGCAAACTATGCCGCATTTCAATCAATTTTTTCTTTTCTTGTTTTAATCATGAGGTTATTAAAGAAAATTCACTTTAGTCTCTTATAGTTTGTACTTTATCAATTTACTCTCTTTTTTTCTTTTAATTTGTTAAATTTAATGATAAAAAACTTAAAATCATTTAAAATTCAGTTGGGATTCGAAGTTAATTTTTTTCTTGGGCTGTTGACATGAATATATGTATAATTTATTATGTTATCATCTCAAATAAATTTTATTTATTATATTCCTCATACTACTTTCGTGCATAATCATTATAGAAAATCTTAGTAAGATATCCTTTTATTATATCCTGATTAGTAGTGTCTCAATTAGAATCAACGAAGAATTATTGATTTATAATTTTTACTTCCGGTCCAATGATATTAAGTTGATTGTAAGGGTGATAAATTTTTTTAATAATAAATATAACCTTCCATATATAGAGCATAAGCGAAAGCTGCGAAATCACGAATCATTAAGTACTGTAATCACTATTTTGATCATCTGTCACTCCCTTGCCCATTTCAATGCTTATATACTATTAGATTAATGATGTGTATGTCTTGTCATTGAATTTTAACATTCTATTGCGATCTTTTCTTAGGTTAGCGATTGACAATTATTGTTGGGTATTGATTTATATTAACCATCTAAATATCTTATTTATTTATTTTTGAGAAATGTCATTTTTAAAAAAATAGTCATAATAAATTAGAAACACGTGAATTTAAAATCATGTGACGAAATAATACTGTAAACTTGCCTGGTGACTCGTATTTGAACATGACTTCGAAAAGATTAGGATGTGCAGCTGATTCACTCCTACAAAGAAAGTAATGTTTGTGCGAATTGACTCTCTAAATATCCACTAGACTATCTTATAGAGGATAATTTACCTATTTTTTCTACCTCTCTTGGTATTTGGCTGACTTTTCTTCTTTTACAATATTAATTTTAGTCTCTGTGGGGTGTTTTTTTTCCCTACAAATTATAAAAAAAAAAAAAAAAAAAAAAAAAAACATAAGAGAGTACGTTCCTAATTGTATAAACCACACAATAAGTAAATATAAAAAATAAAGCCACAAATTTCACAACATACCCCAAGCTAAAATTAACCCTTAACTAAATAACTAGAATTGATAAGCATCTGGATAGCATATGAAATTATAAGTTCAAACTTCAATCTCGCCATTGTATGAAAAAAAAAAAATTAACCCCTTAACCCAAGTGCAATTAGTATTAGCATATAATAGCAAAATTAAAATAGAATAAATCCAACTCATTTATCAAATAAATGATTTTAACTATAATATTAGAATTGTTTAATTATTCAAGTCAAACTTAAAATAGTTTAAGATTGACTTTCTTAATTTGTGTAATAATTTGAGTAAAATAATAATTTATTGATTATAGAAATAACATTATTTACATCTCTTCAATTATATATAGTTTCACCTTTAATCAGATGAATATGATAACGATGGAAATCAACGATAACGAGCAAGACTTGATTCACACATCATTCTATATCTCAAACAAATTTTGAAGAGTTCAATCGTTAATCATTAAAATTGTGGTAAGTGATTTTTCCCGTGAAGTCATCATCGATGCATGATTTACAAGAAATATTACCGATAATAACTAAAAAACTCAATTCTAAAATTACATGTAAAACTTGAGTTACGAAAAGTGAGCCACAAACTTTACAAAGAGATAATGATCTTTATATTTGATTATATATCATACTCCATACTCAGATATTTTTCTTCAGGAAAATAAACGGCAGTCACAATATTGCCCCCGAATTTCCTACCATTTAGTGCATTTTTAGCGGCGGAACAACCAGCTGTATCAGAGTACTCCAAGAACACCTACAGGGGAAACCAACACCACGTTCAAACAACTGTGAGTTTGGATTATTCTTACCTTAACATTCCTCCTTTAAAGGCTTAATTAAGATGCCCTTCAAATGTTTAAAAGCATTATGGCTCGAGGTAGATGAAATTAGGCCAGTCCACCACATTAGGCCCTAATGCATGCAGGTTAGGGCCAAAATGCCCACGGGACCCAAAGACCCACAATAACAAAGTGGAGCTACATGCCCTTTCGTGTTAGCAACTGAAGCGAGAGCTCAAACGCATAACAATTGAACAACGTACCTTTCCAATACCTGGAGGCAGCTCTTCACTGTGTTTTGGACGAGGAATAACAACATTCAACAAGGTCCCTATACAGTCCAACCAAATACAAGAAAGCATATCAATCAGAAGCCCATGAACAAAGACATTAGTAGATATTCCACAGCAACCTTTTCTAATCTGATTTGTTTTAACAGACAATTGCCATTTTGATATCGCAACAAAATAAACTCTCAAAAAAATAAAGTCATGAAGTAAGCACCAGAGTTCCAAAAACTATATTGACCAGTACATAAAGGGACATTATAACCCAATCCCGTTCGCACAGATGGAAGGAGTCTGTGTTCCCTTAACCAGTGTCTCGAGTTCGAGCTCTGGGTATGGAAAAAATGGATTGGATAGAGCCACCCCCGAAAGGGTCCGATCGATGCTCGAAAAGGGATTAGTCTCACCGCCGACGGGGGTGGGGATACCTTTGAGTTTACTCAAAAAAAAAAGGGACATTATAATTTAATAGCCATAGACAGTATTTATATATATTTTTTAATTCTCTCTATCCCTTTGGAATACTCCAAGAAATTGCATTGTCATTAGGCATCTCAAGAAAGACAAACTTCAACAATTTTTTCTTGCGTACCAACCATCGTACAAAGTCATTATCAACCATTTTGAAAGCCCCAGGTGACAAGAGACAGAGTTAACTAATCGAGAACTTCTCCACACCAAGCTAGAAAATGCAGATCCAGACATAAGTTGAACAATCTTACTAGCTTTCCAATACATAATGAGTTTTAAAAAAGTCTTCAGAATGGCAAACAAGGTTAAGTGTTCCCTGAAGATCTAATTACATATTATACGTAGATCCAACTCACTCACTAAGCCAGAGAAAATTTAATGTAATATAATGAATTAACATGCACAGCTTTAAGTAGAAAACGGCAAGTGATGGGACACATCATATTGCACAACATGCATACCAAATTTGCAGCATTCATCCCGCATGTCTTCCAATATTTCTTTATACTCCATGTCATCCATCAATTGATCGGTAGTAACGGCCTTTAAAGAAAATCAGGTAAAACAGGAGAAGGGAAAGACCAACAAGGGTCAGTCAAATCAATTTGTTAACAACCACAGTAAAACTATGATAAAATGGAAATGAAGAGAAGAAGAGGAGGAGGAGGAGGAGGAGGAGGAAAGAAGAGGGGGGCGGGGGGGATAGAAAGTAAATCAAACGTCAAACCTATTGAAAAGCTCTATATCAATTATTTTGGTTAACAATAAAATTATGCACGAAGTAGAAAGCAGAATTACCTGAGTCAAACATAAGACTTTAGTGGGGCTTTCATCATTTGTTGTTGGCACTCTTTCCATTCCTAAAATATTTAACCCACCCACTTCCAGAGCTACTTTCTGTTGATGAAAGCATACAAATAATCAAGAGCAATAATAAATGGCAAACAAGTACAAAAATAGGAGGTAGAAGTACATGTGCTTCACCTGCATAGCTATATGCTGTTGTGCCCGTGCAAAGATATGTTCCTGTTCTGTTTTAGAATGTCCACTGCCCAAGAAGTAGTTTGTAATGAATTTCGTTGACCAACAGGAAGTAGAAAAATAAATAATCCCAGATTTAATTTTCAGACAATAGAAAAAATGTAGTGAAGAGTACTGGAACAATGGTTTCAAACAGTACAAAATTCATCTACATCACTTCTAACTTCCTTGTTCCATGCTCACCTCATCAACAACAGCAACCCAATTCCCAAACAGCAGAATAAAATTAAGAGTATGCCACAAAATACAAAAATCACAGAATATTAACGGTTATTGGAACCAGTATATAGAAGCTTCACAGCATAATAGAATGATCTACCCATAAATCAATGGGAAGTAGGATTAATCAGCAATCAGGGTATTCAGGGGTTTAGTAATTAGAGATTTAGCTCAACCGTTGTTTTCTATCAAATTACAAATATTTAGAAGAACACTACTTAAGGTTTCTTAAAATTGAAACTAACTTGGGCTTGCCAACTAAAAAGGAGTCACTAACTGATCAATTATTCAGTAGTCTCAGTAAATTACTTCCTACTCCTTGATCCTTTCTTCTTCTAAATTAAATTTCTCCTATCTATTTCTAGCATGTTCATATTGCATATTTCTCCCATCTATTTAGCTTGCCAACTAAATACATGTTCATATTTTATAGGATAGGAACATGTTGAAGGAAGGAGAGTTGGAAATTGGGTATGCCATGATATTAATACAGAGGTATAAAAAAAAAAGAGGCAATAGATGAAATCCAAGTTCAAGCACATAACAGACTTGTTTCAGTAAAAAATCCAACCTGACAGTAGCACGCCTTACAGTCAATGTTTTATCACCCATTTTAAGGCCATTGAGAGAGGCACAAGCAATGTCTGTTACCGCTGGATCCTAACAAGATTGTACCCAAAAAAAATTAAAAAGTTTTATACTTTGCTAGGAAATTACCATATGGTTAAAAATCGTGAATTGTAAAGTAGCTACTTGAAAAAGAAACAGTTGAAAAGTAATATCATCATAAAGATGCACTGTCTACATTACAAATTTCTTCACCTGATAGATGCAGAAACCATATCCTTTAGAATTTCCAGTGTCTTTATCCCTAACTATATCAAAAGCCCGGAGAGGACTGCAATGGTTCAAATGCCATCACAACATAAATATACACCAGGTTTATGTTCGTAAAGAAAATCCATAGGCGTGAATGACATATCAAATAAAATTCCAGAATACAGAAAAGACCAAACTTAAGAATAATTAAATGCATGATAGCCTTACCCAAAAGCCTGGAGCAATTCTTTCATTTGTTCTTCAGTAAAGTAGTATGGCAGCCCACCTACAAAGATGCGGTCAAGTCCCTCAGTTCCACCAATTGCACTGGAAACAAATCCAAAATGGTCAGAATAGAGGAACAACTTTGAACATCATGTAAAATCTATATAAAATATGCACATCCGCATCAAACTACATGGTCAACTTACCCCACAGAAAGTCCAACAGCAGACAAGTTAAGGTATGGACTTGGCTGGCTGGGACCTAGAGCTGCAGCTAGTGAAGGGTTATAGTCAGTTGGCCTACGAACCCTCACAGCAACACCCTGAGATATAACAAGAAACATGTCAGTGTTTAGTGTTCTCACACATTAAGTTCAATAGAAATTATCAAGCATTAAGTTGCACATTCCAAAAAGGCCTGAGCCTAAGTTGCATGGATACAAGAGTACCTATGCCAGTATAGGTACAGTAAAACAACCAACTAAAGTAAATCATAAGATGAATATAATTTTCATAATACTCTAACTGAAGCAAGCAAAAATATTTATAGGGAGTAAATAGCAAACCAAACCACTTAGTAATAAAACTAGGTGTTTTACATGGATCGACTTGTTCTTTAGCGATAATTGAGTACTGGATACATAGTCATGTGTATCCAATAAGTACCGGTAACAGATACATACCCAGTACCGGTATGGCAACCCATTATTAGTACCCGTGCATCATAGGTCTGAACAAACAGGCTGCATGAAGTATTAGATTGAGAATGCACTAAATAACAACCTCTTACGAATATGCAGGTAAAGAACTTAAGAATTGTGCAAGAAGCTTACTTTATCAACAAGCATTCTTCAACTGTATTAACCATGACCATAGGCATATATAAAAAATAAAAAATCAATACCAAAAATTTGTAAAAACTGCAAATCAACATATCAGGCATTACCCTTACTCTGGGATACACTACAGTCCCAACCCAACCGCAGGTAGCAATTTGCCATATACCAGTAGAACAATATATTAAAGCTCTCTGTTTTTTTTTATATTTTTGGTAATACATGATCCATTGGTTTTAATTTGTCATAACCTTGAGAATGACAAAGACTACAGAAACCTCAAGCATTTAGTTATGACTAATGATGGAAAATGAATGGATGGACCATACAACAATTGCCATGCTCCTTATTTAATTCCTTCTATCACTTATTTCACTTTTATATAATAAAACCTTATGATACCAGTGCAAGAATATTAACATGGCAATACTTGCCTCAAATATTATTCCATCTAATGCCATTGCATTACTAGCTTCTTCAACAGTTCTCATCTCCACAAATGCAAATTTCTTCTCATGATTGATGTAGACATTGACAACAGAATCACCTATAAATCAGAAAATCTTGAATAAACAATACAATAAAGCAATGTTGGAAGGAAATAAATAATATCTATATCAGATGGGGATCAATTGACACTAGTATAAGACTCGAGACACTTACACTGATAATAACTTCTTACAGACAAATCTATTTCTACTATTTTATCAATACAAATGGTGAATTGTAAGTAAGCATGTTTGATTGCAAACCTATACTGTCCAGTTTTTCTTTAAATTTAAAAGGCTATATCAAGAAGATGATTTCTTGTAATTCAAAGGTTGAATTAATGAAAACAACATTCTCAAATAAGCTATTGAGTAACGTAACTGTGCTAAAAGCTTGTTTGGCACATCTTTTATTTAAGCTAAAAGCTACTTTTGAGGTAAAGTTAAAAAAAAGAGCTTAAAAAATAAAGCTAAAAGTTGTTTGATAATTATATAAACTGTTAGGGTAAATGATAAAATTTATAAATACAAGTTTAGAATAAGGATAAAATTGGAAAATAAATATGAGAATTCCAAAAAGCTAACATACATCTTAAAAAAGCTCCTCCAGGAGCTTTTAGCTCTTTCTTTTTTTCTTCATTATAAAAAAAAAAATCTCTTTTTATTATAAGAATTTTTGTAAAATTATGGTCAGCTAAGCTTTTGCTTATATGGAGAAGAGAAGCTAAAAATAAGAGCTCCCAAACAAGTACTAGGTCTTATACAGGTGTCTAATTACAAAATAAATTAGTATGCATATTGCACCTGTTCCAGTAGAATTCCCCCCAATAGCAATCATGACGTGGCTGAAGAATGCTGCAATTGACTGTTTCAAAAATAAAAGAACCTCAAAATAATTGCAAAAAGCACAGGGAAACAATTCTTAGATTATGCTAGTTTTAATCTAACCCAATTTTGCTAATTGAGCAGACAGAAGAACGTAATATGCTATATCCACTGGAATCTTGCGTCCAGGAATAGTAAATACCCAAAAAAAAAAAAAAAAGCACTGAAGAACATAAACAATGCAGCGAGCATGAATAAAGTAATACTTTTCACTAAAAAAGTCTATTGTGGCTAGAATTCATTCTAGAAGACCAGTATGTCCCCTATAATAGTAATGACTCCAAATTACTTGAAAATTGCAATTCTTTTGCACTTCCTTGGTTATCATAATCATGAATGCTAAATCATTTTACCACCAATATTGTCTTTATATAATTGCAACATATCTTTACAAATAAGGTAAAATTTGTTCTCATAAAGAACTGGAAGGCAATACTTGTAAGGGTTGTCAGTCATTTGAAAATATTATAGATCTTATATGGTTTATCTGTCTACATAGGAACTTAAATTTTTTTTCCTCATTAATGGATCTCAAGACATATCAAAAATTGATCTGTGGAACCCACAACACTTAATTGATAGTCAAAACACACACATGCACACAAAGAGAACCTGTTCATTAGTCAAAGGAGGAAGCCCACCAACATACACTCGCCGTGCGTGCCTTGTAGCCTTTAGAACAAGAAAATAGAAACTGTCACAAAAGACATATAAGCCTACGAACACACATATTGACACAGACATATCAGGAGTCACACAACCTGCTGTGTCATAGGTTGGACTTGCATTAAGGAAAAAGCTCCAATCTGTGATAAATTAAATCATCTAGAGTGTTCATAGAAATAAAATAACTGAAAATCTGTTGCCACAAAACTCATGACAAACAAGCACCTGCGATATCCCAAATTGTGGCAAATTTTGTGCAGTTCCTTGAATCATTTGGTTAATACCCAACATTTGCCCTGCATTATTAACTTTTAAGAAACAAGAATATAGAGGAAATAAGTTGTACAGAAAAAACATTGCATGGTTTTGTAGCTTGTCACTAGATCAAACAAAGAAGAGGCTTACAAGCATCCATTTGACAACAAATAAAGCCAAAATGAAAGAAAATATATCATACCTACTATATAGCATGAAAAATATAAAAATTTAGAAATGAGTTTGATCACTGCAGATGCTGGGGGGAAATGTGTCTACCAATAGGCAACTTTTGCCAGTTGAGAGTGAAAGGTCCAGCTACAGAACGCATAGGCTGTCCATTGAATATGCTACAGGGTGTACGCTGATAGGTAGGTTGGTAGGACATGCAGCCCAACATTGCCTTCTTACCCAACCATAAAAATAAGCCAGAAACACAAACCACACACAACAGCCAAACAACACAAGAATGATTCTTAGTTTCAAAAGTGAATTTATCACTTTAAAATGTACAGAAAATATCAATGAAAACACATAAACTAAGGCAACAATTATTGCAGACTGAATATGCCAAAAAACAAAAGAAGACCAAATGAAGGCTGTAAGCATAATCTAAGGAGGAATCCATACATGTAATGCATTAAATTAAGGGTTTACGTAAAAACCTGAAACACCAGGTGTTACGCCCGCAGCAGGTGGTGCAAGGTCAAAACCAGAGGTCTTTTTGCTGCAGTCACAATTAGATACAACAGAAGATAAATGAAAAAAACACAATTAACCAAAACTAAAAGACAACGAGGAGCTCAAGAGTATATCATATTAGAATAAAAGAATGATAACATTACAGAACAACAAAACATAAGTTAAGGAAAATTTAACATGCAAAACAAATGTTTGCTCAATTATAGGAATTTTTTTAGAAAAATCTACAAAAGACAGGAACTTTTTCAAAACAAGTTGTTTTCAGTATAAATACAGGTGAGCCAATCAGTAATTACTAATTACCAAGCCTGAAATGGCCCTTTATATTTTAATTATGCTAACACTGAGTTCGAAACTGAGGCTAGAATATCATTAGGGCTCAGAAATCAAATAAGTATTGGTTGGTAGCTATTCAAGAGCAAGAAGATCGACAAGAACAATGGAGACACTGAAAATTGAAGTCCAGGTACCATTCTGAACGAGAAGGGGATCTGGATCGTGATCTAGATTCTCCCCTGGATCTCTTTGAATATGCTCCATATTTGTGCCTTGTATCTCCATCGCGAACATGGTCATTATGCCTACAAAAGGAACATATCTATCCAATATATGAAATGATAAATAGAGGAAAGATACACAAAGAAAGGTGATGGATGATCTATAAATTTCTTCAGAAAAATATTAGAAAAATGGGGAAAGAATGGTCAATAGAGTAACCTATCATAATCACGGCTCCGGTGACGATTATAACTGTCATATTTGCCCCTTCCTTTAAAACCCCCATCCCTATAGTCTCTGTGGTGGCGGTTATGAAAAGGTTTCCTCTCTCCATCTCGCTCTCTCATCCTCAAACTCTTATGAGCTGATCCACGAGAAACTGGCTGAAGTAATTTAAAAACATTGAGTCAACTCACTGGAACCACAATTACCAGGAGACCAGCCAAAAAAATAAGCACGGAGTATTCAAACAATATACAAAGCATATTTTAATCTTACGAAACAAATGCACATTGCAGGAAATTTTAGAGAAATACCCTTAAGTTAACACCACTACTGCAGGTAATGAAATCTTTTCAGTGAGCAAGCCCCAAACCCCAAAAAAAGATAAACTATTTCAGCGAGAAAGACATCTAAACCGGGAATACCCTTAACACCACTACAGCAGGTCATGAAATCTCTTCACTCCTCTTGCTCAATCATGCACCAATTATGAACATATATATGTGATTAAAACACATCAAACAACATCCCGGAGTATCATATCCAAAATGAATGAAACTATAAACTAAAAACACAAAAAAAAAATTGCAAACAAGGTGAAAATTATGATATAAAGACTTCAAAGCGACAAAAAGACCTCAAACAAGAAAGGATCTCGATGTATGAATTACAGAAGCGACACGAACCACATACAAAGAAATTAACCATTCGGGAAAAAATAAATACATAAAGTGGGGGGGGAACCTCGTCGGGCGATGAACCACCACGAAGGGAAGCGTGATTTTCGATGTCAGACATTGCAGGCAAGGCAGGTATAGAACTTGAAACCCTAAATCAATCGTTAATCTTTTAATGGCAACCAACCATTTTTGAATTCAAAACATGAAATTACAGGAAATTGATACAGAAAATTGATAAAATAAAAATAAAAATAAAAAATATTTTCACCAATCAAATCACACCTAACGATCTATGCCAAAAAAAAAAAAAGGAGGAGAAAGGATGGTTCGTCAGGTTTTCTTTCTTGTGTCAAATATTTCTATCTATACAAAATTCGAGCAACATTTCTGATCATGTAGAAGAACTCATAATTTAAAAATTTGTCGAATATTTTAGTTTGGTGTATATGTTTACCGTGAAATTATCGAGTATGCTATGCAATATAGCAGCTTATAATCAGATTTTTTTTTTCTTACAATCTCTCACAATAATTTTTATTATAGTTGGATGAAAATTAAATTAATTTTCATTATTTTATAACTATAAATTTAATTTAATCCAACGTTAACTGAAATAATTATAATATATGGTAAGAAAAAATACAAATATAACCAATCTTTTATTTATTTGTATATAATAAAAAATATTTAAGAAAAAATATATTTAATTGTTTGGAGAGGTTATACTTATAAACAAAGATTTTGAATCAAAATCAAAACTAACTTTCAAATTTTGTAACGATTAATTTGATTTTAATCTAAATATAAAGAAAATAATTATAAGAGGTTATAGGTATAGCATCTCTCTAATTGTAATAATATTATTTTATTAGTGATAAAAATATAAATCATAATATATATATAAAACAGAAAAAAAAAATTGCAATTAATGCAGATAAGTTATATGCATTTACTTTTAAAACGACGTCGTTTTGAGATTGAAAGATTAGAAAATTATAATTATAAAGACTATAATAACTCTGAAATAAATTAAAAATACAAAAACATCATGATTTATGTCTCAAGATGACGTCGTATTGGACTTATTGCAAATAACTTATATGTAGTAACTGTAGAAAAAGTGAACCCTAAATAAAAACAAGCATGTAATATTTTAATTTTAAAAAATAGTTTGGTTTATAGAGAATTATTGTAATAGTGATTTTGTCAATACTCCGTTATGCTTAATATTGATTAAAAAATTAATCATACATGTTTACACGAGAACGAAGGAATATTCAGATGTTATCTTGTTCTAAAAAATAAGGATTTGAATTTGTTATTGATGGGTCTGTGACCCATTATTTTTAGTAGTTGACCTTGGCCCATTTCAATAACTTAGTCTACTTGAAGAAAAAAAAAAAAAAAAAAAAGACAGCATCGGCTACACATAAAGAAGAAATAATACGTACATTGCCACTGGTTTGTGTTTTTTTTTTTTTTGTTGGTGAGAAGGAAAAATAGCAACGCTGTTGGAGAAGAGAAAAGATAGTAGGATATTGGATTTTCCTCTCTTTTTGATTTCCATTTATTTAATGATGATGTTGGATTCCTCTATTATTAAAGAGAGATAACAATTTATATGAGTCCTTATTATTATTAATTGTTAATGGTGAAAGTTTTGGTATCTCGTTGTTTTTCTTCTCGTATTGGATTTTTCATGTAGAAATTCTTATGTATCAAATTACTGTGTTGCTGGTATTACTGTTGTTATTGATGTTGTTTTTCTTAGTTATAAGTTTACTTTAATTTGCACTTGGTTATTGTGTTTGGCCCAAAGAGCTTTGGTTTATAATTAGGGTTTTTGTTTTATCCTTTAATATAACATAACAAATTTTTCTACCCTCACAACATTTTGTGGGGCTCACACTTTTTAAAACAAAAAAATAAATAAAAAGTTAAGGCACGTAAAATAAATCTCTATAACATTACACAATCACTTTTCCTACAACATAACTCTTATAAAACCCTTATAATTATGGGTATTTGAAATGTAAATTGAAATGGAAGGTAACTCAAGCTCTATGCGCTCTATGCTTAAACTTAATGGATCAAATTGGTTTATTTCAGTTATGTTTCGTTAGTATAGTTTCAATTCGGTGATCTATATTCAAGCTCTGTATTCTTGACAATTTTTAGAAACGAAAGTTTAATCTTTTAGTCGTTGCTTTTGTTTGTTTTGAGTTTTGATTTTGCTTAGGAGTGCAAAAAGATAAGTGTGAGAAAACTTGATAATTGATATTTTTTTGCACTTATTTATCACTCTTGATTAGTATTTTAGGATTAATTGGAATGAAAATAATGGTTTTTTGGGTTAAATTAGTTTTTTTGGTTGTTTATTGGGTTTAATTTATTTTCGTCATAAATTTTCAGTTTTATGTTACTTTAGTATTTTGATCATATGTCACCCCACAAGTGTCCGTTTGACTTCGTTCTTGTTGCGTTTTAAAGATAACTCAGAGGGATACAAATTCTATGCAGACATGAAAGCCCAGTTCAGACAAGAAGATGGACAAAATGGCCTAAGGGTGAGGGATAAGGCCTGATAAGAGATTGATGTATTAACATCGTTAACCAATGTAATTCTCAAAAATTAATATATTATTTTAATATTAATCTATTAAAATAAAAATTATTTTTTCAATATATTAATTTTTAAAATATTGAATACTTTTATTTTTATAAAAATTAATTTATATTTTGGACACACTGATCAATAAATTTTTATAAAAATTAAATCATAGGACATTTTTTGAAGAATTATATAAATTATTTATTAAGGGATATTTTTATTAAAAATATTTATTTTTATCCTATATAGTATTATACAGTGCATTACCAAATACTAGATGATATTATCTTATACAATATATTATTTTATACAATACCGTGCTAAACGCTGGATAGTATTCAAATTCAATCAGGTCTTATACTATCAATCCTTATCCTATACTATGCACCAAACATGCCCTAACACAACAAGGGCCTATTTGGTGTGATGTATAAGGCTTGACAGTATAAGCTTATACTAGACGTTATGACATTTTTAGTTGTTTGGTGTAACCATCGTATAGTATAAGCTTATACAGTAGGATCCCATTATACATCAAGATGATGTATAACTTAATCAGGACTAAGAGGGTAGGATTAGGCCTGATAAGGAGTTGATGTATTAACCAATGCAATTATCAAGAATTAATATATTATTTTAATATTAATATATTAAAATAAAATATAAAATTTTAATATATAAATTTTTTAAAAAATTGAAGATTTATATTTTTATAAAAATTAATATATTTTCTGGATACACTGATCAACAAATTTCTAAAAAAATTAATATCGTTTGATATATTTGTGAGAATTATATAAATTCATTATTAAAAGGTATTTTTGTCAAAAATATTATTTTTATCTTATCTAGTATTATACAGTACATTATCAAATATTGAATGATATTATTTTATACAATATATTATCTTATACAATATCATACCAAACGTTGGATAATATTAAAATTTAATCAGGCCTTATATTATCAGGTCTTATATTATTAGACCTCATCCTATATTGTGTACCAAACATATTCCAAAATGATGTATAACTTAATCAGGCCTACGAAGATGAGTTTAGGAGGGGTTGATGTTTTAATATTGCTTATAAGTACAATTCTCAAGAACTAATATATCATTTTATATTAATATATTAAAATAAAAATTATTTTTTTAATATATTACTTTTTAAAACATCGGAAAATTTTGGTTTTATAAAAATTAATATATTTCTTGAACACACTGATCAATAGATTTTTATAAAAATTAATATCATACGACATATTTGGAATAATTATATAAATTCTTTATTCGAGGGTATTTTTCTTTAAAATATTTATTTTTATCCTATTCAGTATTACAGTGCATTATCAAACACTAGAGGATATTTTTTTTTGGTAAACAACACTAGAGGATATTAACTTATATAATATCATATCAAACAATGGATAGTGTTAAAATTTAATCAGATCCTATACAATCAGACCTTATACTATCAAGTTTTATCTTATACTATGCACCAAACATGCCATTTGGTGAAATATACATGTCCAAGAAGGTGTTTCAATAATTAAATATTTGAATTAAATATGCAACTTTGCATTTTACAAAGAAAATTAAGACATTTGCCAGTATTTAATTTTCTTAATTTATTATTGGACACTGCATTTGGTGAAATATTTAAATGATTGGACATATTAGAAAAGAACAACGGATAACTTAAAATAATAGAAAAATATATAATTGAAAGCACGAATCTCACCATGGGAAAATAATTTGCATAAGAATATATATATATATATAATATAATAAAAATATTTCTACAGTTACTGCAAATAAGTTATCTGCATTTATTCTTAAAAGTGACGTTGTTTTGGTGTTCAAATATTAAAAAATTATAATTATAAAGACTATTATAACCCTGATTTAAATTAAAATTACAAAAATACCTTGATTTCCGCAAAAAATAATGTCGCTTTGGACTCAATGCAGATAACTTATCTGTATTTTCTGAAGAAAAAATGAACCCATAAAATATATATAACAATAAATAATTTTCCCAATTTTTTTTTTGAAATCCCTATAAATTTAATTGTTATTTTTATGATTTCAATAAAATTAATAAAATTATATGATAATTAAGAAATTATTTTAAATTATTATAAAATAACACAAAATATTTAAATTATTTCATAAAAAATGAAAAAAATTAATTTTCAAATTGTCATAGAATGTAACAGATTTAATATTTTTAAATGTAAAAGAATTTTAATAATTTCGCATAATAATTATTTATTATGTTAATAATTATTTGATTAAATAAATTCAATATTAATTTCTAAAATAATATTAATTATTATATGATATTAATTACTATTATTGCAAAGTGCGGAAATAGAGATAGAAATGATAATGAAATTTGAAATAAATGACTGAGTATCGATTATGTTAGTCGTGTCTTATCATATTATTTTTCAAATAATTTCAAAAATAATTGAATAATTAGTTTTTAAATTTGCATTAATCATACTATTTTAGTTACCGTGAAATTTAATTTCAAACAGAATTTAATTCTTTATCAACATGGAAAAAATTCAAAGTGATATATAATTAAAAAAAGTAGTGTAATTTGATAAATCATTTATAAAAGTACATTTACTTGGTCAAAAACCCGACTAAATAATTATAAATTTAAATAAAAAAGATTACAAATTTGACATGAAGATGCCTTATTAAATGGTTCATATGGAGGGCCATCAGAGTCATTCAGAGCAGTAATAAACCCCCAAAAAACTGTGGGTGCCAGTTGTAAACAGTGACATGAAAACGAGACAACAACAGATAGGGCAAAATCAATCAATATTTGTATTCCAATTGAAATTCTACTTGTCGAATTAGAAAGATCTCGTGGACGTGAACAATCTAGGAAGGAAGAAGGCCCCACCTCTATTATTAATAATTAAAATTTTATAAGCAAAGCGTTACCCACATCTTCACCTCACCTCGGAATCCTCGTTTTTGGAAGAAAAAAAAAAATACATGAAATGATAATACCAGAAAGGTAAAGAAAAATGTTTTTCTTCTTTTATACAACGAATATTTGATTTCTATACATAGATTGAATTTCATGTCAAGTTTTTGCTTTTATTTTTTTTTATTTGCTGGCCTCATTTTTTTTGTCTCAATATAAGACAATTTTTTTCTTATGTTAAAGGAAAAATATATTTTTCTATCTTAAAATTATAATCATACACAATTATCATTTTATAACTATCTATTTTAAAAGGGTTCGCTTTTTCTACAGTCAATGTAGATAAGTTATCTACATTGAATTCAAAACGACGTCGTTTTGAGGTGAAAATCAAGGTATTTTGTAATAATAATTTATTTTAGAGTTATAATAATCTTTTTAAATATAATTTTTTAATTTTTCAATCCAAAACAACTTCATTTTAAAAGTGAACGTAGATAACTTATCTATGTTCACTTTAAAGTTTAAAAACATTAAAACTATTTTAAAATTATTACATTTTACCTACACTTTTTCATGTGATTTTTATTTTTTCCCATTACATTTCCCCTTCACCTCCGTACGTAACCAGTTTCTGTACGGGATTACATTACAGGCTGTTTAGGTCACCACAAGCCTATAAATATATCCCCTCGTTTTCAGCCACTAATTGCTCCGTTTCTCAACAATTTTCTTTCTCGAAAAATCTCAATCACATTTAAATACCATCATAAACAAAAACCCTTCGTTTTCTTTCTCTCTCTCTTTGTAATTCTTCTGGTCATCGATTTTTTCTTGGGCTGTGTATGGCAGTGAGATTTTCAGGGTATGAGGTATCCGATCTGTGTCTTGGGAAACCCGCGCTCCGGTCACTTTCTGTCACCGACACCGTAGCCGACGCCCTCTCCGCCCTCAAGAGAACCGGCGACAGCTACGTCAGCATCTGGAACTGCCATCACTCTCTCTCCAAGAACCATCAACGCCAAGAAGAACCTCAAAACGAGGACGAGGAGGAGCATAATTGTAGATGCATCGGTAAGGTTTGCATGGTCGATATCATATGCTTCCTCTGCAAACCCCATAACCTCTCTTCCCCTGCCGTCGCGCTTCAATCTCCGATCTCCATTCTCATCCCCGATAATTCCGGCATCGTCCGACATATCGAACCCAATGCGAGGTTTTCTTTTCCTTCTCGTGAATCACTTTTCTGTTAATTTTGATATTATTTTTTGTTTGACTCTATCAATTGTAAAATATTAACCCTATTTTTTCTTATAGATTAAAGTGATTTCTTTTTTAAACTTTTGACCTTTTCTTGACTTTTCCTTTCTTCCAGATTCCAGCCGTCATGTTAGAATCATCTTTACAAAATCTAAAGAAAAAAAAAGTGATTTTGCTTTAACTTGAGAACATATACTTTTAATGGTCAAGAACAAAGTGTATTACATAATACAAAAAGGCACTTTTACCATAATTGGATTTGAAAGAATCACCTTTTGTTATTTATTTATGTAAAAAGGAACTTTTAGCTTAATTGGATTTGAAAGACGTAATGTATTAAATCTTCTTCAACTCAAGAATTGCGTACGTGGGTGTGCTTAATTAAGAAAATAGTGTGATGTTTTTTCCCCTTGTGATTTTGTTTTCTTGCAGCTTGTTGGAGGCTATAGATGCTTTGTATGAAGGGGTGCAGAATCTGGTGATACCGATACAAAACCAGAGCAGCTCAAAGAAAAGGGTGGTTGAATCTTTGGATTCCATGTTTTGCAACAAGAACCGCACCTTCTGCTGGCTCACCCAAGAGGACGTGATTCGTTACCTACTGAACTCAATTGGGGTGTTTTCACCAACACCCGCAAGCTCCATCAACACACTGGGCGTCATTGACACTCAAAACCTCTTGGTTGTTAACTATGATGACCCTGCCTCCTCTGCTTTGGAGCTTCTCGCCGTTTCCCTCATTCGCCAGAGTTCTGTTGCCATTGTTGATCCGCAGGGCAAGTTCGTCGGTGAAATCTCACCGTTCATGCTTAACTCTTGCGATGAGGCCATTGTGCCCGCGTTTGCCACACTCTCCGCCGGTGACCTCATGGCCTACATCGACTGCAGTGGTCCACCGGAGGACCTGGTTCAGCTTGTGAAGGAGAGACTCGAAGAGAAGAATCTAGGAGCTGCTTTGGAGTTACTTGGAGATGAAACTGGGCTTTCTTCTTGGTCCTCGTTTTCTTCAACTTCATCTGATGAAGAGTTTTGTTCGGGGAAGAATTGGAAGCTTGGAGGGTACTCAGCAAGGGTAGTTAGGAGGTCAGAGGCCATTGTTTGCTACCCATGGAGCTCTTTGGTGGCTGTTATGATTCAGGCACTTTCCCACCGTGTGAGTTACGTGTGGGTTGTAGAAGAGGATGGAACCTTGACTGGTATTGTTACCTTTGAAAGCATGTTGAAAATTTTCAGAGAACACCTGAAATCCTAGTGCCAACCCAGAGACAGAAGATGATGAAAACAACTGCTTCGCGCTAATTAATAAATGCCACTCATCTTCTTTAGTTTTCTCAAAAAATCAAACATGTGGTAGATAACTCGGATTGTGTCAAATTTGTTTTTTGTTCATAAACGCAGGTACACAGGTACCAGAACCAAAAAAGTTCCTTTTTCGTTTACGTGCTTGTGCGTAAGAGTACGACTTTTATTATCTTTTTGGGGAGAATGATAATGTGGGTGCTTTATTGATTTTTCATTTTTTTTTAATGACTTGCATAACCAAACTCAAAAGTAGAATACTTTAAGAATACAATACTTTAGAGTAAATTACGTGCACTTTAAGAAAACAACCCTTTCTTTATATGAATTTAATAAAGAATTTTAAATGTTTTTTAAATGAACGATGTTAAATTTAGATTTCTTATACTTTTTGTTCCAGGATGGGTTCCGGGTTTGGGACCTTATTTGAGAAATGGGACCTAAAGAGTAGAGATGCTGTATTGATTCATGGCCGGAATTTGCCCTTGCTAGGCAGCCCGCCATGCTCCATAGCCCGGGTCGTGGGTCGTTGGATTTCATGTTTTGGATCATCTTCCACTCTCCCAATTACCATGAGACTTCTATAAAAAAGGCTGAAACAGTGTTAGGGAGGACACACGTCCTTGGTTGGAGATACTGTACTTAATTTATCAGTTGTTTCTCCCATATATCCTTAGATACAAACACTAGCTCATCCTTGCTAGACATCCAGTGTTTAACACTATTAATTTTGATTCTTTTTAAAGAATGCCATATTGTGTAAAAATTTATTGCCATTCTTAGTATTATGCATAAATTAAAAAGTGGTATTACCAAAAGCTTGTTTCATAGCGAATTTTATATCCCACAACATATCCATCATTTAAAAAAAACTGCAGCAACAATTTTTACTCAAGAAAAAAAAAATTATATTAGGAAAACAATCCTGAGAGGAGATGATAAGCAATCTATGAATTCCAATTACGAAACTGTATGATTGTGGCAATTGCTAATTAGGAGGTGCTGCTTATGACTGACAGTAGCATATACTGTGTCGAGAGATTCGGATGCCTTTGAAAGGTCAAATTCGATTCCCTTTCCATGAAAAACTAAGCTTGAAAGCTACGCGTGAGGCGACGTAATTTGCAATATGTCGCTCTGATAAAACTTTTATGACTTTCTTTCACTTAAGGTAGCTGCCACATATAATGAAAATTTGATATTTAAGTAATTTTATTTTATAAACTGAACCATGACGTGACTATTTTTGATGTTGTAATTGTTAATGGCAAGTTGATTATGGTTAGAACTATCAAGGAAGTCACTGCTAAGAACGACCTTCATGTTGATACTAGATGATGGGGACACTCAATTTGGCTTTCTTGAGGAATTTAAGTGACCCCAGATAATGTCACAGTAATCTTGCTTAAGAATTTTTGAAGCGTTCAATAGCATCGTCTTCCCTTCGCCTTGTTGCTAGCTGCAAGATATTTTGTATTCAAAGAAGTTTAAATGATAACTCACATAAAATAATACTTAACCGTCTAAATTATGTTTGTTTCTTTTATATTCAGATTATTTAGTTTAATAATAAAATTTATTTAGTATCTCAAACAAAATAGACAAGTTGATTATAAGTGAATTTGTACGAGCAAAGAAGATATTTATAATTAATTTAGGAACATATTATATTTATCATCTATTTTCTTTTACAACTTCTTATTATCATTTTTATGGCTGTTGGGTCAAAATCAAATCAACGGCTCTCATTTAATATTATTTTTTAATACTTGATTGGATTTTGATTCAATAACCTTAAACTTAAAGTGGTTGTAAGAGATTCTAAGAGAAAATAGGTTATAAATATAACCTCTTTCGTTAATTAAAATTAAAATATAATATGATTTTAACCAACAGAGATGAACTCCAAGCCAAGGCTAGTCTAGCCATGGGCTTTGCATATTCTTGTGGTCCTAAAGCTCTCTCTTTTCTCCTTCTGATAGCGTTTTGAGGTCCAAAATCAAAACACACGAACAATTACAGTTCACAAATTTATTCCCCATTTAACAAGATTGGACCCAGGTTACATGATGACAACTACACCCCAATATCAGATGGTGACTATATAGGAGAAGCCCAGTCCAATATGTTACCTAGCCCTTTTGCTTTGCATTTGGTTTTGGTGTACATGCCTTTTACGTAATTTTACTATACTAAAGTTTGCTTAGACTATTAAAACATAAAAGCCAGTACAAGCAAGCATTATCAAGGAGTTCAGATCGAACACACACACACACACAAACACAAAGGAGAAATGTTGGATATTGATAGAATGGAAGCTACTTCTATAAAAATAATTTCATGTGGTTATAACTAAGTTATGTTTTACGAACTCCGTGTTACGGCGTTACTATGACATTGCATTTTTTATTTCATTTTTTTATCATATTAGTCACATAACTCTTACATTCATATTTCTTCATACACTTACCAATTTTTTTTTTAAATGATTTATGAGATCTTGACTCTTGAGCAATTTCAAACCTTAACCAAAAGTGAACAAATGTTCTTTAAAAGATGGCCAAATAAAATGCTTTACAATTGGTTTAGACAACAAAGAAGACAAATATTAGCATGTTATTTATTTCTTTTACCTTAGACCAGAAACTAGATAATACAATTTAAAAGTTCATTAAAGACAGTAAAGAAGAAAACTAAAATGAAATGACTATGAGACAAAAGGAAATAAGAGAGAGAGAGATAGAGGGGAGGGGGGCAGTTCCATTATATCCTTATCCGAAAGTACATCCATGTTCATATTATGTATTAAAAAGTGGGTTTTTTTTTTGGGGGGGCAAATGATAGGTGTGTATCATTTTATAGTATGATAGCACTTGGTGACAATGTGATGAGTTGGACACCACCTAATCTATTTTCAATGAACCTAATCGTTTCATCACCCTCCTTCTCTGTCAACTCCCCAAAGGCCCAAACAAGGTACTTTTCACCCTCTCATTCATTCAGTCTCTCCCAACATAAAGCTCATCCCTTTTGTTTTGACTTAAATATCCCTTCTGTTTCACCTATTCTCACTACTACATTTTCTTAAGGAATACAGATAAGTCTCGCATTGTATTTTTGAATTTCTTTTATATAGAAATAGAATCTTGCATGTTTTGAACTTTTTTTTTTTTTTTTTTTTTACATATATTCCGAAGTTTTGTAGTTTTAATTTTTTTTTCCAGAAAAAAATAAGAGAGTAAATTTATGGCATTCTATAATTTGAGATTGAGCACACTTTCATAAGATGGTTGCCTTGTTACGTGGCGTTACATTGAAAAAACACTTTATTTGAAGAAAATGACAGTGTTAGATGTTTTGAGTGCTTAGAATAATACCATTGAAGATCATAAGACTTTAATCAATGAGCACCGTCACTAATCATTGTTATATTCTTAATCTTTGGTAGTGCCAACTCTTTCCCCTTATTTGTAATTTGGCGTGAACTATTATTTTTTTCCATTCCCTTGAACATATATAAAATCTGGAATCTCTTCATAATTAATTATAATTTAGAGGAACTTAAAGAGCGTTTGGTACAGGAAATTTTTTTTTTTTAGCCGGGATTCTCAATTTTCAAAAATATAATTTTTACATTCAGTTTATAATAATATCCGTAAATTTAAAATTTAAAAAAATTCAGTTTCCCGAAATTCTTGAAGAATCCCACATACCAGACGTCCCCTTAGGAGTTAAAATCACTGAGTGGGCGAAACTATCTTCGGCCCGCACATTTAAGGATTTAAAAAATTATGTCGTTGTATATACAAATTTAAAGTGGGGTATTACAATTTAATTTATTAGATAAGTAAATATATAATTTTAAATACATGATATTAAAATAAAAATATAAACATTTTATTAAATTACTTAAATAGAAATTAGTTTTCTTAGTCAAATATAATTATATGAAAATAAAAAAATTATACCAAACAAATATTGTACGATAAGAAAATCTTTGATTAACCTAGAAAAAAGTCAAATAAAAAGAAGCGTAGAACCTTGGACTTGTAGGCCTGACATTCATGAAACACGCCAGCCTTGCATTTTTCAAAACAATTTAATAAATAATTCTGATATAGTTTATTCTAATTTTGATACAAGCTAGTGTAACAATATATTCTAATTCTGATACAATTTAACCCCCCTTTTTTGACACGGGGGAGAAAAAAATGTTCTGTTGTTAAGAATAGGAACAAAAAGAGCATTTAGATATGTCATCGTTAATTATTGGACCATCACACTGACAATTAAAAAAAATAAATAGATATCATTATTAATGTAATGGGTGCAAAGGTAAGTGGTTGATTGTTGGCTGTTGTGGCTACAAAATCATGGGAGCTATTTTTCTTTATATCCGGTCTATAATCATTCTCATATATTATTTATTACTTTATAGATGCAACCAAGAGAAATGGAGGAGCAGGCCCATAGTTCCTTCCTATCGTGAATGATAAATCTTAATTACTGACTGAAAAAAGAGAGAATGGTAGATCGGAATGTCGTTAAAACTACAACTTAGCATTTATGAATCCTTGCGGTATTTAATAATAGATTTGATGTTTCTTCATTATACAGGAGATAAAATTATTTTTTATATACGTATAAAAATATGTGGGATCCATACAAGATCACGTAAAGAGAAGAGAAAGAAAAAAATATAAGTCTTATACACCTTTATGTATATATAGCACTGACCGACCTACATGGTTGCCAATGTGTGCAAGTACAGACACAAAAAAAAAAAATCGTTTGAAATAACAAAGCTTGATACATATTACTGTAGGATTTGCTATGTGAATAGCTTGAAATAACATTTAATTTTTTTTAATAGCTTGTAGAGTAAAGTATCTTTTGGGTCCTAACAAAAATCACGGAGCCCATTTTAATTCCTTAGAAGAAAAAAAATCTACATGTGATCTCTCTAAAATTCAAAATAGACACAATTAGTCGAAATCGTGGCCCCTTTGAAATTCAAAGGAGACCCACGTTAGTCCTTAGGCGTTAACATGAGTCTATTTTGAATTTCAGAAGGACCACGAGTCGACCTTTTTTTTCTAAGGAATTACATTGGGCTTCGTGATATTTATTAAGAATCCAAAAAGTACTTAACTCTAGCTTGAAATAACATTTACAAAAATTGAGATATGCGTGAAATAGCTTGAAATAACAAAACTTTATATATCTGAATATTTTTCTTTTCTTTTTTTGTTTACATTCTTTTATTTTTTAATATATTTAACATTTTTTTGGGGACGATTCCCCCGAATCCCGTCACTAAATGTGCACTCATAAATAATATTTTATGGGTCTATCATTGATGTGTAGATAATTTTATCACCTACAACTAAGATATTAAATTCTGCTTATTCTTATTTTGCCTACCTCTCATTGATGGAATATGTTATTTTGCCAACCTTTGCCTACCTTTCTTAACACTGTTAGATTACAACCTCATCCAATAATGGAGATTTGTGGAATAAAATAAATCATTTTTCTCATTCTTTCTCCTTACTACCTCTCACACTCTTTCTCTCTAGTCCCCTTTCTTTCTATCGATTTGCGTAATTTACAACATGAATTTATATTTGAATCTAAATCCAATCAATAATTAATGGCATGATAATTCTGCTGGATGAATATAATTTTCAAAATTTCTTGAATCTGATATAATTGATCATGGCAAAAATCACAAAAATACAAAAAAACGAAAACCACGAAGAATCCCTCCTTTTGAATTAATCCACAATTACAGTAACGTTCCTATTTTGCGGTTAAAATTTGAAATCGAATTAACTTATCTCTTTCTTATTCTTATCTTGATTTTTACTTTGAAGTAGGAAAATGATCTATGTTCTTTCTATGTTACGCTCAATAACAGGCATACCTGATCCTATAACATAGAACATATGAGTTTGTTTCTTCTTGACACCCTTTTTCAATTTATTTTTTATGTAAATGCTCATAACAATGGTTGGATTGGATTAATTGCTTTTTTTGATATTGAAGTGACATTAAAAAGAGAGAAAGGACACGAGAGAGAGAAAGAATGAGAGACAGTGAGAGAGAAAGAAGAGGAGAGAGTTTTTTGATATTGAAGCGACATTAAAAAGAGAGAAAAGACACGTGAGAGAAAGAACGAGAGAAGAAGAGAGAGAAAGAAGAGGAGAGAGAAAAGAGAAAAAAGTTTATTTTATATAGTAAATCTCCACCATTGGATGTGATTGTAATCTAACGGTATTGAAAGGGATAGACAAAGATAGGTAAAATAAGAGTAGGCAGAATAACCTATCCCTTTAAATAATTAGCCTTTTTTCATACTTATATCGGATTTTCATAATTGGGAAGAAAAATACAATGTAATGAAAGCATAATCATTAGCATGAAAACAAAAAATATCTTATCCATGTCTCCAAGATAAGAAAGATAAAGTAATAATTAAAGAAAAAAAAAGGAGGGGATGGCAAAATTGTGAATAGATAGGTATAAATGGGGGAAGAGAGAATAAGGGGCTGCGTATCCATCAACGGTGCGTGGAGCTTAAGCTACCAAATCCTAAAAAAAAAGATAAAGTTGATAAATAATAATAAGTGTGTTCACTCTTCATTCACGGACTCACACAAACAAACATGACATTTATGTTTTCAATGTTATAAAGATAATTTTATCTTGTTAAAAATAAGGGTTATTCATTTCTGCTGCTCATGAAAAAATTTGTAACAAATAAATTTACATAAGATATGAAGTCAGATCCTGAAATTAATTTTTTTTTTTTTCAAAATACGAAATCGGATCCTTGTGAAATAAGTATTGCTGCAAATTTTCTGATCTGCACCTACATAAAAGCTATTAAAGCCTAGAAATAAACATAATGAAAAATATTAAACGCAACAAATATACATACCTTCTTTTAATATTAAAAAATTTAATTAATCCTAAAAATAAAATAATAACATTCGAGTGTGTGCAACGCCACGTGTCCACCCTCAAAGCTCTGGGTCATGCCTTTGAAGAAGAGAAGAGAATAGAAGCTTCAGTGTGACAGGGAACTGATACTGCTGATCCTAGAGAGAGAAAGAGCAAAAAAAAAAAAAAAAAAGGAAAAAAGAGCGAGAAAGTATGAAACTTTGTTGTGGGTTTTGGACTTGGGTTTAGATTCTTTGTTGGATTTTGATTGAGAAGTTTTGTCATCTGGGAAGTGGGGAAATAGATATGTACATAGCTTCTTCCATGGGAAGGTCTTTCAAGGACTCATTGAAACTGCTTGAAGCTGATATCCACCATGCCAATACCCTGTCAGTTTCTTCTCCCTTTTTCCACTCCTCTCAATTTTCATACCCTTTATAAAATTAATTCATTACCAGTGGTAAATTTTTAATTTTGTTTTGAATGGTAGACACCCTTCCTTTCATTTTTTTAATTTTTGGAATTGGATCATGAGTGATATTATTTTGGTTTGGGAATGATTTTCTGGGATTTAGCCCCTGATTTTTTGTTCCAATGTATTTGCTTTCCTTTTCAGTCAATCATCAATTTTCTTTCATTAATATGAAATATGATCCCTCTAATTTACTGCCAATTCATGGTTGAAATAATTTTCAATTTTTTGATTATCCACTCTACTCAGTGTACCTTATCTTTCCCTGTGTCTCTCTCTAGTTGGGGAAAATTGAGTACTTTCAACTGTGAAAAAGCTATGATGGAGTTTTTCCTTTGTTTTCCACCTCGTGTTTTGTTTGCTTAGTACTAGTTACATATATACGTCTAACTTCTGGTTTCTAATTTTGTAAATGACTGTATTGCACTGTTTCATGTGTGTTATACAGAAAAATCAGAGAACTTTGGTTCTCATTACCGCTTGAGTCACGTGGTTATGAAGAGAAGATTTTGTTATTATTTTCATGATTTCATTTATCTGAAATTTTTTTAATGCACAGTGACAATATTTTTTTGTCCTCTTATGGTATGTGTGATATTGTCACCTGTTTGACAGGGGTTGAATGGTCCCCTTAGTGATTTGGATCGCTAGCAAATACTGCATGATGATTTTGATACCAATTTGTTGCTTCTCGATCTCTATTATGCAATGCATTATCTTTCCCAGCTACGGTGACAGGCTGTGTAGTTGTGGTTTTTTTTAATCAATGTTTTGTAGTTATTCGTTGTGGTTGTGATGAGCCTTTAGTGAAATTTTGTCTAGAGAAGCTATTGATAACAGACTTTAGTTCTGAATGGTGTCCTTTCTAAACATTGAAAATTTGAAATGATGAGTCTTTGGAAGGATGCTTTTTATTACTTGTCTCGAGCCGTTCTTCTTATTTATATCAGTATTGAAGTTATCGCTTCATCATGCAAATATGTAGGGCGTCAGATTTTTCAAGGGAATATGATGGTGCGTGCCTTCAGATGAGAATGTCATACAGTCCAGCAGCACACCTGTTTCTATTTTTGGTGCAATGGACAGACTGCAATCTTGCTGGAGCGCTTGGACTGTTAAGAATCCTAATTTACAAGGTAAGGTATTTTGATTTTTGGATGTTCATATTGAACTGAGAAATTGGGCCAATGTGATGAATTTGTCCCATGCTGCAGGTGTATGTGGATGGGACAACTACCATGTCTACCCATGAAAGAAAAGCAAGTATTAGGGAATTCTATGGTAAATCTTTGTTTTTATTGTAATAAGTTAGTTTGTATTTTAGTCTGTGAACTGCTGATGTATTGAATTTCTGCTTTGATCAGCGGTCATATATCCCTCTTTGTTACAACTTCAAAAAGGTGTCACCGATACAGAGGATAAAAAACAGAAGGCTGTATGCATGGAGAGGTATCGTAAAAGAGACGATGAGGAGCACAGACAATCTTCAGACATAGACATTGAAAGAGAAGAAGAATGTGGAATATGCATGGAGATGAATAGTAAGATTGTGTTGCCCAACTGCAACCATGCCATGTGCCTAAAATGCTACCATGAATGGTACGCTCTCTCTCTCACAGCCCGCCCCGCCCCCTCTTTTCTCTCATTTTTGGATCATGACTTATTGATATCTAGAAGTGTTAGGTTGGGGGTTTTTCTGCTACATCTTGATTCTTTGTGTTTCTCTAGCAATGTGCTTTATGGTTGCTTTTTATTGGTTCTGTAATTTCATGCCTTATAGTTAGTACTGAATGACATAGGGTTTAGCTGGAGTAATTTGTAATGTGTTGAGCCTGCTTGAGTTTTCATAGATTTTGAATTTTTTCTGTTTGTTTGGATCATAATTGCTTATTACCATGTAAAGTAAGATGGCTTCTGCCACGATAGATTTTTCAAGTAGCATAATAATTATCATTCCCACCATAAGTGACCTGGTTTTAGAATCCCATGCTTTATGGCAGGTGTGATGCCATAGCAGGCACCATGTGTATATAGGTATGGGTTCTCATTTTTTTTTTTATTTGTAACGCCCCGCATTGACTAGATGCTATACGCTTATATGGTTTGAGAATACATCAGTCAATATACGCAGGTATAAGTGATACACAAGGATGATACAAAATTTCAAAGACTGGGTACTCCTATAATTCCGAAACAGCCATGTATATAACATTATGAGTACTTCACAAGTACAAAACATATCTTAGGATGCCATAGATAATAGTCTCATCTCCTATCAGCAGCCAACAACCCCAAATTACAACTCCCTCATAAATCAAGAGTTCCACAACACTTACACAACATCAAAATATCATAAGGTCAATTTACAAAGGTAAGATAGCCATAGCATCATTCACATAACAGCCCATAAATGTCCATTTCAACTATCCATAGTTCCTTTCTTTTGCACATCAGCCCCTGCAATCAAAATCCCATAAAAGGGTGAGGTGAAATTCCAATAAGTCTAGAGTACATTCTCATCTTTTCTTAGCTTATTCGAAAGTATGGCCTCGAAGGCATACTATTCCTCAAAACAGCCCTACATAAAGGATTAGTCACATAGAAAGTCATCATGGCACATGCTCATTTTTAACCAAAGTTTCAATTGTAAGGAGCTACTATATGGTCTCATGGACCCAATTCCAACACTATTGTATGTGCACCTAGTCAACCTATATGTGATTTGAGCTCAAACACGGTGAGGCGTTCCTCACAATTGCCAACTATTATATCTTCACAATTTTTGATATAGCTGCAATCATGCAATTCTATGAACATCTCAATTCTATAATTCTATCTAGTGAAAAGCATCTGAAACGACATTCTCTAACATCAATTAACCTCTGTGTGGTAAGACAATGATTCAAGGCAGTATAATTCAAGAAAACACCAATTTGGGGCTTTAGTTGGAGATTTTCTGAGTAAACTCCCTGAATTACTTAAGTCTCGAGTAGAAGCAAAATAATTGCAGATTTTCGGTTTCACCCCCAAATTGCTTCACATATACATTTCTACACTACAATACATATCAGAATCCACATCAAACAATTACAATACAAACGATAAACATTTCATGTACCTTCGATACAAGATTTCACAAAGTTCACACTTGCATTCAAGAACAAATTGGGGAAAAACACATGCAAGCGATTTGAGTAGTTCAGTACGCACATAGAGGTTTCAGAAATTAGCATGCATTCACATGGGTCACTTTTTCGAATTTTAAAACACAGAAAAGAAGAAAGAATGTCGCTCTGACTTACTTAAACAAGGAAGAACGAAAATCAATACTAGAGCTAGAGCTTGGTCTTTTACTCCAACCACAGCAGCTCCCCATCAAACTTCAATTCTGAACAGTTTTTCCTTGCCTTAGCCGAAGAGCACTCTAGGTACAAAGGTAGTGATGTTGCCCAAGTGTTTTAAGGGGAACTAAAAGAGGTGCTTTTTTTTAAATTTAGAGGAGTCGTTGAAGTGTTTGTAGGAAGAAAGGGACGGTGATCGTGGATTGCAGAGAAGAGGAGGGAAGGTGATTTCTGTGAGAAAATCTGAAGCGGGTAGAGGGAAGTGTTCTCTTAAGAATAAGAGGTGAAGTTGGTATAAAGAGATAGGGGTGAGCTCTGATAATGTTTTCGAACAGCATGGGTGTAGGAATGGTGGGCAAAAGGCCGAAAATGCCCCTCCTTACAAAGAAAGGTTCATGTGGGAGGGTAGGGGTAGTTTGGGATTTAACATAGAAATTATTTATTTATTTATTTTGAGAAGTAATTAGATTATTAGCTTTACTTAATTACACCTAGTAAAAGAAAATCAACAAGGTAATTACACACACTAAGATGGTACACAATTTCTAGGTGTTACATTATACTCTTGAATTAAATACTCAACTAAAAAGTAGAAAACAAGTAGAGTATTGGACTGAGAAATATTTGAAGAGGCGAAGTTGATTGCAACTGTTATGTCAAGCATAAGTTGTTGTGAAAGGGGTTATCTTGTTTTTCTCCTTGGTCTGAAGCTATGATGAATAGTTACTCCAAAATGGTGGCATATCTCAATGGTATCCGTATCTGATACTCAAATGATACACTCGCATTCATATTTTTGGTGTATCTTTTTTGTTGTTGTTGTATATATGCTGCCCTCAAAGTACTTGCCAAACTCAAAATGATTAATAGGGACTTGCAAGAGGGAAAATTGAAGAGCAGAATAGTTAAAAGCGTCAAAAGGCACTAAGGTGGGGCAAGGGAAGGGTCCAGCACCTTTTGCTGAATAGCACTTGGTCTTGTATACTCTGAATTTCTTGAACAGGAGGAGTTATGATTGTACCTCGTATGCAATGATTTTATGACAATTCTTCACTATTTGAAAGTTTAATGGGGTGGAGGGTGGGGGTTCCCTATAGCTAATTATGATGATCTATATCTTTTCCATTTGATACATTGGGTTAACTTAAGTTGCTCCTACAAATACAATGTACTATGTTTCAAGCAAAATAGGGTCTATCTTTGGTGCCTAATCCGGGTGCCATGCAGGAGAGATCTTGATGGTGGGATCAGTATGTGTTCCCTGAAGTTAAGCTGTCGAGGCTTGAACCCAATCTGTAAGAGGGGATGGCTTGGTCTCTGGTTCATCTGCGTGGTGGTATAATATATAAATGGCTCGTGCAGTGTGGTTTAAGGATATTTTTTACTTTTATTTTATTTAGTGGGATTGAGGTGCTTTATTTGGTGGGACACATGACTGTTATATCTTCCATGTCGTGGCGACTTGATTGTCTGAAACATGTGACTTGTTCAGCTTTATATGGTATTGCAGTGATAAGAAAGGAAAACTAGGTTGCTATTTTCTTGGGGAAATATTCTGGGATATCCAACATGATATATTTATTAGATATCTTGGCCAAAGAGAGTAGAAAGAAAAAGTTTACAATTTAATTATTACTTCTGAGAATGAGGCACAAAGTAATTTTGACCAAGAGAAGAGCTTGTCAAGCATACATGTTGGCCTTGGGGTTTATTTGTAGGTTAATGCTTTTATTGGATGTGAATGAGAAGTATACTATGTGGATTGGACTATATGAAGCCAGGCTGTTGTCCTTTGGGCTTTGGGATGACAATGCATTCACTTTGATCTTCTAATTGGTAGTATGACCGGTTATTGTTTCACTTGTGAGTCGTTCATTTCTGAGATTGAACCATGAAAGATTTTTCTCTCCAGGCTCTTGTTGCATTGATAGTCTGTGCCAGTGTGTTAATGGCCAATCTGCCCTTTAGTGCTAATAGGTTGTGGTCGGAACCTAACTTATGCGAGATGGAGGCCCAATCAAGGAAAGGCTCAGCAGGCCCAGAAGCCATTGCTTAACCATGAAGGAATGCGCGTCCATCCCGCATAGAGCAGCAAGCATCTCGCATCCTTTCTGGAACACACTAAACAAAGCATCTCGAACTTGGCAAGATCAGCTGCTCAGAACGACTAGGTCTCCACATGAGCCAATGAGCCAATGGCCAACAACTATAAGGGCATAGCTTGACCATAGACATCTTGCCTACAACATAGCCTGTGAAAGATGGCCTCTCTCCACCAATGAGAATGAATACCGCCACACAAATGCAGCACAAGCAAATGCACCTTTTTACTATAAATACGAAGGCATTCAGCACAGACAAGATCATCTATCTCTCAATAAAAAAGCTACTTAAGCATTGAATCACCTTGGACCTCTGACTATTTGATCTTCATCTCCTCCAATCTCTCTTAAACCACTTGAGTATCTTCCCTATCATCTCGCATACGCCCCCTTCATCTCGCTAGACACCCCTTTCACATTCTCTTCTTCAACATCACGAGACTCAACCGTGTGTGATTCAGCCCAATAGTTATTGGACTGATCAGGTTGTGTTAAACAACTTGATTATTCCTTTTAAAGAAGACCACAACAATCATATATCTTCCGTATTTTTATTTATTTTTTTGTGTTCTCATTTATTCCTTCCCCACATCTCAGTATATGAAATTTTGGGTGCTGCATCATACCTCCTGGTGCATTTTCAAGTGTTACTTGTTTAGTTGAAAGCTGGATGTAATTTGATATGTTTTTGCAGGAGAACAAGATCACAGTCATGCCCCTTTTGCCGTGACAGTCTTAAGAGAGTTAACTCATGTGATCTATGGCTATTCACTGATGGTAGGGACATAGTAGACATGGCAACAGTGACAAGGGAGAATCTCAGAAGGCTTTTCATGTACATAGATAAGTTACCTTTGATCGTTCCAGACTCCCTTTTTGACACATATGACTCTCACCTAAGATGAGTGATTGCAACAGACACATTTCACTGTCTGGTGTGGTCTTGGATGGGTGGTTCCTTTCAAGTTAATCACATAAATTCCAAATGTAATTCGGTAAATTTAGTTCATATAGAGTTGCAGTGCTTGCTTCCCACGTTTACTGTGGGTTGGTGGTGAAGTTGAGATGGTAAATTGTATCTATCTCATTTGTATATCCCTGTACAGATTGAATTACTTATTAAGAAGAGATTTGCATATTCAGTGGCTCTGACGTTTATAACCATTAATCTCTTGAGATACGCCATTCCCTGTCAAGAAATTAAATCTTTCATCATGAATGTACTTGCTAGAATATCAAATGGCGGTGGTGTCCGGTTTAATTGAATTAGTTGAGTAATTGATGAATTGGTGAAGTTTAAAAATATCAAAAGCCAACTTCACCAATAGCTAGCTACTTGTGTTTTTTTTTTTTTGAAGTAGATGATCCAAATCCCGAGTAATGACATGGAACTAACCTTTTTGTGATAAATAATTATGACGTTACTATATATAGTATACGAATTGACACTCTTTTAACTCTTAATTTCTATAATTATTCAATAAAACTCATATCGCACAAAATCATTTTATCAAAGATAAAATTTATATTATAATTTGTTATCTATCACCATCAAATATATATATATATATATATATATATATTATTACTATTAATTTATAGTTTATTACTATTAGATTTTTTTTTTGGATATTACAAATCATTTATCAATTTAACATTAGTGAAACGTGTATGAAAAATGTGTGTATTTAAGTCTCGTATAACCTCGTAACATGGTTGTATGCTTTCAAGTTCGGCTTGTTTCTATACACGTCTTGTAGAATGTAACACACGATAAACATTTTTTTTTTACACTTTTGCATGAGTCATGCATTGCCTTTTGCACAGGGACATATTTTACTAATATTAAATTAGTAAATAATTTATCAAAAGAATTAAAGGGATAATATGTTTCTGATTCTACGATACATGAATCAAAATGCCAAAATAAAAAGTGAATGTTGAAATGATTGATTGCCATTCAAACTAAAGATCTCATAAAGTTATATTGTAAGAAAGTAAATATGTTGTTTTAAAGTAATCACATCATGTACGTATATTTTGATAATTATATGTTTTTTTAAGCACCGCATAGAAAACACAAATTTACAAATTAAAGTCGTTAAAAAGGGTCATAATCATAACTAAAGACACAAAGAGGGAGTGAGAGAATAAGGGGTAATTAAAAAAACAAAAGGAGGCACGTGATGTGATGCGCAGAATTAATAAAAATAAAAATAGAGTGTTTGCTAAATGGAGGAAAGGCTCCAAAGTATATACAGGCTGTAATATCGGAGGCAAACAAATTGTGACACAGTGAGGCTGTAATCTGCCTCTATTGTTAGACATTTCCATTATACTAATCTTAATATTTGTATATAAATATAATGTTGTTCCATCAAATGAGTCATGTGATGTGAGAGACACAGAAAGAGAGAGAAAAGAGAAAGAGAAAGCGAAAGAGAGAGAGAGAGAGAGAGAGAGATATGGGGAAAAGAGTAGGAGGAGGAGGAGAAGATAAAGAAGGGGTGGTGATGGCTGGGGACTTCTTCTGGTCATACACTGATGAACCCCATGCCTCACGACGTCGTCAGATCCTCTCCAAATACCCTCAAATCAAAGAACTCTTTGGCCCTGATCACTCTGCTTTCTTCAAGGTTCCTTCTTTCTTTCTTATCGTTATCCGTTTCTTCTTTTCCACCCAATGTGGCTTCTTCTTTTCTTTTCTTTTTTCTGGGTTCGTTTGCATTCATCTTTGTAAGAAAATTTCTCTGTTTTGGGGTTATCATTCTTATTGTTCAATGCTCACATTACGAAGTTGTATGTTGCCGCCCATGTTTGTTTCCTGTACTTTATTCTTGTCAATTTCATATTTTGCTTATCTTGTAATTGTGACATTGTTTGTGTGATTATTTCACTTTTTTTTTTCTTGTCTTCCTTTCTTCTGGATGCCAACATTTGAAAATGAGTCATTGATGAAGTCAAGCCTGCATTTTTGTAATTTTTTTTTTATACCACCTAGATCTCTTTAGAAAATTCAAGTTGCTCAAATCTTTCTAAGTCTTGCTTTTGTTAAAGTAGTCCTCTTGTAATGGATATTTTATGGTTTGTTCTTCGTGAGTGAAAGGTCATGAGTTCAAATCTAGAAAACAACCTAAGGATAAGGTTGTGTATAAAGATTTACTCTACCCCATGTTCGCTGGTCGAGTTTAAGGAGTAATGGTTTTTTATATTCTTAAGTGGTATTTATATGCAATAATATTAGATTAGGATAGGGATTTGATATGAAATGTGTTTGATGTGGATGAATAAGTTTCTGTAAATATGTTATTCAGAGGGTAGGGGTTTGTGTTAATAGTCTTGAAATTTTTTTTCTTGCAGATTTCTCTAGTTGTTTTGCTTCAGCTTGGTACTGGTATTTTACTTAAGGATGCAAGCTGGCTGAAGATATTACTAACAGCCTACTTTTTTGGCTCATTTCTCAACCACAATCTCTTCTTGGCTATCCATGAGCTCAGTCACAATCTGGCTTTCTCAACACCAGTCTTTAACCGTTGGCTAGGGATTTTGGCTAACCTCCCCATTGGTGTACCCATGTCTGTAACTTTCCAAAAGTATCACTTGGAGCACCACCGTTTCCAAGGTGTAGATGGCATGGATATGGATGTCCCTAGTCACACTGAAGCACGTCTTGTGACAAACATTCTTACAAAAACCATATGGGTCTTTTTGCAGCTCTTCTTTTATGCCCTTAGACCTCTGTTTCTTAAACCAAAGCCTCCTGGTGTTTGGGAATTCATCAACTTCTCTATTCAGATAGCCCTTGATGTTGCAATGGTTTATTTTTGGGGCTGGAAATCCCTTGCATATCTGATACTTTCCACATTTGTTGGTGGAGGGATGCATCCAATGGCTGGTCATTTCATTTCAGAGCACTATGTCTTCAATCCTGAGCAAGAGACATATTCTTACTATGGACCTCTGAATCTTGTGACTTGGCATGTGGGCTACCATAATGAACACCATGACTTTCCAAGAATTCCAGGAAATAAGCTTCACAAGGTGAAGGAGATTGCTCCAGAGTATTATGATGATTTAGCATGCTATAAATCTTGGAGCCAGGTCATTTACATGTATGTTATGGATCGAACAATTGGACCTTTTAGCCGAATGAAGAGAAAGCCAAGCAAAACTGAATAGATGTTTCCATACACATCATTCGTTTTTCTTTCTCCCTTGTGATGTCTCTCCACCTTCCTGGATTTTCTTTATGAATCTCACTTTTGACAATTTTTATGTGTAACAGAAGAATGCTTTCTAGTTTTTGACACAATTAGCAAGTCATTTTTGTTCATTAGCTAACAAATGTGTTGAATACATTAGTTTTGGGGTTTCCTCCTTCAATACATAATGTTCGCTCATGCCCACAAAATTTATTTATTTTTATGTATTTTGCAAGCTAGAAAATGTTTATCATCGTTTATCTATGTACGTAGCTTCTTTGCCTCTGAACTAGTCAGATTAGGACAATGTTATGACAATTTCTAAGTGATTCTTTCCGGACCTGAGATTAGTGAGCTGATGGGCCTATAATAAATATACTAAATAATCCAAGCTCATTAGGGGGCGTTTGGTTGAGGAGAAATTTTATGAATGATAGGGAAATGTTATAGATAGGGAAATGGTTGAAAAGTGAGATAGATAGGAAAATGTAAAAAAAGTTGTTTGGTTGGAAAAAAATTTACCGGAAAAATTAAGTAACTTTTATGAAATCTATGTTTGGTTGTAGATAAAATATAGATGGAAAACAAGTTAATATTACCAAAATAACCCTGTACAGTCATAATTTTTAATCAGTACCCTTTACCCAATTTCATCTCCCAACGTCTATATGTCATCTCCCAACGTCTATTTGCCAAAGACCATATCTTCAAAAAAAATGAAAAAATCTCTTTCCTTGTAATCGATCTGTGTAAAATAAGAAGAAGGAGTGAGAGTGGTGGAGGTGGTGATGATGCACAATAAGACGAAGAAGAAGAAGAAGAAGGGGAAAGTCAAAGCGTAAAAGAGAGACATTAGTTAGAGTGACAAACTAGAGGAAGGAAGAATGCCAAATTTGGTACTAAAAGTTTTGTGACTTTTTTGTTGTGAATTGAAAATCTGGTGTGCATTATGCTGAGCTAGTAATAGTAGTCTCTTTCATGGTTGCAGCTTGCTTGCAGTTGGGGATGGTTAGATTGAGAAATGAGTTAAGAGGGTACCATGGTCATCAATGAGTTGCCAAATTTTCACAGATAGCTAGATAATTCATAATACCATGGTGGAAGTGGGTAAATTTGGCCTGCTTTTTTGGCTCAGATAGCCTTGCAAATGGCTTAACTAGGGAAGTGAGATAGATAGCAATGTAAGAAACCTGTTGAACCAAACATTGTAAACCAACAAACCCACTTCCAATTTACCCATCTTTCTCCACAAAATCCAGGAACCAAACACCCCCTTAGTATCTTAGAATTAATATATATAGAAGTTTACCTTGATGTTTCTGTTATGCATGTATTCAGAATTGGTTAGGGAGAAAAATTTGGAGATCTCTGGGAGTTGAGGTCTCTAGGGGTTTATTTTATGTATTTTATCTTTGTAAGGAGCTTGGCTCCATGTCTGTTTTCATCATTTTCAGAATTATAAAAGTAGGTTCCATCATGAGCTAAGTTGTTAACAAGAAACTGATTGTCCCTCGCCACAAGCACGTCGAGAAATACCAGCTTAATCAGTAGTTTTGAGTTCGAATTTTAGGAATGCCCGATCGGATTAGTTGATTAATTGATAAACTGTTAGAGAAATCTCCAAAAAGAAGCTGAGCGTCACCCCTATCCATTTACAAATATCATAGGTTGACTTCACTAAGTCCTTTGAATCATTAAATTTTCCTGTTGGATCCTTAGGTGTGTCCATAAGTGTTTGGTATAGGAGATATATTTTTTTTATCGGGAATTTTTTTTTCTAAGAATATGGTGGTAAATATTTGTGCCCAAGTAAGTTACGAAAAAGTGTTTGATATGCCAAAATTATACTGGGAAAGTTGAGTTAATTTTACTGATGTTGCGTTTGGTTGGGGATAAAATATTGATGTGATTTTGAAACAAAATGACGATTTCGTGTTTCTTGCCACAAATTTTTAAGACATCTGCATGTCTTATCTTAGGGTAATTTTGTCTAAAAAATGTAAAACACTTTTCATAGTTTATGGGTAAAAACTAAGAGGAAGGTTATACTTACAACATTTTTTTTACGACCTCTTACAACCATATCTTGGCATCGTTGATTTTCGCCATTCAATGATTATGATTTTCGCAAATTAAACTCATTAATTAATTATTAATTCATAATAAATAATAACCGTTGATTGGTGGAAATCAACGATGTTAAGATATGATTATGAGAGGTTGTAAAAAAGAAGTTGTACGTATAACCTTTTTCAAAAACTAATACCACCCTTCAAATGAGATTTTTTTTTCCAATGTCACGTTGAAAAACAGATTCAAGAGAATATTTATATCTAGATTTTTATCTCATTCTCCGTACCAAACATAGTAAACAAAAATTTCACACCCCACTTTCCTAACATATCTATCACATTCTCCGTAGCAAACACCTAAAGGTTTATTATTGGCAATTGATGATAATATCTAAAATCAAATTATTAGCTCGTGATATGAAAAAGAGAAATTTATTTAGAAGTAGATGCAAAACCATAAAATGTGGAAATGTTTCCATTTCTCTCCGTCAAATTCAAAGCATTAAAAGACCATGATCTTTTCCCACTATTCCCATGATAGAGGACTTTCAGCAACATATTTAGGCAAGCTGTTGCAGTTGCCTCCACCATAAACACCCAGACACGAGCGATTCTTGCTCAATAGTGTTTAGCTGCCAAAAACGATGATGATTTACTCTGAAGAAACATCATGTCCTTGTAATAATTTATATTTTTATTTAAACACATATTATCACAACTAGTTGCTGTGGTGTAGTGGTTATCACGTTAGTTTTACACACTAAAGGTCCCCAGTTCGATCCTGGGCAGCAACATAAGTTTCCTCATGTTTTTCGCCTTTCTTATCTCTCATTTTTTCTTTTTCTTTTTGCCAAAAAAGAATTTTCCAGAGGGGTTCTCTACAATTGTGAAAAGTTAGATTTCAGATGGTTTTTCAAAAGGTTACACAACCCTTTTCAAATTGTTAAAACATTGTTGACACCAACGGCTTTCCAAATTGTGTAATGGGTAGATATATTTGCTTTGAAGTAAAATTAACCAAGGGCCCGTAGAATAGTGAAAAAAATAATGAGAAGTTCAAGCTAAATTACCAAAAGCTAGGTGAATAAATAAATAAAACTATAAAGTGCGAGGATGGAATTATCTAATGTAACATTTTTAATGAACTTATTCCAATCCCAACGAGTTTATCAGATTAAGGATGCTAATTGGAAGTAAATTTCAATTTTCAAATTGCGTTGGTCAATCCTGCATTCATTACATAGCAAGCAACTATGAAGAACAATTGTGTCATCAAAGTGGGCTAAGGATATAACTTAGGAAGAAATATTTGTCCTTTTAAATGACACAACTTGTATTATTTCATTCTCACAAAGAGATGAGACTCACTTTTTTGTCCACTCTCTCACCCCCATAATCTATCTCTTTTTCTCACTTAAAATAACACAACTTTACACTCTTTAAAATAACACACACTTTTTCCTATAACTTAAAGCCATGAAAGTAACCACGTTTGGAGATTGAAATGTCAGTGCAGTGTCAAAAGACAAATCTATCATGAAGAATAATTCTTCAGTTGCAAAGCACAAAATCCATTTGGCCATATGGGAAAATTCCAAATTTTCTCGAACAAACTAACTGCCTGTCATTCACCACCAGATAGAAAATTGGAAGAGTAGCTCAATAACTTTAACAAAATCTAGGAAGCCCCGGTTTAGACTATAGTTGTCCAACGACCAAATTTCCCGGATTCTCTGTTTTCAGACAACATGAAGCTTCTAGAATCTCAAGGCAAAAAGGCATAAGGAATCATGCTGTTAAGTGTTACCCCCAAAATGAACATAAACCATGCTTATGCAAAGCAGATTGTAAGAAAACAACATAAATTCCTACAAAAATGTAGCCTATAAAGAATGGTTAAATGTACGCCTTTTTTGTAAAATTAGGTTGTTTTCACTATGCAGAAGTGCCAGGCATATCCTCCGGCGGGTAAATTGGTTCCACCGGTTGTGACCTCGGCTTCTGAACAGGGGTAGGCTTTGGTGGCCTGTTTGGACAAACTTTATCAACTTTATCAGGTTTAATGTCAAACTGAAACATGCAAGATACACAATTGGGTTATTACATGTTAAAGTTTGAATACATCCTTCAGAATTATGTAGAGCTGTGCAAATTCTTGACATTCAATAAAAAGCGAAGTTTTATACTTGCAATATGACAAATCAAATAAATCGGCCATTCAACAGTAACGGCTTATAATAAATGGGAAAATTACTTAAAAACAAGAGGAAAAAATATATTGGTATATTAATGATACTCTATGCCTATAATCTGATCTTCTCCATCGATTTAGCAAATCTATTGATGAATCACATTCAGTTTTCAATGGCTTTATATGTGAAATATGTTATGAATAGAGGAACATATCAGTTTTCTTTTACTAAATATTTCTCAAAAACTTAAAAGCTGAAACCAGGAAAATGAAAGAAACCATTTTGTTGCTCAACCGGAGAGTTGTAAGTTTATGTGATGGAATTGTAAGTGGATAGCCTTCAGATGTTTCGGGAAGAAAGTTCTAGGGTGCATTTCTATATTCAACTTCTCAGATAAAAAACATGCAATCCATTGAATAGCATTGGGCTGATTTGTGACACGGAAATCCTGTTAACCATACAAAGGACCGTGTCCTCTCCAGCTATGGGCAAGACAAGGAATATGGATGTAAAGTCGCGCTATAAGAAATTTAAAAAAAAATCACAATTATTATATGGTTCCTTTCATTTTATTTACCAGATAAATACATGCAAAAAATTGGTTCTGTGAAGCAAGGATGGGGGGAGTCCAAAAAGCATTCATGGAAAGCATCATTCCCTTTGTGATCATTGAAAAGATTCTCAGGCCTAAAAGCCCCTTTTTTTTTTATTTTGTTTTTTTAAAAGAGCGGGGAGCTGGGGGTGCATATAACAATTTAACCAAGATTTAGGTCCTTGAAATGAAACTGACCTTATAACCGCAGCCAGATACACAGGCATGGAAACATTCCTGTACAGGAAGGGAATAACCATCATTAATTTGAAAATAAAATTATTCCATAATTAATCTCAAGCCATTAAAGAATATCAAGTAAGTTGTAATTGATTGCCAGCAGGCATATTTATTAAAAGTTCTGACTATCCCCCATGTGTTATGGGTATCCCACTTCCCTGCATACGGATATTAAGATTTTGAAATGACGAGGTATTAAAAAACAAAGCTAAAATATATTTCAAATTTCATACAAAGAAAGTGAATTATGACAAATCAGAAAGCCAAAGAATATGGCTCAACCTGCTACTCTTGAATGAAAATATTATTTTATTATCAATTAAAAAGAAGAAGGAAAGAATAATCATTAATGAATTATATCTCCTTTACTCTCAATCCTTGACCAAACATTTTTTATTTTTAAAATAAATGACTTAGTAATGCCACAACACCTATGAATGCATAAATTGGATGTTCTCACTCCTGCGCCCTGTAAGGAGATGCCATGTTGTTACTTACAAAATTCTCACTTACAAACTAAATGTCAAAAAAGATATCATTTGAAATTTTGTATATTGTTGGAACAGGCACAGCATCAAAGGGGCTGAATTTTTGGAAGGGGACTCTGAACAGATAATGCACAGAGATTTTTAAAAAAATTTGACCTCCCAAATCTGTCTAACCTTCAGAGATGAAAATAAGATTCCTCAAACTGGACAATAGACTAGCTTTATGCCCATTTCTGGTGCTGGGTATAAACAACTAGTTGATTGACCCCACTAAAACAAATCAAGCAGTATAATTTAATCAATTGTAGCTCATTCTTTCGAAAGCACAGACCAAAATGCTTTCAAACCAAACGCTGACACCTCATTCGAAAAATATAATAAAGAGCTGCAGATTTTGGGATTGAAACAAGAATGTACCATTGGTACAAAACATAACAGGATGCTATAAATGTCTATCTAGTGAGCCCTGGGGTTTATATTTAGCCGTAAGTCAGAAGCATTTGGTAAGAAAATAAGGGGAAATAGTATTTTTCAGAGTGCATAGCATTTTTCAGTGTTCTGTTTTCCACTAAATACAACTACAATTGATAGGGTATGCACCAATATTTTGCCTACAGTTTATGCACAAAACTAAAAGCCGAGACTAGTACGTTTGGGAAGATAAATCTCTTACTGAGAAAGGGGCTTTAACGCATGCTTATGAAACTGGATGGGTGTGGATTGTACAATTTTAAAGTTGATATAAAATTTTGATTTGGACAAAACTTCAACGTGGTAAATCGTAATTTATCCTTAAAAATTTGAGATTAAAGGAAAAGTGTTGGTAGAATAAACCCAAACCAGCATTAAACCAAGTTGCAATTTGGAATCACTAAAATGGAAACTTGACAAGTAAAAGAAGAATGGGAGAATAGAGAGTACCTCTGAATAACTGGCAGCACCAGGAGAACGATCAATATAAGCACTCCACTGCTTGTCCTTTAGTACAGGGTCCTTGTAACATATTTGATTGCACTCCTCCAAGCCTGGTTAAACAATAATCTATCATTCATACATCAGAATCAAGTTCTGTCAGTCAACTTGTAAGTGCTACTTTTAGAATCACAGTTTGAGTTTGAAAGCCAAACTCATATATCAAGGTTTATTGCATAGTCAAGGAATCCAAAGTATGCTAAGATCCCTGACCATAAAAGGATCTAGACCAGGCTCCTATTTCTGTATTGCATCTCTATGTGTCCAAGTCTGATGAGTGGAGCAGCCACTGAGTCACTAGCATGCTTGAGGACCCACCCCTTAGGGAGAAGGGCTTCAAGTTCCACATCGGAGGTAGAGTATTTTGTTTACGTTTAGCATTCGGGAAATTCAAGCTACCACCCACATTAGGTGGCTTTGTCAGATTCCCTTTGGCCAAAAAAGACAAAGACTAGACTCCTATTTAAAGTAGTTTTCCTAAGGGTACGGTCTACTACTAATTAATGCTTTGGGAGGATTTTCATTGATGCAAGGCATAATCATATCCTTTATCAGAATGTGGCAAGAAGAAAACTGATATGAATCAAGTGAGTTTAAAGATAATGATTCTCGAAAATGTGAGCTAAAATTATGTGTTTAATCAGCCAACTAGTCCTGCAATCTACAGAGGCAAAATCATAGTTTGACCTGGCATGTGCATTTTGAGCTGCTTCCATAGCAAAAGTTAACATGTTCTTGTGATGTGGTGCATCAAGAAAATACTAATCGGTTAAATTTCTTTATTGCTAAAGTGGTTTAGCTGTTTAAGAAGTGGATCCAAACTCCAACACTTAACCAAATTGCCAAAGGTAAAACCTTTCATTGAAGCAATTATTATGCTCCTCTAGAAAGAATTGTTAAATAAAAACAAATTTTACAATTATTTTAAAGCAACTTATTAAGGATAGGAAAGAACAATTGCTCAGTCACTATTAGTATTGATGCAGAAACACAGGAAACTGAAATCTATAAACCCTGAATTCTCAGTGAATAGTAATAACTTTTTTCTGCATAGACATTGATAAGGAAAAATTAATAAAGCAGCAAAATGATCTCACATTCCTCCCAGGTCTCTCCGTCAGAAGTGCACCCCTTTTTGCAGAATACTCGCCCTACAATAACAAAAGAAGTGTTTGATGTTAAGTAAGTGCTAAAACAAACACAAACAATGAACTTTGAGTACAGATCCAAAACCATCTAAAACCAGAATAAGCTCACAAAAAGACCCCCTTATTCTATCAAGTGACTAATTATAGTGAAAGCCTAAAGTATCAATGGCAATCTTGTAAATGCATAACACAATAATTGTATCATCATAACTCTACTAATAACACTTACTCATGACTGAGTAACTAACAAGCACTCATCCATAGGCGAATGCAGGGTTCCATTTTGGCGTTGTTAAGAAATTATTGGTTTTATGATAACAAATTGTCTTAATTTGCTACCCATAAAAAAGAACAACTTGATTGAGTAATGTATTGTGCAACCAAGCATATCCAGAATGAACAATACACCACAATCTATCTATAAAAGTGAAAAAAAAAAAAAAAAAAAACAAATGAAACTGAATTGAATAATTCCACCATAATGTAGCCATATAAAATAAAAATAAAAAAAATGAGGTAATGGTGAAAAAGTGAGAGAATACATGGGATTTGAGTAAGGGCAGCGTATTTATGGGTGCATTGATTTCCACAAGGGGATGCCCACTGCTGCGGCATCATCCTCTCTTCAATAATCTGATTCTCCAAAACGAAACTATTCCTTACTCGACAATGGAACACGACATTTGTTTAGTATCATCATCATTCAACTCCATAACCATAACCGCGCTTCTTGTCCCAATTTCGGTTCGGACCAGTCATTTGTGGATCACAGATCAGCAATTTCGGTCCTTTTTTAATTTATTACTCCAAATTTTTTATAAATGGAAATAGACGGTCTCTTGTAAATTTTAATTTTTTTTTTTAATCTAACTCTTCAAAATTATTCATATATATGAAGAAAAAAAAATAGATATAGAATTTTCACTTTATAATATCCATTCCCTGTACAAATATCTTAGATAGTATTTTTTTATTTATAAAATAAAGACACTTTTATTACAATAATAAAAATATTATCTTATATATTTAATTTTTTTTAGAGTTACCCAACCTTAATTATCTCTTTGAGACAAAAATATTGTAAAAGAAGGTGAAATTAAATTCTTATTATCATTTTTTTTTAATTTTAAATTTTAAATTTCGAATGATCCATTAACTCGACTGTTGGGTGGAGTTAAATGCGTTCAACCATGGCTTGATGGAGCCAGACACATGCTTCAGGTTAAATGCGCTCACCGAACCTATTGAGTGTAGTTAATATTTTTTTTTTGTCAGCTTCATTTTCATACCAAGCTTCAATTTTACTTTTGTAATTAATAATGAATAACCAAAAACAATAATTGAACTTGTCAAAAAGATATAACTTCAAAAATTATACTAACAATTTTTTAAAGGGAAAAGTGTTTGTCATTTTAAATGATATAAAGTTATGTCATTTTAAGAGAGAGATAGACACAGAAAAATATTTTTTTATTTAAAATTTAAATTAAAAAATCCACTCACTTTCTCTTATATGATTTTCATTCCTTGTGTCTATCTCTCGTAAAATAACATAACTTATGTTATTTAAAATGACAAACACCAAATCTTTTTTTAAAATATAAAACTATTTAATAACTTTGTTAATCTTCTAACTGTGAAACAATCTTGAATTCAGAGAATATATGATGTTGTAAATAATAATTATTTAGTCATTTATTTGTTGTATTGGGCCAAACCCATTAGGTCAAAATTAGGTCAAGTATTCTCTATAAATAGATAACCTTTTGTATAGATTATTTACAATTCTATAATATATTAGAATACCTTTTTTCAAGTTGGTATCAGAGCTCTCAATCTGAGGGATTTGCTTCCGCACATATTATCTTCTTTTTTTAACAAAACCCTAATTTCTTTGCCTCTTGCCGCCATCAGCCGCCACCAGAAATTTTTTCTGGGGACCTTTTGGACCAAGGGGACCATTGTTGACCTTATTTTTCCTTTGTTCTATCATTCTACGCACTATTCCTCCGCCACAAATGACCCAAACACTTCTGACCACCTCCAATCATATCTGTCTTCACCGTTTGGATCACTTTCCGGTGACTTTTCAACCGCGACCACCCACAGACAGGCGCGCGCTCACCGGACGACCACACCAGAAAAATCTCAGCCGGAGAAGCCCCTCCACGCGCTCTGACGCGCCGCCCTTTTCCGGGCGAGTGAAGCCCACGCGCAGCTCCTTTTTCCGGCGCGTGGAGGTGCGTGCAGCCGTGTTTTTGGACCGGACCACCACCATTCTTCTCGTCTTCTTGTCTTCTGTCTGGATCTGTGATTATTTTTCTGATCAGAGGTCATTTGATATTCTGTTTGGTTGATTTATCGCTGGTTGTTAACTTTTTTTGTTAAAAGATGGCTGAGCATGATAGTTCTTTGATCTTATCTGGTAAGAGCACACGTTCTAGATCTCTTCTTGCTTCTTGCACTGATTTTAAAACCTCATGGATTTTGGATTCTGGTGCAACTGATCATATGGCTTGTCGTACTGAGTTGTTTTGTTCTTATCATCCTACTGTTGGTAGTCATACTATATCCGTAGCTGATGGATCCCATAAATCAGTTATTGGTTCTGGTAACATTCAAATTCAACCTTCCTTGTTTCTTAAAAATGTTCTTTATGTTCCTCAGCCTTCTACTAATCTTATCTCCACTCAAAAACTTACAACTGATTTGAATTGTTCTATCACATTTTTTCCTTCTCATTGTGTTATTCAGGATCTTACCACGAAGAAGACAATTGGAGTTGCTAATGAACAGGATGGGTTGTATCATCTCCTTCCAGACCAAGCTAGCAAAAATTAGTTATTAATGACACGTCATCCTTCTACTGCAGAGTCTATGATTTGGCTCCATCATAAGCGTCTGGGGCATCCACCATTTAGTCTTTTGAAGTCTATGTTCCCCTTTCTGTTTCTCAATAAGTCGGTTGAGACCTTTCATTGTGATGTTTGTGAATTTGCAAAACACCATCGAGTGTCATTTCCTTCTAGCACTATTAAAAGCAGGGAACCTTTTTCTCTTATCCATTCTGATGTTTGGGGCCCTTCTAAAGTGCACAATGTTTCAGGTGTAAGGTGGTTTGTTTCTTTTATTGACGATTGTACTCGGATAACATGGATATACTTGATGAAAGACAAGTCTGAAGTACCAGAGATATTTATTCGGTTTCATCACATGGTTGAGACTCAGTTTGGTAAGGTTATTAAAAAACTCAGATCTGATAATGGTACTGAGTACGTCAATCAACGCCTGTCACAATTCATTTCAGACAGAGGTATGATTCATGAGCTCACATGTGTTGATACCCCTCAACAAAACGGGGTTGCTGAAAGGAAAAATTGTCACCTTCTTAAAGTTGCTAGAGCACTACTTTTCCAGACATCTGTTCCTAGTTCTTATTGGGGAGAAGCAGTGTTAGCTGCAACTTTTTTGATCAACCGTTTACCTTCACGGGTCCTTAACAATATCAGTCATATTCATTCCATGACTTCCTTCTTTCCTTCTGTTCCCATATTGCAGAGCCTTCCACCAAGAGTGTTTGGATGTGTTGCCTTTGTCCATGTTCATAAACAACATCGGAGTAAGTTGGATCCTAGGGCTCTTAAGTGTGTCTTCCTTGGTTATACCCCTTATAAAAAAGGGTACAAGTGTTATCATCCACCAAGTCGAGAATTTTTTGTTTCTATGGATGTCACCTTTCAAGAATCTGAATCTTATTTCCTGGGTCCTCATCGTCAGGGGGAGAACAGTTCTTCAGAAGACTAGTCCCCTTCCTTCTTTGAGTCTGGACCAATCTTCTCTCTTCCTAGTGTGTCAGAACCTTCAAATACACCTGAGATACGGAAAATTTTGACACCTGAATTGGTATATCAGAGGAGGAAACAACCCATATTGTCTCACCAGCAACCTCAATCGTCTGAACCACTGGTAAGTCCTGAATCTCCTATTTCTTCTGAGTCTCCTGAATCTTCTGTTTCTGATTCTAATATTATTTCCTTTCATGATTTGTCTATTTCTTCTGATATCTCTAATGACTTACCCATTGCTTCTACTTCTGATGACTTACCTATTGCTCTTAGAAAAGGAAAAAGATCTTGTCACAAGAAAACTTGTTCCTCCTGTCCCTCTTGTACTCAATACCATATCTCCCACTTTGTTTCCTCTGCTAATCTTTCTGTGCAGCACAAAAACTTTGTTTCAACACTAGATTCTATTGCAATCCCAAAATCAGTACATGAAGCCTTGAAATATAGGAATTGGGCTCAAGCCATGCAAGAGGATGAATGCTTTGGAGAAAAATAAAACATGAGAGGTTATTGATAGACCCAATGGAAAGAAAGCAGTAGGGTGCAGATGAGTTTATGCCCTGAAATATAATTCTGATGGCACTCTTGAGAGATATAAGGCTCGATTAGTGGCCAAAGGTTACACTCAAACCTATGGCATTGATTATGAAGAAACCTTTGCTCCAGTTGCAAAGATGAATACAGTGAGAATCTTGTTATCCCTTGCCGCCCATTACAATTGAGATATAAATCAATTTGATGTGAAAAATGCTTTCCTCAATGGTGAGTTAGAAGAAGAAGTCTACATGAAAATTCCGCCTGGTTTTGATTCTGTGAAGGGGGAAAATAAAGTTTGTAGATTAAAAAAGGCCTTGTATGGATTGAAGCAGTCACCTCGTGCTTGGTTTGGAAGATTTACTAAGGTTATGATGACCTTAGGATACAGACAGAGTCAAGGAGATCACACTCTTTTCTTCAAGCACTCCCAAAATGGGAAGCTTACTGTGCTCCTTGTATATGTTGATGATATTATTATCACAGGTGATGATTTTGTGGAGAGATAGATTCTGCAAACACGGCTTGCCTCTGAGTTTGAAATCAAAGACCTTGAGAAACTGAGATATTTCCTAGGGATAGAAGTAGCTCATTCAAGCAAAGGAATTACTACCTCGTTATTCCTGGACTCTGTATTAGTAGTCCCCTCTTTAGAATTTAATCTCTTATCTGTTTCCAGAATTACTACCTCTTTGAATTGCACTATTTCTTTTTGGCCTGATTTTTGTGTGTTTCAGGACATCTCAACCCGGATGACAATTGGTTATGGAGTTAGACATGGAAAGCTCTATTTTTTGGATTTAAGTCACGACTTTATTCCCACTTCTGTCAAGTCTTTCAATACAACTGCTATCGATCAAGCCTCTGCCTCGGTGTGGTTATGGTATCGAAGATTAGGACATCCCTTATTTCCCTACTTACAAAAATTGTTCCTCAATTTATTTTCGCTTTTGAATAAAACAGATTTTCAGTGTAATATCTGTGAACTGGCCAAGAGCCATCGTGTTCCCCACCCTCCAAGTATCAATAAAAGTCAGGTTCCATTTCAAGTTATTCATTCGGATGTTTGGGGTCCATCTCGGGAACCCTCCTTGTCTCAAGCACGTTATTTTGTTACTTTTATTGACGAATGCACAAGATTGACTTGGGTCAGTATTTTAAAACAAAAAAGTGAGGTTTTTACTGTTTTTAAACGCTTCCACTCTATGATTTTCACTCAGTATCAATCTCACATTCAAATCCTACAAACTGACCATGGAACCGAATACACACATCACAATTTTAACTCTTTTTTGCTTGACAACAGAATCAAACATCAAAAATCCTGCACATATACTCCACAGCAGAATGGCCTAGCTGAAAGGAAAAATAGGCACTTGCTTGAGGTTGTTCGAGCTTCTTTCTTTGGTATGCAAGTTCCTAAACGGTTTTGGGGAGAGGCAGTCCTCTCTGCTGCATATCTTATCAATCGGACACCCTCTAGTGTCCTTGGTTTCCAAACTCCTCAACAAACACTTGAATCCTTCTTTTCCATCCCTCATATTCCAAATTTAGAACCACGAATTTTTGGTTGTAGTGCCTATGTTCACACTCCTAAACCCTTCACAAGTTAGATCCTTGTGCTACTAAGTGTGTTTTTGTAGGATACTCTGACTCTCAAAAAGGATACAGATGCTTTGATCCAGTTCTACACAAACTACATGTTACAATGGATGTCTCCTTTCACGAATGGGAACCTTTTTTTTCAGGGGGAGTCCTGAGTCCTTCACCTCAGGGGGAGACGCCTTCTGATGATTATCTTGGAGGAGAAGTACTGTTACAATTGAGTCCTCACTTAAACACACATCCTACAGTCGAACCTACATCTGAGGAAATCCATCAAGACACCATAATGAATTCACAAGCTGAAACTCCACTTCTAACTCCAATAACCGAAGCTGCATCCAGAGATGTTCCTGAACAGCAATCCGGAGATACTTTTGAACAACAACCGATTCTCATTGAGGTAATATCTGAACCAAATACTCTTCTTCCTTCTATTTCGAATGTTCCTGACAACACCATTCCTGAACCTCCTCCTTCCTCTAAACCTTCTACTCGGCATTCCCTAAGACCAACCAAAGGAATCCCAAAAAAATTGTATGAACTAGATCTACAAGCTAAGGCAAAATATCCTATTAGCAATTATGTTTCAACTCACAAGTTATCTAACTCATATGCCCTATCTGTAAACCAATTATCTACTGTATGCATACCTAACAATGTGCAGGAAGCTCTTGAAGATCTTAAGTGGAGAGAGGCCATGAACATTGAAATGGAGGCATTGAAAAAAAACTCAACCTGGGAGCTTGTTTCTCTACCTAAAAACAAGAGAACAATTGGTTGCAAGTGGGTGTATGCTGTAAAACTGAGAGCAGATGGTAGCATTGACAAATATAAAGCACGGCTAGCAGCAAAAGGATTCACCCAAAAATATGGCATTGACTACCAAGACACCTTTGCTCTGGTAGCCAAGTTGAACACCATTTGTATCCTCCTTTCCCTTGCAGCAAATAGAGATTGGCCCCTCAAACAGTTTGACGTAAAAAATGCATTTCTGAATGGAGATCTCAAGGAAGAGGTGTATATGGATATACCACCTGGAAGTAATACACAGCCAGGCAGGGAATCAAAGGTTTGCAGATTGAAAAAGGCACTGTACGACCTTAAGCAGTCTCCTAGAGCTTGGTTTGGGAGATTTTCATCGGTCATGAAGAACTTTGGGTACAATCAAAGCAATGTTGACCACACCTTATTCATAAAACGTCAAAATGGAAAGATCACAACCTTGATTGTGTACGCGGATGACATGGTGCTTACTGGAGATGATTTGGAAGAAATGAAAAAATTGGAAAAACACTTGAACACTGAGTTTGAAATGAAAAACTTGGGGGAACTCAAGTACTTCCTTGGAATTGAGATCTCAAGATCAGAAAAAGGTATCTCACTTTCCCAAAGGAAATATATTTTAGATCTTCTGACAGAAACCGGAATGTTGGACTACAAACCAATCGAACTCCTATGGAAATGAATCACATGTTAGGCATCTATTCTGACCAAGTAGCTGCTGATGTGGGAAGATATCAAAGATTAGTAGGAAGATTAATCTACTTATCCCACACTAGACCTGATATTGCATATGCAGTAAGTGTGGTAAGTAGATTCATGCATTCCCCTAGTAGTGATCATATGGCTGCAGTGGTTCGGATCCTAAGATATTTAAAAGGAACAGTGGGAAAAAGGTTACTGTTTAAGAAAAACAGCACATCCTCCATTGAAGGCTATAGTGATTCAGATTGGGCAGGTGACAAAACAACTAGGCAGTCAACCTCATGATACTTTACATTTGTGGAAGGGAACCTTGTCACTTGGAAAAGTAAAAAACAAAAGGTAGTTGCTCGATCAAGTGCAGAAGCAGAGTATAGAGGAATGGCACAAGGAGTGTGTGAGTTTCTTTGGATCAAACGAGTCCTACAAGATCTCGGGTTGTTTCAAGATCAAATTATGAACTTACATTGTGACAACAAGGCTGCCATAGAAATTGCTCATAATCCCATCCAACATGATAGAACCAAACATGTTGAAGTTGACAGACACTTTATAAAGGAAAAGCTAGATGAAGGCACAATTCACTTTCCTTTCATTAAGTCTGAAAAACAACTCGCTGATGTTCTCACCAAGGCAGGATCGGTAAAAACGTTTCAAGAATCAATAGATAAGTTGGGAATGATTGATATTTTTGCACCAACTTGAGAGGGAGTGTTGAAATATGATATTTAAAATTTAAAATAGAAATTAGTTGTGATCTAAGTTGTTGTTTACTGTTATGTATATTTGGTTTGTTTGTAACAAGATGAGATCAGGTTGTTTAGGATAGTTTCCTTCTTAGTAGCAAGTTGTTGCTCTGTTTTGTATTTATATGAAACCCCTTGCTGAGGGTGAAAACAATTGAATAGATGAATTCACCATTGATACAAGTTTTAACAACCTTCTTATCCTGTGCATCAAACAAGCTATTTATCCTATCTTGTGCATCAAACGAGCTAGCTATTACAATGAGAAAATTAATAGGGGTGTTTATGAACCCGATCTAAATCGATTCAAACTGCGATAATCGAATCCAAAAATCGGTAATTGAATTAACTGAAAATCGAAAAATCAAAAACAAAAAAAACTGCATATTTTAATTGGATTGGATTGGATCGATTTTCTATTTGGTTGGTCAAAACCATCCAATCTCAACCAATTCAATGTATTATATATTTATTATTTGGGGAAGGATATTGTGACAACCAAGTTGTGTTACTACCAAATGACTACCAATGAATCTCACTGTTAGATCGATTATGTGGATCCAATAGTTATATTTATTTCCATCTTTGTATTGTCATGATTTCCCAAATTTAATACTTTATATTTATTTTCACCTTTGCATGGTTATGATTTCCCATATTTAATGCTTTCACTTTAAATATGAGGAATCATGACCATACAAAGATGGAAATAAATATAACCGTTGGATCAACATAATCGATCTAACGGTGAAATTGATTGGTAGTCACTTGGTAGTAACATAACTTGGTTGTCACAATATCCTTCCCCTTATTATTTTTGAAAGATAGTGAGTTTGAATCTTGTTGTTTCTAGACTTGAAATATTGGATATTATTGATAGCAAATTACTTTGTTTTTATTTTTTTATTGTCTATTAATCTATTTTAACTCTTTATGAATTTGAAGACTTGTTTTAGTTTCAAGACTTAAATTTTTCAGTAATTTGTAACTTTGAATGACTTAATTTTAATATAGCTAGTGATTTAATTGTAATATAGCTAGTGATTTGTATAACTAAAATTTTAGATTTTTTGAAAAATTGAAAATCGATTCAATACAAACCGAATTAATTGGATTGGATCAGATTTAAAAAAAAAATCAAAACGAATGAATAATCAAATGATCAAACAAATGTAATTGAATCAGATAATTTTTGTTTTAAAACCGATCAAATCCACATCTCGAACACCACTAACAAATTAAGTAGCAAGTAAAAAAAAAAACATTATAAAAATGAAATGGAAACAGACAACAACCTTTGTGGGTCGTCCATGTGCGGAGCGAAGTTTGTGCGCTCCGAGAGCAAAAAAAATTTAGGGTGATAGAAGTGAGAGAAAAAGAAAAAAAGTTGAGAAGAGAGAAAAAAAATTTGGTCAATATATCAATCTTTTTAGTAGAAGGATGACTAATAATTATACTCCTAGACCATATTAAAAAATTCGCCAGCTGCGCCATGTCCTATTTTCACTTATCTTAAAAAACGTGGAACTTAGTGAACGGGAAGGGGTGTTTTTTTTATTTTCTCTTTTAATATTCTCCATGCGTTAATATCTTTTGACTTTAGAAGTGAATATACATTATCTGTACTCTCTGTTGTGTCGTTTTTACCATTATCAAAAGTGAGCACAGTACTGAGAAATGGAGAGGCTACTATGGAGGATATTACCTTTGCTAGCACTCCTCGTTTCCTTCGTAATATTCTTCAACATGCAGGATTCTTACCGGGCCGAAGTATCTCCTCTCATAAAGGTTCACAATCATTTCACTTTTCCCCGCTTTGATTCTTTTTTATGTTGTCTTTTTTAATTCATGATTATGTTTGCAACACCAATAAAAATTAGTAACCTTTTGGGACAACTGTGACTTCAAACTTGTTCAGTAAACTTATTATTGTTTTTCTTTTTGATAAAATATATATAATTACTGGACTTTTTGAAATTTTTGTTATAATAATCTCAACTGCCATTGTGAAAAGATCTTTAAGCGGAAGAGGGTGTGTGTTTTATTGTTATGTTATGGGGGTTGAATGATGCCTTTTTTGTGCAACAGTTATCAGGTGATGAGTGCAGCCTTCTTCCCCATCGTCATTACTGGATATCCAGCAAGCGCATTGTGACCCCACAAGGGATCATCTCTGGTTCAGGTTTTGTTTTTTAATCCTTGATCATTATATTTTTCTTGGGTATGAATCATCTCATATCTTATTTTAACATGACCATGTCATATGCAAAATTTCACCATTTATTCATAAATAACAGTTACAATTTTAATGAAGAAGTTCATAAAACAAAAAAGTGGAAATTATCACTTAAATTGCTGACGGTTTACAAGTATAAGTGGTTGAGATCTTCCACATGACATAGTTATGCTTAAACAAGACATGAGAAGATCCTTTCCCATTTTTCTTTTACTACTTTCATTTTGTCCCGTGAGGTTGTGGGAAAAGATCCAAGATAAGTATTTTCATTCTCCAAAAATCCTACCAAAATAAAGGACAGAAAGAAAGAGGGATACACTTGAGGTGAAGACACTTGAGGTGAAGTTCTAGGGACTCACGTGAGTGGCTCTAAAATCAATTCATTGACCATATTTTGTCTTGACCATTTGTTGTTTTTAATTTTACATCTAAATCTTTCACCTGGCTATCACTGTGTACATATGTTAATTGATTTTATTTGTGAACCATTAACAGTGGAGATAAATGAAGGGAAGATCGTATCTATTGTTGAGGGATACAGTAAGCAAGGGAATTCTATGCATGAAGAAGTAATTGATTATGGAGAGGCTGTTGTTATGCCTGGCTTGATCGATGTGTAAGATGTGCCAATCATCGTGTGGTTTATTTCTTTCACTGTTCTGTAGATGCATGTTCTAGATACTTCAATTGTGGATAGCATAGTATGATAAGAACTCTGGATACGCAGAATTCAGAAATGCTTCTGAAAATAGGTGAAAGCTATGGTATGGACTAACTTTAAGAATAAGATATCCTTGTTCTTAGACATTTTGGTTAGACCTTTTTGTGGATCACACAATCGGTGAGGCTATACCTTGTCACATGAATGTAAATGAGTTGAAGTATTCATGAGCTATTCGAGCACTTGAAGTATTCATGAGTAGCTTATTTTTTTCCTCAATCCAAGCCTGAGCATTAAGTGCTCGACTTGATTTACACCTGTCCTATATTCTCACTTCTCGAGCTACAAATCTTGTATCTCGTGCTAAAAATGCTTATTTAATATAAATTACATGGTAAAATAGAGTTGTGGAGAGAAGTTTCGGAATCATATGGTTTCTGTTTAAACAGAATTAAGACTAAGCATATGGAACGTAGGTTAGCAAGACATGCATCAACATTTTCATGGAGATGAAAATTGGAAATTGTAACGCCCGGCCACTTCAAGAATTAACGACTATCCCCATACTAGTACGAGACTTTTCAGTGTGCTTTTTCCTCACTCGCAGACTTCCCGAAAAAACTTCCTAGGAGGTCACCCATCCCAGAATTGCTCCAAGTCAAGCACGCTTAATTGTGGAGTTCTTCCGTTCCGGGCTACCGAAAAACAGATGCATCTTGTTAGTATAGGTAGTACCAATTAATTCTTATAAGCTATCCCAAACTGTGCAGTCTCATACCTGCACAGTCTTTGCCCTCGTCAGCGCTTAGGATGTTACATGCCCACCAGCTTCCGCCTATTTCGTCCTCGAACCACACCGTACTGGAAGAGAGGCCCTGCTCTGATGCCACTTGTAACGCCCGGTCACTTCAAGAATCAATGACTATCCCCATATACTAACACGAGACTTTTCAGTGTGCTTTTTCCTCACTCACACACTTCCCGGGAAAACTTCCCAAGAGGTCACCCATCCCAGAATTGCTTCAAGTCAAGCACGCTTAACTATGGAGTTCTTCCGTTCCGGGCTACCGAAAAATAGATGCATCTTATTAGTATAGGTAGTACCAATTAATTCTTATAAGCTATCCCAAACTGTGCAGTCTCATACCTGCACAGTCTTTGGAATCCCTCTCTTTCGGGTGTCGATTCGATTCATTCATGCATGTAACCCCCCACTGGAAGCCTGTCAAGAGCCGCTCCTTGTCCGTGCCTCTTTCCCCGCCCTCGTCAGCGCTCAGGATGTTACATGCCCACCAGCTTCCGCCTGGTTCGTCCTCGAACCACACCGTACTAGAAGAGAGACCCTGCTCTGATACCACTTGTAACGCCCGACCACTTCAAGAATTAACGACTATCCCCACATACTAACACGAGACTTTTCAGTGTATTTTTTCCTCACTCGCACAATTCCCAGGAGGTCACTCATCCCAGAATTGCTCCAAGTCAAGCACGCTTAACTGTGGAGTTCTTCTGTTCCGGGTTACCGAAAAGCAAATGCATCTTGTTAGTATAGGTAGTACCAATTAATTCTTATAAGATATCTCAAACTGTGCAGTCTCATACTTGCACAGTCTTTGGAATCCCTCTCTTTCGGGTGTCGATTCGATTCATTCATGCATGTAACCCCCCGCTGGAAGCTTGTCAGGAGCCGCTCCTTGTCCATGCCCTTTTGTACCGGCGATCACTCCCCGCCCTCGTCAGCGCTTGGGATGTTACAAAAATCATACCATATCACAAGTAGTCTAGTTTTGGTATTTTGGATCTATCATACTAATTAACAGGGAGATAGAGGGAGATGTAAATCATGGGATTCAAGTTGGATACATATAAATGGAGGAATGCTTTAGGTGTTATTTATGATCGAAGGTGTCACTTAAGTCTAAAGGAAAACTTTTCCACACTGACATAATACTATCATTCCTTTACAATACTGAATGTTGTGCAGTAAAGTGCCAACAAGAGCATAAGCTTAGTGTTGTGGTGTTGCGAATGTTGCAATGGAAGAATGGACAAACAAGAATGAATGTATTAGAGAGAAAGTAGGAGTAGCACATATCGAGGAAAATATGATAGAATTGCTCGGCTAGTAAAAGCACCCTTAAGAAGAGTTGATCAAATGGAGGATAACCAATAATTAGAGGTAGATGAAGACCAAGAAAATCTCTTAAGTTAAACTATTGAAAAGGACTGAGATCTAAATGGTCTATTTGTTCCCACCCAGTGAGACAAGGATTTTTGTTGTTATAATAAAAAATATTAAACTTACATGGGAAATGTAGTTCTAATAGGGTTTTCTTGATTAAGTTGTCTCAATAATCTTTGTAGCAATCGTTGTAAGTAAGATTCATTTGGAATAATCAGATTGAGGCATGAGGCATTATAAAAGTTGCAGACTCGCTAAGAAGATTATATAAATGTAGGAACTGAAAATAGGATTTACTTCCTGCTAGAATAAGTTCTTCCTTTCTTAATTATTATTATTAATTTTCTATGCTATAACTTGTGCTTCATGAACACCTTAGATTTAATGTAATAAAGGAAACTAGGGAAAAGAACAAGACTAGAACAAAAATGAAAAAGGATGAAGAAAACAGTTTCATGTCCTTTTTGTTTGGTTAATTTTTAGAAAATTTTATTACAAATTTGGAATGCTATACTAGAAGAGTTGATTACCTATACCTTTTTGAAATCAGTGAAATTCCAGCTGGTTCATTTTATACCTTAACATGATTTCTATGTCTCATCCCCCCTCTAATTATAAATTAATTACTTTGTAGGCATGTACATCTTGATGAACCAGGGAGAACTGAATGGGAGGGATTTGTTACTGGTACTAGAGCTGCTGCTGCTGGTATGCAGATGTTCTTCCTCTATTGGTCTGCGCATTTTCTTTATTAGTAGTATACCTTGAAACTTGATTCGATATCTCAGGAGAAATCTTAATGATTTTTCATATGCTTCTTAAGAACATCCAGATTTCAAGTTTAGAACAAAGGAAACAACAAATTTTATATGGCATTTATGATATGATGCTGTTATGATTTATCAGTTCTCACCTGATGTTACTTAGTAGATGACTTCAAAGAATTGTCCATCTCTTCCTGATGGCAGCGCCTTAGTGGTTCTTCCATCTGTTTCTATTGAAGTTAATATGCATTACATAGATCTATTGCAACACTCTGTTTCCACAGGTGGTGTAACGACAGTGGTTGACATGCCTCTAAACAATCACCCTACAACTGTGTCAAAGGAAACATTAAAGCTTAAGGTATCAGTGATTGATTCCTTTGTGCATTTAAATTTTTTAAAAGCAGTAAGTTTATCTATGGTAGTAGTATCTATACTCTTATGATGGATCCATTCATTTCAAAGAGGTAGAAGGAGGAATTCTTTCTGAAACACATTATCTAATATCTGGGTAAGCTGTCTTTTGTGATGTTGAATTTGCTAGGGTGCTTGTGCTTAACAGTTGAATTGAATTACTTGTTTTCAGCTTGAAGCTGCAGAGAATGAAATCCATGTTGATGTTGGTATGTTCAACAAAATCTACATTGGCATACTATAAATTGAGTTTCTGAAATTGTTTTTAATCTTCTACAGGTTTCTGGGGAGGCTTAATCCCTGAAAATGCACTTAATACCAGTATTCTTGAAGGTCTCTTAAGTGCTGGTGTTCTTGGTGTAAAGGTAGCTGTTTGAAAACTTATGCATTGCTATTGCAACTCTGCTTAGAGTTCAAGGACATATCAGTGGGGTCAACTTCATGATTCTATTTTTTTTTTTTTTAAAGTTAATTCTTACATTAGAGTATTAGACATTATGTAGGATTAATCTGATTTATTTACTTTAGTGTTGAGAATCCATGGATTTAGAAATTTTTAGGGTCTGGCTCTAGTTAATATATATCTTTGAAATGGTTTGGCACTATTTTTCTGTGGATTCCTGAATTACTGTGATCATCTATCATCTCATCATCTTGGAATTTAACATAATTGCTTCGAAGTATATATTACTTGCAACTGCTGTTTCGCAAGCCAGTATAAATCTGCTTGATAATATCTGTTGTATTTTGGTCTGACTCTTTTTGTTTTTATGTTTGTAGTCTTTTATGTGTCCTTCAGGAATTAATGACTTTCCTATGGTTACTATTGACCACATCAAGGTACATTCCTTTCAAGTTATACAAAGTTATAACTGGGAAAATATTTCTTTTTTAAAATCAGTTCATTACACTTCTTTATATTTCTTTGCTTGCCAGTTCCATTTTTCAGATCAACATGGCATGGGATTGTTGCTTTGCTTGACATACTGTGGTCTTCTTGCATTACTTTTGACTCATACATGGAGTCGCTTTTTCCTTTGGTGTTGTTCAATTGTTTTGCTAATGCATTTGTTAGGAGGGATTGCCTGTGTTGGCAAAATATAGAAGACCTTTGCTTGTTCATTCTGAGATTCAACAAGATTCTAAAAATCATTTGGAACTTAAAGATAATGGTGACCCGCGTGCTTACTCGACCTATCTCAACACTAGGCCACCTTCATGGTAAGGCATTATTTATAGCTTTGCTATAAACGGGTAGTTAAACCATAAGTTTAGTGCAGATAAATGACTTGTTATGCCTTTTCTTTTTATCATATCAAGACATGAAATTGGTTAGGCTCTTGCTTAAAACCTATCATGAATTTTGACGACTGAATTAGATTACCAATGGCCTCGACCAAAATTGGTTATGAGCTCCCTTCTAGAAGGAAAAGGGTCTGAGTAGAAAGGTGACTCCAATGAGGTGAAGGCTGTGTCTCAGGGTGTTGAGAAAATGAAGGCTACCCCTGTTCCTGACCATTGTCATTGTATAAACAGAATTGGTTATGAAGCTATGACTCTCAGGATATGTTTTAAATATTCTATGAGAAACTAACATAAACTAAAAATATGTATGAAATGTCCATTGGGCATGTTTTTTCCATGACGCAATCCATTTGGAATCTTGGATGAGCATAATATCATATATTTTTAAATAACATAATGACGATTAAATTTTCTGAAATATTGTTAAAGCTCTTCTTTACTTAACCAGGGAGGAGGCAGCCATTAAAGAACTTGTAGGTGTTACGAAGGACACTATAATTGGTGGTCCTTTAGAAGGAGCACATGTTCACATTGTCCACTTGTCTGATTCAAGTGCTTCCTTAGATCTGATTAAGGTATTATATGTTCTTTTTATCATTTTGCATGTATATTCCTATGATGTTGAAATGCTCTTCGTTGTAGATTGATAATCATGAATAGCATTTTGCAATAATATTTGATAATGGTTATTATAGTTAACTGAAAGTCTGAAGTTAAAAGCTGTTTTATGTTAAATTGAGTCTTAATAAAATCAAAATGCACATTCTTTATAAAGCCTGAACCATATATTTATAAAAACCTAAGCATTAGATGTTGTTTTCTTGTGATAATTAATATTCCACTTTTGATAAAAGAAATTTTATTGTAGAGAAAAAAGGGTAAATACCATATTAGATATAATATAAATATGTTAGATATATATTAAAACTAACTATTTCAGCACAAGGTTTCCATCTCTTTTCTCTCACTTAGGCATTCAACAGCTCTGTTCTTTGATCTGGTACTAGCAGCGTCATACGAGAGAGAGAGAGAGAGAGCAGTAGTTGCGGTTGCTCTTGAAAAACCCATATACAGAAGACTGAAGTTAGGCACTAACCTATCCCAAGAAATAAATATGTAAGGGCAGAGAAACACTCTTGAAATGCTGTCAATTAACTTAAGATAAATCAGATAACAGCATAAACTGCACACTGCCACAAAGTTTAGTCCCTTCTTTCCAAACCCCTTTGAAATGTATAATGAATGATACAATGGGGATACTGACCAAAATGCCACTGTTCACCAACTTTTTTACCTAAATGCCACGCGAACAGTGTTATTTCCTAATCTGCCACGGGGGCAAGTCGCTTCTGACACAAGCGACCTCGGTTTGCTGACGTGTCACATTTTTAGTGGATAACAAGTATTAAATTTAAAAAAAAAATTCAGAAAAAATGAAGTTCGCCTACCATGTAGGCGAACTTGGTTAAAATATTGTTGGAACCGAGGTCATCTGTGTCAAAAGCGAACTCTGACACCACCAGGAAGCTGACACATCAGCAAACCGAGGTCGCTTGTGTCAGAAGCGAACTTGCCCCGTGGCAGATTGAAAAATAACACTGTTCGCGTGGCATTTAGGTAAAAAAGTTGGTGAACAGTGGCACAGTGGTCACTGTTCCTGATACAATGAGGATATGCTTATTATTCACCAAGACTTCCAAACGTTAAATTCCACAAGAAAAATAGCTGGCAACAATGCAAATGTAAATTGACAAATTTTCTGAAGTTACACACAACACCGGAATTAGGGAAAATAACTATGTAAACCCCCACCCCTGGCCAGAAAAAAATCTTGTGTTAGATATGAAATTTTTTAGCAAACTTCTCTCATCAAATGAGAGTGCCATTGTTTTATTCTACAGGAAGCAAAAAGTCGTGGTGACAGCATAAGTGTTGAGACTTGCCCCCATTACTTAGCTTTCTCATCTGAAGAGATACCAGATGGAGATACTCGTTTTAAGTGTTCCCCACCTATCCGTGATGCATTCAACAAAGAAAAGTTGTGGGAGGCTATATTGGTATGCTTCTGCTCCACAATACACAAATTATTGTCTTACGTAAAATCATCCATGATCTCATCCGTTGTACTTGTTTTATACTTCATTTCAGGAGGGACACATTGACCTATTAAGTTCTGATCATTCACCAACTGTGCCTGAACTCAAGCTTCTTGAAGAGGGTGACTTCTTGAAGGCTTGGGGTGGCATATCATCTTTGCAGGTTAGTGAGTTTTCATTCAGAACAGGTTAGATCATTTAAAATTTGTTGTTACTATAAACCTAATCAAAATCTTCAAATTGATCGTTGAATGAATTTGATGCTTAACCACAGTCATATTAAATATGAATATCTGGTGAGCATATCCATTTTGAAGTTTTATTATTTGTTTTGGCAATTCGACTAAACATTGGGCTGTACTTCAGCAAGAGTGTGTAAAAGCCATTATTTTTTTCCTCATTTATTTGTGAACTGTACATATTTGGCCATACTATTGTAGCATATATATGATCTTTAAATTGATGAACATCACATAACATATTTTATGCTACTAAAATATTGTATATTAATCCAATGAAAGAACTTAAATATGAATTTATGATGTGTACTTCACCTGTGCCTCGGATTCAATTTTTCTTCATTATTTCTTTATGCTTGAGCTTGGTTGTTAATTTATTAATCAATTTAATAATATGACTAAGTATTTTCTATTATATAATGGCATAACTTTTTTATTATTATTATTATTGGGAAGGAAGGGTGGGTCTTATTCCAAGGACCAGGCCCATGCATATGCCCCAATAGAAGGCCATCCCTTATGGCAGAACTCTGGAAGAGCTCATTAGAGAATGAACAGATAAAATAATGATGGGGAGACTTCTGAGTTGCTGTCCTTGTTTACCTTTCTTGACACCTACTTTTCCCAAAGCCCAGATCTTGGACCTTGGTCTTTAAATACTTGGGTTCTATCACCTTTTAATCTTTCTCTCTTTTCTTGGTCCATGATTATTTTAGTCAGAAGCTGATTTTTACCACTTCTTGGAAGTTCCCATTCAATGTTAAAAGTGTTGTTTTAGTGATATAAATAATTATTGGGCTTCTAACGATCCACTTAAGCTTTCACCTCCATTTATGCTAAAACTTTGGCTTCCAAAGACAATTATTATTGGGTGCACTACAAGGAAATACTTGCTCTCAATTCTGATGTTACTTAAGATGCATAGGAATGGTCACATCTTTGTTTCTTTCTGATAAAATTATTTTTTATCAAAATAAAAAATAATTTTAAATCATAACTACTGGATGAGCATAAAGCATGCCTTAATCCCTGAGGATCATGATGGTGGATTTATGCAAGATTTTAATCAGAAAGCACGTCAATTGAATTTGATTTCTTATATAGCAAATATAAATGCTGTTATTGCCCAAAAGACTAATTGATGTTCTATTGGGAACTTGTAGTTTGATCTTCCAATAACATGGTCGTATGGGAAGAAATACGGTATAACTCTGGAGCAATTATCCTTATTATGGAGCAAGAAACCTGCAGCGTTTGCAGGTTTAGAATCAAAGGTGATATGACATGATTATAATTTCCTTCTTTGCCTCAGACCTGGTATAGTATAATATAATAATAGCAGTTTTCATTCCCTTGGTTCTGTATATAAAAAAATTATTGCAATCTATTTAACAATAAAAAAAGTTTTATTCTAATTATATCATTTTCATTTCTACTTAGAATAATGTCAGCACTATTCATTTGAAGCAAGTAATTAAAAATTTAAATAAAAGAAATGATATTTTGGTTTGTGAAAGTTTGACTGAAGGGGAGTTTGTCCCATTTTAAAGTTAAGGGATGTCAGGTGCCACAAGTGACATGCCTCAACCGGAGTTTACTATGGTACCTGTAATGACCTACCAAAGAAGGAGCGTGGATTGAACCCCAAGCCTTTTAGTCACGCATTTCAATCATAATATTCAATCCTAAATAGCACAAGATTGTCTGAAAGAAATGAACCTTATGCTTTTTACCTCGTTGCTACTACAAGATTTAACAATGTCTAAAATAACAACTCAAGAAAATGTTCTTTTGGTATCTTACTAGAAAGTATTATCATTTGCTGAAATAATGCACTGCCAATCAAAAACAGAAAACCAATTTCTCCATGATTTGTTCACATTTTTTTATTTCTTTTGGGAAAAGGCCACATGATAAAGCACTTAAGTATTTACTTGTGGGATTGTCAAGTCAACTTATATGTTTCTTAGAAAATAATTTCAGTTCAAATCTGACTAAATTTCCACTTGTGCTTTATAGGGGGCCATTGCAGTTGGAAACCATGCAGATATTGTAGTGTGGCACCCAGAGGTGGAGTTTGACCTGGACGATAATTATCCTGTTTTCCTTAAACATCCCGTACGTCTCAATTCTTCTTTACCCTGTTATTGAACTCATTTTGTTTATGACTTTCCTTCCTTGTCTCAATTACAAATTAAACTTAAAACCATTTAAAACTGCCATATGGTGGCTTCTTCTTGCTAAACTTTTCTACTTAGACAAATTGCATAATTGCAGTTGGGAAAAAAGGATTTCAGAAGAACCAAATCTTTCCTACATTCCACTTTTTTTATAAAAATAATATTCCTTCCACTCTAGATTTCATTTATTTATTTATTTATTTTATTGATTCCTTTCTCTTTTTATGAGAAACCATAAACAGAAAGACAAATTAGTTTTTTAATAATTTCAAAAAGGGACCATTGTTTCCCACTTTACCTTACATAGGCAGTTAGTATTATTATGACATGATTTTGATGTCACCAAGAAAATATTTGGCTAATGACTTGGCTGCTTTTGTGATTTCCATACGCAAAAAATGAAACCCTGGTGGTATTTAGAGCCTCTCTGCTTATATGGGAAGAAGGTTATCCGGAAAAGTTTTGGACACTTTTGTCAGAGGAAACCTTGTCTTTAAGGATGGAAAGCATGCTCCTGCAGCCTGTGGTGTTCCAATTCTAGCCAAATGAATTGGTTAAAAATTGGTGATCCCTATAACTTTCCGAACTCATCTCAATTCTTTTTGTCCTCTAAGAATTCCTTATGCTTGTCATGATCTTGATTCACACTGTAAACTGGTTTTATTCAGATGCTATTTGCCTCGGGACATAAATAAGAGATGGAAGTAGCTGTTGGCATCGGCTACTGAGCTAGAGATTCTCTTTCTCGTAGAGCAAGACTTCTTGTTGTAACTTGTATTATTGCTGCATGGGTATTTGGACACTGAAACATAAGGTCATACTTGTCTTGAATGTATATGTAAATTATAACTTAATATTTATGTTTTCCATTGCATGAAAAGAATAAGCACATGATTCGAAGATAAGACGGTATTAACACATAATAATAGTTAATATGATTAAAATAAGGGAAAAGTGTGTATCATTTTAAAGGATGTAAAGTTGTGTCATTTTATGTAAGAGAAAGAGATAGATAAAAGAGGAGAGAGAGTGAACAAAAAAATATAAAGGTGTGGGTCTCATCTCTTTGTGAGAGTGAAATGATATAAGTTGTGTCATTTAAAATGATAAACACTTTTCCCTTAAAATAATAGTTAACTTTAGGAAGGTAGTTTGGGAACATTATCCTTCATACTTTTAAATACGTTGGCAATGATTTTTCAATAGTAATATGTTCAAAAATCACATCCAATTTCTAAGGTGATATAACCTTTTGCTAACTAACCTGCTCAATAATCATCTCTTGATCTAATCTAACGAAAAACACTCCCAGTATTTGCAGAGTGGCGTTTGGTGGGTTGCTACAGGGTCCAAGAATGATGTTGGTACATTGTTAATCAAGAGAGATTTTAGCAATTGAATGTGAACCATGGTTATTTCGTTTTCATATTACTGTCTTCTGGATTTGACTCCTTCCATTTTTGTTTCAAAAACTTGCAAAGTCTGTACTCTACAGTTACCTCTTAAATATTAATTGCAGGGTCCTTAAATATGTACCCATCGTATAATATAATTCTTAAAATTGAAAGGATATTGTAACAATCAACTAGTATTATTACTAATGTTATTACCAATTAATGTTGATTCAACGATTATATTTATTTTTATCTTTTTATGATTATGATACTTCATATTTAATGTGAATTAATATACTGACATGTCGTAATCCTGTGTCGGTACAACATAAGTAGCATGTGCTAGGGGAGAAGAAACATCTAGACTACTCTATCATCATAAAGAAATTCTAGGGTATTCTTAAACTAAGATATTTATCTTACTTCATATCATTAAAAAAAGTAAAATAATATATAGTAATAACAAATATTTAATAATATGGAATAAAAAAATGCTGGGTAGTAATTGGACAAATCTTCAAAACTGCGACCGACAGTGGTGTGGAAAACCATGACTTTTGGCACATCTCTGCATGTAACTTCTAAATTGGTTACGTATTAATACACGTATCACCCCGAAATCTGAAGCAATCTTGTGAGGTTGCCACGTAAATAATCTTTGTGTAAGTTTGTGAATTTTTTAATGCTTCCATCCCAGAAAAACTGCAGAAAAACTGAGCATGAATTAAACCTCACCGTCCTATGTAAGTCTATGAACCTGTGTTGAGTTTAGCAGGAGCTGAAGAACCATTGAACTAAACTAGCTAGTCAGCAAAAAATGTTGGCGGTGTTTGCAAAAGCCATTGGAAAACCACCGGAGGAACTTATGCTTCCGGGAATGGCCTGCAATAATTCCAAGACCCCAGAAGAAATTGTAAACAAGTTTCAATCTTTGTGGCCGGATTCTACAGTTTACAACCTTTCATATGGGAACTTCATGGCTTTATCCCATGAATACGAGAGTCCAATACACCATAGGTAGATCAAAAGTTTACTTAATTCATTCATCTATTTTCATCTCTTATGAAATTGCTTTGTATAAGAAAAATGTATCTAGTAGTGCTAAAAGTTTAATATTCTTAGCTTTCAACAGAAAACACACTGGAAATCCATGGTATTCGGTTAAATTTTTTACTACTATGCATGCTTAGAAAATAAAAGTAAATACTTGAATTCAAATTTTAAAATTTTACTACCCATTGCTCAGGAGTCAGGACTCAATTGGTTCTCTAGTTTTGTTTATAATTTGTTGAAAACCATGTCCTTGCAACAATTTCTTATTTTCAAAGTTGGTTAATTCCTCATTGTTGTGAAAGTAACAGGTCAATTGTTGTTTTGGACGATATCTTCTGCATTTTTGTGGGAAATCTAGCAAACATTGCTGACCTTAGACATCATTATGGCCTCCCGAGACAAGCAACTGAAGCCATGATTGTGGTTGAAGCTTATAAGGCCTTAAGAGATAGAGCCCCCTACCCACCTGACCAAGTTGTTAAACATCTTGATGGAAAATTTGCATTTGTTATTTTTGATGCCAGGACAAACATTCTTTTTCTAGCTAGGGTGAGTTATCTTTGAGAAACTTAATGTTTTCTTATTAAACATTCTTGCTTTTTACTGTTCCTGCTCTGTAGTTGGTCTTAACATAGTTGATTCCTATGTTAGGATCGTGAAGGAAGTGTGGAATTTCAATGGGGAATGGCAAGAGATGGATCCTTAGTGTGCTCTGATCACCCTAAAATCATTGAAGAGGGATGTGGAAAAGCTTGTGCACGTTTTCCTCCCGGTTAGTTTAGCTTTACGAACTTTTTATTCTCTAAAAATACTCTGCTTTGAACTTTTTATTGGTCTTTCTTAGAACCTTCATGTTGCCAATTAGGCACAATGCTTTGTAATTTTCACTCACTCAATTCTTCAATTGGAATTCAGGGTGCTTTTTCATCAATGGAAGTGGGTTGACAAGCTTTGATCATCCACTGCACAAGGTTCGAGCTATTTTGAATGAAGATGACAGTGGAAACGTCTTGAGTGTATATTTTCAGGTGGATTTGTACACAAAGATTCCCAGCATTCCTCGATCTGGAAGTGCAGATAATTGGGCAGATGCTGCTGTAGCCAAGGGAGAATAAATGTTCGATAATTCATCACTGCTTAGTATGATCAAATTCAAACTTGGTGTAACAGTAACTAAAATATTCTAGAAATTATGTTTGTGGATTTATGTCTAATGAAGAGAAGAAGTGGGATTTCGCTATTAATTGCATCCCCAAGTAATGAAATTTGGACACTGAAAAAGCTTTTGCTAGGTTGAAATTATGTTACTTTTTATGTTAGAAATAGTCTCTTTATGATGTTCACTTTTTGTACAATAAAGTCTCTGGTTCACTTGATGTTCCTTTTGATTGTACCACATGTGAACTAGGAAAAAGTAAACTACCTCCATTTTCTAACAACGTAACTAATCAAACGCAATGTTTTGATGTCACTCAGACGTGCATGACAACCTTCCCGGAATCAATTTTTTTTTAATTTCTGTTCCCGGGAACAGAAATGGATAGGAAACTCATTTGGTAAAATCGGTTTATTTTTTTGTAACCGGGATGAACCGGTTTAATTTTTGTGCTGGGGAACAGAAAAAAGAATCAAAAAATTTCTACTTTTTTGTTCCCAGGCACAAAATGAGAAACACTTATCCCTCTCAATCACTCTCCACCATCGTACCACTAGTGTCGTCGTCACCACCCCTCACCACCATGATGCCACCACCACCTCCACCTATCACCACCACCACCACTATCATCGTCATCACCACCACCACCATCATCGCAACCACTGCCGTTACCGCCACCATCGCCATCACACGCCACTGCCACAACCCTCATCGCCATCACCACCACCACCACGACGCCACCACTACCATCACCACCACCACTACTATTGTCGCAGCCACTACCGTCACCACCACCGTCATCACTGCCGCCGCCACCAACCACCACCACCATCGTCACTGCCATTACTGTCACCACCACCACCATCGCCACCATTACACCACCCTCGTCACTACCATCACCACATCATTGCCACCACTGTCACCTACCGCCACCGTCGCAGCCACTGCCACCACCACCACCAAGATGACTTCACAACCACCACCACCATGTCACTGCTACCATTGTTGCCGCCACCAACCACCATACCCTCCACCATTGTCGCAACCACTATCGTCACCTCCACCACCACCATCCCCACCATTACCACTGTCGCTGCCACTATTATCACCGTCATCGTCACATCTACTGCCGTCATAACCACCACCACTATCTTCACCACATCACTGCCACCACCACTACCGTACCACCGCCACCGCCACCACCACAACTACACCATGTGGAAAGGAAAGTGATGATCCGAAATTTTTTTATATTTAATAGGAAATATTTTTTATTATATTATTTGTTGTGTTATCAAACACAATTCTCATTCTCGGAATAAAAATAGAACATGTTATCAAACATATTTTTTTTCTCAGAAACTATTCCATGGCACAGAAATAGAAAAGAATTGTTTCTTTTCAGAAACATTGCTAGGAAATAGAATGGTTGTCATGCACACCCTCATAGTGATGTTGGGGAATTGCAACCATTATTTCCCATGCCCGTTATAAGTATTTTGCTACATTCACAGATCACTACCATCGGTCTAAGGCAGAATGCTTGTAATCTTTAAGGACTTGAGGGAAATCACACTTTGGACATTGTTTCTTGTCCACCAACATTTAAACATCAAGTGATCAGAAGTCATACCAAAGAAAAGCTTCAAACATGTAGATATCCATTTAATGCAATGGCCAAGATTGAGATGTTCAATATCACAAATTGTTGTATAATATGTTAACGCATCTAAAATCATTATTTTTTATATTAGGCCTGGCTGTAATACTTAATTTCTCACAAGTTTATTATGCATATAGTAGGTTTACAGTTGTAATATACTTTTTATCATGTATAAATACTAACTTTCAGAATATTCTAGGCTTGATTTTAGGACAATATTTCCTGTAATCTTTCTTGCAATGTAAAACATAAGAATTCTGCAAGGGCTATAGAGAGCCGATCAGTTTTTCCAAAGAAAATGCCATAATGATATTTGACATATTATTGCTTAATATACAACAACATACATGTGTTAGCAGCACATTTGGTAAAATCCAGCAATGTTTCAACATAAACTTTATTTCACTATCATACTAAGGACTCAGTATTATAAACTTAATATGTAATAACCATTTTGATCAATTTAGTAATCAGATGGGGGTGTAGCCATAGTCATGTGTTGTTCATTTTGGTGGTAAGGGTTCCGAGTTGATGTATACTACGCCACATAAACCACTGAGGCTAGGACAATTGACAGGTTTGGAAACTAGAGGAGCCGTTCCTCCATCACTATCACTGCCAGAACCAGAACCTGTCATTTTGCCATGAATTCCAAACCAAGAGGGAACAACACCCTCCAAACCTGATTCAGAGTCTGCACTATTACCTGAAGATGGCTTAGGAGGGGCCCTACTTGCTTCACAGAAAAATGCTATACTTAGAAGGACCAAATATCCAAAGTATATTGTCCATCTTGGTGTTGTCATTTTTAGCTGCTCTTAAAGGCTTGGAATAATTGCATTGTTTGAGGACTTCAAAATCCGGTATTTCTGCATTTTTACTGTGTGTCATGGTGCCTGTGTGACTAAAAAGAAAAATCGTATAAAATGTTGGGTTTTATTAGTGTTATGTTACATGATTTAAGTGTTGTTTCCAACACACACAAAAATGGAGAGAGAAAGTGGAATGATGAAAGAGAAAGAAAAACATATGGACCCCACCTCTTTAATGTTTGGGTAGGAAAGTGATGTTATATCATATTACATGATAAACATAAAACCCTAAAATATTTGTTTCTTCTCTTTGTTGAAAGACTCGTAGCAAATGAATAGTTTTATAATAGGGTTTAATATTTTTGCAATATGAAAAACTTCTCAGCCATATTCATTTAAAAATAGTGGGACCTATTAAAGGTTGTTAAAACGTAAGTCTACTTATAATTAATGGTAAAGGTGAGCAAAAATGTAAAATTATGAAAAGTAAGAGTTTACTATGTACAAAAAAATAAAATCAATATTTATAAAATCAAAACACACCAATATATAAATCATCATAAATTTAAGTCCAAACACTTAAAAAAATAAAAATTAAGTTCAAACTCAGTCATTATAATACATATTAGAATCAAAATATCAAGATAATAAAATTATAAAAGAGATTAGGATCTCTAAATTAAATAATTGGAATCCAAGTCATTATCATTTTTTTTATCCCCTTCCTCACTAATAAATTCACCAATAAATTCAGAAATTTCCAAATCATTCAAGTTTTCCCCTTTTTCATTTGGATCATTCAAGTCAAGGGGATCTTGATCTTCTTTAACATCTTCCAAAAAATGTAAACTCGTCTATTTCTACGAGTTGACACTACGATTTAACAACAATAAACTTATTACAACACTACAAAAAAATGTGTAATTTGTGGAGGTTAATAAAACCCCCAATAATTCTGTGTATGGTGGCATTTTAAGAGGACACTAGATTATATTTTCAAATTTTGTCAATTTTTATAATTTTGTGGAGGGCTTTGACCCCCAAAAATATATATAATTTTAAAATATTTGAAAATTTTCTAAAAATGACCGTTATAAATATTTTTTTTTTAAAATATATATTTTTTCTTTGTTAACTCTCATCTAATCTCAAACTTATCTCTTCACTATTTTCAGCAACATCTTCTAAAGCCAATGTTAATCTCAAACTTGTGGCGTCGCTCCTCATTGTTAAGAGCTACAGAGAGTTGTGCATTTAGGACTTAGACATATTTTCATCTTTTTTTCTCTCTTAGTGGTTTTCATCTCTATTAGGATTTCTTACATCTTTTTCTTCTTCCGTAAATTTCTCCATGAGTTCTTTATTTCTTCTTCTTTATTTCTTTATTCATTTATTTTTGCAGATTCTTAAGAAGTTTTCAAGCAACGGGAGCTTGTCCTAGATCCAACCATCAACCCTGGACTCGGTTCCACTCGATGCCCTCGCTGTGTCTCCCTTCTCAACCCTGATTCCGTGAGTTTCTCTTCTTATTCTTCTTCTATTACGTGTTTGTGTTTTGCGAATGAGGTGTTCGATGAATTGACTCACTGAGATTTTCTGTGTTTTTGTGATAGTGTGTTCAGGAAAGAGGCGAGCGGACCATCACTTCTGTGATTAGAATATATAAATGTTGATATTCGTTTCGCGATTGGATACTTTTGGTGAAGATTATACAGTTGGCTGTTTTATTTCCCAATTTATTCCGCTTTTGTGATTTCCGAAATCAGAGAATATCTATTTGTTTTTTTTTTCCGGTTTCCTTTTCTTCAGTGATTAGTTTAAATTACTGCTGCGTTGTATATTGTTTCTTGTATCATCACTTTGACATGGAATGAGAAGAATAATTATTTCCAATTTCTTCTTTCTATTTTTCTATTGTTAATTTTTTATTTAATAATGAGAGAAAGTGTTATTAATAATTTTAATTTTTAGTAAGTTAATAAATGTTATTAAAAATTTCTGACTTATTAGTTATATTGAAAATTTGAGAGATTATATTTTGAAAATTCAGTGTTAATTTACAGAGATTGTTGAGGGCAACCAAAACAAGGACTTCAAATATACCTATATATCTAAGAAGTCATAATAACCATAAGAATCTTAGATACGTAGTGTCTTACATACCAAAGCATCTCCAGCATATCATGTAAGAGGAAACTAAGGAAACAAAATCAGCAAGATTATAAATTATCAAAATTTTATAACCGTAAGAAAGGGCATATGTCCACTTGTATCAGAGACGGTAACAGCAAAGTTTCATTCCCTGAATAGAAACATTCCATGCTTGATAATTCATATAGAGTTATCCTTACTAGCTACTCAAATTTGATCCCTTCTGGAGTTGTCTCATCATGGTGAACTATTTTTGAAGTTGTTTTTTCTTGCTCTTTTGCCACTACTATTTCTTTCGTTGATCCACATTGCTTGACTGTACATGTTAATTTTAAATAAGCCATTATTTTATAATTTTAAAGCATGGTTTCCCTCATCAAGTAAAAGATTTGCATGAAACTTCATGTTCATGAATTTGTATGTTTCCTGACCCTTCAAGTAGTGGGTGGCCACAAGAGAACATACTTTGTCAAATTATGTTTAATCTGTTAAGGTTGGGTGCTTTAGATTTTAATTTTTTATTGTTTACTGATAACCAGAGTATCATGTTAATGACCCTGAACAAGAACCTGTTCTGGTTGATGCAATCCCCACTTTGAAGTTCAACCAAGAGGCTTTCAGTTTCATTGAAGATACACAGTTAAGTCTAGTCTCTCAATTGGAAGTCACAGAGAACAAGTTCCTCTTTTTTGTGGTATCATATAACAGTCTTGTACAATTTTGCCAAGTGGCATATATGTCAATTCTGATTTGGATAATAACAACTCCACGAATCACTTTAAGGAAAGCTTGTCTTGGCAGCCTCATCGCGGCCCCGTTCTTTCCCTTACCTTCACCTCTTATGGTTATCCTTCATTCTTCAATACTGACTTTACTGCTTTGCTATTATTATACTTTGGAATTTTGATTATAAGCTATTTTAAATACAAAATAATCTTATCCTAACTAGTCAGTATTACTTGGGATGTTAAGTTTATGAAAGTTTTAGTTTAGTTATTTTCATCTTTTTCATTACCATAATGTGATTAGGTTTTGTTTATGGATTTAGTATATCTTTTCCGATTTTGATTATGTTTGCATTCCAATTGTTTGATATATTGACAATTTCTATTTATCTCTGTCAATATGTGTCGATCAGTTCTGGTCTTGCTAAACTAAAATTCATTTAATCGTGTTGCTAATTTTGTGATTTGTTTGTTATTCGTACATTTTCATCCTTGTGTATAAGCTGATATCATATTTATACTATCTCCATACACAAATTGTTTTTATAGGAATAAACATGCTAGCGTTTGGTCACCAGGCTCACCACAATATTATGGATTCTTTTTAGTTGCATTCATTGCCTGCTGCTATGTTGATGAACTTGCTTCTCTAATTATAAAATGCCATGCTTTTTTATGTGCATTGGAAATTAAGGATTTTTTTATCATCAAGTGAGCCTTGAACATTTTTTTTCCAGGGGGATTCTCTTGACAGGACCACCGGGAACTGGAAAAACTCTGCTAGCCAAGGACTGTGGTTTAGCAATGTTCATATCAGAAGAGTAAAAAAAAGTTAGTGTATACATGTTAGGAAATCTGGTTTAGCAATTTAACTTATTGACTGTGGCATATATGATTAATGTATGGGTTTAAGTCACTACAGTTTTTTGTCATCTCAAATTTTTGTATATGAAACTTTTGTCGTACATTATTTTAAAATTCCATACTTGTCCATGTAGCTGTCATTTCATGTTATAAGGTTGTTTCCAAGTCTACTCATCACAATGAAAATCTGCAAAGTTGAAAATTCTGAGAACTGAACTCTCAGAAATTCCATCCACTCATGAAAAGACTAGTACTAATCTTTGATATATATATATATATATATATATATATATATATATATATCAGCTATTGCTTGTGCTAAAATCTTATACCATTATCTTAGGAAAACAACATTTGCACATTATTTTTTTCTTCTTTTTTTTAATACACTGCACACTATTTCTTTACACCTTAGAGAGAGTATGTTATGATGTGTATTTCTCTTATTTTATTAACAAAAATGGTTTTTGTGATATGATAGGTGCCAAAAGAGATACGTGGCTTAGAAGTTGTGATGCCCTAAACTGAGATTCCAGAATGGTTTAACTTTAGAGGCAATGAAGGGCTCGTTTCTGGGCTCATGGGAAGTCCAAGTTCCTCATTGTTGCTTTAGCGTTGGTCTTTCAGGATGTGAATGAAATGGCAAACCAATCTCGCAGGCAACTTGTTCAGCTCCGCTTAGTTATCAATTTTTAACACTTGTCATGGGACATTTATGCCATATGCGCTAAGCTTGTTAAAAAGATAACTATAAGTCTAATTAGGATTAGAATTTCTTTTCAGTATTTTAACATGCTTGTAAAATAGTTGCATCTGCTTGTTAAAAAGATTTTAGCCTCAGATCATGACAAGCTTCTGAAAAAAGTTATCAAAGAATATTCTATGATCATTAAGGATCTTATCAAATATTTATCTTTGTCCATCTTTATAGTTACAAGGATATGAGGCTACTTGTAAAGCAGGATAACTTCCAAATTTTGGCCTGCATGATAGTTATCAATTTTTAACAACTTTTAGTTTTTAATTTCATTTATACATCTCTTTGATTTTTTTATCTTTGAAAACCAAGTTCTATTTAGATATGTATTCAAATATTTGGAATGAATTTTTTTTTATCCTTTTGAATCTACCTGATTTTTTAAAAGAAACGTAAAATTTTAAATATATTTTTTTTAAATTTTCAACAAATTTGTGGGGGGTTTTAAACCTCCAGAAACTGAAACATTTGTGGGGGGTCTGGAGCCTTCAGAAAATATTTCAACAAATTGTGGCATTGCACATAAAGTCCCCACAAAATATGTTGTGGCGTAGGCAAAACTGGGGGTCATTGAGGATGCCACAAATGTACTTTGTGGCGGTCAAAGACCCCCACAATATGAAAATATGACCCCCACAAAATGCTTGAATTTTTGTAGTGCAAAAAAACGAGTGAAAATATAAATGGAATCTATTCACTTTTATATAAGTGTGACAGAGAAATTTTTTTTCGTATTACAAAAAGAAATATTTTTCTTTGTATTTTATCCTTTTAATTAGTGCTTTCACAAGAGAGTTTATTAAACTAAAATGACAGACTCGTTATATATATATTTATAGCAAAGAAATTTTATATTTTAATTATTTATTATTAAAATGTGCACTGAGATTTGAATTCATTTTCACTACTTAATCACAAGTCTTGATATAATGTATTGCAATTAATTCAATTGGATAATTTAAATTATTAAATAAAATTCAAATTAATAATTTTATATTAACTGACACTGAATTTAAAATCTTATTATTTCTCTTTTCTTTGTACGTCAACAAGTACGTAATAACACCATAATTATGATTTTTTTTTCCCGGTAAAGGCTTTACTTAGTTCAAATCACGTAATGTTGTGAGAAATGTGTCAGATACACTACTAGCACATTTTAATGCGATCTGCATTACCATTGGCAAGTCATGTCAGGAAGCGCGTAAACCTACTCCCCAAAAAATATTTCAAAGAAATGAAGAATTATAATGATTAAGAAAAGAGTTTGTCTTTTTTATTGTTAATGTAAATAATTTATCTATATTGAGCTCAAAACGACATTATTTTGAGGCAGAACTCAAGTATTTTTATAATTATAATTTGTTTCAGGATTATAATAATTTTTTATTAAATTTTTTAATTTTTCAACTCAAAACTACATCATTTTAAAAACAAATGTAAATAACTTATATACCGTCAATGTTGAAACGTTAAAGCCTTAAAAAATTATTTGAAATACTGTAAAATTGTTTTCAAACTTATGCAGAAAACCGATAAAAATATTTCAAAAACAAATGTTGTATCTTAAAAATGGCATTATCTTCATTTTCTTATATATATATATATATATATATATATATATATATATATATATATATGAGGTAAACATTTCTACGGTCACTTTAGATAAGGTCATTTACAGTTAACATTTTTACTATGTTCTCTCGGGAGAATATAGTTATAATATTAAAGTTATTTTTTCTGTTTCCTTAGTTACTTTTTAGAACTTGTTTGCTGATATGGGCCCAAGGTGCATTGAGTCCAATAACCAAAACCAAAGCCCAAAGGCAGTAACAGCAACAGAATCAGCCGAAGGAAAGAAGGTACAGCCAGATCCAGAATGGCATGCAAGTGTAGAAGATGAGGTGTATCCTAAGGAAGTGGAAGTTGAGAAGTCCATTGCAGAAAGAAGAACTAAGAGAATGAGTAGAAGGCCAGATAGATTCAATGATTAGGATCAAAATGCACTTCATGTATTAAGTGATCAAAGCACATTTCTGTTGTAAGTAGTTAGTTAGGATTCAGTTACATCATCAAACGACCAATAAGTGTTTGGGGGATGGGATGCATGTAATGAGGAGTTGTTGTTGTATGTCTGTTGAACCTTGAACTATAAAAGGGGCAGGATGCTTGTAATGAGGGCATTGAATGAAAATAATAAAACTCTTCTCGTCTGTTCTTACTTCTTCTCCCTCCTTCTTATCTTCGATAGACCCTGTTTCTATCAATTTGGTGCTTTCATCTTCCTGAACTATGGCGAATGCAACACGATCTAAATCGAGTGATGATCGTTGGGAGCAAACACAATATGATGTTGATGTTCTCAAGGAGCAGATGCAGAAGCAGTATAAGGAAATCACATGCAAATTAGATGCGATTTTCGATAATTACAGAGAACATGAGTCTTCTCATTCTGCATCTTCTTCACATCATCATTCTTCTGGTTCTAAAGAGCTTCAAGCAGCTAAGAATTTACGCATCAAGGTTCCTCGTTATGATGGATCCCATGATCCTCAGGACTGGATTTTCAAGGTAAATCAATTCTTTGATTTTTATGACATTGTTGAAGAACAAAGATTACGTGTGGCTCCATTTTATTTTGATGGAAAAGCTTTGGCTTGGTACAAATGGTTACATAAGAATACTTCAATAACATCCTGGGAAGGGTTTCTGCAATCCCTTCAAATTCACCACTGGTACATCAAGTTCTCCAGGAAACTCATTCTTCTTTGACAAGTGGACATGTGGGAATTCAGAAGACTTTGGCTAAAACTTCTACCAGTTTTACTTGGCCTGGATTAAGAAAGGCTGTTAAGGAATTTGTTAATTCCTGCTTGGTGTGTCAACAGATGAAGTATTCCACCCAAGCCCCTGCTGGCTTATTACAGCCTATTCCCATTCCTACACAAATTTGGGAGGATTTATCATTAGATTTTATAATCGGTCTTCCAATGTCCTATGGTTACACCACTATCCTAGTGGTAGTTGACAGGCTTTCCAAACAAGCTCACTTTGGATCATCACCTAGGAAATTTACTTCTAGCAAGGTTGCTGACTTGTTTTCTCAAATGGTATGTAAACTCCATGGTATTCCTCGGTCTCTTATTTCAGATAGAGATCCTTTATTTCTTAGCAAGTTCTGGACTGAACTATTTGAACTCAATGCACCCAGTTGAAGCACACAACTACATACCACCCCCAATCAGATGGTCAATCTGAGGTCGTTAATCGAGTCTTGGAACAGTATCTTCGATGCTTTGTTGCTGATACTCCAAAGAAGTGGTATGAGATTCTACATTGGGCAGAATATTGCTACAACACTACTTACCATAGTTCAGCTGGTATGTCTCCTTTTATGGCTGTATATGGACGTGAACCTCCATCTATTTTGAATTATGTATCTTCTACTGCTACACTGGATGAGATTGATCACATATTGGGTAATAGGCAAGCTATTTTACAACAACTGAAGGCCAATTTATTGCATTCCCAGAAGATTATGAAACAGAATGCAGATAAACATAGGAGAGATGTCCTTTATAAGGTGGGAGACTTAGTATGGGTTAGACTTCAACCCTATAGACAGTCTTCAGTGGCTAATAGGCTGTCTCACAAGCTAGCCAAAAGATATTTTGGTCCCTTTGAGATTCTTAAACGTGTAGGTAAAGTTGCCTATAAATTGGCTTTACCTCTACATGCCAAAATTCATCATACGTTTCATGTTTCCTTGTTGAAGCCTTTCAAAGGAGATCATACAAATCCTCCATGTTCACTTCCTGACTGTTTTCAAGGAGGATTGCCTATTTTGGAACCCCATAAAATACTGGATACTCGCATAATCTCTATAGATGATGTTCCAGTTCAACAAATACACATTTTGTGGCATGGCATGACAGAGGAGAATGCCACATGGGAATCTCTTGCTGAGTTTTCTACACAATATCCTACTTTCAACCTTGAGGACAAGGTTGATTTTAATGGAGGAGGTATTGATATGGGCCCAAGGTGCATTGAGTCCAATAACCAAAACCAAAGCCCAAAGGCAGTAACAGCAACATAATCAGCCGAAGGAAAGAAGGTACAGCCAGATCCAGAATGGCATGCAAGTGTAGAAGAGGAGGTGTATCCTAAGGAAGTGGAAGTTGAGAAGTCCATTGCAGAAAGAAGAACTAAGAGAATGAGTAGAAGGCCAGATAGATTCAATGATTAGGATCAAAATGCACTTCATGTATTAAGTGATCAAAGCACATTTCTGTTGTAAGTAGTTAGTTAGGATTCGGTTACATCATCAAACGGCCAATAAGTGTTTGGGGGATGAGATGCATGTAATGAGGAGTTGTTGTTGTATGTCTGTTGAACCTTGAACTATAAAAGGGGCAGGATGCTTGTAATCAGGGCATTGAATGAAAATAATAAAACTCTTCTCGTCTGTTCTTACTTCTTCTCCCTCCTTCTTATCTTCGATAGACCCTGTTTCTATCATTTGCTGACGTGAAAAGAGAAAAAAAAAACTTTAATGTTATAACTATGTTCTCTCGGGAGAAGATAGTTATTATATATATATATATATATAGGAGAGAGATCATTTGACTCAAGAGTAAGACTTATAAGTCTTACTCTCCATCCTAACCGTTGATTTTCGTCCATCCAACGGTTATAACTTAGGAAGTTATATTAATTAATTAATTATTAATTATGCTATTAATGACAACCGTTGATTTCCGTCCATCAACGGCTGGGATTTGGAGTAAGACTTAAAAGTCTTACTCTGGAGTCAAAAGAACCATCCCCATATATATATATATATATATAGGAACCTTTGACACTGGTATCAAATTTAAAGTTTGACACCTCATCTGAGAGCTGTTAGATAAAAAAAGATCAATGACTCTGATTTGTAAGCATGTGATACCATTGATCTTTTTTGAGATAATGACTCTCAAATGAGGTATCAAACTTCAAATTTGACACCAGTGTCAAAAGATCATACTTCATATATATATATATATATATATATAAGGTAAGGTTATACTTACAACCTATTTTCGTTTACACCCTCTTACAACTATATCTTAACCGTTGATTTTCGCCAATCAACGGTTAAGATTTTCGCAAAATAAATTTATTAATTAATTATTAATTAGCAATAAATAATAATCGTTGATTGACGGAAATTAACGGTTAAGATATGATTGTAAGAAGTTGTAAACGAAAATAGGTTGTAAGTATAACCTTCCTTTTATATATATATATATATATATATATATATATATATATATATATATATATATATATATTAGGGGGCATTTGGCAGAAGAGAAATTTATTTGAAAATCAGAATTCACAGGAATATGGTGGGTAATTAACTTTCTCGAGAATGCTACAAAAAAACTATTGATAGGCCAAAATATTCTCAAAAATATGGATCAATTTTTCTAATGTTATGTTGGATCTGAAAATTAGAAAGCATTGTGCCTGATTTTCCTAAGAATCCAAGAATACCACCCTCTAGGTGGTATTGTTGGATGGTATTCTTGATTAAATTTTGTTCACAAAATAAAATCCTTAAAAATTCACATTTTTGGAAAAAAAATTCAAAAAATTTCTACCAAATGTAAGTCACTTAGATTATCGCCTTCAATTTCTTAGGAACCTAAACAAAAATCCTCTACCAATTCCCGCTAACAAATTCTATTAGCAATTTATGATATATATATATATATATGGGGAATGTTGTATTTACAAATTACACTAAGTATGATTGATCATACTTCAATCAAGAGTGTATGACCAGTCATACTTAGTGTAATTTGTAAAAAAAGTTTGTAAACAGATCTTTTCCTTATATATATATATATATATATATATATATATATAGGCAAAAATTCCGTACTAGCGTAAATTTTCAAAAGAATCTCCGCGCTGAGACACATCTGTAAAGAATGACGAGAGTAAAGCAGTCAAACACGTAGGTTTGACTGGCGGGACTGGACTCGCCACATACAACGACGTGATCAGGAGCCACGTAGGATGTCTGCATCTCTCCCGCCACTTGGTCTGACTCATTTGAGTCCCGCCATATGAGTTGGCGAGACACACTAGCCACATAGGATGTCTGCATCTCTCCCGTCAATAGGTCTGACTCATTTGAGTCCCGCCATATGAGTTGGCGAGACACACTGTCATCCGCCACGTGCCTTGACGTGTCTCACTCATTTGCACCTTATCCCTGCGCACCTTCAAACCGTCTTCTTCTCTCCTCTCTTACCCGGTTCCTCCATTTTCGTAGCTCGGTTGTGGAGCAATTGTGGGAAACAAATTTTCGTTGGCCAAATTTTCTTCTCCCGTCCGTTGGCACCTGAGCTGAAGCAAAGTGTGCACGTTCTCATTTTTTCCCCTTCCCCGTTTAGTACTCTCTGGACCACAGGTACTTGATTCTTTTATATCTGTGTAGTATTATTTTTTAGGGGTTAAGGTGTTGTGTATCTGCATTATTTATAGGTGGATTTTCTACAGGACACGCAGGACGATTTTCTACAGGCAGCAGCAGAGGATTTCGATATTAGGCACGATCCTGATGCAGAGAGAGTGGGTGGTGTCATTCGCAGGAACCCTGAACGTGATGCACGTTCCAGACCATGGCCTACTTATACTCCACCATCATAGCATGTGAATCCCTATCTATGCATTTGAGATGTGTTTATGGATGACTGTACTTATGCATTACTATATATTACTGATTTCTTTGGTTCATGTGTGGTTTCATCTTTAGTTCGGTACACTGCTTTTATGTGGGAAACGATATTTCCAATATGGACATGGTTGAAATGTATTTCGACTGTTATTTTCTGTATTTCAGGTACACTAGGTTTTAAAGTGTGGGATGCGATTCCCTGGATTGTCCATTTTCTGTTGTTATGTTGTCCGAATTTCGCCCGTTTCCTGGTTACTATTACGTTGTCATGGGTGTAAGTGGTTAAGTAGTTTCATAAACTCAAAGCACGATTTTCTAATAAAATATTGCCAACATTACAACACATTAATTTGATATGCGTCTTGTAGGACATGCACGCCTATTATGTCCGGCTATCTTACATATACTGCATTTAGTTTGGCTAGAACTTGGTTGGTCCTCAAGTTCGTCCATTTCATTGCGAATACGTGTAGATTTAGGACGCCCCTGTCCACGCATCATTGAGACATCAGGAACAAGCTTTGGTCCGGGATGTGGGGGAATTCCATCTTCACTACCAATCGGCAGAAATGGAGAAGAGTAGACACGCATAATGGAGTTTACAGAGAACACCGGATCCACGTATTGCTCAACATCAAGGGCTACCTTCTTACATGATGCAATAACATGGCTACACGGAATTTTGAATGCTTGAAACTTACCACATTGGCATTTCCTATCATTGAGGTTAACCCAAAATGTATCTCCTTGGTCATCGACTTCAAATGAGGTGCGCGCCACGTTATACTCCCGAACACGCATCGATGTAGCCCTCTCACTGTTCTTTGTCATCGCTTCTGAAATAGTTTTTGAGAAACGCTTTCCAATCTCAACATCTGTCTGTGCTTTACACCCTCTTTTAAAAAAGTAACGTGCAAGTCGACTATATGTGCATTTTACCAAAGAAGTTATTGGCATGTTCCTCGCTCCCTTGAAAACCCTGTTCACTGATTCAGAAAAGTTAGTTGTCATGTGACCATATCTTCGTCCACACTCGTCGTAACTCCGAGTCCATTTCTCCTTTGGAACAGCCTCAATCCACGCAGCGACCTCTGGACTAATGCTGCAGAACTCGGCATACGCAGCATCAAAGTAGTCTTTATTTGCAATATATCCTGCAAGAAAAAACACACTATAATATACAAACGGACCCAATCGACAAAGGATATACAACATTTTATGTAACTAGTTTGCATATATAACCTAGCTTCTTTAGAAAACCCTTCATGTATTGATCCTTGAATCGTGTATTAAAATTGCTCCCTACATGACGAAGGCAAAACACATGGTATGCATTAGGAGGTTGCCATCCAATGTCTGGATTGGCCACTGCTGATAAAATGCTTTTGTGTCGATCCGAAATAAGGCTTATACCAGTCTTATTGGTTACATGCATTCGGATGGATGCCAAAAAATATTCCCATGCATCTTTTGTTTCACTTTCAACGACCGCAAATGCAATTGGCAAGACCTCATTGTTTCCATCTTGCGCTGTGGCGATCAATAATGTCCCTTTATATTTACCGTACAGATGCGTACCATCGACCTGTATGAATGGTTTACACCATTTAAACGCCTCCCGACATTGACCGAAAGTCCAGAAAACACGTTGAAAAACCCTGGACCCGGTAATAACTTGTCCATTCATGACACACGGTCCATGTTGAATATGGTAAACTGACCCCGGAGAAAAATTCAACATGTGTGCGAACCATCTTGGCAGGAACGCGTATGACTCGTCCCAATCTCCGTAAATCTTAGCAATTGCTTTCTGCTTTCCCATCCACGCCTTCCTGTAAGAAACATTATATCCAAAAAGGGCAGTAACCCGTTCTTGTATCAAGATAACGGCCACCGACGGCGAAGCCTTCACCATGTCTGCATACAGATATAGAGCATATTTGTAATTAGTAATAATATCGGCCTTCACATGATAAACTCATAAATTGTCCCAGTACGATAACTTCAACAATGTATAGTACCTAGAATGGCCTCAGATATAAAATGTGAATCAAGTTGTTTGTGATCTTGAGAAAGGGTTGTGCTGACACAAGAATGTTTTCCAACCCATTTACTGACTACCCAGCTGTTCCTATTCTTCGGTTTAATTGCCCTTACTCGCCAATTGCAGCCTTCTTCATGCTTATGGCATTTCATAGACAACTTCGTGGTTGTACTTTCAACCACTACACCTTCTTGATGCTCATTCATGCAGTAATGTTTTATAGCAGCTTGAACATCGCTCTTTGACCGAAACTCTTGTTTCACATACATTTCGTCTCCTCTTGTCCACGGACCACGACCTAAGCCTTCAACATCCAGTATGTCTTCGTTCGGATAATCAAAATTAACAGCCTCATAGTGTGGGATGTCATCCCAAAATGGTGTCATATCTACAAAAAAATACAAAAACAAATTTGCCAAATATTAAAGTGATTATATAAAAAATTAATCATACAAGACGATACAAGACGTTCAATGGCTAACCTGATGATGATGGAATAACCGGATTATTGGACGTAGGGATAACAGTCTCCTGTGATATGGGATTATCATGATGTTCATCATCACCTCCATCACTATGATTCTGATCATGGTCATTTTCCAGTAGAGTGTCTTCATCTTCCTCCTCCTCTTCATTGTCAGGTTCAACATCTACCATATAGTCGCTTTCATCTCCACTTGCAATAGTTGATTGTGTGGGCTGGGGTTCCGATGATGACGGCATTTGTGTCTGACTGTTAAGGTCCAACCCACGTGTCGGTATTGACATGTCGTCTGATGTCTCAATATCGACATATAACTCAACAAATTGAGATGTAGTAGAGTTTTGGACAAATGTTCCAAGAAAAATGTCAATGTCCTCATCATCAGTTATTTCTAAACCTGCATATTTTCGATTACCACATGGGACTCGACCCGTGACTGAAGAAATTACCTGATTTTGTTGCAACTTCAACTTCTGACGAATCTTCTGAAGTAGATCTTCAATGGACAAGCCTCGGACAATATACATTGCTCTTTTTTCCCCTTCGAATCTCAACCCGCCTACACTGTTAATTTTAGAACCATTATAATATACAAAAGACCGATATTGTTCCATTGTACTGTGTATTTATGCAAATAACACAAAAGGAGATCTGATGAAAGTAGAGATTAAAAAAAAGTAAATACAAACATTAAATACGCATTACAGCAACTCATACAAAAAAAATTACGACATTACAGCAAGGTCATACAACAAAATTTTAACACTACAAGCAAAGCAACTGATACAAACAAAATTACTAGAAGTCAAGAACCCGTCAGTCAAAATCATATACAAAAATAGCAAGCATCCCGAACTTTCAAAATGTCCCATACTAAGTAACACCGGAAGACCCTATATATAACCAGGCAAATATTTCCGTAAGTGTCAGTGGCGAGATTAATTTTGTAGTGCACGGGACGCTACCCCACGAGTATCGCGTGGGGGGATGCAGAAGGACAACGTAAACCGTCAACCAAGGTGGCGGGAGTAGGTACGTGGCTGGAACACGTCACATTACCTGGCGGAGCTTTTGTACACGTGGCATAGTCTCGCCAACTGATATGGTAAAGAAGATTCTGTTAGTCATTTAAAAAGTGAATTTGAATCTTCTTGACCATCATGTTAAAGAGAGATTATAAATAAAAAAAATTATTGTTCAGGAATTACCCAATGTATTATAGTTATCTTTAAAATAAATTGTACTCAATCTGTAATAGGCTGAGTAGCTGGGTGATTCCAATCAAATATATGTTTAAGGAGAGATAAAAGAATTTTTAATTTTGATAAATCCCAATTCAGGATTAATCTCTATAGGCAAAGTCGGTGTACAAAAAATATATAAATAAATTGTCGTCCAAAGAGATAGGGACCCAATGGAATATGGATTCAGGTCCTATAAAAAAGGGTATTCCGTTACATAATAATGTAGCCGGTCAATATTCAGTATCCGGCGAGACTCATAAATAATGCTTAGATTCACAAAATAAAGGATGAATATTGTCTCCTTTGTTCCGTTGCTTTTATTCCCTCATTTCTTCTGTACTTCTGTTGAGATTTGTTTAAGTTTTTTAAAAGCTAATAACGAATTATTATGAAAAGATACTCTCTCTTTTTAATTTGAATAATAGTTTATGTGATATCATCTCTTCAATAACGTCTTTTTTTGCGCGTCATATGTAGAGGCGGTCAGGTTCTAAAGAAAAATAACGACGGTTTATCTGTCAAATATTTAGTTAAAATATCCTAATTAAAAATTGTAATTGTTTTTACTTAGTTACTAATTATATTTATTTAGCTATGTAATTAGTTTTAAAAACCAATTTTTATTTTAGATAAGCATATAACAAAGTCTAGTTGCTTATATATAGATATATCTTCTTAATGCATATAAATAAATTAACATAATTTTCTTATAAGATTGTGGGGTTTTATCTCTTTATTTCATTAAAAGCTTCTTTCTAGAAATATAAATCCTTTTACTTCTGTTTGGCGCATTTTATTTTAAGTTAAAAACTATTTTTAAACTAAAATTGAAAATAATAGTTTAAAAAATGATATTAAAAACTGTTTGGGAATAAATAAAATTTTTAGTTTAAAAGTTACTCTAAAACTCAAATTAAAATTAAGTTGTTTGATAAAAATAACTTTTCAAATTTCTATTTCTAATTAAAAACACCATAAATGTATTAGAAACCTATAGCATTTAGATAAACACAAATATAATAAGAAGTAAAAGATAAAGATTTTAAGGAAAACATAGATTGAAGAATAAATAACTTTTTTTTTTTTTTTGGTAAACAACGTTCTTAAATTTGAAGAGGATATCGAATAATTTTTTCATTAAGGTAGAGAGTAAAATATTTTAATACAGTTTTAGAATAAGGACATAATTAGAAAAAATATTAGTACTAATTAAGAAGAACTAAACTACACCTTAAAAAAAACTATTCTTAGGAGCTTTTAATTTTTTTATTTTATTTATATAAATATGTTTGATTAAACTTCTTGTATAAGAAGATAAATTAGAAAAAAGACACGGTACAAAATATACGTAAATAAATCTCTTGTCAATGGCGATAGAGATTAGAGAGGATAAATTAAAACTGGTATAAGATCCAATATTATTGATTAAAAAGTAATGGTTTAAAAATAATAAGAATATAAATTATTTTTCATATATTTCAAAAGTACTATATATTATATTAATATTAAAATATACGATGAACTATTAGATAATTCTAAAATAATATAAGATTTTATAATATAATAAGAATTTTTAATTCAGTGGTAGATTGTATAATATAATTATTCAATAAAAGGTTATTTAATAATGTAAGTGTGATTTAGAATTATGCAAATCAATCTCTCTTACTAAAGGAAACCATTGTCATTTGTAAATGAAGAATCGGATGCCTTTGAATTTATCAACACGCTTTATTTAGATAAATGTATATAACAAAAGTGAAGCCCAGCTTACAGATATATCTTTTAGTGTTAACAGATTCTGTTAGCATTTTATATTATCAAAAATATAAAATAAAATAAAATAAAATAAAATGAGAGAGAGAGAGTAAAATATATATAAAAAAGTTAATAACGAATTATTATGAAAAAAGATTATTTGAAATAGAATTGGATAATCCAAGATATGTTCGTTTTGTGTAATTATCTCTCCAATAATCTCTTTTTTCACGCATCCTACGGAGGGGGTGGTTAGGTCCTAACGAAAAACAAAATAGGGCTTATCTATCATTATCTTATTTTTGTTGATGAATACATTTTCCGCGTAAATATTATAGTCATGTGAATTAGAGATCCTATATATGCAGGAGCCAGGAGGGGTCTGGTCTTAGTGAAGTCATTCAACAAGTGTACGTCCAGAATACAAGTTCCATGGAGAAGTGTTCATATGATTACTTTAAAGATGTGTTCATTGGTGCTTCTGATTCGCAAAATGCAGGAGAAACGGTCACTCACTTTTGTTTGTTTTGTTGCTTTTATTTCACTAATTTCATCTATATATAATGATTCTTTAACATTTTAAGTAAGGGTGGCAATTCGAATTCAACACGAACATGGAACATTCAATACGTAATAAATTTTAAGTAAGGGTGGCAATTCACAGCCATTGAATCAAAAACTGATCATTTTATGTTGGCATATAAATACGTAATAAATTGATAAACAATTTTATTTTTTTAGAAAAAAATGATTTCTTAAAAAAAAAAAATCATCCTAATTATAATTAATGTTAATTCCATATAAGCCAGCCATCTAATTCCTTTCTTGAAAATATTGTGCAGAGACATCTTTTTGGAGTTATATTGAAAGATTATATGTCCTGTTCGCCACCAATCGGATTGAATCTCCAGTTTAGAGGCGCTGATGGCGATGTTGCTGCTAACGGAACAACTCAGAAAGCCACAGTTGGGTTTTTTCCCGCCTCTGCGCTCAAAATCGAAACATACCACGTACGTTACTCAATTAATAAATGTTAATACTTGCTCATACAAAATGAGTTTCATTTATTAAATTTTTTTTTTACGTTTTTCAATTTTTTTATGTTATTTATATATATATATATATATATATATATATATATTTTTATCATTTATTTATTTTTAATATATTTGTTGTTGTATATTACATACAGCCTGTGGCTTCACAAGAAATGGAATTGGTGGCTAAGTGTTATTATGAAAAGCGAAGATTTGCATGGGAGGTGTTACATAAATATCATATGATCAAGTATAAGTTTGAAGTATTATGGGAAAATATTGTAGCCATGCGTGCAGATATAAAAGAAGATAGAACCGGAATTCTTGAAATTGAGGTTTATTTTTATTTATTAATTTCATACTTTTTTCTCTTAATTAAATGTACTCGATGTTCATCGTTTTTTTATTTTTTATTTTTCTCAGCTAAACAAGCCACCAACGTTCTATCATGACCTTGACCCAAAGCCCAATAGCCATCCTAATTGGGAGTTATCACAAGATTTCACAGGAGGTCGTGCTTCGAAATATTGGTATGCATTTTGTGTTGATTCTAAATTATTATTATTATTTTATTTAATTTTAGAATAACGTGTCAGATATTCACTTTCTTTATTATTATATTTCCTTCCTAACTCCATGAACAGGATACATTACCTTGAGTTCCCTCATGGAGTTCTGAATAAACTCATGCAATGTGTAAATGGATTGTTGAATTTTCAACCATTTGACAATGTGATGCCATCATCGCTAATGCATTCAACTTCATCAAAATCAGGTAATAACTATGTTCATTATTTCCTTGCCTTTGAGATTGAGCTATATATATATATATATATATATATATATATATATATATATATATTATTAAAACATAATGAAACTGATCTTGGTTTTTATTAAATAAAGGGGCCACGGTATTGGAAACCGACCCAGCTACTGACAAGCAAAAAGGAGTTCTTATTTCATCTCAAGAAGCTCAACCAATTGACCATATGATGCCATCATTGCCAACGCATTCAACTTCAGCAACATCAGGTAATAACTGATTTCATTTTAATATTAAAATATAATGAAACTGAACTTGGTTTTTATTGAAACATTTTAATTTTAATTTTAATTTTTTGGTAGATACTCGCTTTCCTCATGTCAACATATCCAATACTCCGATATTCCAAGATGGAGAGATGGCCCTAAGGAGTCAAGAACTTGATGTTGATGCAAATATGCCAAGTACAAGCGGTGTCAAAGATCAATCTTCTGGGCTGTACGATGAAAACTCTATTGACTTTTCATGGCCAATAGAGGATATAGACCCAATGTTTTATGCGCCGGTTAACGAAGATTGTAATGACCTGACATGGATAGAAGATTTTTTCAAATCTATTGATCCTGAATAATTATATCTTTTCATTATATGTGGTGATGCAAATTTAATAAAATTCAATAAAATTCCTTACACATAAACTCATGTGATGTGTATTTACGTTGTATGTTGTACCTTAAATAATTTCATTTCGTTTTATATCATCTAAGTTTCATTAAAGACACGATTCTCATGGGACTTCTAAATCATTAACCACAAGTGAACATGAACCGCAAAATAGAATGATAGTCATTACATAAACTACGTACCACAGCTCCAAAGTTGGCTTAAAAATTATTGCCCAAGCAGATCTTGTGCTATAAAAGATATAAAATAAAAAGCTCTTGTGCTTTATGTATCGTTACAATTCACAATACGATTAATCAGTGGTGAAAAAGAGAATAAATTAAAATTGCCGTAAGATTTAATATTCATACACTCTAATAATTCTAAGCAAAATGTATTTTTTTCTTCAATTGAACAGTAAAAGTTTAAAAATGATAAGAGTATGATTTATTTTTCATATATTTCAAAAGTATGCATTACGTTAGTTTTGAAATATATGATGAACTATTAAATAATTCAAAAATAATGTGAAATTTATAATATGATATAAATTTTTAATCCAATGGTAGATCGTATAATATAATTATTCGATAAAAGAGTTATTTAATAGTTTAAGAGTTGTTTCGAATCTCTCATACTGAAAGTAAAAAAATAAAAGTAATAATAATAATACACAAAAACATTTTAGTTTGTAATTGAAGAATCATATGGCTTGAAGCTTGATAATATCGTAAATACATGATAATTATGGGTGAGCACCGATTGCTTGCTTTTAATGTATTATTTCGTTGTACCAAAAAAAAAAATTGTATTATTTCATTAAGATGTTTATGGTTGGATCGTCTTTGAACATAATTTTAAATTTCAAACCATGATGTATTATTTTAACAGTGAATATATTGCATTAAATTTATTAATTAATTAATAATTCACAATAAATTAAAATTGTTGATTTATGATTTAGGATATAAAAAAAATAAAATCATATCCTTTAAAAGAATAAATATTTTTTTCTAAGAGAATACTTTTCTTATATCACATAAGAAAAATATAATTTCTTATACTCATATTTCTTAAATGGATCTGATAAGAATTTTTCTCTCTTCTATTTATTGTTCAGGTAGAAAATAATATTTTTTTATGTAAAATAAGAAAAATATTTTCCTTAAATAAATTTCAAAAAAAAAATCCTTTGTGAATCCCCAAAATGATGTGCAAACTTTCTCTTGTTCTTTATGATTTTAACTTATGAATTTATTACTATCATTATTTATTTTGAGAAAAATGAAAAACTTGCTCGAGAAGTTGTTTGTTTGGAGGAGTTTTGCACGGAAAGTAAAATAAAATCCAAAATAAAAAGGAATAGCATAGCATAGTTATTCTTCTTGGTTTTCTTTTTCCCGTAAATTCCTAATTCAATGATTATTCGGTTGTATATATATAAAAAGGAATAGCCAATTTTTTTCGATTTAAATTGGACCGGTTTTCGGTTTTTTGAAAATCCTAAAATTTGTTTCATTATTATTGTGCAAATAACATATTTTGTATATATTGATCTTGTAAATATTTTTTTTTTGAATACAAAAGCATCATTAAACGATAATATAGTTTTTTTTGGACAATGAGATATGAAGCTCTGTATAGATGAAATTTTGTTGATGAGAAATAACTAAGTTTTTTTCTTGGGTTTAGTTGATAGGTTAATGAGTCTTGTGTTTAAAATTTTTTGGGCTATGATTAAGAAAAGACCCAAATAGATAGAGGGGATTAATATATTGTATCGTTTGGATGGAATCAGTTTTTATTAACCAATCCGAAAATAGATCTAATCCAATTAAAATTTGCGATTTTTTTTTTAATTTTCGATTTATTTAATTATCAGTTATTCTGTTCGGTCACTGCATCTTGAATCTGTCGAGGAACACCCTAAGCTGCATAAACATTTTTTCCTTTTCCTATACAAAAAAAAAAAAAGTGAATCTCACCTTTTTTTTTTTTTTTTTTTTCTCTTTTCTATTATCTGTGGATCTCATTCCCTTGTGATTTTATTTCTACGAGGTAAAATAATTATTTTCCCACGACATAATAAAAGTATTTCCATTATATAAATTACAAAACTTGAGTGAGGAGAGAAGAGAAGAATCTGGTAACTTCAGAGTTGAGTGTTGTTCTCACACAGACGCACCCAGGTACGCTCTTCCGTTTCTTTCATTTTTGTGGTGAGTGGGTCAGTCAAAGTTGTTTTCTTGGCCACTCTATCAATTATTCTCTTGCAAAATGCATGACCAATTTTATACATTTCATTTTTGCCATTTTGATTGCAAAATAATGTTATCCTACCTAGGTGCGGTGCGGTACGGTGCAGTGCAGTTTGATTCCTAATTTTAATTCTTCTTCTTTTTGTGTTTTTTTTTTTTCTTGATAATTTTATTTGTTTTCTCTGTGTCTTTGTTTTTCTGTAATGTAATTCTTATATCGTATTTACGGACAAAGGTTTCCCTTTTCGAATTGGAACGCTCTCCTCGTAGTGGTTTGTGGTACTTTCTTTAATTGTTCTGCCCTAATTTGTTCTTTTATGATCGAAAACTTCAATCATGGGTATAGGGACTTTCTTTAATTGTTCTAATCGTGGGAGCATTTAATTTTGGAAAAAGTGATCAATTATGTGGTTACTTGGATCTAATTTTCTTTGACAGTGTTTATAGCATAATTGGGATGGAAGTCTCTGGCCAGAATGTAGTGACATGTGATGAAGAAAAAGCATTGAAGTGCTTGCTTGATGCCTTTGGCTCTGCATTTTCTCTTGAGGAAATAGCTTCTGCTTACTGCAAGGCAAGCCGGAATGCATGCTTGGCTGGGGAAATTTTGTATGAAATGCAGGGAAGCTCCTCAACCTCTGCAACCCCTTCATCTAATGGAGGTGCCAGGGTTGAAGAGTCTTCACTATCATCTGATGGATATCCCTTTGAAAATTTCGCCCAAGAAAGAAAAAAATCAAGCTCCAGAGTTCGCCCAGCTTCAACAGGTACTGTTTCAAGCATTATTGGGAAGGATTATGTTAGACCCATGTCATCAGGAAATGGGTCTTATGGTGTCACTAAACCAATTAAGTTGGATGCAAATGTGCTGCCAATGACTGGAATCTGGCGTGAAAAATGTAAGCCGGATATGTTAAAGCATGATCAGCTTCAGCAGGATATGGAAGATTTCTTATTTAAAATGCTTGGAGATGGCTTTCAGCTTGACAGAAATATGATACGGGAAGTTCTTGGTATATAACTAACTCCCAAACATTTTGCTGTTGAAATAATATTGAAGTTGTTTTTTCTCTCATTTGTTGACATTTCCTTAATTTTTTTGATTTACAACCTCCTTTCTATAAATATTATAGGGAACTCCGTGTCATCTGTTGTTTTGGTCATTTCATTGTAGAAAACTCAAATTGTTCTTACCTCCTTTTTTTTTTTATTCAACTAATCCCATACTAGCATTGTTTGCAACTGATATTTCATTTTCTTCTTTGTATGATTTCATATAATGCTTAGCTAACCATTTCTAAGAAAACTTCATCATATATTACTCAACTGAAAGTACTAGTTTTACCAAATGTACATCATAATTCTTTATATTGTTATTTAGTTATCTTTATCATGATTATTCTGGGCATGCATATGCCGTTTTGAACAGCTTAACATCTAGAATTAATTATGACATGTCTTGAAAATAAATTAGCTTGTAGGTTGATCTGATGCAAGTCTTGAATGCTTTCTTTCCTGGCTTGACTAAACCAATTTAACACTCAATTTTCTATCTTGGGTGCCATTCTGTTCGTGTATTAATGAATCTGATTTTACTTTCTGTTGTCAATTCTTACTATTATTTACTAAACAATTCAATCTATTGACATCTAATGTGTATTATTATTTATTAATTTCATGACTGAGACAAGTAAAACATAAGCTGAACTATATAATTATTTATTATTATCATTATTTCTTTAGTTTGTATAAACAGCTGACCTGATTTTATTGCCAACATGCAGATATTTGTGGTTATGATATGCAAAAGGTACACACAAATTTTCTTGTGCTGCCATTGATGACGCTTTATGCTTTTTTTTTCCCCTTTCTGGGGTTCATATCAAAATCTACTATATATGTTTTTTTTTGCACCTATAATCTCATTTAGGGTTCAAACATCGTAAGTCTGACAATATATCATCTTTCTCTTATTTATTTTTTCTGGGTTATCCACGTTCTACCTCAATTTTCTGATTTTCTTAGTAAAATGACATACTTTATTAACAATCATGGTTTTTCTGTTCATACTACCCGATTTTCATTTTTCTATTGTCATTTCTAATTTGCATGACATCATTGTTGTGCGATAAGAAATAGCACTTGTTTCCTATGCCTAATAAATATATATTGAAATTATCCAGAGCTTGGAAAAACTACTAGATCAATCAATTGTGGCTCTGGACAAAAGGACAGCTGATGTTGGTGATTCAGCTGGGAGGGTAAGTATGAATGCCAAGATAATCTATACTTGAAGTCCACTAGGACTACTTTTTCTATTTTCATTATATCTAGTTGCAGATATTATAATTTGTAAATATTAAAATTCCTTTGCTATACTAATGCAAAGATTTGGGATTAAATTCTGCCTTCACCATGTAGGAGAGATTTTAGGCATGGGAGAGGGTTACCTCATGTTGTGAAAGTTGTTTGCTGCATTCCAGTCTTTCTTTTGAATGTTGTCTTGTGATATACGTGAATGATTTCTTTAACCAATTGTTTACAAGGAGCACATAATGTCTTGTGAAGAATATATTTGTTACTAAGAACAAATATATTTGTTACAAAAAAAGACCCCTAGATGCTCCCATAAGAACGAACGAAGTTTGTTACTAAGAGCTTGGCACAAAGAGAGAAAAAGGTTGACCGAAACTTACTTTGGGCAAAATAGTAAAACAAGATTTAATGGAGTGGTAAATAAATTGGAAGGTGTGTCTTAGGACGGATTAGCACTGTGGAGGGGTAGACGTGTTTTTCTTCGATCTAGGCACCTAGGTGGTCCCTTTTTATTCCCTTCATTTCTTTCTTTATTTATTTAATTATTTTCTTCTCTAATTTATTTTTCCCTTTTATCTATCTATTATTATTTTTATTATTTTGTCCTCTTATTTATTTTTCTATCTTATCTATCTTTATTTTTATTATTTTTTTATATTTATTTTTCTATCTTATCTATTGTAAAGAACCAATTCAACCCAAAAGCTTAAGCTGTTGGGTGAGGCTACATTATGGTTTTATATATCTCAACACGCCCCCTCACACGAAAGTCCACTGGGCTTGAAGGGTGAACAATGCACAGGCCCACCTACATGTGCGAAGAAAGAAATTTCACTTGAAAGAAAGTGGGAGGTGGTGAGGATCGAACCCGGGACACGAGGTTTTGATACCATGTAAAGAACCAATTCAACCCAAAAGCTTAAGCTGTTGGGTGAGGCTACATTAATGGTTTTATATATCTCAACATTTTTTATTTTTTATTTATTTTCCCCCTTCTTTTCTGTCAATCTTTTCTTATTTTTTCTTTTTGGGTTCATTTGCCGACCCCTTTTAGTTTGGAATAAAAGTGTTATTGATGTTGATGTCTTAGTTTTTGACTTTCACCTTTTGTGCTGAAAATTATATCTTGATGTCTAAATTAAAATTTTGACTGCCATCTAAATTGTTGATTGCTGTTTAAGCTAACTGTACTTTTATAGTTTACAGATGTGAAACCAAAATCTGAAGCGCCTTCATCGGAAAGAAAGTCTCAGAATTTAAATTATTTCAGAGGGTATATTTTCCTTTTTTTCTCCTTTCATTTTTTCTTTCTGTTAATATCTACTACTTCTGTCATCATCTTATTTACTTTCAAAGATTAAGGGTGTTCTGCTTTATCTTTTGTTTTAATTACATTGTGCTCTAGTGAAATACTCAACTCATTTTAATGCCATATTTTGGGTTGTAATTGTATATTTTGTCATACAGCGATCAGAGCATTGTTTCAATTAAAGAAGTAGAATCACATAAGCAACAGAAAGAGAGAGTTGACCTTCAAAAAGAAGTATTGTCTACTTTGTTTAGTTATCGTGAGCATTCTGAAGAGTCTCCTAGTAGAATTGTAAAGGGCGTAAAGAAGAATTCACGATATGGACATGTGGTGTATGAACCTCCCAAAGACTCGATGGAAGAATACAAGATTGACATGAACTTCTCACTACAAGAAAATGTCGATGGTACTTCCTTTTCACTTCCCTGGCAAACCTGATTCTCAATATCTGTTGTTGTTTTGTTATTCTGGAAAACCTGATTCCCAGTTTTTCTTTGTAAAAAGTTCATTTATTGAGCTACATGATTTTTGCAGAGGCATAGTTGTCTATATTAGACTAAAACAGTGGAAATATTGATATTAATTGTAAGTTATATCTTGTATGAGAGTATAGAATTTCTTCAATTTTAGAAAATATATTTTATGATGCTATAACCTGCATGCGTTTCCTTAGCCTGAGGATTATTGCTTTGTGATTAGATGTTGATTCATATGCTACTCTTCACTGTGGGCCAAGTATAGGAATTTTTTTCCGTTTTAGTTAGAAGAATATCTTGATGCTTTCCTTGAAGCAGAATCCACTGATCGTTTATTTTCATCTTATATTTCTTGTTGCATAATATATGGCTATTTTATTTTCTCTTTTTGAAGTTGGATTACTTTATATAAAATTGAGTTCTGTGTATGGCAGCAGATGCAGAGGACGAGGAAGACTACCAGACTGTGCGAAGAGCTGTGAAGGAGCACCGAGCAACAATGAATGAATATTATAAAGCAGTATGTTGCATTCTTTTCTCCCGCTTACGGGTGTTATATTTTTGTCCCACATTTGATTATGACATATTTGCTATGCGGAATGACTTGGTGTGGGGTCTTTACTTTGGACATTGTAAAGTGCACTCATGGGTCACTTGTCACTTCAGGCAGTTGATGCATTTGCAAATGGGGATCAAATCAAAGCTGAAACACTTTTAGATAAGGTAAAGTTTTTATAGAATTGTGCCTGGAGATAAGTTGCTTATGATGCAATAAACGTTGACTTTTTTCATGACTTGCTAATTTGTGGTTCATTGATATACTGGTTATTGTGTGTTGTTAGTAATGCTTTCTTTCTTTCATATTATTTTTTTCCCTGCTTGTAGCCGTAATCATCTTGCTTTCAGTTGTTTTTTTTTCTAATAATGTATTATAAAGGGAGACTCCTTTGAGCATCTTGGATTAGTTGCCATTATATCAGAAAGTGCTAGTTTCAAAAGAGAAAAAGTTGCTACATTTGGTTTATGTTGGACATATCGCGTGTTTCGACTATCATATTTCTCAATGAAAGTCTGACCAGATACTTGTTTAATTATAACTTATAATTACTCTAGTTGCTCAAATTTTGTCGTTTGACAAGTGTACGCTATGGTGATGACAGGGGCATATTTTTCTCAAAAAGGCTCGTGAAGCTGATGAAGAATCTAGCAGAATGATTCTTGAAACTAGGTTAATCTCTTCTGCTCTAAAATTTTCATTGCTTCATAATTTTTCTTCTACTTCTTTAAGGGGGTTAGCATGGAAAATTTTCTATGATAGGTAATATAATATTTTTTTTTATTGTTTGTTGGCAGGAATACAGAAGCACAAGAAATGGTGCTTGACTTGCATGACCATAGTTCAAAGGAGGCTATACGTCTGCTAAAGTTTCATCTATCTTCCCTTTCTGGCATTCCATGTAAGTTACAGGGGTTAGCTACTAATCAGTATAAATTATTGATCCTTGTCAGTTTTCAATTTTCCTCCAGTTTTCTATGGTTATTTTAACATTCTATAATTTACATCAGCCTTTAAGTGCCTCAAGGTTATCATTGATTCAAATGATCAAGAAAACACTAAAGGGTCTCGCAGACGACGGGTAAGATTGACTGATTTCTTGATGTTTAACTCAAATTTCTAATTTGCGTGCATGTTCTGTTTGATAAGGAAATAGAAAATCTGACTAATTTTCTTTTTACGTGATTTCAGGCTTTATAGTAGTTTTAGTTTGGAGTACCACATGAGACTTAATGATGTCTGATTGTTGAGCCATGAGGCAATCTGTAACATGCTGGTCTTTGATTTTGGACAGGTATTAAAACTATTAGAGCAGGAATCTATAGAGTGGGTTCCAGGAGAAACTGCTCATACAATATTGATCCGCTTGGATAGCATAGAGCGTAAAGGTTTGAGTTTTCTCAAAACATAGCTGCCTTTTGAATGAAGGGTGGTTTATTATACCAAGTCTCCGATTAGTTAACAAATGATTAACCATCCATGCCCACAATGTGCGAGTAATTGGCTATTGGTGTAATTCGCAATTGAAGTTGTAAGGTGTGTTTGGTTTTCTAGCCACATAATTTCCCCCAAATTTTGTAACATTTTTTGAAATATGGAAGATCCAAATCAGTAAATGTCTTTTTCCTCTCTGAGAATGAATTCTTAGACAATAAAGTTTTACGTGATCTCATTTTGTTTTTTTCAATCTCTTGATAGACATTAAATGAGCAAAATCTTATTAAAATGTATGGAGAAAAAATATTGGTATAAAATTTGACAGCGAATTTCTTTCATAAAATATTCGTTTCCCTTTCTAGGTACATGGGATTTTTATTAAAACATTAACTGCGTGCTAGTAAAATGCAAATTATGTTCCCTTGAAAACACACAATTTGAAGTTTTGGCGCTAGGACTTCTGATGAGTTTGTATGAATGTTTTTTTTTTTCAAGATTGCCTTTACAATTCGTATAATATCTTTTAATAATGGTACTTGTTTAGCTGGATTTCTAGTCATGTCCAATTTGCGTGACCCTTTATTGAACACGTTGGTTATCAAGATTTTCTACGAAAAATGATATGCGTGAGCTCATTTCCTTCTTGAGAGAAATGAGATTTGAGTTTCGGAAGGTATCGTTGAAACTGTGATAGAATTCCTCCCCGCAGTTAAAGAAACTGACCTTTTTAATTATTATTATTTATTTATTTTACCCATGAAAATATAATCTCGCCCAAATGTTTTTGCGATTCACACAGGTCGTACTAAAATGGACCTTTTCCAAATTAAATTAGCACCCGATCCCTATAAATCAACTGCAAAATATTCACTACTACTAAAACCGGGTCAGGTCACACGTGGCCTAATCTAACACGTCTCACTAGTACTAGTAAAATTCTCCATAAGCAGGTGCTATCATTGAGCCTACCCTAGCGTTTGGCAAATAATTTTTTTTTTTCTTTTTGGAGTTACAGATCATAATTATTTTTTTAGGTTAGTTGGCTCCTCGGTATCCTTATAAGTTTCAAATCTTTGAGCTGGTTATGCGACTAAATCAGAATACGGATGAGTCAGAGATAAAAATATTTAAACTCCTTCTAAAATAATATTTGACAAATAATTAATTTGTGTATTTGTGTGAATATTATTGTCAGCCAAACTCGCTTTCATTGATGTTCCGACTGACAATGATACCATTCATACTGTGATGAACAACAAAATAATATTCCTCCAACCCATAAGTAGGGGTTACCATTATGTTTGACCAATGATCAATGCGTGTATTTGTGTCGGTACTGTTGACAACACGATCAGCTACCATTGATGGTCCAACAATATATTTGACGAGTCCACCTTCGCCAATCGCCATATCCATGAAATGTCACTAGAAATCTACATTTCCTAGCCCACAATATATTGATTCTATATAGCATAGTGTTTTTCTTACGAATTCAGAGCCTATTGACCATGAAAGGTCATTAAAATATAAAAAATGTTTAAAAAATATTTTATCAGTTTCCGCATAAGTTTGACCATTAACGTAACCTTTTAATTAACAGCTTAAGAGAGCGTCATATTTCGGGATATAAATAAGTTAGGCTTTGGTTTAAATAGGTCAAGCCTGTATAAAAAATATTGGGTCTGATCTGGTCTGTTAGTCTGTGTAGGCCGTAAATTTCAAGTTTGATCTGACCTATATTTAAAAAATAAAAGTCTTGGCCTAGACCTGTTAACCTGTTTAAGCCTATTAAATATTCAATAATTAAAAGAATAATTACAATAATATTACTTTATTATTAAAATCATAATTTTATTTTAAATAAATACTATGATATAGGTCGATCTGTAGACTTATAGACCCGACATGTACAAAAAAAATCTATGGACTATTTTCTAACTAGATTTTTTTAAAAGCCTAGATTTGTTCTATTTTACTATTTGTAATAGGTCAAATCTAACCTAATATAGAGTAGGCCGTAAGTCCCTATCCCATTTTCACCCCTAACCATATCTCTTCTCGATTTTGACGTGTTAGGTTGGGTTGACCATTAACGTAACCTTTAATTAATATCTTAAATTATTGGGTTAAATTGATGGTGTTATATGATATATATTAGGACTTGTGACCAAGTAGTCACATATTCAAACCTCACCACCCCTATTTTCTAATAAAATTGAAAAGTAAGTTAAAACCAATATAAAGCAAAAAAAATAAATAGAAATGGACCAAATTAATGTGGTCTTCAACTAATAGTTTAAGTGGTTGGGTTAAATTAGTTGCATTACATGATATTAGTACTTTGATCAAGTGATCACAAATTTGATTCAGATCATCTCATTCTATTAATAAATAAAAAAATTATAGAGTTTCTTAACACAAGTAGTAAGTTTATGCATTAATCACGTATGAGTTCATGATAGATATGTATATTATTTATGCTTAAAATCCAAAAAACTTGTATGTGAAGAGATGTATTAAAGTAATATAATATAAAATTCGCATTCAACTAACTGAAAAAACAAACATTTTATGCGAAGACAGACAAAACAAACTGATAGGTTTATCTTTTTAGTCACGCAAGCACCATTATGGCAGCTAGTTAAATGCAGGAATACCGGATTGTATCTCCCACAAATTTGAGCTTTGTGAGCCATTTTGTAGTTCTCAAACAATGCAATTATTGCAAGCCTTTGATATCATTTATTGCTTTAAAATATGAAAAAGTGTGTTATTTTAAAGGATGTAAAGTTATGTCATTTTAAGTAAGAGAAAAAGATAAATTATGTGGGAGAGAAAGAGAGAGGACAAAAAAAGTTAAAAGTACGGGTCTCACCTTTTTATGAGAGTAAAATGACACAAGTTGTGTCATTTAAAAAAATAAATATTTTTCTTTTAAAATATCAGAAAAATATCTCTGCAGTTAATGCAGATAAGTTATCTGTATTTATTTCCAAAACAACGTCGTTTTGAGATTAAAAGATTAGAAAATTATAATTATAAATATTATAATAATTCTGAAATAAATTAAAATTGTAAAAATACAATGATTTTCATCCAAAACGATGTCGTATTGGACTTACCACAGATAATTTATCTGCATAACTGCATTATAATATGAGTTTATCATCTATCATTTAACATGACCACAAAAAGTTTCCTACACACACAACATTTTGTGAGGCCCGCAGCAAAAAAAAAACAAACTTCGGCACGCAAAACGAATCTATATAACATAACACAATTATTTTTCCTACAAGATAACTTTTATAAAACCCTTATAATATATGTTTAAAAGTGAAAAGAAAAGGATATACTTAAATAATTTGACTCTATTCCAGGAGGTCAAAGGAAATTAATTAGGGGACTAAGCTTGGGAAAAGTTTCTAGAAACTTAACAGCGAAGAAAGCAGCTAAACAAAAGAAATTGCACTTTGTTTATAATAGTAAGGAAAGATCTTGAGAGCGAGATACGCGTTTAGTCGTCGCTTTCTCAGCGGAACCCTTCATTCATCATATCATATGACGCCATTTTTTCCTTCTATAAATATCTAAAATCCCCTTTCTCATTACATTCCCAATTTCCACCTGAATCCTAAACCTAAACCTAAAACCTAAAACCTAAAACCTCACCTCCCAAACGAATCTACGATCATGGCCACCGAAACCGAAGCACATCCCCAACAATTGGTAAGTTTCTTTTTCTTTTTCTCTTTTTTTCTTTTTTTCAATCATATCATCTATTTTATTAGGGTTCCAGTTTGATTGAATTGAATTGAATTGATTTGATCTGAAAGGATGAGAACAAGGAAGAGCAACAACTCAAGTACCTTGAATTCGTGCAATTCGCGACCATTCAAGCCCTGATGCGTTGCGCTATCCTCTACGGTTACGCCAAGGAACGCGCCGGTCCTCTCAAGCCCGGCGTCGATACCGTCGAGGAAGCGGTGAAGACCGTCGTCGCCCCTGTCTACGACAAGTTCCACCTTGTCCCCGTCGAGCTTCTCAAGTACGTCGATCGCAAGGTCGACGAGTCCGTCACCGAGTTGGACCGCCACGTCCCAACCAACGTGAAGAAGGTCTCCTCCCAGGCCTGCTCCGTCGTCTCAGAAGTCCGCCGCACCGGCGTAGTTGACGCCGCCTCCGGCTTCGCCAAGACCGTTTACTCCAAGTGCGAACCCAAGGCGGAGCAATGTGCCGTGTCGGCGTGGAGGAGGCTGAACCAGTTGCCTCTGTTCCCTCAGGTGGCCAACACCGTCTTGCCCAAGGCGGCGTACTGTACGGAGAAGTATAACGAGGCGGTTGTTAGTTACGCCGAGAAAGGTTACAGGGTTCCTGCGTATCTCCCCTTGGTGCCTACTGAGAAGATAGCCAAGGTCTTCAATGATAATTGATCTACATTTTGAAGATCCTCCTTGTGCAATGTTTGTTTTGTCTGGTTTTTCCTTTCTAAAAAAAAAAAAAGTGTTATTAGGATACATGTCAATGTGTCCCATTCGTTGTTTGTCTTTTGTCTTTTTTTTTACATATAAATGTCTCGTTCTCTGGAGTATAAATGGAGCTTCAATATATTGGTTGGATTGTATGTATGTTTTGCAACATAGCTTGGAGGAAAAATGAACCTTTAAATTACATAAATGAATTCTTCCAAAACAAACCGGGAGTTTACATTAATAATTATGAATTAAATTTAATTTAGTCTTTTTCACTTATTAAAATCTGTTGTTGGTACATGAGGTGGGGTGATGGGTTTTGAACAACAACTAAAGGGCCAGGGTTAGGCAACTTCAATCCATCAGATTTCCACTGATGCTTCTTCACTTGAGCATAAACTGATGGACTGTCGATTGTGCTGTCAGTCTCATGCAAACCAGCTTAAAAACAGGTCACCAAAGGAAGGGGATCTTGAGAGTTTCTTTATGAACGCAAGTGGTTTGCTACAATTTTGATTCTTCCTCTTATGTACTGACATCATTAATCTAGACTCTGAAGGCAAATTAAAGCCTTGACACGATGATTTAGCCGCAGAAGAATATAATGAAAAAGTACGTTTCCAAATTTATGACTTGCTCATGTCAACAATTTCCCTAGTTTCTTCGTTTTCATCGAAGTTGTCTTTTTTCATGCTGTCCAAAAGCCCATCATCCACTTCTTTACCACCTCGTATATAAGACTTCATTAGGGCATGATACATTCGTCTATTTACTGGGACAATATTTCTTAATAAGCTCACCAAAACTACTGCATCTTCAATACTGCCCCTTTTCCGTAATCCAACTCAATAGGCCTGCAATCAAATTGGGGTTAGGCTTCCCTCCTTTATTTTCCACACACAGAGAGGGGGCTGTTTTCAAGCACCTCAATGCTTTCTCCATCTCACTCTTATGCAGGTATCCACCTGCCACTACAATCCAACAGTTTGGAGTGGTAGCCTTTCTTTCCCTTCTTCTGTAAATCTTCAAGCGTGGATTCTGCTTTCTCATGCAAACCTTTTTGTGAGTATCCAATGATTACGATATGTGGGATTCCAAAATCATAACAATTGCCGGAGGATTCATATTCGAGCAGTATTTTCTCAGCTTCATCGAGCTCCCCAAGCTTTACAAGAGATTCGAACATGATCTTGAAATCCCTGTTTATGCATCTTTTGCAAACATTTTTCTCCAGTTCCCATAGCCTTACAACCTCATTCCTTTTTCCTAGACGGGGGCATGATTGTACCCCTGGCCATCTTTATTGTCTAGCCTCTCCTCACATTTCTTTAGAGCATCAATTGCCTCACTTGTAAATCCTGCTTTTATATGGAAATTAGCAACGACAGATTAAGTGTTCCAGTCCGTTACACTCTGTGGTTGACTCTCCATCTCTTTCACTATTCTTTCCATTCCATCAATGTCAGATCTCACACCAAAAGAATTTGGGAAATAGTTTTCTCATTTTACGTGAGAAAATTTTCTCATGCTACATTCACAATACATGAGTGGGTCCATCTTGATTTTTTTGTCTTATCACCTTTTTGTGGACCCCACTCATGTATTGTGTGTGTAACATGAGAAAATTTTCTTATGTAAAATGAGAAAATCAATTTCCAAAGAATTTATACAGATTCTGTAACTGAAGTTGTCAGGCAAAACTTGTTTTTTTTTCATCACAGCTTAGCACATCAGGAACCTTCTGATGCTGTCCAATATTTGTGTACAAGGGAAATATCTATGGTACTATTGCTGTACCATTAGTTCAGTACATTTATCCAATAAAAAATGACGAATGACGGTTATTTTATATGAAAAGAAGAGAAAAATATTTTTTTAATCTAAGTGTCACTTCCTGAATGGCAGATGTACCTACTACAGATATACAAAATATGTTCTTGTGTACAAGAACAAATGTCATTGTAACTTAAGAGATGACGAAGCAAAACCCAACTCCTTCATTTTCTGCAAATGGGAGAGGGACTTATCAGTTTGGCGCTGACGAACATGGCAATTCAAGAGAGCACCGTACGTCTTCTCAATTTTGGAGTGTTGGGTTGAGTTCACCATTAACGGCACCTTTAATTATTGGGTTAAATTGTTGGTATTATATGATATATATTAGGACTTGTGACCAAGTTGTCACGCATTCCTCACCACCCCTATTAATAAAATTAAAAAGTAAGTTAAAACCAATATAAAGCAACGAAAAAAAAATAGAAATGAACCAAATTAATGTGGTTTTCAACTAATAGTTTAAGTGGTTGGGTTAAATTAGTTGCATTACATGGTATCATGACTTTGATCAAGTGATTATGAAATCGATTCACATCGTCTAATTCCACTAATAAATAATTAAAATATTATAGAATTTTTTAACACAAGTAGTAAGTTTGTGCATTAGTCATGCAAGAGTTCATGATAGATATGTATATTATTCATGCTTCAAACCCAAAAAAAACTTGTATGTAAAGAGATGTATTAAAGTAATATAATATAAAATTCGCATTCAACTAACAGAAAAAACAAACATTCAATGCGAAGACAGATGAAACAAACTGATGCGTTTATTATTTTAGTCACACAAGCACCATGGCAGCTAATTAAGCGGGGTGTATTGCAATGTCGTGAAACTCGAGTTTCTACGTAGAAACGGAAAGGGGTGGTAGAAACGTAAAATATATAAACGACACGAAATGTAAAATTTTTACTTTCTACTACTTAAGATCCAGATACAAAATTATATATATGCATGTAAAAAAATTATTACATAATTAACATGTATGTTAAGCCACTTATCTATCTAAAAAGAAAAATTATTTTTGATAACCAAGTATCAAAATTATAAACGGTGATAACTTACAAATAATGGATAACCAATCTGCTCTAACTGTTTCATACACTCTGCAGATTTTGGATCATCACTCATTAGGATGTAATTCCACTTCTTTCAATGCACACAATGATCCAAAAATACAAAACGATTCTCATAGCATAACTTATAATTGTATTGCAGCTTTATACGACATAATTATAAAAGACAGATACCCAAACAAAAAGATATCAAGATACTATGCATATGATTTAGGAAAAACGAAAATTGGGTTTTTTTAAAATCTTTTATTTTATTTTTTTGTTTAAAGTAAAAACGTAAGTTTTTATTGTTTTTACGCTTTTAGACGGCGATTTTACCATTTTTTACCAAGGACCGCTTTTACTTGCGTTTTAACACACATCACTGTAGTAAAAACGTAAGTTTTTACGTTTTTTACACTAGATTTTGACAACAATGGTGTATTGAGATTTCAAAGGATTTTAATGGATTGTTTTTGGGGAAAAAAAATCTGTTGGCATTCGATTAGGATTTTAAAGGATTATTTTAGAATCTGTCCAAATACATTGGTATTCAATCAGGATTTTAAATAATGGAATCACAATCTCGTGGTATTCAAAAATCTGACGATTTTAATGGATTTTCTATTGGTGTGGATTTCGTGAGACTTTTTAGTGAAAAATATAAATAGGATGCCTCTTTCACAATCTCACCTTAACCCCTAGGATTTCTTGATATTCTTCTATTGTAGTGTTTTCTTCTTCCTTTGACAGGTTGACTGCTCAAAATTGGATTCCGCCATGGGAGATTCGTCAAAACTAAAAAAAAACATATTTTTGAGCGAATTTTATGACAAAACAACCCAGAAACAACAAACCAACGAGATTTTAATATAATCTATCTCAAAAATAACATATTTTTGAGCCATTTTTGAGAAATTTTGGAAATTTAAAAAGTGACTTTTCAAACTATGGGTCGCGGTTTTTCTTAGCACAAAAACTTGTGATTTTGGTATTAAAAAGAACATAAAATAGAGAAAAAAAAATAACAGGGAAACTAAAACCCTCAAACCAATTTTCGTTTTACATCAATGAAACAATATCAATTTAAAGTAAGATTGAAAACTTTATAATATGAACCCTATATTTCGTAACAATACATTCATGAACGAAATTCCTTCACTATAGGAAAAGATTTCAAACAATTTTTGTGTCAATAGATAACTAAAAACTTGTTTCTCAAAAGCTCCAAAGCAATTTAAGGTTTCAATGTATCGATTGGAAAAAATTTGAGAAATTTTCTAAACTTTCATGTAATTAAACCCAAAATTTCATATTCGAAATTTTCTTAGAATATTCAATGAAAATATGCATATAATATATAGTTAGAAAACTCTCATCGCGTAAAATAAAAAACCCAAAGTTTTCAAGATCAATTGCAAAAAATTCCAAACGAAATTTTATCATGAATTGTAGGTTCTATATGCAAATTTAGAATTATTTTTATAATTAAAAAAATTGGGTCTTATAATCATATATGCATAGTTTTGATAATTTTCAACCCATTAGATATGTGAAAAACTGTTGTTTAGTAACTTTGAATGTTTGTTAAAAATTATATTATGTTTTACTGATTGAGAAAATTATATTAAGTTTTACTTTTTTTTATTAATTTCATTGCATTTCTTTGTTATTTTTTTATGGAGAAGATTATACTTACAACTTATTTTTGTTTACAACCTTTTACAACCATATCTTAACCGTTGATTTCCGTCAATCAACGGTTATTATTTTCGCAAATCAAACTCATTAATTAATTTTTAATTTGCAATGAATGATAACCGTTGATTGACGGAAATCAGTGATTAATATATGATTGTAAAATCCGTCAAATCTTAAATTCATTTGATTTAAGGACAATATGATTTTTTAAAATCTTATAAATCCATATTGTCCTTTAAAAAAAAATCTTTTCTATCACCACCAATCCTAGTTGCATTGTTTGAGAACTACAAAATGGCTCACAAAGTTAAAATTTGTGGGCGATACAATCTGGTATTCCTGCAAATTTGATTTTAAAATACTAGTTGATAATTATTAACAATTTTTTTTAAAAATAATCATATTAAAAGTTCGTTACTTTTCAGAAAATAATAATAAATCCTTATTTAATATAAAAATATTGTTTTCTTGTTATCTGCATTATTATGGGTTATAAAGAATGGATAAGTTATTCTATCTACTTTTTTTTGTCTACTTCTGTCTACCACTCTCTAACACTGTTAAATCAGAATTTAAAGAGAAGAAAGAAAAATAAATATTAATTAAGATTCTAATCTAATGATCTTTTAGAATGGTAGGCAAAGATAGGCAGAAAAAAAAAGTAAACTAACTTATATCTATACAGAATTGTAATAAAAAGTATTTCACTCAGAAAAATGATATAAAAAAGGGAATTATATATCTATTGTTGCTGGAAATCTTCTCCTCAGACAACAGACACATACACATGTGGGCCATCATTTTTTTCTTACAAATATATTAAAAAATAAAGGGGCATGACTTTTTATGTCTCACAACCGGAGAATAGCTTTCTCCCATGACAGAAGAAGCTATTCTCCCATAAAAAAATTTAACCACAGCTCCTATGAGTTTATAAGAGGAGTGGTTATGTGACATTTGTTTTAGATGTTAGAAACGTGAGATTTGACAGAGATGTACATGAACAGTGAGAAAAGCTAAGTTTGAGCAGCTTGTTTGGGGATAACCAAATTATGTTTTTTTTTTGGTGTGTGGCTAAATTATGTTTTTTTTTTTAAATGCTAGAAGTAGCTATATTGCAACAATTGTTTTTTTTTCAAAACCTTCCCCTCAAAGAGCATATTTTCGGTACTCCTAAAATGAAAAAAAAAAAAGATATGGAAGAAAATAATCACAAAAATAAAAATAATATAAATGTGTTACTTTTTCAATATTTAGTAAAAGATGTATCGAGTACTAACTATATCTGATATTTCGAAAATATTTCCCCCTTCAAGATATTAACTAGCTAGGACCCACCGTGGAATACTGGTGTGACAATTGTGTGTAATTATTTAATATTCAATTTAATCTTTTCTCAACCATAAACACAAGGTATATTAATTAAACCATGGTTTCATTTTTTTACAGCTATGATAGAAAGATTTATCTACATAGACATATATTCACCAGAATCTATCGATCCTCTTTTGAAAAAAATCAGAATCCGACATTGAATCCTAATAAAAATATGTCTGTAGCAGAAAAAATATTTCAGCCGCAAAGACAAAAATACTTTTGCCTTAAATTATTTATTTGGTTTAGATAAGTGTGTTTATTTGAAGGGAAAAATATTTGTCATTCTAAATGACACAACTTAAGTCATTTCACTTTCACAAAGATATGAGACACACACCTTTATTTTTTTTGTCCACTCTCTCCCCTATGATCTATCTCTTTCTCTCACTTAAAATGACACAACTTTACATCCTTTAAAATGATACACATTTTCCCCTTATTTTGAATTTGCCTTAGATTTTTATGGCTAATATTTTTTATTAAATCCAATGTTGATATATATATATTTTTTTTTTGGTGAAAATCCAATGTTGATATATTATTAGTATAAAAAAGGTTTTAAAAATACTACTTAATTATGTGTTTTCATAACAATAACAACATTTTATGAATTTAACATATTATTTAATTATTATAATCATACTCTTCAAATATATATCGTTATAAGAATAAAAGATGGTGTAAAAAAATGAAATAATAGTGCGAGTTTTCATGAAACATGAAAATTTAAAATTAAAATCTCATTAATTTTTTCAGTTATTTATTTGTATTTAAATTTGATTTTCTTCTTTATCTAACCTTGATCTCACAATAAATTTTATATAAAAATATTCTTGAGAAAATATTATAGAAACAACGAATCAAAACTATTATTATTTTTCTATTTTCAGTTCTATGGTATCAGAATATATTAATTTTTTACACAAAATTAATAGTTAGTCTTTATTGACCTTATTATTAAAGGGGTTTGCGTTTATCATTTAACATGACACGAGAAAGTTTCCTACACACACATTTTGTGGGGCCACACTTTTTGAAGCAAAAAAAAAAAATTACGACACGCAAAACGAATCTCTATAATATTACACAATCATTTTTCCTACAACACAACTCTTATAAAACCCATTATTAAATGAGGTAAATGCATTTAATATAAAATGTCATAATTACAATAGTCAACAGTACTTCTAATTTAAGTAAATGTGCTCCTTCATTCTCAATTCTAACTGTCTTACATAATCGTTTCCCAGGTGAAATTAATTTTATATGAACAAAAGCCCATGCGAATCTAATCTTTAACTCCTATAAATAGCCCTATAGTTATAAAACACACACATTGGAACAACATCACTTCCTCTCGCTCAAAACTTGCTTAGAGCAATGACAAAAGCTCTGGCATTATTCATGCTCTTAGTGAGCACTTTCACTGTGTTTGCACAAGAGTTTGAAATTATTGAACATAGTCATCTTCATCCCCCAGTAGCAGCTCCACCTCACTACCACCACCCCAAGCCTCCCTCTACTACTCCATCCCCTCACCCCTCACATCACCACCACCACCACCACCATCACCACCACCCTTCTGCTCCAGCTCCAGCTCTTCTTGAGCCCCAGGCTCACATTACAAACCACCCACAGATTCACCCCCCACCTCACCACCACCCTCTTGCTCCTGTTGACACTCCAAACCACTTATCTGCTAACCCTCCACATCACCATGGTGGCCACCACCATCACCATCACCATCACCACCCTCCAACTCCCGCTTACGCTCCTTTTAAGCCCCCTACCCACCACCACCATCACCCTCCTACACATGCCCCTGTTCACCCTCCTGCTCACTCACCAGAACACTCCCTTCCCTAAAAGCTATGTAGCAGTTGAAGGTGTTATTTTATAGACTTATGTTAGTTTTGTTGTTTCCATTTTCTAGTGTTTCGGAGAAGGGTTATATCCCTAAAGTTATTTTCATGTACTTTTGAGCTTCAATTACATGCAATAAGATTGATTGTAGTACATTCTGTTTGCAATCAATAAAGGAGTTAATTTCAAAATTGCTATGCTGATCATTATTAATATCCATTTAAGAATTTTTTTTAAAGTGAATTTATATATAAAATTAGTAAATAAAAGTAAAGGTGAGATCTTTTAATTCCGGTACAAGATTAAGAAGTCGTGCTCCTCATATTAGCTATATATTAATGTCTATACATTTGATGGTGTCTATACATTTGATGGTTGTATTTTATTTAAAATTAATAATTAATTAATAGAGATAACTCAATAAACTACAATTGTTGAATGGATAGAAATCAACAGCTAAGATATGTGAAGTAAAACTTCTTAATTTTATACTGTAGTTAAAAGATTTTCCCTCATAAAAGTATGTTCATCATTAAATTTAGTTACTCATTAACAATTAAAAACAAGAAGTACTAAACAAAAAAAATACAGTTATTTAAGTTTGTAATATATTAAATATTTTACATTTAACTTAACATTTATATTTTTTAATCAGCAACCAAAGAATTTTGGTATGTAAAATTATTATTTTATTTGCTGAGTGACTTTTTTTTTTTTTGCCTTGTTAGTTTCATATTCGACTTAAGCTTCTGGATAGAATCATTCCAACAATGCATGATTTTCTCCTCTTCGTGAAAACAAAGTGTCATAAAAATAAGAGCAACGTATGGCTTGAGGGATCTATGATCTATCGTAATTAATGTCAGATAGCATCTTCTTATACTTCGTTCCGGATGGTCGAATCCCATGCAATCCAATGACCTGAGCCCAAACTTTTATCCTCCCTCCACGTCAGCCCTACCAACCCCCCCATACGTCTTGTCTCCAAGGCGGCTGCACCCCCTATGTGAGACACCAAAATGTCTTACCTTGGGATCCAATTTCTCTAGGAGACCGCCCCAGACACCGTAAATAGTAATCCCCACCGTTATACACTGACATCATCGAAGCATAGGCTGCATCACTGTTATTCTAGCAGTGTCAGCCACCCCAACTGATCTCAAGGAGGGTTGATCCCCTCTCACCAACCCACACAGGGCAGGGATCTGATCCCCCTATAAATACCTCCCCCACACACAAGGAGGGGCATCCTATGTATCGTTATTCTGTCTATAATCCTTGAGTCACGTACACACATACCCCCCATTATCATCTGTTAGCATTCATACTTGGGATAGTGAATTCTAGCTTGGTCTCTACCTGTGCTAGAGGTATAACCCACACAGTGACTTCATCCCTAAAGAAAACATAGTGAGCTTATAGATCCCAACGGTACATACTTATTAATAAATATTTAGATTCATATACTTGTTTTAAAGTCACATAATGTATATTCATAATTTTAATTTTATCACATTCTGTATATTACTTTAAAAATGTATGTGATGTTGCGATGAAAAAAATGTATGTGATGTATTATTAAATTTTTCATTTTATATAAATATAAATATGGAGACAATGTTTCTCATGTCTTTAGCCATCACTGTTCCCCCGCACTCCGGATTAGTCTCATAGCCGGCTCAAAGAGTCGAAACTCGTGGGGATACCGGAGGGAGCCAACTCGTCTCAAAGAGATAATTAGGGTTGGGTAACTCCAAAAAAAAAAAAATTAAATTTTATCTCCTACACACATATAAAAGTGTATGAGACACCTTTTTCTCTCTCTTCTTCTTCTCACATGGACCTCACACTTTCTTTCTCTCACTCTTTTTCTTTGGGGCCTTAAAGCGCCTTTTAATGTTGTAATGAATATTGCACGGATCCTTCCTGGTTTTGTCTTCTTCTTTTTTTTTAAAAAAATATTTTATGACTTTATATTACTTGCTAACTTGCACTGCTTTAACGCTGGTATTATCTTAGCCGGCCTTTTAGAGCAAGACTTTTATTATTTTTTTTCCTGATAATATAATTTTATTCGCCTAGATTTTTAGGCTTATTTAATAACTCAGATATAATTTCAAGCTTTTTAAAACATAACAGGATTATTTTATTATATCTATCAACTCGGATATGAATCTCGAGTGCTATTGTTGACCCGACCATTGTCAATCTTAGGGGTGTTCAAAATGTCCAAAAGAACTAAACCAATCCATAACCAAACTGCTCAACATTTTAAATAATCGGTTATTTTAAAGAACCGATTTCATATGAAACTGCATTTTATTTTATAAGCTGGTTATTTACCAAATCATAAAAAAATTTGGTTATCCATAACCAAACTACTATACAATTACAGAACAAATAAGTATTATCTTTTATCATGCCTATTATATTAGTCAATTGACTCGAACTTTCAAAAAATAAATTTGCAAAAAAAGCTAATCAGCTTAAGCAAAAAATATTTATTAAAAAAATTACACATAAATCGAAAGGTCGCATCCTAAGAAAGCACTTCTTATGCAATAGAACAACTTTTTTTCCCCAAAAAAAACCAGATAGAGACCTCTGGGTAAACTCACAACTTGACAAGACTAAGGCTTTGAATTGACAAAGATGAAGTTTAAAGAATATAACGAAAAGGGCAACGAAATTAATCAATTGGCTTAACGTTTCTAAGATGTTTAGAGTCTGTTTGGATCCTCTTATTTTTAAGCTAGAAGCTACTTATAAGCTAAAGCTAAAAAAAAGAGCTTAAAAAAAAGAAGTTAAAAGCTGTTTAGAAATTACATAAAAAATTTAGCTTGCAAATTACTTAAAAGCACATATTTCAAGAAAATTATCTCTCTCTTTCTTTATCACTCTTTATTTAAAAAAAAAGCACACAATTCAAGAAAAATACATAAGAGCTTAAAAAAAGCTCCTCCTAGGAGCTTTTAGTTTTCAGTTTTTTTCTTCATTATAAAAAAAAAAACTTTTCGTTATAAGAGTTTTTCCCAAAATCTGTTTGGCCTAGCTTATGCTTATAAGTTGGGGTGTAAATGGGCCTGGCTGGCCTGGCCTAGCCTACAGCCCGACCTACGTTGAGTCTGGTCTAGCCCGGTCTACGTTGAAAAGTAGAGTAGACTTAGGCTAATAAGAAAGCCTTTTTAACAAGTAGGTCATTGACCAATTTTATCAAGCCTGGCCTAAAGCCTTGTAGGCTGGCCTATTTAATTTTAAAAAAAAAAATAAATAATATATTTATTTTAGGTGGCAATAAGTACTAGTGCATGCATGAAAGGAACTTTGCTTAGTATATTTTGGATTAGTTATTTTTTTACTATTGTAAAAATTTTAATGCTCACTAGTGAAATTTATATCTCGTGTAAAAAAATGCAGCAATTTATGAACACGTTAATGACTTGTAATGTCAAGTGAATATTTTAAAAATTGTTAAAAATATTTTTAAATTATTTTAAAAATATATCACTAGGGAGGCCTACAAGGCCCGTAGGCCATGTAAGGGTCTCTAAACTTTAAAAATAAGTCAGGCTTGGCCTATAAATAAAGCCTTTAGTAGGCCAATAGGCCATATAGGCTGAATATTTTTTTACGTAGCCTTAGGCCAGGAAAGTCAAAGTGCGACCCAGTCTGACCCATTTACACCCCTACTTATAAGTAGCTTCTACCTTAAAAAAGAAACGATCCAAACAGGCACTTAAGATGATGAATCAGCGCCATTAAAAGGACAACTCATAACAGATTTACTTATTTGTTCTTTAATTGTAGAACAGTTTGGTTATGGATAATCATGGATAACCAACTATTTTTATGGTTTGGTAAATAAATAGCTTATAAAATAAAATACAGTTTCATATGAAATCGATTTTTTAAAATAATCTGTTTTTAAAATATAGAGCAGTTTGGTTATGGATTGATTTGATTCTTTTGAAAATTTAAAATACCCCTACGAATATATTCCTCTATTAGTTCAAATGAAACTCTTAGTAACATAAATTTTGAGAGAATGAAGAATAATTTTTTTATAATTTAAAATAATTCAACTGTTCTTCTACCAATCACTCTCTAAACAACTTGAAGCAATTTCTATAAGAATCATTTCGTCCGGAGCGTTCCAAAACAACGAAGATTCTTGCAATAAATAGTTGGCCAACTACCTATAATTGAGATATAGAAATGACTAATTATAAAAATAGTACAATTCATCAAAAACCGATTTTGAATTTATTATAAAATCGGTTTTGAATTTGAAAATCAATTTTGAATTAAAACAAATTTAAAACCGATTTTAAATCAAGACCGATTAAAAACCATAAACCAGTTTTAAAACCGGTTTGAAATCAGTTTGAGAAATGAAAATCAATTTAATTTAAAAATCAAACCATTTAAAATTGATTCCGTTCAATTTTTATCAAAATACGAACCACTGCATACACACCCTAATAGAAACTTAACATCGAAGAAAGCGGTTAAATAAAGAAAATTGCACTTTGTTTATAATAGTAAGGAAAGATATGGAAAGCGAGATACGCGTTTACTCGTCGCTTTCTCAGCGGAACCCTTCATTCATCAATTGACCCTAAATTCGGGCCGATTCATATGACGCCATTTTTTCCTTCTATAAATATCTAAAATCCCCTTTCTCATTCCATTCCCAATTTCCACCTGAATCCTAAACCTAAAACCTCACCTCCCAAACCAATCTCCGATCATGGCCACCGAAACCGAAGCACACCCCCAACAATTGGTACGTTACTTTTATTTTATTTTTTATTTTTGGTATTTTTCAATCATTTCATCTATTTTGTTAGGGTACTAGTTTGATTGAATTGAATTGAATTGATTTGATCTGAAAGGATGAGAACAAGGAAGAGCAGCAAGAGCAACAATTCAAGTACCTTGAATTCGTGCAATTCGCGACCATTCAAGCCCTGGTGCGTTGCGCTATCCTCTACGGTTACGCCAAGGAACGCACCGGTCCTCTCAAGCCTGGCGTCGATACCGTCGAGGAAGCGGTGAAGACCGTCGTCGCCCCTGTCTACGACAAGTTCCACCTTGTCCCCGTCGAGCTTCTCAAGTACGTCGATCGCAAGGTTGACGAGTCTGTTATTGAGTTGGACCGCCACGTCCCAAGCAATGTCAAGAAGGTCTCCTCCCAGGCTTGCTCCGTCGTCTCAGAAGTCCGCCGCACCGGCGTAGTTGACGCCGCCTCCGGCTTCGCCAAGACCGTTTACTCCAAGTGCGAACCCAAGGCGGAGCAATGTGCCGTGTCGGCGTGGAGGAGGCTGAACCAGTTGCCTCTGTTCCCTCAGGTGGCCAACACCGTCTTGCCCAAGGCGGCGTACTGTACGGAGAAGTATAACGAGGCGGTTGTTAGTTACGCCGAGAAAGGTTACAGGGTTCCTGCGTATCTCCCCTTGGTGCCTACTGAGAAGATAGCCAAGGTCTTCAATGATAATTGATCTGCATTTTGAAGATCCTCCCCGTGCAATGTTTGTTTTGTCTCCTTTCTAATTTATTTATTTTTTGGTTTTTACTTTCTAAACAAAAAAAAAAGTGTTGTTAGTCGGTGCAGGATACGAGCTATTATTTCATGGTCCGGAGCAAGGTGATTCTGGCCAAAAATGAAAAAAAAAAAAAAAAGATAGAGGGGGAAATATAAAAAAAGAGAGGGATCTAAGAGTATTTTTTTTACCAAAAAAAAAAAAGGACCAAAAAAAGAAAAAGGAGCATGAAAAATTTGATGGGCCCGATGTATAATAAAAATTTCCGTAGGATACACCCGTTCTTGCTTTTTCTTTTTACATATGAATGTGTTATGGATTATTAATTAATATTATTTGATATTTGTTATTTGTTTTCGTTAGTGTTGTAATGAATTATTTGTTGTTCCTTTTTAGGGTGACTACATTAAGGAAGATAGTTATAGGATGATAGTATCTTATGGTTATGGTTATGATTGTGTGTCATAACTTATCTATTTAAACATTTCAATTGTGTTGAATAAAAATATTAGATTAGAAAATTTATCTCAAAAGATGCAAGAGGTCAGATTTTGTAAAGCTAAGCTATAATTTTATTTGAAGTTAGGCTTCGACAATAAAGCCAAATCCCCACTTTTTTTATTTTGTACGTACCAGTATAAATGGAGCTTCAATATATTGGTCGGACTGCATGTATGTTTTGGTCAGTTTACAAGTTCATCATCACTCATGTTGCATTGACACAGGACACATATTCATACATTAATTTTAAAAAATGTTAAATTTTAATATATTAAAACATGTTTTGATATTATATAATATTTTTAATTTATGTAATGTATATTATATTTAGTATTCGATAATTTAACAAAAAAATAAAACTAAACTTATAATAATCATCAATTTTACAAAGAAACATAATATATCCTAAATGTTTATATTAAACTTAATAAAATCATAATCATAATATAATGAATCGAATAATTGAAACTCAAAATGCAATGCAACATGACCTTTAAACCTTTTTTGAGTCTTTGTAACGAGTATTAAAATATCGATAAATATCGAACATGACATGTCAAATTTTTTGAAATGTCGATACTTCGTAAGTCATCACAACATAGCTTGGTCAATGTCTGGAAAAATGAAGCTTTCTACCGAAATTACATAAAGAGTTCATTAAAAAACAAAACGTGAGTTTACATTAATAATTATGAATTTAATTTAATTTTTTCTAACTATCTGATGGTGGTAGATGAGGAGGGATAAGAGGTTTGGATTCTCTTGAACAACGATTAAGGGCCAAGGTTAGGCCACTTCAATCCATCAGATTCCACTAATGCTTCTTTCACTAACATAAACTGATGAAGGACTGTAGGTGCTATCAGTCTCACGCAAACCAGCTTAAAAACAGGTCACCAAAGGAAAGGGATCTTGAGAGTTTCTTTATTAATGCAAGTGTGTTGCTACATTTTGATACTTCCTTTATGTAATGTCATCATTAATCTAGACTCTGAAGGCAAATTAAAACCTTCACACGATGATTCAGCCGCAGAAGAATATAATGTGAAAGTACGTTTCCAAATTTATGCCTTCCTCATTTTAACAATTTCCCTAGTTTCTTCGTTTTCATCAATGCTGTCTTTTTTCATGCTGTCCAAAAGCCCATCCACTTCTTTACCACCTCGTACATAAGACTTCATTAGGGCATGATACATTCGTCTATTTACTGGGACAATATTTCTTAATAAGCTCACCAAAACTTCTGCATCTTCAATACTGCCCTTATTGCTAATCCAACTCAATAGTCCTGCAATCACCTTGGGGTTAGGCTTCTCTCCTTTATTTTCCACACAGAAAGAGAGGGCTGTTTTCAAGCACCTTAATGCTTTCTCCATCTCACCCTTATACAGGTATCCACCTGCCACTACAATCCAACAGTTTGGGGTGGTAGCCTTTCCCTTCTTTCGTAAATCTTCAAGCATGGATTCTGCTTTCTCATGCAAACCTTTTTGTGAGTACCCAATGATTACGATATGTGGGATTCCAAAATCATAACAATTGCCGGAGGATTCCCATTCGAGCAGTATTTTCTCAGCTTCAATGAGCTCCCCAAGCTTTACCAGAGATTCTAACATGATCGTGAAATCCCTGTTTATGCACCTTTTGCAAACACTTTTCTCCAGTTCCCATAGCCTTACAACCTCATTCTTTTTTCTCAGACGGGCATAAAGAGAGATAAGATGATTGTAACCCTGGCCATCTTTATTATCTAGCCTCTCCTCACATTTCTTTAGAGCATCAATTGCCTCACTTGTAAGTTCTGCTTTTATATAGAAATTAGCAACGACAGAATAAGTGTTCCAGTCCATTACAATGTGTGGTTGACTCTCCATCTCTTTCAATATTCTTTCCATTCCATCAATGTCAGATCTCACACCAAAAGAATTTATACAGATTCTGTAACTGAAGTTGTCAGGCAAAACTTGGTTTTTTTCCATCAAAGCTAGCACACCAGGAACCTTCTGATGCTGTCCAATATTTGTGTACAAGCACATAATGTCATTGTAACTTAGAGGTGACGTAGCAAAACCCAACCCCTCCATTTTCTGCAAATGGGAGAGGGACTTATCAGTTTGGCGCTGACGAACATAGCAATTCAAGAGAGCACCGTATGTCTTCTCAATTTTGTGTTCATCCTTCAAGCTACTAAAATAGCGTTCTGCAGAAGGAAATCCATGAACCTTGCCAATCAGATCCAAATGCACTGCATGTTCAGTTGGAGAAAATATGCACACACCATTCTTATTCATCCACTCAGATACCTGCAGCCATTAATAAACATTACATAAGCGATAAAAACAAATAAACAATGAATCGTTCCAATAAGCCCGAACACGGTGTATTCACATCAAGCTTTTCCAGTCTAACATACATCTTATTTTTAAACAGTTGCAAATCATGTTTGTTCTGGATACTACTTACCTTAGACCCACCAGATGGGCCCAATCTCTTAAAGCCCATATCTAGAACCTTCTAGAGGGCACCCATGACAAGCCATAGAGGCTCACCACTAGGGCTTTCCCCTTCCCTGCACAGCTGCCCCTGTACACTGACAGTGGGCAGCATGTCTTGTCCCCATGCTAGAGAGGGCTCTCCTCTCTAAATACCCCCTTCACACATGGAGGGGGGATCTTCTTCCCCACACTTTACTGTTACTCTGCCTCCTTGGTAGAGCCATCCTTGCCATACACACACCCCCCTTGTGCACCATGGGAAGCTTCACTAGTGCTTGGTCTCTACCATTGCCACTATGGACACCATCTATATCAACATACCTCACCCTCCATGAGACACATCTTATGTACACCATCAGTACAATGTTCGAACAATGAAGCAGTTGCGTTCATAAGTTTTCACGCAACTATTCACAACTTTTCAATTAATCAGAGTTCTACAAGTTATGGTGATCACGTTGTTGCAAACTTCTAAAACGAATGTATCTTTGTAAATAGAGACATTATACTGAGATGAAAGCAACTATTAATCCAAGAGCCATCAATTCATAGAACGTGAAACTAAGATCATGAGAATGTAATACATATTAATCAACCCATTCCACGCATTCAATTATTAGTTTCCATTTCCAATTATCAGTTTAGGCAAAAGGTCGACCTCAAATTTAGAAGCAGGGAAAGATTTGAAGAACCTGGAGGGCTTGGGTGAACCTACTGCGTTTGCGAAGATCTCGAATGATGCGTTGAAGCTCGCCAACACAGACCTTGTTCCCCTTATATACCCAATCGTCGAGTTCGGGTACGACGCTTGTGGTGGGATTTCCAAGGGGGCTGATTTTGGAGTAGAGGCTCGGTTTCTTGTTCTTGCTCGTGTAGTATGACCTGCTACTGCTACTGCTAATGCTAATGCTGCGAAGGAGCTTCCACTCCATGTCTATGCCTGTGCTTACGACTTACGATAGGGTTTCCTTTCACTCTCCACAAAACGACGAAGATCAATAGGATGCCTCAGTCACAGTTCCTGTCACTGTCACGCAACGGGCCTCAAGGTTTGGGCTTATTGGGCCAAATTTTTGTGGTATTAAGGGATGGTTCGGTTTTAATTTCGATAGAATTTATTTTAAAAGTTATTTTCAAAAATATTTTAATATAAAACAAAAATAAAATACTTTTTAGAGATAAAAATCAAAAACGTGTATATTATTAAGAGACAATAATTTCTGCTTCAAAAGCATACATCATTATTTATGCTTCAAAAGTAGAAATTATTATTTCTGCTGCAAAGACATAATGATAAAGAGAGAAAGCAGAAATGAAGCACAAAATAATAGTGAGAGGAAGTACAAAATTTGTCTTTGTGGAAGACAATGATTCTAGGTTTTGAAGTATAAATCATGGGATTTATTATTTTTATGTTACATAAGATATAATCTATCTTCTATATACACAAATTCAAAATGAGTCTCATTTTATTTTATTTTTCTCTTCCTTTAAAAGTGGACCCCACGTACATAAATGAGTCAGTAAGAATAATACTTATCTTTTACTACATGAAAAAACTATTACCCATAAATCATTTTCCCATAAGCAGTAGACAATGATTCCTGTTCTCCCAACGCGAGGATTTTTTCTTGTTGCTAAGATGCACTATTATGCTCGGAAATATTTTATATTGGAATTCACATTTTCAATTACAAAATGTAACGTTGCTGTGGTGTAGTGGTTATCACGTCAGTCTTACACACTGAAGGTCTCCAGTTCGATCCTGGGCAGCAACACTTCTTTTAATGTTTGTAATTAAGGGGATGTATTTTTATTTTCGCTTACCTTTATGTCTGTAAAGCTGAAAAGCTAGAATGCTACTCGAAATGGATACCTATCTATGGAATGTGGTCATTTTCAAAATAATTCTTTACCATCAATACTCAATAGAAACATTTTCTTTATAGATGAATTTATAATAATTCAATGAAACATCATCTGATCTCTACATGACATGTTTGTCTTGTAAGATACCACAACCAAACATGGAGCTCTGACAGAATATGAGTGGATACAACAGGTCATGAAGTATAATATGGGATATAAAACTGCAGAGAGGCCATAATGGAGGCACATTTTCTCTAAGATTTTCCTGCTATACCAAGTAACAGAGAAAAAAAGGAACAAGAAAAAGATGATTATCCAATTCCCTAATTTTCACGCCAACCCCGTATTCAAATATATTTCTTTCTCCTCTCTCTTTCAAATATATATATATATATATATATATATATATATATGGGTCAGGATCATTTTACACCAGTGTAAGTTACATTCTCAATCTTATCCGTTGATTCCATTTATATCTAACGGTTAAATTTTTTTAGTAATGTGAGCCATTGAATACAAGTGGATCAATGGTCAAGATTGAGCGTAAGACTTCTAACTGTTACACCGGTGTAAGAATATCCTGCCCCTATATATATATATATATATATATTAAAAAAGCAGGTGTAGGCCCTGCAATACTTGCTCAAAAGCAACCCTGCTCTCTTTATATCTGCTACCTCTCTATATTAACCTTAAAAATCAACAAAACCATTCAACTGTTCCAGAACCTGAATTTGTAGAATGAAAGAGAGAAATTTAACTTCGATTTTCATTTAATGTTTTCGTTTCTCTTGAGAACTAATCAATTACTTCATCTTTGAAATTTGAGTGAATGTACTAAATTGCTAACATCAATCATGGGTGAATAATTTAATGAGTTTCTTGAAATTATATGACAAACTGTAGCTTATAAATTAGCCACAACCTTTGAAGGTAGCTGCTTGATCAGGACTAGTAGTGCCTCTGAGAAATCAAGTTTGAAAACCGAGGACCAGTGGTTACATACTCCAACAATCTGCTTCAGTGTATAAAGAAACATAGGATGTTGTTATGTATTACCGAAGAATCACAGTTAAGGATGAGAAAAAAGTATCGCAAATACTACCTCCCAATGTCATCTAGATTCTAGAATAATGACACTCAATGGTGACTTCTATGTACATATCTTCAAAATTATGTTCTACATTTTTAGAGGCTTTAGGATTTACGTGATACAGCAAACCAGCTAGGGAAATACAAAACTAAAGCCACTATATCTTTGTACTTGCTAATTTAAAGCATATATTTAGCTCAGACATGTAATGTCCGAGTTATCCCTACAAAAACATCTCTAATAGATGAATTTATAATAAATCAAAGAAAATTTTCATTACTTCGTTTTGTTAAGCATATTCTTTATGCAACGAGAGTAATTACTCTTGTAAAAAAGGGAAAAAAATGATATGAAAGGAAATAATCATAAAGATAAGATAATTTAAATGTGTTATTTTTTTCATATTTGATAAAGAATATATCAAATGATCCGTGTATGTAGTACCGAAAATATTTTTCATTTTGTTTCATTTATATGACATGCATGTATGTAAGACAACACAACCCAACGTCGAGCTCTGACAGAATATGAGTGTATCCAACAGGTCAAAAAGTATGACCTAGGAAATAAAACTGCAGAGAGGCCATGATGGAGGCACATTTTTCTTTAGCTATAACAAGTAGCATAAAAAAAGGCACATGAAAAAGATGATTAACCAATTCCCTAATTTTTACGCCAACCCCATATTCAAACATATTCCCTCCTCTCTCTTTCTCTCATTGCACAACATGCGGGGGCAGTGGTATCTAAATTTCAGATTTCAGAAACAGAACCAAAGACAAAGAGACATAAAAAAGCAGGTGTAGGCCCTGCAATACCAGCTCAAAAGCAATGCTGACTAGAAGAGTATCCATCGATTCTCTCCCCTCTCTGTCTCTGTTACCTCTTTATATTAACCTTAACAGTTTCTTTTTCTTCGTTTTTTTTTCTTAGATATTCCAATCGGTTCATGGCTTTTGAGACTAGTTTGATTCAGGACGAGTCCTGAAATTAAAGTTTTAAATCTCTCCCAAAGATCAGTGCTGAAAAAATTCGAACATATGTTCTTATCTCCAATTGCTTAGTTTCCTGACGCCAACTAAGCTACAATTATTTGGTTAACCTTAACAGTTTCATTCTTGTCTTCCTCTCGAGTCTTCATGGCTCCACCATTTTGTCTTTTGACCAAGACCCCTTTTTATCTCTTTTTAATCTCTGATATATTGTCACTCAATATTTCATCTGTTCACACTTCACACTTAGCCTCTCAATCAGCTCAATAATGATAGGCCTCCGTACTCAAGCACTGACGTGAAGCTTGCTTATTCTCATGCACCTATGTCTGTAAATGTTCTCCAAACATCACTCTCTTAAGGATTTTACTTTGATCCTATTATATATACCAAATATTATTTGATCCTGCTATACCTTCTTTCCATTTGTCTATATCCTCTTACTGCTACTCCTTCTCTGTCATACATAAAGGAAAATTGAACTAGTAAGCTTTTTGTGCAATTGGAATTTTCATATTGTTTTTGTTCAAATGTTGAGAGAAAGCAGAAGAGTATGCTTTAGTCCTGATGTCAATGAGAAACCAACCATCTTTCTCAATCATGGTGGGGGAAGAGTATTAGGAAACAGGAAGAGGATCATTGGACCTTGGACTTTCAAAGACCCTATTTTGTCACCTGTGAGATTCCTAATAAGGCTTGGAGCAAAGGTAGCAAGTTCAGTAAGAGTTGTTTCTATGAGAAGGAGATCATGCAGGAAGGTTTCTTCATCCACTTTGGTCAGGTCACGTTCATTATCAGACCTCACTGATTCATATCGTGCTAAAGCTGTAGAAGATTGCATTGAGTTCTTACATTCTTCTTCCTCAAGGGAGAGACCAAGTTGATTTTGTCCCTGCAAATTATGGTTGGGAAAGTTATTAAGGTTGCTTGCTTGCAAGAGATGTATATTAAAGAAAAAGGGGTATGCTTTATTGATTTCAATTTAAATGTTAGTTAGTAGAAAATAGAGGTTAGTGCTTTGTGCACCATGCCACTTCAAAGCAATGGAGTTTGAGTAGAGATACTCATAAAACGTTGGCTCAAATCATAGTTTGAATTGCAGACTGTAGTAGTCTCCCAGTTTGATTACTGTCCTCCAACTGTTTCCATTCTCTCTTTTTTTGCCCATAATGTTATCTACAAATAATTTTTTCATACTTTCCTCTAAAAAAAGTGGATAAGCTTCTCCATTAATCTTCTCAAATCCACTCTTAATACATAAAAATAGACTAGTCATGATTATATAATGCTTTATTTTATTTTATTTTCTCTCTTTAAGATATGTGATTAATACTTTGTTTTCGTGAGTTTTATAATCTCTCAAATTATTATTCACTTTCAAAATTTCCTTTTTACCTTAAATTTTTTTCTTTCTTTTCAAACTTTATTTGTTTATACTCTCAAAATAATTACTTTCAAATTTTGATTTTGCTTTCCCAAATTTCAAACTATTTATATTATCAAATTAATTTTTCCAAAATCTAAGTTTTTATATATTAAATTCAAATACTCTATCTTCAAAATAATTTAATCTTTTAGTTTGCTTTTCCTTAAATAACAACACGTGTCATTCTTAACTTTTTTTTCTTAAAAAATTAATTTTAGTTTCTTTGAATTAATTATGCATGTTTTCTTTCTAATTTTTTAATCTATTTTTTAGATTTAATTAATTAGGCATATATATCCCTCATAATTTTATTTTTAAAAAAATATTTTTTTCTTGTAATGGATACATTCAATTGAAAGAATGAGCTAATTGTCTGTTTAAATAATTGGTCTAAAACCATCTCTAAATGAAATAATTGTTGAAAACATTGCTTGACGAACAGCAATTAAGGCACCAGCAACCTAAATGGGTGGTGGACCATACATGAATTTAACCACTCAGGATACCTGTTTAGTATTTACAATTCATCACTCTATGGCTATACCCGAACAGCTCATAGACAAGACAGGAGTTTCTGCTTCCCATGCCTCTTCTCTTATGTCCCACATTCTGAAAGCTACTGTCAGCCATATTCACTTTCAACAATCCTTTGACCAAAGCACAAGAAATTCTTCCCATATTGCCAAGCAATCCAACTTATATGCATTACAAGTCATAATGCAAAAATTGCTCCCTGCACACAGGCCTAGACCAGGTGCAATGGTTCCGAACCCCTATGAAAAACAGCACAAAAGAATTGACCCAACAACAGTTTCCTAGTGACACCTTATTTTTCTTGTCTTTTTGCCTCGTTTTTGTCGAAAGAAAACAGTCTAACATCATCCAGGGGAACAGTTATAAGCTTGAATGGTTTATCTATAAAATAATTTGTATTCATTTAAAAGATTGTGACAAAAAAGACTCGCCAGGCAGGCAAAGACGCGACAAGAGAAAAGAAAACGGGTAAAGTTCACACGTACGCTAATAATTGTCAATGCACAAATCATATCATGGTAAGTAAAAAACAAAGTTTGAAATGACATTATGAATGAACACTGCATAGCACGATCAAGAATCCAATTTTTCAAGTTCGCGGGATCCTTGACTGGAGGCCTTTTTTAACTCCAGAGCTCTCTTGTAAGGGGGTGCAATAGGGGGCTGTACAGGATCCAAGCTCTGATATGTTCCCCCATCAACTTTAGGTAGTGGATACGAACGATCAGAATCATAACCACTTAGGTCCCCACAAGCTAGAAATGGGATATACACCTTATTAGGGCCATCCAACCACCCACTACGACAATCTGCAAACCCATATGCATTAATGTAGCAACATGATAATGGTTGAGAGACCAAAGCCCACGAAAATAAGTGTACATGATACAATGAAATTCAGTCAGAAAATAAAAAACTAAAAAAAGTATTTCTCGGGGTCATGATGATTAAGTATAATGGATTCAGGAATATATTTTAGAAGCTGAATTTGTTTATATTCTATGATTGCTCATAAGATTTGCTATAAGCAGTAAGGACATACATATACCTGTATCATCTACCCCCGAGGGACTTCCAACCTTCTCAAGAAGGCGATGAAGATCTTTGGGATTGAATCCTTCAGGAGGCTTATAGTTTTCACAAACTGCAAATGCCTCTGCAGGGATGAAACATTTAGAATTAGCAAAAAATAGTATAAACCCATCTTCCTACCATTATAAACCGCCTCCTTGGCCTAGTCAGTGAGATCAAAACTAGCTTAGACACCTGTAATTGCGAGGTTTTAGAAGCACAGGGGCTGCATCTAAATTTAACAAGTGGTATATCCAAAGTTCATGTACTTTTGTTAGATAAATAGATAAGCTTCTGTCAAATATAATGAATGGCATGACTAACAATTCATAAGCAATGGCAAATCCCCCAAAAAAAATCATAAAGAAACTATAAAGAGCTGGAAAAGTCCGCATATCAAAAAATAGTAAGAAAGTGGGAATATAAAATTCTTACCTATGCTGGAATTTCGGCTGCTTCTTGGTTTTGCAAAAGTCACTACAGGAAAAAATAATTTTAGCTGCAAAAAAACAGAATATGTAATGATGATTCTAGTATTATAGAATAAATTTAAATTCACAAAAACTGAGCAATGAAAGAAGACCAGTGCATTTTCAAAGACAACGATACACTTTTACCACTTTCCCCTTATTATGTTATGAGATTTTAGCTGAAAGTAGAACTTCACAACATTTCACAAGTACAACTAAAATTTTAGATACAGTCACCAAACAAAAGCCATGCTATAAGTAACGGTCAGATAAAAAAAAAATTATCTTTAACTTATGTAGGTGCACTCCTTTTATTTCTCAAGAAAGTAACTCAATGATTTTCCTTTTTCTTTCAAAGTTTTTTTTTTTAAAAAAAAAGTGGCTTAATGGTAAGGGGAAAGAACAACTATTTTGTTAGCATCTCTGCATTTTTATGAAATTATGATGATCTAACTTTCAAAGTCATAAGTCTTTGTGGTATTTGGATTATTTCCATTATTTTCAAAGGTTTGAAACTCTGGTTCATTGTTAACCATAATTCCCGGAGACGACCATCTATTGTCACTTTTCTACAGCTGTTGCGAAAGCTAACTAAAAAGTGGACGACTGCAAGAGATAAAAGCAAAACATACTTAAGCTAATGTCAAGCTATGCGTTAGTTTCCACTTCCTAAAATCTTAATGGTAAGGTGAAACTTCAAATACCTGACAATATAGAAGGCTTGTGTCTTTTCCTCTAAATATCTTTGCAATAAACTTCCCTCCTTCCTTAAGTACATGAGTAACAATTGTTAATCCCTGCAAAGAGTATCAAGTTAGCATCAATCTGCAACAAAAATCCCACAAGATAACCAGACAAAATCATGAAACTCCTAGCAAATCAAGGAATAACCCATTTGAAATACATCATATACTGTGCATTAGTATGTGCTCATTAGAAATGAGATTCGATTAATTTAAAATAAGCAGCAAAATCCAATGCATCCTTGTCTGGCAAGAAGGTAAAGAGGAATAGATAAAGGAGTGATCACTTATACCCTTCAATTTTTTTTTTTCCAATCCTCAACTCGAGATAAGGATAAGGTGAAAATGTAATATCAAGATGGCAAACCTAAAAGATAAAAAGCACAAATAAAATAATAAAAGGACAGAAGTTCAGTACTTACTGCAAGTATGAGTTGGGATTGAACAAATTCATCCATGTCATGAAGCCCCGTAACTGCAAAAAATATAACGAGCTTTCTTAAACTACAAATAATAATAAGGAAAATGCTAAATAATAGAGATTTTTTTTCGAATAATGTGTTACAAATGACATGGAGGAACTAATGAGATAAATTGATTCTTGTGGGTCCCATGAAATAGGTTGAGGGTAATCGTTGCGGGTCCCATTGAAGTTTAGGCTAAAACAAACAATGTCACATCATTTGTAGCTTTTCGTGAAATTTTATGTGTGAAATAGCACTTCTGTAAACATGAATATTACGTATCAATAGATACGGAGTTAAAATTGCGCATTTTCAGTACCATCAGGAGCACCATCACACACGACCAGGTCAGCCTTGCAACCATCAAAATGCCTAATGACCTGAATAGAACAATACAAAAAAACAGGTTCACAAACTTTAGTAAATAGTCGTTCAAGACAATTAAATTGATGGGATAAAGCAGCTTCTAAAAAGCAAGTTGTTACGAACCTGCACATAAGAACAGACAAAACGTATGGAAGATGCAGCGAAAAAAGGAACAATTCTATAAATGATTACTGAAATACAAACAAAGAAAAGGAAAGAGTTCTTCTTTCAAGCGTTTCCCCTTTCAAAACTGAGCCACGACTCTATTTTCCCAAACTAACAAATCTGATTCCCCCTCCCTTCTACCCCTTCTGCTTATTTAAGCTAAGCCCCTACTCTACCAACCATAACTGCCTAACTGATTCTATAACTACTTTACAACAAATTCTATAGCTTCCTACCACAAGTCCTACATGATTCTTCCGAGTTCCAACAAAGCATAGAGTCCAGCAGAAAAGGATCATTTTAAGAACATCAATAGACATAATTGTGCATGTCCAAAGTGAATTGAGTTTATTTTGTAATGATGGAACATAAGACCACACTATGTCTTTTCATTATTTTTTCGGTTCTCTCTCCCTCTCTCTCTCAAACGTGAAGCTAGTAAAATTGGCCAAAAAAATGAAACAACTAAAGGATACCAATTGAAAGCAGCAAACACAGTTGAAATTCAAATGATATAGGAAAAATTATATATTAAATAAAACTCATAATGCATACACATATGTGCACCAAACTCAACTTGTCCTCCAAATAAAATAAAGATATCTATGAAAAGAATTAAGGTAATACGGCTGTATATACCACTTCAGCAGTCCGCGCATTAGTTATATCACCCTGCACCTGGATAACACCTTCTATTGGAGCCATTGGCTGCAAATCAATAGCTACAATAAGAGGAAGATTTTCATCCCTGCACAACATGATTCAGCAAGAAATTGAAGATGATATTGATAGAGACAAGAGAGATTCAGCAAGAAAGTGATTCATTAACACAATATTTTTCTATAGAAGAAGAAATTTATAAAGACAGAGAGAAAATAATTACAAAGAGTTTGGAGAATAAGGTATCCTTCTTAATGTAAAAAGACAACACAGACGATAAAGAAAAAAAATTCAGAAATCAATGAAGTAGAGCTACCCAATCCCTCTATATATCTATCTGTAAGGGAAATCCACTTACAAAGACCATATACTTTATACCAAATAGAAGCCAAATGCTTAATCTTATCCCTAATCAGCTGCTGATCCAATGGAACCTCCTTAAAATTACGAAAGTTGCACTTCAACCAAGTGCGCCAAAGTGTAGCATACATTGCACATTGCCACCAAAATTTGGCTTCTTTACTTCTACTAAAACCATTAAAGCTAATCATAAAAAATTGGCCCAAAGACCTAGGGTACACACAATTCACCAAAAATAACAAGCAATGAATTCATAAAGAAACAGCATCAAAACATTGTAATTTGTAAGAACAGGAGAGGAACTAATTCTGACTTTGCACCATGCATAACACATACCAGGGCAGTTTTTTTCATTGATATTTTCTTTTTTGTTTTTCTTTCTTGTCATTTTTCTCTTGTTTGTTATGTTAAGGAGGATCCCTAATCCTTCAAACTCTTCGTTATTTTCTTCTCTTTGTCTTAATGAAATTCATCTTTTATAATTAAAAAAGTAACCTATTGTACATAACTATGACAAAAAAAAGGTAAATTTAAGTTTAATGCAGCTTAATTTAAATCGAAGTCCCAGCATGCATTTACAGGATGTGAGACCTCAACATCAAGGAAATCCTTATCAAAGCAGGGAACTTACAAAGAAAGTCAACTTACTTTGTGTCAGGTGCAAGCTTGGCTGGGAGATATAGTTTACGACTCAAAACCTGCATATAAGAATTATTATACAGTCATCAAGATGGCTACCAAATGAGAGATCTGTGAAGGCATGGTCTTGCCTTTTTTTCCCTCCTCTTAATGTATGGTAGTAACTTGGATATCTTGTATCATTGTTCTAGAATTGATAATTTATCTCCATGTCCAAGATGGACCTGGGTTACCGTTCTTATGTTAATTTTTTTGGCAAAATAACAAATCTTTTTTGCTGGGTAGCGCATCATGTACCCAGGTCTGCAAATGCTCTTGCCAATAAATAAGCAGTGTCTGGTAAAACTGCCTTTTCTGGTTGCATTCGGCATTCTTCCCCCCTTTATCTTCTTAGTTGGGGTAAAAAATTTGTGACTGTATTTTTTATAAATGAAATCAGAGATCTTTGAGGGGAAAAAAGAAGACTAAAATCTATTACTATAATACTATCATAGTTGATAGTGCAACAAGATCAAATGTTTGTTGACATTTGACACGACAGATATCATGTAATTATGTATTCAAACAAACATCAAGTTTGAATTCAAATCCTGCCTTAACGTAAATTATATGTTACGATGGTTATAGAATAATAAAGCAGTAGACAAAAACCAAATCATGAACTAAAATCACAGCACAAGGGAACACTAAGGGTTCTTTTTTCTTTTTTCTTTTTTTTCTTTCTTTTTTTAAAGAAAAGTTTAGGAGTAGGGGGTTTATCCCATTCTAAGGTCAGAGCATCAGCATACTTCAAGCCTCAGTGGTAGCTCATAGATGACTTACCAATGAAGGATCTCACCAGATGGAACCAAAACCAAGACCTTTGTGTCAATTATGTTTAATCCTACAAGTTGAGCCACCCCTCATTGGAACTATGGTTTCTTATTGTAGTGCTTTTCAACAAAAATAGACATGTTTTTTTGTGCTTGGTAAAAATTAAAAAAAAATTAAAAAAATTCAGGTGCTTTTGAGAAGCTAAAGCATATGAGAATGATTGTGTAAAAATTGAAATACATTTTGAAATGCCTGTTTATTTGTTAACAATTAATATGCCAGGTCAGTGAGAATTTCATCACTAGTACCTGACTCCAGCTACCTGGGGCAGCACATAAATCTACAACACGTTTCACTCCTGCAAATAAGAAAAAAATTTATCTCAAAGCTGAGGGCAAGAATTTGAATTTGTGCACATTCTTTGTTATATATGCACGCATATCTGCATGTTGTTCTGTGCACGCAAGAACAAAATGCTTGATAAGAACTTTTTATTATTTCTAAGACATTAAATAAATGCAAAAGCTTTGTATAACTGAAGTGAAATGCAAAAGGATTGTAGGCTATTTGTAGATGCTCTTTCAATTTATCTTTGCTGGGTTCACAGCTAATGTTCCAATCACATTATTACACTCAAATTCCGGACAGAGGGCAGTAATATCTCTGCTAAAAAAAATCCACAAACCCAAACAAATAAACACGGGGTTTCATGGAGAAGGCAAGCACCTTCAAAAATGTTGAATTCCTCATCTATCTGAAGGAGTTTAAAGGCACTTCGAGCACGCCAACCTTCTTCTTTTGCTTTCCGGTAATAGATATCCTGAAAATCAATTTAGCCAAACATGAAGGCGACCCCCTCAAAAAGATGAAGAAAGAAGGAAATGAAAAACACACTGAGAGATAAATCAACCATACCCTCTTATCCCTTGAAGCTTTGCCCATGGTTTATAGCTTAACTTGCCCAGCCACAAACTCTGAAAACAAAATCCCTAACAGCAACAATAGACACAAAAAATTAAATTGGGAAGAAGTTCGTAAAAACAAAAGGTATTTGTTTGGGCCATTCCTCAAACATCTGGTGTGCATATTAACACAAACACAAACATAACACTCCTTTCAACCATGCATATGACTAAAGGTTTTTGACCCCCATATTTGAATACAACTTCCATCACCTATCATCAACTCCACAAAGCCATAGAATTTCACAGTAATAATATCCCAATATTAAAAAGAAAACAACGCACCTTTTGTCCTGAACTGAACGACCCAATGACCAACGCTGTCACAAGACTCACAACTCACTCGTTTACTTGTACAGCAAAATAATAAAGAGTTCAAAAGGGTTTTGTGACAGTAACCGGGTCAACCCGTCAAAACACCCGGTTTGTTTTATAACCCATATTGACATGTCTGGGTTGGAGCAAATGAAGCCTGTGAATCTGAATGTGATAGTGATACACGCTCAAAATCAGCTCATCAAAAACCCTAACCCCCAATTGTTAAACCCATTACTGGGACTCCTAAAAAACTCACAAGATGCTTTCTTTCTCTACAACCAAATGCTTTCACACCCTTTCTCCCATAATCACTACACCTTCACCCACGCCCTCAAAGCCTGTTCTTCCCTTCACGCGCGTTCCAAGGGCCTTGAGATCCACGCGCATCTCATCAAATCTGGTCACTACGTGGACCTCTTCATCCAGAACTCGTTGCTCCACTTCTACTGCCACGTGGGCAACGACGTCGTTTCGGCCTCGCGCGTGTTTGAATCCATTCCCTCCCCTGATGTTGTTTCATGGACATCAATGGTTTCGGGTCTCTCCAAGTGTGGCTTTGAAGCAGAAGCCATCAGGAAATTTTCGGCGATGGATGTGAAGCCCAATGCAGCTACTCTTGTTAGTGCATTGTCTGCTTGTTCTGGTCTCAAAGCTCTTGGATTTGGCAAGGCCGTTCATGCTTATGGGTTGAAGTCAATGATTGATGGGAATGTTATTTTTGATAATGCTGTGCTGGACTTGTATGCAAAGTGTGGGTCTTTGGTGAATGCAGAGAACCTGTTTGTGAAAATGTCTAAAAGGGATGTGATTTCTTGGACTACGTTGGTGATGGCCTATGCTCAAGGAGGGCATTGTGAAGAGGCTATTGCTGTGTTTAAAAGAATGGTGCTTGAAGGAGAAGCTGAGCCTAATGAGGCAACTGTTGTCACTGTGCTATCAGCGTGTGCATCCATGGGTGCTTTGAGTTTGGGGCAGTGGGTGCACTCCTACATTGACACAAGATGTGACCTTGTGCTTGATGGCAATATTGGAAATGCCTTGCTTAACATGTATGCTAAGTGTGGAGATATGCAGATGGGGTTTAGGATTTTCAACATGCTTGTGCATAAGGATGTTATCACTTGGGGTACTGTTATTTGTGGCCTAGCTATGAATGGCCACGGCAAGCAAGCAGTGCAGATCTTTTCACACATGTTGATTCAAGGGGTTCCACCGGATGATGTAACCTTTATTGGACTATTGTCTGCATGCAGCCATGCAGGTCTGGTCAATGAAGGAATCATGTTCTTCAAAGCCATGAGAGATACTTATTGCATTGCACCTCAAATGCGACACTACGGTTGCATGATTGACATGTACGGACGAGCTGGTCTATTTGAGGAAGCAGAGGCTTTCCTTAGAGGCATGCCTGTTGAAGCTGAGGGGCCTATTTGGGGAGCTCTTCTTCAAGCCTGCAAAATTCATGGTAATGAGAACATGTCCGAATGGATCAGGGGACATGTCAATAACAAAAATGTTGGGATTGGTACTCTTGCTTTATTATCTAATCTGTATGCAAGTTCTGAACGATGGGATGATGCTAACAAGGTTCGTAATACAATGAGAGGCGTTGGTTTAAGGAAGCTAGCAGGATGTAGCTGGATTGAGCTTGACATGTCCACCAACAGATTGGATTCAAATTTATGTGTTGCCTAGTAGGCCTAAGGGAGGATCAATGGTGTTGTGAACTGTGTAATGCTACCAAACCACGATACAACCTCTAAAGGGTGAAACTGACCTGTCTTCACATTTCTCTGTTCACACGTGGACTCAATATGTGATTTATTCCATTCATGTTCAAGACTCTTTAAGTCTTTCTTTGTGTGTGGTTGGCTGCAAGCATCGCAATCCAATGACAAAAGTATAGTGTAAATTCAACACATAGACTCGATGAGAATGATATTCTATAAGTTTTCTCTTTTATTGTACTGTCTAAAACTTGTACATGGTTTTCCAGCACACAAAAAAACTTGTACATGGTTATTTTCTACATTTTGTGGCATTGTCTATTAAAAAAACAAGGGAGTGCAATATTTTGTTTAATAACAGTTAATTGAGACAGGAATTAAACACACTGTTGCCATCTCTTCAAAATCCGTTAGGACATGAATGGATGGATGAAAACTAGTTTCCTGTTGGATATTTTTTATTTGGAAAAAGTTAAAGGTCATTTTGCTTTTATCAAAAATTGAGTATTAGGATATTGTCGGCACTTGTGTCTATATTTCACATGACAGACTTTTCTGTGGTTGATTGTCTTGCAATTTGGTTTTTCAAGTGATTGGTTAGATAGGGTGAAATATCAGGGATGAAATTCCTGATTGTCTACTGCAGTTGTCAAAGTTAGTTGAGTTGAAAGTAAAATATATGTAGACTCTTTTTACTGTTGCAAGCTGTGTAAGCTGGGAGGCACTTCTTTCCTTCGATGTTTAATGCTTTATGTATTTCTTTTTTCTTGTTAAAACTCTGGCACTTTTCAGTGTTATCCGATTTTCTACCTTTGCCTTTCTGAAAATGTGTCTGCTTGTGTTCAATCTTGGTTATGTTCGGAGCCCATATATGTGATATATATTTTGGGGGGGAGGGTGGAGGCAAATATATCTTTAAAATGCAGTGCAGGGGTTAATGTTGAGGTGCATTTCTTGAAGTAGAATCAGCAAGGAAAAATCCTTGACATCAGAAAACTTTGGTTTTAATCACTGAATAGTAGCTCAATTTATCTGAAAGTTCACATTGATGAACTTTCATCCTCTGTGTTTGTTTCAGACAAAGAGGCTCTTACTTTAAGCAAAAGATATGGCTTTTCGGCCATAGCCCAGTGTATTTATTTGTTACAGTAAAGTTGATTCCAGACATTTTGACCCTAGTGTCCCACAAAAGAGAAAATCAATGGCCAACAAGCCTTTAAGCAGTATGTAAAATGTAGACAATAAAATCCCATCCTTTAATTTGAAATCTATGTGATTTCTGTTTAAGTAGTTAACATTACAATATTTGTTATTAAACTTTTGCAGTATTTATAAAATGTAAAATTTTAGAGTTGGTATAAAAAAAGAAAAAAAATGTAAAATTTAATGTCATTTGTTTGAAGGTGAAGGTGAAGGTAAAATCTTTATTTGCTCATGGCCTTGAGCCAATGAGCCATTGGCAGCTAACCCACAATAATAGGCTGATATAACGTTGATTTGGGCTGGGCCTAGACCCAAACATATACAGCCCAGTGGGTTTTTAATGTATTTAGTAGGGGTGTTTGCAGTCTGGATTAGATCGATTTTGGAAGCAAAAATCATCTGATCCATCCCTTCGGTTTGATCATGTAATTATCCATTCGGTTTGGATTTTTTTTCAAATCCGATCCGATTCAATCCAATTTTTTTCGGTTTGGATTGGATCGGTTTTTGGTTTTTTTAAAATCCTAAAATTTGTTTCATGATTATTGTGCAAATAACATCTTTTGTATATATTGACTTTGTAATTTTATTTTTTTAAAATACAAAAGCATCATTAAACGATAATATAGTTTTTTTCTTTTTTGGGCAATGAGATATGAAGCTCTACACAAATTAAATTTTGTTAATGAGATGTGACTAGGCTTTTTCTTGGGTTTACTTGATGGTTAATGGATCTTTGGTTTAGAAATTTTTGGGCTATGATTGGAAAAAAAAACCCAAGTAGGTAGAGAGAAATTAATATATTGGATCGGTTTGGATTGGATCGGTTTTTATTAACTCATCCGAAAACCGTTCTAATCCAATTAAAATTTGCCCTTTTTTCGGTTTTTGATTTTTCGATTTTCGATTTATTCGGTTATCGGTTTTTCGGTTCGGTTATTGTGGTTTGAATCGGTTGATGAACACTCCTAGTATTTAGTGCTTGTTTTAGTTAGTTTATTTCAAATTAAAAAATTACGACTTTCGGGGAATTAAGAAAAGTAATCATTTATAAACATGCTAAGAAAATTTTATTTTTATTAAATATTAATTATTTGAAAAATACCCTCAAAATACTCGTTAACACGATCCTTTTTATATTGAGAATTTTAGGAATCCTTTTTATATATTTCATACCTTTATATCAGCGTAGAGTGTATTCCTAGGCCAAATTAATTAAGGTCAATTGTGATTAATAGGATATTGAATTTATTTTCTTCGTCACATGTTTTATGTTATAAACTTCATTAGCAGAGTGCAGGCGGGAAATATTTTTTAAAGTAAATACTATTTTTGGTCCTCAGAAAATTTTACGAGGCCCGTTTTAGTCCCTAACAAATAAAAAGGTCCATTGTGGTCCCTCAAAAATTTAAAAGGACCCATTTAATTGAAATCGTGATCCCTCACAAATTTAAAAAAGACCCCTATTAGTCCTCAAAAGGACTAAAATGGGTCCAATTTAAATTTTTTAGGGACCACGATGAGTCTTTTTATTTGCTAAGGACTAAAATGAGCCTAATAAAAAATTTTGAGGACAAAAAAAGATATTTACTCTATTTTTTATGTTCCAGGACCACTCAATGATCCGGTGCTCCCTCTCACATCATCAATTTTTTCTTTCTTTTTTTATCTCTGTTATTTTTTTTCTTTTCTTATTTTAACTCTCTATTTACACTGAAAGACCACCTAAAAAATGGTGATCCCAAACCACACTAAATAATCTCGTGCGCCTATAGCGTAGAATAATAAAATATAAAGCAACCGACGTTTACACGCTATGGATCAGCTTTAAGACTAAAAACACGACTATTAAGACACAGGACCTGACTTTTATATTAAATAGTTGTCATTTTTATAGGATTTTAAATTGTTAAATCACATTCATAGAATCATCGTTGATCTTGCAACTTCAAATGTGATGAGGTATTCTACTACGTTTTTTATAATAATTCCTATCATAGTGCAAATAAATTTGGAAGCATATGGGGGCCTAGCCACCTCCCACTTACTAAAAAATATAAAATTAGGAAGCATACGTCGAAGAAAAGAAATGATATAAAGGGACAAAGAAGGTTTACCCAAAATGAAGAAGATAGGGTACTTTCTGCCAAACCATGTTATACTAGATGATTAGGAAAGAAACTTGAGAACTAATAGATATCCGATTGCATGTGTATATTTAAATTTGGATAAAATATAAAAGGAAAAGGTTATACTTACAACCTATTTTCTTTACAACATTTTACAATCATATATCTTAACCGTTGATTTTCGTCAATTAACGGTTAAGATTTTCGTAAATTAAATTTATTAATTAATTATTAAATCACAATAAATGATAACCGTTGATTGACAGAAATCAACAGTTAAGATATATAACTAAAGAAAATAGATTGAAAGTATAACCTTCCCCAATATAAAAATGTAATTTAAAAAATTAAAAAATATTTAAATTATATTCATTAAGCAATATTTAAAGAGTTTCAGTTATAAATATTTAAGTGACAAACAAACACATCCTTTAATGTGAATGATCAAACTTTCTGTAAACAATTATTTATTTATTTATTTTTTAAAGAAAAAGAGAGGAGAATAACACTTTAAACTAAAATACTATGCTACAAAAGGTATAACATACACAGATAGTGGCTTTCTGCAATAGGGAACTCCGATTTAGTGTGTACTAAATGTAGAAAGAACATAAAGTTCTTTAGCCAATGATAAATCACTCAATCTATCAAGTTCTTAAAGCTTGCATCCATGCTTCTTTGCAAATTATACAAAAGGAAAAAGGAGAATAAATTTCAACTGCCTACTCAGAAAACGATTAGACAAAGAAGAAAGCAGCAAAAGAGAAAAATTGAAATTCTGTTCAATGATTTGTCTGCCTGCATTTCTCGCCTTCTCAATCTAGGGCTATTCCTTCCCATCAGCCGATAAGAATTCGGGTAGGCATACAAATTTTCTGAGTTTCCAAACACTCTGGCATAAACCATTTCCCCAAACATCCCAACCACAGGGTGGTGGGATCCTGGAGTCATGGTGGCACCAAGATTGAGCATTTGTGAGGTGGCATCCCCTTCTTGGTATAGAGGAGGGCTGAAATATTGACCCTGATAAGGATTGCGATATGGAAGCTGCTGACCCCTTTGAGATGATGTTGCCAACAGAGCTTGAACACTTGAAGCAGATGGTCTTGGTGGTGTAAAAATATCACAACAGGATATCTTCCCATCAGGGGGGGCCTGGCCCCGGCCATACAGTGGGACCATTGCGGTATGGGATATATCAGCTTTACAAACAGGGCATTGTGGGTGCTCATCAGGTGCAAGAGAATCACTTTGGACATGCAGCCACTTGTAGATGCATGGCCAGCAGTAAAGGTGGCCACAGAATGTGACTACCGGTTCATGCGCAGAGTCTAAGCAAATGTTGCAATCAAAACAACCATTGGAATTTTCTGTTTCTGTCACAGCATTTGGGATGGTTTTCAGTTCCTGGGAAAAGTAGTGCTCAAATGCCATGAATCAAGGAAAGCCCTCCTCACAACTTCAGTCACCAGTGCTTCTTTAGCCCTGCATATACAAAGAGACAAAACCAACTTAATACGCAAAACTAAAAAAATGTTTGGAGGAATTCAAAGACACAGTCAAACAGAATTGAAACTAAAAATCGGACATGAAGTATAAATCAATTATGATTTCATGAGCAAGAAAATGAAAATGCCAATATAGAAGAGGAGTATTCAAATTGGAACAATGAAGATAGAGTCTTGATAAAGGTGATTATTAAATAGGTAGGAGATCCACTCAATCAAGCAAAGACCGATGATCAGTGAACCAAATAAACTGCTGTTCATAAACAATATCTCAATAATGCTCATCTTCAAGTTGCTTATGAAGTACAACCAGAAAAAATAGTAATTACGTATGCAGACGGCTTATTTTTCCAATTTCCAAGTCTTTCCGAACTAAAATATAAAAACACTAAAGCAGCAAATCTCAACCAACTCAAATGCATCAATCTGAGCTCAAACATATATCATGCATCACTTCTACCAAGAATGAAAGAAAGATGCCCAAATCTCCATCTGGAGGCAAGCAAAGAGCAAATCAAATCTATCCAATTATGCAGCTGCTTACATATTCATAGAAGATGAGAAAACAAAAATAGTGGAAACATGAATAAAGGCATACACAACCTAGGACACAATCACTTGTCTGTTTATATTCCATGGATTCACCAAAACAGCCAATTAGAGATATAATATAAAATCATTTATTAATCTTCACCTAAAAACTTAATCTCCACTTGTGTCCTATACGATGCCATGGTGATGTGATTTTGTGCAATAACCAATCGGTATATAACAAAGGTAAACAAAGACAAAAACTATAGAAACAATAGAGGAGCCAGAGAAGTTATCCTTTCAGGAGATCGAAGCAAGCTGTGAAAAATCCAATATGATATCATATGGAGATGCACATACCAGTTCAAAATCTTGAAACCTTTCACTAAGCACACAAAAGCAAATTGCTTAATGTCTATAACCCAAAAAGAGAAAAAAAAAAAAAATCATAAATATTGAACTTTTATAGTCTCCCCCCACACGCTTTTCTGCACATTTCCTACTCGGAATGCAAGAAAATCGCGCCCCCTACTTATCTCGCTGGAAAGATATCCCTAACATTGCCAAAGGATAAGATTCTAGATCCTTCAATGTCTACATATCTCAAGAATGATTGATTTTCAAATGAATTAAGGATCAAATCATCATGCCCACTACACAAACAATAAAGTTCAAAGATTAAAAAAAACACAAGATCCACGCAACACAAATAAAATAACGAGACCGTACAGAACTCCATTAATAAACAAGGAAGAGATTGCAAAGCAAAAACAAAAACTTGATGATGATGATGACGATGGTGATGATGATGATAAAGAAACACCATGGAAAACGAGAAAGAAAAAGACATACCCAGATAAAAAAAGGAGAGAGCTTTGGCTCTGAGAAATTTCTTGAATGGAAGCAACAACGACGAAACTGGGAATAAAAGACAGTGTCAGAGAGTGGGGATGCAATTATGATAAAAACGTATTTCACTCTCATCAAAAGTGAACCCTTTCATGCCGTTTTTCTTTAAATAAAATTAATTTATCTGTAACTAAAGTTATAGTTACTATTTTTTTTTTATAATTATATTTTAATATTGTTAATTTTTGTCAATCAATAATTATTATTTACTGTGAATTAATAAGTTTAATTTACAAAAATTATAACTGATTATTAACGAAAATCAACAGTGTTAAGATATAGTTGTAAGATATTGTAAAAAAAAAGTTATAAGTATAACTTATAATCCCTTAATAATTAATTTTATTTATTTAAAGTTAAATTAAAAATTCTGAAAAGAAAAAATAAGCTAGTTAAATCGATTGTATACCCTATATCGATAATATTCCAGTTGACCGCCTCTAATTCGAATTGTTTTGTTCCTCAATAAGCAAACAAAATTTGTGTGTTAAATAAAGGCGTGACTGTACATATATTCTTCTTTAAAAGGTGGAATTATAACCTATATTCTTCTTTAAAAAGCGAAATTGTAACGTGTATTTTTCTTTAAAGTTACATATGCTTATATGATCATAAAAAATATATATGATAGTTAATTAGTTATAATTAACTACTTTTATAAGTTTCGAGGGGATGATTACTATTTACAGGATTAAAAAAATCAAAAATAATATTTAAACTTATAGGTTTATATAAAGTTTAAGGGAAAAATATTTATCCTTTTAAATGACACAACTTATATCTTTTCACTCTCACAAAGAAGTGGGACCCACACCTTTACTTATTTTTGTCGACTCTCTCCTTTTTTATCTATGTCTTTTTCTCTCTTAACATGACACAACTTTACATCCTTTAAAATGACACACATTTTTCCCAAAATTTAAGGGGATAATTATCCCTTCTAACTTCTTAGCTCTAGCAGTGCCATGCAATGATTAGTCTAATGGTGAGAGATTGTTGTAGGACTTATCGTTTCTCAAGTTATTTGAGATAATTTTATCTTCGGCTATTAAATCATAACCGTACAAAGATGGATCTATGGTAATGAAGGAAGAGAAAGAAAAAGAGAATCATAATCATTCAAAGGTGAATCAATTAATATAAGAAAATAAATAAACAAAACGACGTAATTTTGGGGTGACCGAAGATAAACTTATCTCAAGTTGCCAGAGAAATATTTTTTCCATATATATATATATGGCATGTTATTCTTACCCCAATGCAAGAATAAGGAATCTTACACTCAATCATGACTGCTGATCCACTTGTATCTAATGGCTCATATAACTAGAAAATTATAGCCATTAAATAAAGGGAGTTATTAATCTCATGTTGCTTGAGATAGTTCTCTCATGTGTGAGAGATAAATATGTGGGGTCCACACTTTAAAATAAAGAAAAAAGAAATGGAAAAAGCTGGCACAAAATTCGATGGGTGTATAGCATGAGATAGCTATCTCCAACGAAATGAGAAAAATATTTCCCTTAAATAAAAGTGAAATCAATAGCCAAGATTAAGAGTGTAACTTACACTATTGTAAAATGATCATGGTTATATATATATATATATATATATATATATATATATATATATATAAGGAAATGTTATACTTACAACATATTTTTCTTACAGTATCATTTTTTTTTATAGAAGTAAAAATGAACACGTAACATAATATAACCTTCTCAAACCCCTCACCAACCACTTTTAAAATGACACCATGTGACAGTCGTTTGAATTCTATTTTTAAAAATAGATTTTTAGCTTTTGTAACAAAAAAAACCTTGTTTGATAATGCTTTTTTTGTAAAAATAATTTTAAAAATTATATTTGTTTTTTAGTTTTTAAAAATCAAATTTAGAGAATATACTTCAGTTGTTTTAATTAGTGTTTTGACTTTTAACTTTAAAAAAAAATCACAAAAAGTACTCATTTCATTAATTATTTTATGAAATATTTGCAAGAAAAAAAAAACAAAACACAATCAAATAGACCCTTTAAATTTTTCTTTTTTTATTTATTATAATAAAAAAAAATTATAATAAAAACTTTTGTAAAAACATGTTTGATTAAGCTTTTACATATAAAATAAGAGAAGTTAAAAATAAAACTTCCCAAATAGGCACTAAGGTGGATGACAACCTTTCGAGATTTTTTTTTTCTTTTCAAATTTTGTTTTCGAGAATAGAAATAGTGTTTGACAAAATTGGTTTACTTTTTGTTCCCTATAATGAACTGGTTCAATTTCAATACTGGGGAATAGGAAAAAAAATCAAAAAACATTTATTCTCGAGCACAAAATGAGAAACACTTATATTTCTCAATCACTCTCTCCCGCTACCATCATCACCACCACCATCCAGACACGACCACCGCCTCCATCGTCACTGCTATTGTTGTACCACCACCACCACGATGTCACTGTTACCATCACCACTCCATGTCACCGTCATCACTACCACCACCACCATTTCCATCACCATCACTACTACCACCGTCACCAACCACCACTATTATTGTCGCAACCACTACCATCACCACACCACCACTATCACCGCTACCACCATTATGCTACCACCATCGTCACCATTTATCACCACCATCGTTGCAGTCACTGCCGTCACCACCTCCACCATGTCATCACCATCACTACCATTATTACGCTACCGCCACTACCACCGCTCTGCTGCCACTATCACTATGTCATCGTCATCACCACCATAATCACCATTATGTCACCACCATCACATTCGCCGCCACCACCATCACACTATATGAAAAGGAAAGCGATGATCCGAAAAAATTTTATGCCTACTAAAAATTATTTTTTATTCTTTATTTGTTGTGTTATCAAATATAATTTTTATTCTCAGATAAAAATAGAACATGTTATCAATCACATTTTTTTTTCTTAAAAATTATTCCAAGACATAAAAAAAAATTTGTTTTCTTTCAAAAATTAAAACAGGATAAGAAAACAAAATAATTATCATATACCTCCTTACTATATTAAACAACTTCGTCGTAAGAGTGCCTTGCAGGTTCGCTGAGCCAAATCATTAACAATGACATTGGAGAGTGCAACACGCTGATATCATATCATCCCTTGCATCAAAGCAAAAATCCATGATGAATCCAGCCATTTGGGACAGACCCATCCTATGTGATTATATCCAATTCCTTACAATCTGATAAAAATCTAACTAACTGACTTAACTTTCACTAAATTCTTTTGGATCTCTAATAAAAATATAATATTCACTTTAATTTCTTAAAAAAAAATTAGTCCAGAGGTTTTTAAAAAATTTAAAGTGAATCTATTTAGTTGAAAATTATGATCTCTCACGAATTCAAAAAAGACTCATATTAGTCCATTTAAAGAACTAAAATAGATCAACTTTAAATTTATAAGGGATTAAAAAATAATATTTTTTGTTTGGGACTAAAAAAAAAATTACTCTTTAACTTTTTAAGGTTTAATTTCCTTTTATTGTGTTCACCATCAATTTAATCAGTTGAATTGATAAATCATAATAACGTGAGATTCCTATAATTTTAAAATAGTATCATTTAATATATTACGTAAAAAATAGTATCATCTCACTTTATTAACGTTCTTTCATTTTATTTAGGGAAAACTTCAAAAAAAAAAATTCGTAATTTTTCTCTTAATCATTTATTTTCTTCCCAAAATTTTGAATCATTTATTTTCCTGACTTCAAGTTTTTTTATCATTTACCCCTAAGTGAGGGGTAAATGATAAAAAAACTTTAAGTTAGAGGGATAAATAATAAAAAAAAATCTAAATAGGAGTGTAAATTATTCAAAAAAATTTGTAAAGAGGATAAGTGATGATTAAGAAAACTCATTCGCAAATTTTTGAAGTTTTCTCTTTTATTTAATGATGATATACAATATGATAGAATTTACTTAATTTTCAAAATAGTAAATAATTTAAAATAAAATAAAATTTCAAAATAGTATTTGTAGAAAGAGAAGCATGATACATTTGGAAATGTGATTTTAATTGGGACAGCAAGAAAAGTGCCTTCTAGAAGCGCGTGATGAGTTTGAGTTTGCAGGGGAAAAATCACCTTTTGCCGGCTTCATCCGCTTTCAAAGAGATAACCCTTTTTTAAAAATAAAAAAATTATTATATAACGCCACTTGAAAATTAGATACGAAAAATTATTATGTAAAATGTTTCCCTTATAATATTTTACAATTATTTTTATTATTATTAAATTAATGGTTATAAAATAAAAATCAAATAAAGACTGTTGATGTGATTTTGATCCAATTATAATAAAAGTATTTGTAAAAGAGAAGAGATTGTAAATATAATTTCCTTCAAATTATGTTTATATAAAAAAAATATAAATTATGTTGTAAATTAATTAATGATATACAATTATGTTCTTTGTTTGAAAAATTATTAATAATTAATTTTTTTTAAGTAAACACCAATATGGAAAGTGTTGTAATTTATTTAAAAAAAATTGTAATTTGAAAGATAAATCTTAATTTATCCCAAAATATTTTTTAAACTATTTCTCTTTTTCTGTGGACGATATGACACCCTTCAGCCTCTTTAAAAATTTACAAGAAGGATAATAAATATGTAAGATAATGGAAATAAAACCAACCATAAAAAAAGAAAACACCTCAAGCAAAAACTAAAATCCACCTAAAAGAACTAAATTTTATTAATTCAATTTTAAAACACTTTAAGACTTATCACTAAAATATTAAAGAAAACAATATTTCTGCAGTTACTGCATATAAGTTATCTGCATTTATTTTCAAAACGACGCTTTTTTGGGATTGAAGTATTAAAAAATTATAATTATAAAGACTATAATAACCCTGAAATAAATCAAAATTACAAAAATACCATGATTTTCACCCCAAAACGACGTCGTATTGAACTTACTGCAGATAACTTATCTGCAGTAACTGCAACACGTTGACCCTTTCCAGAGACTTCATACAGATCTTGGACCAAGTTTCCAGTCCATGTTGGTGTCCAAGAATTGCTTGCAACCGTCAACTAGTCCAGCCTCTTCTGTTGTGCAGGTGCAATCTTACCCCTAAAGGTTTGTAGAATCCTCTTGTGTGCTGTCATCCTTCGCATTATGTAGCCCCTCAATTCCTCACATAATGTCATTATAGGTTTGGACTTGTAATTCACAATATTTGCATTCCACACCTCAGCCATACCAAGTTCATAAACTCCATACCAAGTTCTAAATAGACATGCCCAAAAGAAGCTTGTTCATTAAACTTTGGCAAGACAGGTCTAACATTCTCATCATCATCACTTGAAGGAGGAGTCCTCAACTCCTCAGACAGATACGTATATCCTTCTTCCTCAAATGACTTTATGTCTTCCTCTTCATCAACTTCTTCAGATTTAGAGTCTTGAATTGGGGCATCCTTCTTGACTGCCTTCTTCCTTGGGGTCTGTTTTGCAGGATTTTTTTTCTCTACCAATGGCACATTGTGTTCATCATCATCTTCTGAATGATCCTCAACACCAGGTGGGGGAGGCTTGTATACCTCATCCTCTGCACTCTCATATGAATCTGAGTGTGAGGAAGCATGGTCGTCATCTGCATTATCATCTTCAAACCCATTACCAGCATCATCTGCACTTTCTTCATCATGGTCTGAATTGCTCCCATCATCATGTAAATTCAAGCCATCAGCAGCTTGTGCATGGTCTTCATTTTCTTTGACCCCATCATCACCTTGTGCATTGTCTTCAAAGTAGACATGTACCTCCTTTTTCACTGTCATGTTGAGGTGAAGCAAACTCGGGAATTGAGATGCAGTCCTCAAAGTAGACATGTATCTCATTGCCATTCCCTAAAGCAGCCTCACACATCTGAATCTGTACTAAGTGGTCTTAACCCTTGTTCCAAATCGGGTACCCTAGGTTGTAGCCACATCATCTTCGTGCATTTTTCATACCCACATTGCTTAAACAGGTGTCAAGGTCACGGTGATTGCAGTAGTCAATGTCCATCTCTGGCAATGAGTCCACCCTTCCATTTATATAGGTCATCACTTCATCTTCATCTCTGACTAAAATACCACCATGATGATAAACAATCACTATGTATTCGGACATCTGTCAAAACCAAAAAACCAAACCTATCATTAATCCAACAGCCACACACGTTAGACCACTTAAATAATACAAAGCAATAAACAAGCAAACATTTTTTATGGATGCTGACTTTTTTTCCAACGATTTCCATGGGGTTTTTAATTGTTACTGGGTCAACCATGAACCACTTTCTAAAACAGGGACCACACCACCCGGTAGTTACATTCTTTAACCTAAACCCTAAATGGAAACATGGACCACAATGTCCACTTCGCATGCAGACGAAAACACGCATTAAACAAATGGGAACAACATGGGGACCACAAACAAAGGAGGACAAAGAACAATAAAAAAATGTTTCAAGATTTAAATACTCTCTTACCTTTTTGTACGAAAGGTTCAACCTCACACAAAGGGAGAGAGTTCTTTTACTTTCACAGGTTCCCTCCGATTGTTGAAGAAGTTCGTATTCCAAACGTAGGCGAGTTTTTCCTCCACGGTCCTCTTCCTTCTCAACAATGGAGCGTCCAAGTTTGAAGGGAGGGAAAAGGTAAAGTGACCAACGGTTAGGTGAGGGGAAATTTTGGGTTTTAAGAGAACTGGTTTGACCAACATAGATGAGTCCCTCCAAACGACGTTGTTCCTCAACCCACGTGGTCTTCAGCATGTCACTTAACGTGACACATCATCACCGTCAGTGACACCGTGAGTTTTGGATTAACAGAAGAACTAACGTGAGTCCTGTTTCACTTTGTTGAGGACTATTTAATGAGTTTATTTTTGTGAGGGACTAATTTGGATACCGAATTTTTTTGTCAGAGACCAATTTAGGCATTTACTCTTAACTATCTTACAAAACCGTTTTAAGACAAAAGAAAAAAAAAACACACACACAATGAAGCTTTTAACTTCAGCTTTTTTCATAAGCAATGAATTCTGACTTCTTAAAAAAACACTATTTTAACTGCTGTTTTGCTATCAAAACACATAATATTCTCGAAAATACCTTTTTTTTTAAAACAAAAAATAACTTCTCTAAGAAAAAACGCTCATCTAAACGCACGCTTAGTGTATAAAAACTAGCTGCAGTCAACGCACTCGAATCGATACTAATAATATATTGTCAATATAAATTCACTACATTATTAATAAAATTTTAATTATTTACTAATAGAATTATAAATTCATTACATTAAATTCTACAAGAATCGAACTCGAATACTAAATACAGATGCAGAGATTACTATTAGGTCTCGGGTTATAGAAGTACAATACACCAGAGTCAGTCCTAAGCATTGCAACGAAATTTAATAAATCCAATTCACATAACGTTTTTGATGCAACTGCAACAGTATTTACAAAAATAGTGCTAGAATTCATGGTAAATTGGAAACACATTTAAGAAATCGTTAAGTGTTACAAAAAAATCTTGAATTCATTGCTTCATTAAAAATCACATTACAGAAATTCCCCCTAACCCAACTCATACTGGCAAATAAGAAACAAGCTATTGTGTTTCCGGTGATTCAGAAACAACTCTTCCATTATATATACAATGCTCTGTAATATTAGTTGCTAGGAGACGAGCACCCTTGAATAGAGAAAAAGTAAAAGCAAATGTAAAAGGGGCTACATCAACCTTAGACGCAGGAGGAAACAACAGCAAGTGCCATCAAAACCACTCGCTTGTGACTTCAACATTTGAAAGGCTCCGGATCTCATAATTTAACAGTCATTGAAAAAAAAAGAATACATAAACCATGTTTATTAGGCTCCTTTCTTCTTTTGGTCTTTAATAGATTTGACCTCCTTCGTAAGCATTCTTGGAGCTATGGCCATAGCCATTAGCTCCTGGAAGAGCAGCTTACAAGCATAAGGAATATAAACCTGCAGACAAAAAAAAAACATTAAGCTAAGAATTCAGAGCACAAGGAAAACCTTGGACTTATGGACTATACTGCCAAAAAAGATAAATGATAGTTCACCTGAACAATGTCAGTTTTGTTCTTGCAACCCCTGCACTCAAACGAATTCTTCTTGAGATTTGCAATAGCTATCAACCCACAACGCTCACACACATGGACCCTATATGCATCGCTTTGGTCAAACAATCTTTCTTTTAGGAAGTGTGCAGCTCCATGGGCTATCATGCAATCTCGTTCCATCTCTCCAAATCGGAGACCTCCATCACGTGAGCGTCCCTCAGCAGGTTGCCTTGTGAGGATCTGCACAGGACCTCGTCCACGAGAATGGATCTTGTCATCAACCATATGCTTCAGTCTTTGGTAATATGTAGGGCCAAGGAAAATCATTGCACTGAGACGCCTCCCTGTATGACCATTGTACATAGTCTCAAAACCTCGCATTTGGTATCCACACTTGTGTAGAGCCTTGCTAATATTATCCACCTGGATCACAGTAGTATAGAATGATAGAATTTAAAACTCAAACCAATGTATAAATAAATAAATAAAATAAAATCAATTTAAGATATCTCGACATCAAACCATAAAACAAGAATTCTACCATGATATTTTCTGACAGAGTAAGTAGAGGAATACTGTGACTGAAGCAATAAAAAAGATAATTTATCCACCACCAGACACATGCCCTAGGGTCTAAAGTAAGCTACATGATTATGCTCATAGCCTCATAATTGAATAATGAGGGGCACATTGCTTAGTTCTGGGCAGACATTTTTTTATAGGCATAACAGCTTGCTCATGATATATACCGCTAGAGCTCATATTGTCAACCAGTTCTTCCTATGTAAATGGATGGATGGGTAACAAGATCCAATAGGAGCAGCTGGAAGTAACTTATGTGAGGAGTCCAAATTTCTGACAAGTATTAAATTGTTACACGAAAAAAAAAAAAAGGATGAAGGAATGCTACTTACAGTAACATCTGTAAAAGGAGTCGCATCTCCTTCTTTTCCCATGTGAGCTGCTACCTTCCCCATGATACACTCAATTAGCTGGCCAATTGTCATTCGAGAAGGAATAGCATGTGGATTGACAATAATATCAGGGGTGATGCCTTCTACAGTCCAGGGCATGTCTTCTTGTGTATAAGTCATACCAACTGTCCCCTTCTGACCATGTCTACTACTGAATTTGTCACCAATTTGTGGTATACGAACAGATCTCACCCTTACTTTCACAAATCTCAATCCATCAGCATTTGTTGTCAGCAAAACCTACCAAATAGGCAATTTATAAATCCAGCAATGAAATAAATAATATGCTAAGAATTCAGGATTTGGTACATTAATATTTACTTCAGATATAGTCATTTTATTTTTGTCAAGCAGCTCCTTATTTTGAAATTAAAACGTCCCATCCATTAATCTTTCATAATTCATAACATAAACTCAATTCGTAACACATGAAAAACTTACTTGATCAACAATTCCAGTTTCACTATGGCGTAAGCTTATGCTGTGATCACGTCTTGTGTAACGTACAGCTTGTCCCTGTGCCTCATCCTGAGATATTGGGGTGGTCTTTCCAATAATAACATCCTCACCAGACACTCTTGTGCCCTATTTCATAGTAACAAATCATTTCAGTTCATATAAAATTTCATTTTGGGACAGGCTGATGGTGTTGTCAAAGCATAAATTCAAATTTGCTTACTGGTGGTGCAAGACCGTCATCATCCAGCTTATCATAAGAACCATGCCTCATACCCTGCAAAATGGAACTTGGTTATAAACCACAAATAGCAAGTCCATATGCTTCTTTATTTTGGTGATGAAATTGCAAAGCAAGAATAATCATTTGCCACCAGAGGCAAAAATTTTACCATGGTGTTAGCTCTATCTGGACGACCAAAATCTTCTTTGACAAGGGTTCCCATCTTCTTCTCCTCATCTCTGTAAAAATTAACAATGCAACATGTCATAAAAATCACAAGCACGTCAATCAAAAAGAGTTAATGTCTAATTAATTCGGGCAGCACCACACACCTGTATGAACGGAAAAACAAAGACCGAAAGAATCCACGGTCAATTGATGATTGGTTCATGATGACAGAATCTTCTTGATTATAACCAGAATAACAGGCAATGGCTACAATGGCATTCTAAGACACAAGGGAAAAACATCTTAGAACACTTAATATCAACATAATGAAAAAATGATAAAAATAAAGGAAACAAGAATTTACAATTCCAGCTGGGAGTTGACGGAAATGAAGATGCTCCATGGCTCTTGTAGTGACCAGTGGCTTTTGAGGATAATATAATACATAGGCCAAGGTATCCTAAGTAATGGAGGAAAAACCATCAAATGGAATCCAGTATAAAGTAAAAAGTATAATAGACTAACAGAAGAACAAGAACACATAAGTCATTAAAACAAGTGAACAGTACCATTCGAAACTGGTAGTTGGTAACATATATTCCCATTGCTTGTTTTCCCATTGCAGACTGATATGTATTACGTGGGGACTGATTGCACCAGCCAAAGGTAAGTGATATGAATGACGTGTATTAATCAGAATGAATACACAGCAAAACACCATATTCACCTGATTGTGGTCAGGAAATGGTATGATAGAAGCACATACACCCAAAATCAATGATGGGTGGATTTCACAATGAGTGTATGTATCAGAATATGCGTCCTCTGGATTAAGCCTTGCTTGTACAAGATCCTGTTAAATTTATTCAACAATCTTTTTTTTATTGCTTTATAGCTTCTTAATTTGCATTAATGAACAAGTATATAAAGGGTATGCACTTTTGAAATCTAAAATTATAGTACTGACATTAATTGTCATGGAAATCATTGTAGTCTCTTCTTCCTCCGTGTCAATATATTCTATAAAGCCCTTGGACACCAGATCATGCCACCCACCATCTTCGGGGGACTCCTGAAAAATTTGAATAACAAGTTATGCAATCACAAAACAATATCAGCTAATAAGATACGCTACAGTTACTATTGACTTACCCTCTGTTGCAAAGCATGAATATCCTTCTTCTTTATGAGAAGCCTCTGCTTATCCACGATGAATAAAGGACGACTGCAGCGACCATAATCTGTATATATACGCAATTCTTTAAGACGGATATCTCTGACAACTCCAACTTCAGTATTAACATCAACCTGCACCACTTGAACAGCCATCAGCACCGCACCACAATTAAAACATATCATCGCGTAACATCTAAGCAATTAAAACCAATCAAATCCCAATAGAAAATGAATAAATAATGGCTATGTAGATTGCTCAATAAAGAGGCAATCAATAAAGCAACTATTTGAAAAATTGGTCCATACTATGGGGTCATCTAGTAAAATTAATATAATGAATACTCTTTTAAACATATGGGTGGGATTTTAAAATAAGCAACCACATCCAGCCTTGTTGGGATGAAATTGTGGGATCTAAAAGGGGAAAAATGGATAATCATGCTTCTGAGTTTTGGTTTAAAGACATTCATATTAGTTCTGATTATCATTTATCTACTATTCTTATCAGTTAAAATAGTTCATCCGTGCAAGAATTGATTACAACTTCAAATATCTCACCCAAAAAGTAGTACTGATAAATACCACACAGGGGATGCAAACTAACAAGGTAACATTTTTAATATCGGCTTCCAATGATTACAGGTACTACAAGATGATATCAATTTTTTTGGTGCAGGAGGATAATTGATATTTGCTAACAGTTTCATTCAAAATTAGATTTCTAGGCTGTCAAACAAAATCAGAAAGTGAAATGAATAGTTACCCGACGTCTCAGCTTTCTCAGTGTTCTCACCAACATATCAGGGTCACGATGGATGCCCATCCAGCAACCATTTACAAAAATTTTTGTAGCTTGGGGAATCACAGCAGGAGAGATTTCCTGAGTGGAGGGAAAACAAATAAATTTAAACATAAACCAGTAAGAAACAAATTCACTCTATGCAGGAAAACCCTATGCACCTCAAAATTCTCTGTGCCCCATTCTTCCAAAAACTCCAAAATAGGATAAGCAGCTGAACCAACTGTTATGTAAACCATCAATGCCAGATTCTTCACCAGTCCACAGGCCTATAAAATAGCCCAATCACAAGCATAAATACCACAGATAAAGATCAGTTTGTCATGACAACTATTAATGTAGGAATATACTTGGAAAGCAAAATACTTACTTGTCCTTCAGGTGTTTCTGCTGGACACATCATTCCCCATTGTGAATTATGCAGCTGTCTTGGTTTGGCCAACTTCCCTGGAATAAAAGGTGAAGGAGAAAACTGTAAAAATTACAACTGAAACAAATTTTTTTAATAAAAAGCAGTAGTGCCTAACATGTGAACCTAAAGAAATAACTTAGAGCATATTACCATATTGCATTAATGGTATTAATTTATGCATGAAAATGCACCAAGGGGAGGGGAAGATTGAAGGATGGATCATGCATGGATAACCAAGTAATTTTACCTTCACGCCCTATGGGAGAATTCAGTCTTCGCAAGTGAGACAAAGTGGATGCATAAGTTAAACGATTTAGCACCTGAGGCAGAAGAACAAGAACATAAGTATTATTTCCTCTATAGAAGAGAGAGAGAGAGAAAGACAGTTTTGAATCATAAAAATAATGCAATAATTCATATTCAAACCTGAGACACTCCAGCTCTAGTACCAGCAGCATTTGCTTGCCCCCAATTACCAGTAGCGAGTGAGTATTTAAGTCCACTTGTGATGGTTTTTGCTTTGATAGCAAATTGCAGGTTAACATCTTTCCCATTATCAACACACTGGACCATTCATGAGGTAGAAGGGCATAAGGCAAAGCAAATAAAATTTAGCAACTGATGTACTTTAAAGCTAGAACAAACCTTCTGTACATAAGCCCTGACATCTCTAGTTAGCTTTCTGAATAGCTGCATCATAAGTTGAAGTAACCAGGAATTCAGAAACAGAAAATTACTACATAACAAGACAAATGGAGTCAGGCAATATCAATTACTAGAGAAACAAACCATTCTAAAGAGACCGCCAAGTAAAGGACCTGCCAGGTCCAGCCTCTTGTTGCCATAATGATCCCTATCATCTTCAGCCCTCCGCCCAAGTGCACATAGGAGTAGCCGGTGAATGATATATCTGTCGAACAATGGTAAGCATTATAAATCCTTATGAAGTCATCAGAACGAAAACACAAGATCTGACAAGGAACAAACTTACCCAAAATAGTACGCTTTCTTTGTCTCACAATACTCTCCAACACCGACATGAGGAAGCATCTCCTTTTGAAGAATCTCCTTAGCATACCTGCATATTACGATACAAGTGTAACACTTGCTCAATAGAGGCTGCACACAAATCGTCCTCAGACTCTATAGAAATATAAGTCAACTCACTTAATTCTCTTTTCCTTGGTTACGCCTACAGTTGCTCCTCTTTTCCCGATGTAATCAAGTGCAACCTGCAGTGGAGATAAATATATAAGTTAAAACAAAATTTCCTAATACCAAATATAAGGAGTTTCAAGAAAACCATGTATCAGATAATACAATATTTGACTAATAATAACAGTTTTAAATCATCTGAAATTAAAAAGAGATGAACATTCTACTGCAAAATCAGATGACTGACACCATGCGAAAGGGGATTGAAGTAAGACAGAGAGATTATATAACTATATAAAAAAGGAAAGAATTAAAATCAGAACATGTACACAGAAGACTTTATTAAGCTGGGTTATAAAGCATATGCAATGCATGAAAAACAGACTATTGCAGCACCCGAACAAGGGAATAGGTCAGAGACTGAAATGGGCTGGGATTATACATTGGTCTCACCCAAAATTATTATAAATTCTACATAAGCAAGCATCACCTTGGCTGTAAGCAAGTAACATATAACAAATAGCAGAACCCACCTGTTGATTTTGAATAACAAATGCCTCTTCCAAGGAAGGACGAAGTAACTCCATCATTTGAGTATCAGAGAAGTCATAGCATATATGTTCAAGTATGTCCTTGTCAGCAACAAACCCCAATGCTCGAAACACAATAATGATGGGAATTTCCGTTCGTATGTACGGAAGAGTAGCGCGTATATATTGTCCTGAAGAACCCTGAATGGATAAAAAGGCATAAATTTAGACATTGCATAATACATCTAGCCATGTGGCAAAATGTGATTTATTGTCATGAAGCACAACTTGCGCCAAGAAAGCTACAATAATTTGCATTACCCCTTTGGAACTAGTTCGAGAGAGCATGCGCACAAACATAGTACTGGGCGGTCTATTCTGGGACTCTGCCATGGACCGAACTTCCCCCACATAAGCATACTTGTTAGGTTGTCTCTTCTTGAACACATAGACATGATTGGTGCTCATCTTCTCCTGAGCAATTAGAACCTTTTCACTCCCATTAATAATGAAATATCCACCTTGATCATACGGACATTCTCCAAGCTCGGTCAAATCCTTCTCCGAATTCTGGTATAAAGTGCAATAACTAGACCGAAGCATTATAGGAACCTAACAAACAAGAAAAATAATAGTAATAATCAAAGAATCAATAGTTGAGCGCTATTATCAATGCTGGAATTAAATTTAGCATCTAGAATTAAGAAACACAGACCTTGCCAATGAAAACTTTGGTGAAATCCTGAGTCTCAGTGACCTCTTCACCATCGTGCCCTTTCTTGATGACCCTCTTGGTAACATCAACATACAAAGGAGCTGAATAAGTGAGGTTCCTTAACCTAGCTGCTTTGGGAAACAAGGTAGCAGTTTCTCCATCAGACTCCGTCATCATGGGCTTACTCAAGTAAATCTGACCAAAGCAGATTTTGTAAATTGTCTGCTAAACAAACAAACAAACAAACCCAATTTATCGTTAAGCTCGGAGATTTCAAACGCAATAAACAAGAAGTTAAGAGTTTCTACTCATACCTCAGCAAAATCGGATTGGTGACCCGGATTATGCTGGGATTCGGGTCGAATTTCAATGTCAGCAGATTCGTCGACGATTTCCTGCATAGTGTTTTGGATGAACTCGTCGAAGGAATCCAATTGCTGACGAACCAAACCCTTCTCTTCGAAGTACGCAGATATCACCGCCCACGCATCCTCCTGAGTTATCTCGTCGTCGTCGCCTTCATCCTCATCCTCCATCATTTGCTGATCATACTCCTGTTCCTCTTCCAAATCCATGCTGCTTCGAGTTTTCTCTTCCCAATTCAAATTAAGCTTTTTGCTTGAACTTCTCTTTTAATTTTGCGCGTTCGGGTTAACAGAAAGAAACAGAGACACAGAGAGTGAAAGAAACCCTAGCAAACAACCAAATATCCAGCTTATGAGTTGTGGTTCCATAAAAACATAGCATGTTGAATTAAAAAACAAGTAACTCATAAATAAGATTTTTATTTAGATAATTATAAAATATCAATTGACTTTATTTGAAAATTCTTTTTTTTTAATGTTATGTTACTAATTTTAAGTTGTGTACATTTAAAGTTTTTAATTTTCTTCACATGACCTTCTATTTTTATTAAATACTGTTTAATGTCCATATGGTGCTTTTATTAAATAACTGTTTAATGTCCATATGGTGTTATTATATTTATTTATTTTTGATAAAATTGGTGTTATTATATTTGTTGATATGATGAATGATTTTTGTTGATGTGATTTTTTAAATGAAAATTATAGTGCCCTGTTTGAATCTATTCTGGTTTTTCTGTTTCTAAAACTATTCAGTACAGTGATCTATAACAACTGTTTTGGAGCATAAAAGAAGAAGAAAAATCCACTTGATAACAATGTTTTGATAATAATTTTAAAAATTAAAGAAGAAATTTCTCTTGGTAAAAATATTTTAAGAATATGTTTTTAAAACAAGAAAATAAAAAATCCAATTGATTAATACGGACTCTTTGATAAATATAAGAAAGGATTGCTAGCACAATACTGCTCTTTCTATTTTAAAAAATGGTTATAAATAAATGAAAAATCTAGAACTCAAAGATGATAAGAAGAGAAGAATATTTTTAAATAAAACAAATATAGTCACTAAGATTGGTCTAACTATTGAGGGATTTAAATAATTTGCAAAAAATGATAGATTTAAACCTAAATGCCTAAATTTTATAAAAAAAAAAAATTAAAAAATAGGGGTGCAAAACTGAACCATAATCCTCTCCGGGCAATCCCACCACTAACTAGCATTCTCTTATTTTCCTTCTTTCACCCGTGTAAAAACACCATTGAGCTAGAATAATTTCATAACTTTGTCTCTTTAGTGCTTGTAGTTTAGAGTTTTCCCTTTGATTAGTGTAAGTTCAAGAAAAATTTTTCTCTCCTCTAATTATTGCAAGAATTCAGTTTTAGAGAATATAATTTTGTATGTTACATGAAACAAAATTGTCTCATACGATATGAGAAGCTATATCCGCTTCAATTTTATATTAAAAATTGATGTGTGGTTGTGTTTTGATTGTGAACTTTGGTGAAATGAGTATTTTACCATATCTATGTTGAGTTCCATGTGACAATTTTTGGTCTAACACACTTGCATGTGAGTAGTTCATTACTATATCGAATCTTAGAAAATACTTTTTCCTACCGTGTGTTCATATTTCTCATGGACCGTACGTAGTGAGAATAATGTAATGAATAGGATCTGAAACAAAAATTCAAATGTGGGGCTCTTTTGAATTTTTGGAATGAACACTTGATTTTTGTAGGTATTAGGATATTTGTCGAAGAGTATCCAGAAATCTAGGCAAAAAATATCTGGGATACTTACAGATACTTTCTCGCAAAATGCAATTTTTTTGATTTAATTGTTATAAGTTGCATGGATATTGATATCTCTTATTGTGATGTTTCATAATGATTGACTTACACATTTACACTAGGTTTATGGTGTGATTTTTATAAAATTATCAGGGGGTTTGTGGTAGGAAAACAGTTTTCTTTTTCTACACACACAAACATGGAACAGTGACCATTTTGTTATTGTTGGCCAAAAAAATTACCAGACTGCCACGCCAACAGTAAATTTTATCAAAATACCACGTGTCATATTTCGCTACACTGTGTAGCGAAATATGTGTGCAAATAATTCGCTACACAATAGCGAAATATGCCACGTCAGAACCAAAAATGCCACGTATCAAAATTATAGAAATTCGCTACCCTATGTAGCGAATTTCTTCAATTTGACACATGGCATTTTTGGTTCTGAGCAGTCTGACGTGGCATATTTCGCTACACGGTGTAGCGAATTATTTGCACACATATTTCGCTACACAGTGTAGCGAAATATGCCACGTGGTATTTTAGCAAAATTTACTGTTGGCGTGGCATTCTGATAATTTTTTTGGCCAACAGTGGCACTTTGGTCACTGTTCCCACAAACATAGAAAAAAGTGAGAAAAGAGTTGTGAGAAAAAATAAAAAAAGTGGGATATATGACGGTACCTATCTTAGAATTCCACTTGTCAATGTTGAGAGTACATTGTCAATATTGGAATATATAAACTCTGAATTTTGTACAAGTATTTAGGGGCGTTAGGTACAAGAGATTTTTTTTATCTAAGAATTATGATTACTAAAAGTATGGTAAGAAAGTGAGTTTTTTGAGAATGTTATCAAAAAGCTATTAGATAGGATAAAATATTACTAGAAATATTGGGTAAAGATTATTGATTCTACGTTTGGTTAATTGTGAAATGTTACTGGGAAAAGGGGTTATTTTTACTTTTGCACGATTTATTTCGTTTTTTATCTGAGCAGCTAAGTCAGTTACGTCTGTGCGATTAGACAAATCAATTTCAACCATGATTCAGTAGTACAAAGCCAAGGAAGACAACCCCACATGTGTGAAGAACGTCCTCGACCAAGAAAGGTTAATGGACCGTAAGAAAGAGCTCCATGCCAATGATACTGAATCTAACATGTCATCATCCACGCAAGGACATTGTGAGAAATCGAGGCGCGAGATTAGAGGGTAACGATGAAAGGTTCTTGAACAGAATTCAAGGCGACGCGACTTCAGTGCTATGGAGTGGTTGGACTCGAGTGAGTTGAAAGACTTGCAGATCTCAGTGAATGACTTTTTGGCTGCACAATATTTTTGTCTTGTAAGTTTGCTTCGTTTTTTCTTTGGTGTGAGATTTATAAAATACCACACTTTCAAAGGTAATTTGAAACAAGAATTTTGTGTGTAAATAAGAATACCAGAAAAGAAAGATATCGAGGAAAATTTTCGGGTAACCTTGTACCAAACATGACAATATAAGATTACCAATGTAACTTTCCAAGCAATCTAAAAAAAACGCTTGTACCAAAGATCCCTATATAATTTTTATTTACACTGTGTTTGGCTGGACGATGGTTCAGAGTTGGAATTCTTCTTTAAATTTAGGAAAAATTTCAAAAAACCCCCTTATGACTTTCCTCATAATCATTTACTTCCTTTCTAAAATTTTGAATCATTTATCCCTGACTTAAAGTTTTTTTATCATTTACCCCCTAAGTGAGGAGGGTAAATGATAAAAAAACTTTAAATCAGGGAGTAAGTGATAATTTTTTTTTTAAATAGAGGTGTAAATGATTCAAAAATTTTGTGAGGAGATTAAGTGATAATTAAAAAAATTCATAGGAGAATTTTTGAAGTTTTCTTTAAATTTATTGAGATTTGAGTCTCACTCTTTTCGAAATTCTTATCATGGTTAAGGGTTGTCTTGATTGATTTCTTTATGTACCAAACTTGATATGAATTATGACACCCTTTATAAGTTGTAACAGTGTAACCAAGGTTGTTGAGTGCTTTGGTGATGATACTGTGTATTCAATGACCTTAGTGCTATATTGTGGCATGATATAGGGAATTAGGGATGTTTTGGATATGCCCAAGTCTTTGTATTTGTAAACTCATGAAAATATTATGTTATGTATTTAAAATAAAAAATAAAAAATGCTTAAGTGGACATCTATGATATATGAATAGATTTGATGGTGGATCTTGAATCTTAAAAATATTAGAATCATTTTATGATGTTGGATATTAAAATTATGATCTTGGATTCTTTAATGCGTTATATTTTCCATTATGTGGTATCGTCTGAGCGCTCATATTATGTATAAGGTACAGTTGTCAATGCACGACATTACACTAGACACGAACAAAAATAACTAGAGGATAAAAGAAAACTCTAATAAGAAAGAAAATTACTAAATTGAGAAATATTAATGAGTTATATATATTCTCATATTGTTAGAAATATATATCTCCTACCACAAATACATAACATGGTGAGTCTATCATCCATTAAAAAAAGAGTGATAGCATAATTTTTTTATGTGAAAAAAATATGAGATAATTAATTTATGTAAAATAAAAAAACTTTCTCTCTCTTTATATATAATGATAGTATTGAGATTCGAACTTAAAATTTTATATAAATTATTAAAATTCTTTACTACTAAACCAATCCTAATCACTATTTTTTTTTTTTGGGTACATATCCTAATCACTATTTTAATGAGGAAGGAGGTGATATGAATCCATCTGAAACCTTAACCTATCAATAATTACAAATTTTCCATTAATAAAAATAATATATTCTCCATGCTTTTTTTTATCTTTTTTTTTAAAAAAAAAAAATTGATAACAAGACAAAAAACAACTCATGGATATTCTATAATTTTGATTTTAAAAACTAAAAAAATATTATTTTAAAAGTCATTTTTACTATCGAACATATATTTTTATTTTTTGGTTCTTAAAGCTAAAAAATCAACAGAAGTCAAACTGGTCCAATTAATATTTTAGCTTTTCACAATTTAAAATAAAAAAGTGATTTTTTCTATGAAAATCAAATATAGTTTACAACGAATCTTTGTATGTTTAAGGCATATCCTGAAATCCTGGTAGTTTGGAAGGGTATTATTAACATAACCGAAAATTGTCGACCATAGATGAGTTTGTGAAAAGAGGAACTAGTTAGAACCACAAAGCTAAGACACTGTAAAGGAAATATGGGGAATGGAGGGGTTGTGTTGTTGACCACCCCTTTGTGCTCAGCTTGTGTTTCCTCCATTGCTTGTTCTAATTCTCGGCAACTTACCCCTCACTCTCAGCTTAGGACTCTTTCATATGCATCTCTCCGCATTCACTGCTCAACTTCTACTTCAAAGGCTACCCCAGGTGAAGTTCTATCTTCTCACCTTGATACCCTCAAATTGCTTTGCTGACATAGTAATGAAAAGCAAGAAAGCAAACAAACAAGCCAATGGAAGGTGGGTGTTTGACAAGTTTTGTTCTTGTGAATGGAAACTTTGCAAAACATAATGGGTTCAGTTCAGTTTAGTAAATTCTTCTTTTTGTAATTCTTTCTGACGAGTGTTGGTTGCATTTCCATTATAGAAAAAAGGAGTGACGATTAGAGATACTACCATTTTTAGATAAATTTCTTCCCTTTTATGCTAATCAGTGTTAAGGATTGTGACATATGGAATTGAAGTTCGGGTATGTTCCATCCATGTTCCCTTTAGTTACCTCCTTTTTGAGCAGGACTTTAGTTGGATTGGATGTTTGGAAGTTGGCAGAGGCTAACGTTTGTTTCTTGTTTCCAAGTATTTTGTTGTTAAATTCGTCAGTTTACATGTATTCACAGAAAGTTTTTGCTTGAGTGTGTAAGTCACGTGTTTTTTGAAATTTTGAAATGTGGCAGAGGCATGTATTTGTTTGTTGTTTCCACAAATTTTTAACTGTGGCTAAGTTTGTTCATTTATGTGTAGTTAGGAGGAAAAGGGGTATTTTCTTTACTGTTATTCTACCTACATTTCTTCAACTTGTAATTGTTATAACTTAATTGCTCATGTCAACTTCAGAAGATTTTTATTGTGAGTCAAAAGCGAGGGTGATGGAAAGGCACAGAGAACTATATTCAAAGAAACATGTAGAATGGTTATATTCTTTGTCTATAATTTCTAAAATCTCAGGTCATAGAGGTTGCCGGTTGGTGGTTTGAGGCCATTATTTAAGAGTGCTTCGGGCTAAAATTTCAGAAACTCTATTTTGCTTTGCGAGTTGACATTTGATTTGCTGTGTAGTACTATAATATTTCACCAGACTGACGGATGGATTTCTACTTTCATGTGCCATTTATATTGTTAATGATCTACCTATAGATTTCAATTGAAAATATTTACTTTGGATCAGACTCTAGAAGTGGTTTTGCGCATTTAAAAGTTTGATCTCTTTGATTCGTCCTTGATTCAAGAATCAATCATAAATAAGTCTCGATCATATCAAGTGTGTTTCTGAAATATTCCCAGAAATTTTTTGAGACATGTACTCCAACTGGGATTAAAGTTGGATTTGTGGTGCCTTCATGCAGAAACACTTCCATTTAGTACCAATTTTCCTGCAACTGGTGGTGCATATGATTTCACGAATGCAACAACATCACTAACAAATGAGTTAATCTCTTCATCAAAGAAAGTAACTCTTTTAAGGCATGGTCTTAGCACTTGGAATGCAGAAAGTAGAATTCAGGTTAGCTTTTTCTACTTTCAAGTTATTAGCTATATTATGGGGTTTGGGGGAATGGTGGATGATTTTTTTCTCTCGTTTATGTCTTCATTCTGAAATGCTTTGTTCATTATTTAAACTGTACCTAGACTCTAGGGTTGTTAAAAAAATTGAGTAGCCTTGCCTTCTATGACTAAAGTTTTTGTTTGTTGTTTAGATGTTTCCTTTTATTGCATCTGCCATCCATTGTCATTAAATTGATCGTATGTGTTCAGGGAAGCTCAGATTTGTCTATACTAACTGAAGCTGGGGAGCAGCAAGCAGAGAGGTGCAAGAAATCCTTGGAAAATATGTACTTTGACCTGTGTTTTGCAAGTCCAATATCTCGTGCCAAGGTTAGGGGCTAGTAATTAAAATTTAATTCTCAAGCTTAAGCATGCTAATACTAGTCATCAATTTATTAAAATGGTTGGGGGTGTATGATGTAGCAAACTGCTGAAATTATATGGCAAGGGAGGGAAAGGCCATTGGTTTATCTTGACTCGCTTAAAGAGTTATCCCTATATCACCTTGAAGGCCTGAAAAATGGTGAGACTGCCTCTGCTCAACTTAAAAATTTGGAACAAGTATCTTTTAATATGTTTATGGCTTTTCATATATATTATACATTGCATTTGTCATATTAATATTGACGTGCTTAAATTGATTATTATTTTATTATTTTTTACTTAGTAAACTTTAGTACTTTTTGATAGGAAGAGTAACTGGTTTTGGTAAAGACAATGCTACTGAATGTTGATAATATGTTTTCATTTTATATCACTGTTCAATCTGCATTGTTCCCATAATTTTTCTATGATTCAACTAAATCAGCATGTTCCTAATTTGGAGGCAGTGGATGCTAAGAAAATATATCCCAAGGAATACACAATCTGGAGAGAAGATCCAGCCAATTTTTGCATGAATGATAGATACCCTGTACGAGATCTCTGGGAAGCAGCAAGAGATTGTTGGAAGGAAATTTTGTTGTCGCCTGTAAGATTTCAGGGTCGTTGGTACAAGAGATTGTGTTTTGGTCATACATATTCTTTAAATTTGATTCTAAAAACAAAAAAAAAACAGTAAGAGTTTTAAAAATTTTTTTTTTTTACAAAATAAACTTTATCAAATGGATTTTTTGTTTTGAAAATCAAAAATCTGTTTTTGAAAACTGATTTCAAACAAAGCCCTCAAGGTTCTGTATTCTGATTTTTTTGCTCTTAAAATTATTTTGTAGAATAGTTATGGAAACATATGTTTTCTGTGTTTTTTTTTTTTTTTAAGTTAAAAGTCAAAACATAAAATAAAAACAACTAAAACATGTTCTCTAAATTTGATTCTAAAACAAAAAAAAACAGTTATAATTTTTAATTTTTTTTCACAAAACAAGTCTTCTCAAACGAGTTTTTATTTATTTTTTTGTTCCGAAAAGTGAAAACCAAAAAACTGTTTTCAGAAACAGTATTCAAACAAGGCCTTAGTTTTGCAAGTATTGATTTGAAAGTGAAATGCAAGATTTATCTTATTCTTCAGGGGGAAAGCTTTCTGGTTGTGACTCACAAATCTATATTGAGGGCATTAACTTGTACTGCTTTAGGCCTGGGCCCAGAGAGGTAAGAATTGTTGATTATAGCTTAATTGCTTGAAACGTCAAAACCTCTTACATATGTAACATGGCTGAAGCAAACTTCTAATGCTCTGCCTTATCTAGCAGCTGACATTTAGACGTTGATCATAATGTTCAGGTTTCGTTCTCTTGATATCAACAATGGTGGGATATGTGTATTCAGCTTTAACATCAGAGGAGAAGCAATGCTTGAAGCTTTAAATATGACGGCTCACATGTACAGTGATCATGTCTATCCTGGCTAGAGCAAACTAGTAGGAGGATTTGAAATGTACCATGGAACAACCCCACTGAGGATTTGATGTGGGATTTTTCATTTTAATTATGAGATATTCCGAATCCATGACCCATATTCTTTTCTCTTCAGTTCACTCTAGAAAGAAGAGTGTAATATAATCAGAAGAAAACAGTAGTTTTTGATTCAATGATTGAGGGGAATGTTATATATTACGTAGACAGCTATGACATTTGGTATAAAACTCATGGTTATGGGTATTCAAGCTACGGAACTTTTCAATTTGAGCATGTGGGACCACAGCTCAAATAATGTTTGTTTGTCTTATATACATGTGCAGATATGCTCATGCAGAGCTAGTTCTTCAATAAGAAACAAGATTCTTCATTAAAAAAAAGGAGATTGTCATGCTTCTACTACATTAATCTATTACATCTGTTAAAAGGAAAATTACTTGAAGGTATTACATCTAAAATCTGATTAAGACCAAACTCGTAAGTAATTATTATAAGCAAGTGGAAGTAGTGACATAACATAGATGATGCGGTAAACTTTTTTTAACGGACACGAGCCATTTGGGCCAAAACAGAGTGCTGATGCAGATAACGTACTGTAAGTGTCAGAGTACGACAAAGTAGATAAATACAATTTTATCCCATCATATTGATATAATTGAATAAGTTTAATATTTCTCAATATTATACGAGATATATTAATTTTTTACTCATATATAAAAATAGGTGGATTCATATTTTTTTTTCTCGTATTAATATATGAATTTTATATATTTTTATATGTACAAAAAGATAACTTTGTCTAAAAAATAATAAATCCTAATAAATTATAAGATTCTATTTTTGTACGGTTGCCTACAAAAAATTTATATTCATATCCACGGTTATATGTCTGTGACGAGTGGAAATGCAGTGTCTGGGAGCATTTTTTATTGGATGGGACATAAGAGAGAGGCGAAGAAAGAAAAAGTTGGAGAGAAAAAAAAAAAAAAAAAATTTAAGTATTGCGTTGTTATTAGAAAGACCACAAATACCGGAATCATAATAAATTTTTGTGATACAAAGTTTACTCTTGCCTTATCCAATACATATATTCCAGGCAGTGATTCTTTTATTCCGAAAACCAATACATCAATTTCTCACTCATCCTAATGTTACATTCCTAACACCTCATCATAAGTATATTGTCCATCATCAAAACGGATACCAAACTCATGCGGCCCCATTAAAGCCCACGTGGCATTGTTTCCCTTGTAATTAAACTGTTTATTTATTATCATATAATTTCTTCAGAGTTCAAACTGAACCGCCTCAAGATCTTAAGGTTGATATTAATGCATCCCACATATAACCATTGGTGCAGGTGTCACACCGCTCTTTCCAGCGCGTGGCGTCAAAGCTGCACGGCGAAATAAAAAATTTTCAGTTCTTTTTCGTGCACGTCTACTTCTCCTTCACACTGCCTTGGAGTGAAAATAAAGCTTTATCTTGATAAGCCGTAGCTAACAGTGAGATATTCGAACCAAAAAGAAAGAGAAATTGGAGAGAAAATGAAAAACAAAACCAACTTAAGTAAAAATATCCTTTCGAAAACTGTTTATTTAGCAACAAACTCTTAACTTAGTTGCTTCGGTTACTATGAGCTTGAGACAACCCTCCGTCCATGAAGCGGAAGAGGGGGCAAACCAGTCACGCTGCCTGGCTGCTGTCAGAGTACCACAAAGTTGATAAATACAATTCTATCCTATCATATTCATATAATTGAATAAGTTTAATATTTTTCATATTATATAAATATATTAATTTTTCACTCATATATAAAAAGATGTAGATTGATATTTTTTTCTCACATTAATATATGATCTTTATATATTTTTATGTGTACAAGAATAAATTTATCTCAAAAAATAATAAATCTTAATAAAATATAACATTCCATTTTTCTACTGTTATAAAAAAAAATTATAATTTTTCATAACATATTCATCAGAATCCACAATTATATGCATGTGACGCACAAAGTTTACTTTTGCCTTAACCAATACACATATTTGAGGGCGTGATTCTTTCATTCCAAAAACCAATACATCAATTTCCCACTCATCCTAAGGTTACTTTCCTAACGCTTGTCAAAATGGGTTAAAATTCATATTCCAATTCGGAAAGTATTTTATTTGATTCTAATTTATTAAGATTTTTTATGGTAAGACCTTTTTTAATCCTAACCTTATAATTTAGTGGATTGAGTTAGGAATGGTCCACGGGCCAAATTATTTTTTTATTAAAATTTTCATTATTTAAAAAATTAAAAATTATATAAATTTAAATATTTATAAATATAAGTACAAATTATTATGTATTTGATGAAGAATATAAAAGAAAGTGAAATACGGAAAAAAAGAAAATGAAGTGTAAAAAATAAAATACAATATGAATAAGTTTGAGCAAAGAGTCTTATATAAGGACCTATCTTAGATGCATTTTTAAACATAAAAGTCATGCAAAAATAAAGAGTCACATGTTATGAACCATGTGAAGGGTCATTCATAATCTATGTGAAAGGTGATCCATATTCCATGTAAAAGGTCATTCATAATATTTTATAATATCTCCCTGGATGTATTCTACAATTCAACATACCATTAATGTGATGATTATAGAATATATCAAAGATCATGAAAAACAAAAAGTCATGTATTATGAACCATGTGAAAATTCATCCATAATATTTTTCTACATTTTAACACATCAATAATTTGATGATTGTATAATATATCAAAGGTCATGAAAAATAAAGAGTCACATGTTATGAACTATGTGAAAGTTCATCCATAATAGTTTACAACAAAAACAAATTTTTCAGTAGTGATATGTTTTAACAGATATTTTCATCTGTGTATCAATAAAAATAAAATTTTCTATTGACATCAAAGCATGTTATACATCTAAATTTGTATTTGAACATATTGTATACAATGCACTTTAGTAATTTTGTGGACAATAATATCTAAAAAGTTTTTTTGTAATGGTAATAGTTAAAGAAAATCAATTATTGTACTTTCAAATATATAGTAAATTAAGAGCAGTTATTCAATATTGCTATTAAGATAAATTTTTCTTTTTCATCATTAGTTTTAGTTTTCCACTCTAATTATTGTATTCTGTTATGATTTTCGGTTGATGACATCATTTACCAATGAATTTAGTAAAAGTAATAACTAAATTTAAGTTTTCACTTATATTAAAATTTTTATTAAAAAATTAAATTATAAAAAAGTTATAATTTGCATAAAACATATTAAAAAAATGTTAAAAAATTATTTGGTACAGTATTTTTTAATATACAAAATATAATAAAAAATTACGAAATTATAATTTTAGATCACTCACGTGCTTTAATCAATACATTTTTTTGTCGAGTATAAACCTTGATTATTGAAGTTTATTTAAGGTGCGGACTTTTTGACTCTAATCCAAACGTACAAAGACCAAATGGACGTGCTGACAGCTCTACTCATCAAAACGGACACCAACCTCGTGTGGGGGCCATTAAAACCCCACGTGGCATTGTTTCCACGGTAATTAGACTGTTTATTTATTACCATAAACTGCTTCAGGATCTTAACGTTGATATTAATGGATCCCACATATAAATCCCCCACTTTAAACCACCACCATTGGTGCGTGCGTCTTACTGCTCTGTCCAGCGAGTGGGGCTGTACGTGAAATAAAAAATGTTCAGTTCTTTTTCGTGCTCTGCTGCATCTCCTTCTTCCTCACATTCCTCACAGTGAAAACAAAGCTTTTTCTCCCCAACTGTGAGTTATTCGAACCCAAAAAGAACTACAAATTGGAGAGAAAATGAAAAACAAAACCAACTTAAGTAAAAATATCCTTTGGAAAACGGTTTAGTTAGCCAACATACTCTTTACTTGAATAGCTTCGGTTACTATGAACTTGAGACAACGCCCCGCCACCGCGCGCGGCGGAAGAGGCGGCGGCGTCAACCAGTCACGCCTGCCGCCGATGAACTCAGTGTTCAACATTATACCAGTGCACGACCTCCTGACGGACCACCCTTCCCTCCGGTATCCGGAGGTTCGGGCCGCCGCTGCCGCCCTGCGCGCCGTCGGGGATCTCCCGAAGCACCCGTTCATGGCGTGGGAGCAGCACATGGACCTGCTGGACTGGCTGCGGTTGTTCTTCGGGTTCCAAAACGACAACGTGCGGAACCAGCGGGAGCATTTGGTTCTTCACCTTGCCAACTCGCAGATGCGCCTCGAGCCACCTCCCTCCGTCGTTGACTCCCTCGACGCCGGCGTCCTGCGGCGGTTCCAGCGGAAGCTGCTCAGAAACTACACCGCTTGGTGCTCTTTCCTCGGCTTGAAATCGAGCGTGTCGCTCTCCAACCGTCGAGACCCTACCGATCTTCGGCGAGAGTTGCTGTACGTTTCGCTCTTCCTCTTGATTTGGGGAGAGGCCGGTAACCTTCGTTTTACTCCGGAGTGTATTTGCTATATATATCATTTCATGGCTAAGGAGCTTAATGATGTTCTAGATGAGCGCATAGACCCTGAGACGGGTCGTCCCTTTTTACCTACAGTTTCGGGTGATTGTGGGTTTTTGAAGTCTGTGGTTATGCCAATATATAATACGATTAAGGTTGAGGTTGATAGTAGCAGAAATGGAAAGGCTCCACACTCTGCATGGAGGAATTATGATGACATAAATGAATACTTTTGGAGTAAGAGGTGTTTGAAGAGACTCCAGTGGCCTTTGAATTTTGAGTGTAGTTTCCTTGGGACTGCTCCGAAGGACAAGCGAGTAGGGAAGACGGGTTTTGTGGAACAAAGGTCGTTTTGGAATATTTACAAGAGTTTCGATAGGCTCTGGGTCATGCTGATTTTGTTCTTTCAGGCTGCTATTATTGTTGCTTGGGAGGATACTAAATATCCCTGGGAAGCATTGGAGAGAAGGGATGTCCAGGTCAAAATGTTGACCGTGTTTATCACTTGGAGTGGTCTAAGGCTACTTCAATCGGTGCTTGATGCTGGGACTCAATATAGCTTGGTTACTAGAGAGACTCCATGGATTGGTGTGAGGATGGTGCTCAAGAGCATGGTTGCCATAACATGGACTGTTTTGTTTGGGGTCTTTTATGGATTGATTTGGGCTGAGAAGGGCTCTAATCGAACTTGGTCTGATGAGGCAAATCAGAGGATTATTACTTTTCTTAAGATTGTCCTTTTCTTTCTTATACCAGAATTGTTGGCATTGGTACTATTCATAGTGCCATGGTTACGGAACTTCATTGAGGAATCAGACTGGAGGATAGTATACTTGTTGATATGGTGGTTTCATACCCGGATTTTTGTGGGTCGTGGTGTGAGACAAGCGCTTGTAGATAATATAAAGTATACTATTTTCTGGATAGCAGCATTAGCTTCGAAGTTTTCCTTCAGTTATTTTGTTCAGATCAAGCCTCTAGTTGCTCCAACGAAGGCTCTTTTGAAACTTAAGGGCATACATTATAGATGGCATGAGTTTTTTGGTAACACCAACAGAACTTCAGTTGTCTTGCTATGGTTACCTGTCGTGCTGATATACTTTATGGATTTGCAAATATGGTATTCAATTTTCTCTGCCCTTTATGGTGCAACGATTGGTCTGTTCAACCATTTGGGTGAAATTCGGAATATCTCCCAACTGAGACTTAGATTTCAGTTCTTCGCCAGTGCAATGCAGTTCAATCTGATGCCAGAGGAGAAGCTGCTAAGTCAGCAAGCAACGCTGATAAAGAAGCTTCGCGATGCCATCCACAGGTTGAGACTGCGATATGGACTTGGTCAGCCCTTCCAAAAGATTGAATCAAGTCAAGTGGATGCTACAAGGTTTGCCTTAATATGGAATGAGATTATTGTTACTTTCAGGGAGGAAGATATCATCAGTGATAGAGAACATGAACTCTTGGAACTGCCGCCAAATTGCTGGAATATTAGGGTTATTCGATGGCCATGTGCCCTTCTCTGCAATGAGCTACTGCTTGCTCTCAGTCAGGCAAAAGAGCTGGAAAATGAGTCTGACTTGTCACTTTGGTCAAGGATATGCAAAAATGAGTATAGCCGGTGCGCTGTCATTGAAGCTTATGATAGCATTAAAACATTGTTTCCTATGGTTCTTAAAGTTGAAAAGGAAGAGTTCTCCATCATGACTAATATATTCAGGGACATAGACAGCTACATTCAGATGAGGAAGTTAACAGAAGCATACAAGATGTCTCGGCTACCAGAACTACATGCCAAGGTGAGTGAATTTGTTCAGCTTTTGATACAACCAGAGAGAGATATGAATAAGGCTGTAAGTTTGTTGCAAGCCTTGTATGAACTATCTGTTCGAGAATTCCCAAAGGTGAAGAAGACCATTCCCCAGCTGAGGGAGGAAGGTCTTGCACTACAAAGTTCAACAGATGAAGGACTGCTCTTTGAGAATGCTATTGAGTTTCCTGATGCTGAAGATGCAGAGTTTACCAGGCAGCTCAGACGGTTGCATACAATTCTTACTTCAAGAGACTCAATGCGCAATGTCCCAATGAATCTTGAGGCACGACGACGGATTGCTTTCTTTAGCAATTCTTTGTTTATGAACATGCCTCGTGCTCCCAATGTTGAAAAAATGATGGCTTTCAGCGTTTTGACCCCATATTATGATGAGGAAGTTTGTTATAGCAAAGAGGCTCTTCGAAAGGAGAATGAGGATGGCGTTACTACTTTGTTTTATTTGCAGAAGATTTACGAAGATGAGTGGAAAAATTTTATGGAAAGGATGCATAGAGAGGGCTTGGAAAAAGAGGATGATATCTGGGCAAAAGAAGCCAGGGACCTCCGCCTTTGGGTATCTTATAGAGGCCAAACATTATCTCGCACAATCAGGGGGATGATGTATTATTATAGGGCCCTTGAGATGCTTGCCTTTCTTGATTCAGCGTCTGAGGTTGAAATAGGACGGGGATCAGAACGTATTATTTCACTTGGTTCAACAAACCGAAACAGCCGTTTGAATGGCCTACCCTCAGATGAGCCTCCATCTTTACGGAATCTCAGAAGGGCAGATAGCAGTGTGGCCTTGTTATTCAAGGGACATGAACATGGGAGTGCGCTGATGAAGTTCTCGTATGTGGTGGCATGCCAGATGTATGGGCGCCAAAAGGCAAAGAATGATCCTCGTGCTGAAGAGATACTGTATTTGATGAAAACCAATGAGGCTCTTCGAGTGGCATATGTCGATGAGGTTTCTTTGGGGAGGGATGAGACTGAATATTACTCTGTTCTTGTGAAGTATGATCAGCAGTTGCAGAGTGAGGTTGAGATTTATCGGATCAGGTTGCCTGGTCCTTTAAAACTAGGAGAAGGGAAACCAGAAAATCAAAATCATGCCATAATCTTTACACGTGGTGATGCTGTTCAAACCATTGATATGAATCAAGACAATTATTTTGAGGAGGCTCTCAAAATGCGGAATCTGTTGGAGGAGTTTAATACTCACTATGGTATTAGGAGGCCAACCATTTTGGGGGTTCGAGAGAATATCTTCACAGGATCTGTTTCCTCACTTGCTTGGTTCATGTCAGCTCAAGAGACAAGTTTTGTGACACTGGGCCAGCGTGTTCTGGCAAACCCTTTAAAAGTGCGAATGCACTATGGTCATCCGGACGTGTTTGACAGGTTCTGGTTCTTGGGTCGGGGTGGAGTCAGCAAAGCCTCTAGAGTGATCAATATCAGCGAAGATATTTTTGCTGGTTTTAATTGTACGCTGCGAGGTGGCAATGTGACACATCATGAATATATACAGGTAGGCAAAGGAAGAGATGTTGGTTTGAATCAGATATCCATGTTTGAGGCTAAGGTTGCCAGTGGCAATGGTGAGCAGGCTCTGAGCAGAGATGTGTACCGGCTAGGCCATAGATTGGACTTCTTTCGCATGCTTTCAGTGTTCTACTCAACCATAGGATTTTATTTTAACTCCATGGTTGTTGTTCTGATGGTCTATGCCTTCCTTTGGGCCCGTCTTTATTTGGCGCTCAGTGGTATTGAAAATGAAGCCAAGAATAATGCTACCAACAATAAAGCCCTTGGTGCAGTCATAAATCAGCAGTTTATAATCCAGGTTGGTCTTTTCACTGCGCTACCAATGATTGTTGAAAACTCTCTTGAGCATGGGTTCCTTCCGGCTGTATGGGACTTCTTGACAATGCAGTTGCAGCTTGCATCACTATTCTACACATTCTCTTTGGGAACTCGTACCCATTTCTTTGGTCGGACTATACTTCATGGTGGTGCTAAGTACCGAGCCACTGGTCGTGGTTTTGTGGTGGAGCACAAGAGTTTTGCTGAGAACTATCGACTATTTGCTCGAAGCCATTTTGTGAAAGCTATTGAGCTTGGAGTTATTTTAATTGTGTATGCTGCTCATAGTCCCTTGGCTAAGGATACTTTTGTTTACATAGCTATGACGATCTCAAGTTGGTTTCTGGTAGTTTCATGGATAATGTCTCCTTTTGTATTCAATCCCTCCGGGTTTGATTGGTTGAAGACTGTATATGATTTTGAAGATTTTATGAATTGGATATGGTATCCAGGGGGGCTGTTCAAAAATGCAGCATTTAGCTGGGAAACATGGTGGAATGAGGAGCAAGACCATTTAAGAACCACTGGTATATGGGGAAAGCTGATGGAAATCATTTTAGACCTTCGTTTCTTCTTCTTTCAGTATGGTATTGTTTATCAGCTGGGTATTGCAAATGGAGGTACTAGTATAGCTGTGTACTTGCTGTCTTGGATATACATTGTTGTGGTTGTTGGGATTTGTATCATCATAGCGTATGCACGGGATAAATATGCTACAAAGGAGCACATATATTATCGACTAGTTCAGCTTCTAGTGATTGTGGTCACAGTTCTTGTAGTTGTCCTCTTACTGGAGTTCACTAACTTAAAATTTATTGATCTTCTAACAAGCCTGATGGCATTCATTCCCACTGGCTGGGGAATGATTTTAATAGCCCAGGTGCTTAGGCCTTTTCTGCAGTCGACTATTGTGTGGGATACTATAGTTTCCTTGGCTCGACTGTATGATTTGCTATTTGGAGTTATTGTTATGGTTCCTGTGGCAGTGCTTTCATGGTTGCCTGGATTTCAAGCAATGCAAACTAGGATTCTCTTTAATGAAGCATTCAGCAGGGGTCTCCAGATTTCTCGAATACTCACTGGCAAGAAGACTGTTTGATTGGAGGTGATTTTTGCATCTTTTTCTTAGTAATATTGTATAATCCTTCCTCAATTGATCATGAAGACATCATGGTATTTGTGCTGTGCTAAGTAATTACAGTGAAGCTGAATTTTACGTAATAATAGACTGCAATTAACCATGGTGTATAGATTGGGATGTTGCTTCTTGAAGCATTTTGCTATTGAGTTAGGTAGTCAGCTGGGACCCATGCGTTCGAAATGTTGGTCCAATTTAAAGTTGCTATTTAAATTGCCAACATATGCTGTGCTAATTTACAATTATATTCATATTACAAGATGCATATGCAGGTCTCACCTAAAACAAAAGGTGTAGGCCCTGCTGCTAGTAGTATGCAGAGTTCTGTATTTTCCCACGTAGTAGTATCAAGAGTCCTGCAACTTGTTAGTGGACCAGTACGACATACTAGTTTTAGACCCAAAGATTGAGGGCCACTAGTTGCATTTTAAGGCTAAGTTGTATTGCCATGATAACGGGTGACCCAGAGTCAATGTTTTACTGAGGATGCGAAGAAATTGTCAGTTTTGGGACATCCAAATTCTCCCCATATTATATTTTCTAATTGCTATATAGTATTTTTATTTTTATTTTTATTTTTATTTTTTCTAGCATCGCTACAATATTCATGATAGAAGTTGAATACGATATGCAATCTTGGATATTTTAGTATCTAATTTCATTCTTTGAGCAAATGACACTACTGCAATTTCTTCCAAGTTCTAACTTGGATGAGTTTTGCCATGTTTACTATACTTCAAAGCATAGAATACAGCAGTCCTTGGTAGGACAAGCACGGCACGAGAAATCAATATAAAGCCTGGTAGCTATACCTTATAACTGATTATGGCAATTATTGAATTAAATATTATTTTGTCATTTAAAATAATCAGATCTGATTCATATATACTGCAACAAATAAGGTGAGCTGGAATATGTTGATAACTAAGGTGGACTATGCTCTTAACATTATATGGTCAACCTCAAGTGTAGCGAATCTTCTGTACCTCAGTAACTATTATACAGAATATTTTAGGGGTTGTAGAGTCTTTAAATGCGGTGTATCATGCTCTTTTGTGGCAATGCATATGTATATCCTTTTCTAATATATTTGTTCTTAATAAAAAATTTTAATTCTAAATTTTTGGTATTTATTTTCAGGTTATGCAATGTCGAAAACCCAAAGGTTTAGCCTTCTTTCATCGACAGTGATGGCTTATGTATAATAATGTAACATTCTTGTTGACACAATCTAAGGAAGGAGGTTGAATGTGATTTATCTTCTAGAGCAGCACAACACCATGGCTTCCCAAGTTGTGAATCTCTCTAGTTTAGTATTAGGAGTATCAAGTGTTTTGCCCATGTCAATCATTGCCAATCGAATTTCTGTACATCTTGTCCATATCTAGTGCAACCTCTCTAACCAAATTCTTCATCGCCACTTAATCAACAATTTTCTAGACTTAACGTTGCTAGTTAGCATCTTGATCCTTTTGTTTAGCAGCTGTCGAGAACCCTGCACGCATGAATATTATTATATGAATCTCGCCTTGAATTTAAAGAACGGCTCATATACTGGGAAATCACCCATATTTCTCAATTAGAAAATCCCTTTTTTTTGTCCCAAATAATTCTGGTAACTTGAAAAAATTGCGCATAACATAACTATTTATTTAAAATGTACTCTTTTGGATTGTAAGGAATATTATTAACTCTTTTTGGTCACATAAAGAATATTAACTTCATTTCGCATGGGCCCCGATGCACGGATTAAAGATCGGAAGGTGACACTTTACATAAAATACTATTTAATCTGAGAAAAAAAAACATTTAATTTATTTTGTTTCAAGAGACTCACCAATTTTTCTTTAAGTTTTATATTGAGGTGAAATGAATTTTCCTTCTTTGATTAGAGATGTCCAGCAAGACAGTTCTTGCACAACGAATTCAAGAAATATGTAGTCCATAACGATTTTCTTGTAATAATACATAAAAAATGCATTTACCTTGGTCTAGGTAGCTTCATATTTTGGCATTAATTATCAGCGCTATCAATTAAATAAGGGATTAATATTTTATAAGAGATAATTTTATCTCTTACATATTATGTGAGAAGTGCCTATGTTTTCTTTTTTTCTTCATATTGGTTCCACATATGAGAGTCACATACTTATATATATAGATGATAAAATTATCTCGTACAAAATAAAAAACATTAATCTCATTAAATAAACAGCATTATGCCCCTTTTCTGTTTTTCTTCAATTGGGATAGAACATTCCTTTGGGATTAACCGAGCTATGAAGGATTTTGAATTCTCTCATAAAATGTCATTTTTGGAGAAAAAAAAAAAAAACTTTATGGCGAAATTTGTGTACCGTAGACAGAAATTATGCCCTCAACACGTGTCTTTCTCTCTTTCGAAAAAACAAAGGAAGACAAACGATGATCCAAAGAGCTCTCAAGTGGTTGCACACTGTTTCTTGAAATGGGCAAAATTCTTTACTTCTATAATGTGAACTGTATATCTGCCATTGCAATACATGGCTTCCAAAGCTCAAAAAGTCGGAGGCTAAAAATCATTTTACAAAATGCAATCAATATTAGGGTATCACAAATCATCGTTACCAATAACAGGTACTTTCTCATAGGCAGAACTTTCTCTGAACCTCTTTGGAAGAATGCACCGGCTGCCAAATCTCTGCTGAAAGTATACGAGGAGAACAAATAAAAGACAACCGCAAGGGATTATGATGTCCCAGGCTGTAGAATAAAAATCCATTCTATGGCTTGCATATATATATGATAAATCAAGGTACCATGGAGAACTGTGAGCTCTGTAAAGATCATATGCATGGGGCAATATACGAACAATGGTCGTCCCAATATAAAAAGAAGATGCTAGAGGCTTTCCTTCAGAGTTATTAAATAATATGTTGAATAGTATTTGTGGGAGCAAGAAACCATCCAGGAGCAAACCAGCATAAGATTTAAAGTCTTCCCAGAGGGAAGGAAGCTGGTAAGAATGTCCACGAGGAAACCGAAACCTGTGTCGTGAAAGTCTGAATGGTTCAAATCTTTTCTGGTTAGAATTCTTCCATATGTGCATGAACCAAGCTGTCAATCCGCCACCAATATACAATGGTAGAGTCATAAAAAGAACCTTTTTCTCAGAAACCCACAAACCTGGATTGCTTCCCTCACCCTGTCTTGAAGACCAGGTCAATTGTACAAGACGCAACTCTAGAAGGAAGGCTATCAGTGTCACCATCCTCACAAATACTTCATTCACTTGAAGCCAGGCTGCACTACCAAGAAAAACGTTCTGCTGGCCATGGTTTTCCGTGAATAAAGCTTCAAAGTTCAGCATCAGGGGAATCATGTGACCTAGAGTAATAACAAGTATCATCACAACAGAAATATAGGGAAGCACGTCTGGGTGACTTTTCACATGGAGGAGTTGCAATCCTATAAACACACAAGCAAGTGTGTTTGATATCAAAACCATAATAACCTCAAAATCCATTCTCCAAATGGATGCATCTGCTTGGCTTGTGTAAATGGAATATGAAGACAAATAAAGGGGATCAAAATAATAAGGGTCTGACTTTTGTCTTGTGCTTTCTATAGTTCCTTTAACAGATTCACCTCCCTTTGCATTCAATGGAGAAAAGTGGACATTAACCATGATTTCACAGTCCAGATAATCATTCTTTATCAGTATTTTGTCAGTTGATTTCAAGTGCCGACATCCTATCATACACAGAAGTCCAGTATTTCTATTATACATTCCTTCAGCATCAATTTTAACTTCGGTTGAAGTGAGCTCACCACCAAACTTGAAATCAGGAGGAGGATTAAAGCTTATTAAATAGCTGACGTTCAACAAATTGAGGTAGTTATCTGATTGAATACTGTGTATTTTCAACTTTCCCATCGTCAACATATTTGGAACCCCATATGACCGTCCATCATTAATTTGATCGCCCATGAATAGTGGTGATGAGTAACCTTGAGCTACTTCTCCTTTGCTGTTTGTCACTAACATGCTAAATGTCATATCAGAAGAATATCCATCCGGATACATCTTCCCCTTCCCTCTAGCAGTCATCTTTTCTGCACAAGATTTTCTTACTCTGTCAATTTCAGTATACTTGTATTGGAAACCATGGAGGCCTCTTGATAACTTTGAGGAACCCTGAAATCCAATTTTACTGAAGTAACCAGATTCACCAACCACTTTGTCACTCCAAATCTGGCCCAAAACAGTACTCCTGTTTCTTAAAGATAAAGCTGAAGGAAATCTTAACGTGAGCTTAATTGAGCAATCTCCAACATAAGGATCAACCCACGATTCTGTGAAGTTCAAGATCCGGCATGCGACTGCACAAAGCCGGTTCTCCTTCTCATCCCACATTCCCTCAGATATCAATGTTGTATTCGGATAAAATGGAAACACAACATCACTGTAGGCGGAGCCAGGAAAACCCAAAAGCATCTGAACCTTCTGCCTCTCCATGCATCGAATGCCATAAAAATGCATAAAATCAGGCAACTTTTTAACATCAGCACCAAGTGGATTGCAACTAACATTATGGCACTGATCCCCATATTCCAATTCAAATCTATCTGTGTGTCCATGAAACACAGTGCAGGCACCATGGCTTAAGTTTTGAAGGGACAAACTCTCTTCATTTGACCCAGCTACACAACCATTCTCATTGTCATTTCCAACTAGTGTAAACTTGTAATTTGAACTCTGAGATAAAGCCAACAACGAAATCGGTTCAAAGTAATGCAAGCTATTCTTGTCATCAAAACTTTCTAGAGTCCCACGAATCAAACTATCCAAAAGAGTCAAATCTCGCGGATAACGAAGCTTAACAACAACATTAGCATTTCGCAAATTACCATAAGATCCTATTCCAAACATACAAAGCTTACCAGAAGATTGTGACCAAAATCCACTCAGAGAAACGCGCATCCACTGCGATACCTTCCAATGCGACACTCTTCGTCCCGGATAAACTCTCCCGAGCAACCTGCCACGAGGCGGTTTCACTCCTCCTCGTTGCTGAAGAACCAATTTCCCTCGCAATTCGTAAACGCCGTCTTTCACGCTTCTCCGAACTGAGGTTGCGCGAAACGACAGGCGCTTTGAGTAGTTCAACGCGGTGGATTGATTGAAAACTCGATCGCCGCCGGCGAAGTAACCAAATTGAAACCGAAGCGAGTCGGCGATGCCGGGGGAGGTTCCGGCATCGAACCGCGCCGCAGATGCTTCGACGACATCGTTGCAGAGACGAATGTAAGTAGCTTCAAAAGCCGAATCTGAAGGCTTGGAGGCTACAGAGGAGAAGTTGCAGATTAAGAAGAAAAGAAAGAAGATGAAGAGCGGATTTGAAGATGGAGAATTATGGGGTTTTACGTGGAATGGCCTGAAAAGGGTGACACCAGATCTCTGCAATGGAGAAGAAGAAGAAGACTCCATTGGTGAAGCTGCATCACATTTCGATGGCTATTTCAATTTCTAGGGTTTTGGGATTCGCAAATTGCGATCTAAGCGTAAAGAAGGTGTGTACGCTTGGATTGCAGAAATGGAAAGTGTTGAAGATACGCAAGCTTCAGTTTTTCACAGATAGTAAGCTTTCTTCTCCTTGTTTCTTTCTTTCCTTTTTATTTTTATTTCATGCAATGCAATGGAGGGGATTGGATTAAGATTTTAAAAGATTTTTTTTTTAGATAAATTTCTCTATAAATCTTAGAAGACTATTCAGAACTGAGGGATTTTAAAGATTTTCTTACCATTAAGATTTTGTAATATTGAATTTTAATAGCATTTATAAGATTTGAAAGGAATAAGGACAATATGAATTTATAAGATTTTAAAAAATTATATAAATTTTTAGTAAATATTTAAAATTACAAGACTCAATAAAAAAACAAAGAAATAAAATGATATTGATAAAAAAATAAAACATAATATAATTTTCTCAATTAGTAAAATTCATGATAATTTTTGTTTAGAATTTTTTGCCATTAATCTTATAAACCTTGAAGTTTTTGTTCTAAGTGATGATAGTTTTCTAACCATATATCATGTACATATTTTCATTGAACATTCCAAAAAAAAATTTGAATTTGAATTTCTAGGTTTTATTACATGAAAGTTTAAAAAAAAAATTCATATTATTTTCAATCGATACATTGAAACTTTAAATTGCTTTGCGGCTTTTGAAAAAAAGTTTTTAGTGATCTATTGACATAAAAATTGTTTGAAATCATTTCCTATAGCGCAGAAATTTCGTTCACGAATGTATTGTTATGAAACATAGGTTCATGTTAGGAAAGTTTCAATCTTTATTTAAATCGATTTTGTTTCGTTGATATAAAACGAAAATTGGTTTAAGGGTTTTTATTCCCCCGTTATTTTCTCACTGTTTTATGTTGTTTTTAACACAAAAATCACATATTTTTGCACCAAGAAAAATCGCGACCAATCGCTTAAAAATCATTTTTTAAACTTCCAAAAACTCTCAAAAATCTGCTGAGATGGATTAAATTAAAATCTTGTTGGGTTGTTGTTTATGGGTTGTTTTGCGATGAAAATCGCTCAAAAATCTGTTGACGAAGCTCCAATGGCGGAACTCGATTTCGAGCGGGTCGACCAGCCAAAGGAAGAAGAAGACATTGCAAGAGAGAAATCTCAAGAAGTCCTATGTGAGATTGTGAGAGACATTTTATTTATATTTCTCACTAAAAAGTCTTACGAAATCCACATTAATAGAAAATTCATTAAAATCGTCATATTTTTTGAATACCATCATATTGTTTTTCCTTTGTTTAAAATCCTGATTAAATATCAACGGATTTAGACGGACGCTAAAATAATATTTTAAAATCTTAATCGAATACCACATTACTCTTTTTCAATACTTTAAAATCTTAATTGAATACCAATAAATTTTTTTTTGTCAAAAAATAATATATTAAAATTCATTAAAATTCCAATCCAGTACACTCTCTAATAAATAATATTATTTATTAGAGAGTAACTTCTATGTGCTTAGTTGTTCATTCTTCTCTTATTATGATACTTTTTAGCCTCGTTTAGCAAATTAGCTTGGAATTGGATCATGCATTTGGTTCAGCTGGTTCTTATTATGATACTTTTTTACTCTCAAATTAGCCGTATTTTAGAGTACAATGATCGCCTGTGAGTTTTCTTAATACGATTTTGTATGATATGTAATATATTCCACGTCATATATATCTTTATTCTAGATGTAGATAATATATTAATTTGATTAGGAATAATGGATGCTTCGTTTATTTGTAAATCGTTGCTATTAGAAATAACGAAAATCTATACATTAGTACTATATTGGCCACTAAACCAAATAAGCCTATCTTTTAAATTCTTTCTTCTTTCTTTGTATTTGTTCCCACATAATTTGTGTTCCACCTTCTTCATTCCCAGCACAAAATATTGATGCATCCTCAAAACCAAGTTTATATCCGTCTGTCACTTTAGTTAACATTTCAGATGATACCCAAAATCCAATCAAGATATTTAGCTAAAATTACCCATTCATTGCATCTTACAGTAAGATTCCAGAACAAGAACGAAACTCAAAGTAAGATGAAAGTGAAAGTCTTTCATTCATTCTACTGTTCAGATGCAGAGAGAAACATATTACATAAAAAGGACAATTGAAAAACAGTAGTGAAACAAAGGTAAAGTGAACTAACTATACAACTGACTACTTCACCTAATATTTAACTATGGTAACTAACTAGAGTTAGAATACATAAGTGGAAAAACAAATTAAATAAAATACAAGTTGTTTATTATTGCAAACTGGAAAGAAACATTTTTAATTCCTCTAAAAGCCACCATAATGGCTATCAAGTAATTAGTGACACCTTCACCAAACTCCCCAACACCTTCCTTTGCACGTGATAACAACATTTATAAATCATTATCAAATAGATGAAAATACACATCAAGCAAATATCCAATCATTGTGTTTCTTATTTCATATATTTCACATCTGCAAGCCATTGTATGTGATACATACACATACCACAAGGGTTCAAGGTTTCTCTTATTAGTACATCTCCAACACATTATTTTATTTTTTTGGGAGATATTGGTGTTTTATCAAGCACACATTTGATATTATACAGATACCTGGAAACACATTAATATCATACATAAGGTTGGAATATCCATAAAGGAAGCTGGACGGTTTACTCACAACTTCATAGAACAGTTAATTATGCATCTCAATAAACTGGCTGCAATCAATTCCCTTATCAGAAAATGCCTCAACAAGCTTGGGGAAGAGCTTAGCCAGCATAATTTTAAATCCTGTAGAAGTTCCCTTCTGGTTTTCATGTTCAGTTTTTCCACTTCCAAAAGCATATCCAATGGGAGCTCCTTCAAGATATGCCTTACAAGCAAGAAGTATATGTTCTGAGCTCTGTCTAAAGTGCTCTTCCACCAATGCCTCAAAATGCTGCAATCGAAATCATCATTAGTTACAATTCCATCCATTTAACTGTATACGCAGATTCAGATGGCACCATTTTCTTTACAATAATTGGGAACAATACAGTCATCAAACCTTGATTGGCCCAGTGTAATCAACTAGAAAAAATTTAACAATCAAAATTTAAAACTTCAAGAAACTTAAGGTCATGCTAAAAGTATGAAAAATTAGAAATCAAGGACATGCGTACATCTCAATGATAGTCTCTCCATCATTTTCAACTTCCGAATAATAACTGCTCTTTATTCAACAAACATGCACAGCCCAAAGACAACAGAGAAGCTCAATAACTTGTTCAGATCCTGTCCTTCGTACTTAAGCAGATCTTTGACCATTTTATTATGATCATAACCATCTCTTCTCTGTCAGAAATTAGATTTCAAATTTTAATATGCAAGATATCCAGGTTTTGTTCTTGCAATGTTCAATGCCTTTTTATTCTGTTCTAAGACATATTTCTGGCATGCCACTCTGGGGTTATTGTCTATGCTTCCTAGGTCATCACTGAGTTCAGTGTAAGGAGAGGCAAACCAAAATATAGTAGTCATTTTACCTTGGGTGGCTTCCTTAATAGATACAACATGGATTTGCAGGTGACAAGGAAAGCATTCTCATTGTAGCTCACTGAGTTTCTCTCTCCTTCAGCTCTTCCGATTTGTTGATCATATCCTGCCTCGTTGAAATAAGGCTTCTCATTCAGGACAAGAGCCTGCAGAGAGAGAAGGACTTGAAGAATTGTGGAGGCTCCAGGGTTCCACACTTCAGTGGTTGTGCCAGTCCACGTATTTAGGAGACTCAGACAGACTTTTCCTGACTCGTACAAATTAGGATTTAATCGAAGCCCACCAGAAATGTAGTGCACCATCTGCATGGGATTTCAAAGGCCATAATGACAGTATGAGAGCTTGATCAACAAACATGCAAGTTTTCTCTGTAAGAATGCTGAATGCTAAGTGGAGGAGTTCCCATGCATGAATCATAAATGAAAAGAATTCGCAAAGCTCAGCAAAAACTACATTCAAGAGCTTACAGGTGGCTCACTGGGATACTCTGGAGGGAAGCATATATCAAAGAAAAACAACCCATCATGATAAGGTGTGCCAGGCGCTCCGACAATGGCTGCTCGCATGAGATCCATTCTTTCTTCAATAACACGGACAAAAATAGTTTCTGTTTGTGCAAATAAATATTGTAAGTGAATTTGCAGAAGCTTTGATGGATGTTTACAGCATACTTCTAAAGATTTTCTTTTCTGGTAAGAAAATCAATTCATGCATTTATTTAATCAGCAGGATACTTATTTTCAGGTCATTTGCAGATTAAATCTTAATGGCCAATAAAGCTTAAATAGTAGCATTCTACTTTCAATTAAACTTATGGATTTCAACTTCTGAAAGATGGAACTCTGACAATTTTTTGTTTATCTTTACAGACAGTAGCAATTTAATTCCCATTTCGCTGTAATCTACTCAATCCTTAACTTCCTAAAGCTGAAACTTGTCTCTAATTTAATCTTCTGTGTTTTCCTTGCTGATTAAAATGGCTAAAGGAATTAAAAGCACTATCAATCCCGGTCCATAGAATGAATGACAGGGACATGTGATTGCTGTGAACCAAATATAATTTGGTAGTCTGAATTTAAGCATTGTATAACATCAAAGGCTGCACAGCATATAAAATAATACGATTCAAAACAAATAAGATGAAGTGCGCACCAGGAAGATTTTTCTCCAGGATGCTCCATTCTTGCTGAACCTTTTTTGCCCATCCTTTTTCGACCTACAAAGGAGCAGAACGAGAGGAAAAAAATTAGCCCCAATGCTTCCAATGTAATTATATATCACAGTAAGTGATGACGTGTTAATTTCTAACCTGAGATAATGGCAACCCTTTTCCCTCGTCAAAAAAGTGGTGGTCTGAGCAACTATCAATTACATCAAACTGCTTCAAATGATCTGAAATGTTGCTGTTTGAAGAAACAGGAAAATCGTTCCTCTCATGAATACTAATAACTTCACAATCTGGAGTTTTGTCTTCAGTGGACAGCAACCTGCTCACTGGATGTGATTCAGTGCAGGAGCCACAAGTTTCCGAATTTTTCTTATCAAGAAAATCAGATCCATTTCCCTCTTCAAACGTAGGGACCGAGCAAACTGCTCCAGAAAGTGATGTTACACCAAGTGTTTGGAATATACTGGCTTTAATGCTGGCGAAAAGTTCAAAGGCGGCTTGAGGAAGGGAAAAGTAACTACTCTCTCCTGGATGCTTTTTGCAATTATCTCTATCACCATTACAATCTAACAAGTCCTGATCATCAAAATGATATTCAGCTTATGATTAGAGACAATCACTGCTGTAAACTCAACAATTAATCTCATTGAAAATTGTAATTTTAGGACGATAATCAATCCATCATTTTGAAGAGTTTAAAAATTCCTTTTTATTTTCTCTTGCTATTAACTTCCTGATTTCCCCCCATAATTTCTCTAAGACGAGACCTCTGTATTTCGATGTCACACAAGCATATGCATCATTCACATATGGATGCACTTGAAAAAAGTAATGAAATATATTATTGAATTGTATGTAAACTGCACAAAGAGTTCTTTATTTAAAGAGACTACATGGCCTAATGGGCTAAGCCCAAGAAAGATTCTAAAATACAACAAATATATAATTATTATTATTTACAACACTCCCCCTCAAACTAAGGAATAGATATTTATCATTCCCAGCTTCCTAGTAAGTTCTTGAAATCTATCTGAAAGAAGTCCCTTTGTCAATACATCAGCTAATTGATGCCCAGTGGGAATGTATGGAGTGAAAATCAATCCACTATCAAGTTTCTCTTTGATGAAATGGCGGTTGACCTCAACATGTTTAGTCCGATCATGTTGAACTGGATTATGAGCTATACAAATAGCGGACTTATTATCACATAGCAGCTTCATAGGTCCCTCACATTTTATTTTGAGATCATCAAGTATAATTTTCAACCACAATAACTCACAAATGCCTTGAGCCATAGCTCGAAATTCAGCCTCTGCACTTGATCTGACAACTGCATATTGTTTCTTACTTCTCCACGTCACCAAGTTACCATAAAGAAACATACAATAACCAGTGGTAGAACGACGGTCAGTCACAGATCCAGCATAATCAGCATAAGTGTAAACTTCTACTAAAGAGAGATTGTCATCACGTCGGAATAACATTCCTTTACCAGGAGTGGCTTTAAGATACTGAAGAATTTTCTCCACTGCCTGCATGTGTTTCTCCTTTGGATTGTGCATAAACTGACTGACAATACTAACAGCATAAGCTAGGTCTGGTCTAGTATGAGCCAGATATATCAATTTTCCAACTAGCCGTTGATATTGTCCTTTATCAACTAGAGGACTCTCCTCTTCATAACCCATATTGTGATTCTGCTCAATAGGAGTATTAGAGGGTTTACACCCAAGCTTTCCTGCTTCTTTGAGAAGATCAAGAATATATTTCCTCTGGCTAATAAAAATTCCTTCCTTTGAATGAGCTACCTCTATCCCTAGGAAATATCTCAGTTTCCCAAGATCTTTAACTTCAAACTCAGAGACTAGTCGTGTTTGCAGAATATGTCTCTCCACAATATCATCACCTGTTATAATAATATCATCAACATACACAAAAAGCACAGTGAACTTCCCATCTTGGGAGTGCTTAAAGAAAAGAGTGTGATCTCCTTGACTCTGTTTGTATCCTAAGGTTATCATAACCTTAGTAAACCTCCCAAACCAGGCACGAGGTGACTGCTTCAATCCATACAAGGCTTTTCTTAATCTACAAACTTTATTTTCTCCATCCACAGAATCTAAACCAGGCGGGATTTCGATGAAGACCTCTTCTTCTAACTCACCATTAAGGAAAGCATTCTTCACATCAAATTGATTTATATCCCAATTGTAATGGGCAGCAAGAGATAACAAGACTCTCACCGTATTCATCTTTGCAACTGGAGAAAAAGCTTCTTCATAATCAATGCCATAGGTCTGAGTGTAACTCTTGGCGACTAACCGAGTCTTATATCTCTCAAGAGTGCCATCAGAATTATACTTCAGGACATAAACTCATCTGCACCCTACTGCTTTTTTTCCATTAGGTCTATCAACAACCTCCCATGTTTTATTTTTCTCCAACGCATTCATCTCCTCTTGCATGGCTTGAGCCCAATTCTCATCTGTTGATGCTTCCTGTACTGATTTTGGGATTGAAATAGAATCTAGTGCTGAAACAAAACTTTTGTGCTGCACAGAAAGATTAGTAAAAGAAACAAAATGGGATATAGGGTATTGAGTACAAGAGGGACAAAAGGAACAAGATTTTTTGGAACAAGATCTTTTCCCTTTTCTTAGGGCAATAGGTAAGTCATCAGAAGCAGAAGCAATGAGTAAGTCATAAGAGGTATCAGAAGAAATAGGCAAATCATGAGAGGCAATATCAGAAGCAATAGGCAAGTCATTAGAGGCAATAATATTAGAATCATAAACATAAGATTCGAGACTTACCAGTGGTTCAGATGATTGAGGTTGCTGGTGAGGCAGTATGGGTTGTTTCCTCCTCTAATATACCAATTCAGGTGTCAAAATCTTTCGTATCTCAAGTGTATTTGAAGGTTCTGACACACGAGGAAGAGGTGTAGGAGTAGACAAGGACGATCCAGACTCAAAGAAGGAAGGGGATGAGTCTTCTGAAGAACTGCTCTCCCCCTGAAGATGAAGACCCATGAAATAAGACTCAGATTCTTGAAAAGTGTTATCCATAGAAACAAAAAAAATTCGACTTGGTGGATGATAACACTTGTAGCCTTTTTTATCAGGGGCATAACCAAGGAAGACACACTAAAGAGCCCTAGGATCCAACCTATTGCGATGTTGTTTATGAACATGGACAAAGGCAACACATCCAAACACTCGTGGTGGAAGGCTCTGCAAAATGGGAACAAAAGAAAAGAAAGAAGTCATGGAATGAATAAGACGGGTATTGTTAAGGACCCGTGAAGGTAAGCGGTTCATCAAAAAGGCTGCAGCTAACACGGCTTCTCCCCAATAAGAACTAGGAACAGATGTCTGGAAAAGTAGTGCTCTAGCAGCTTCAAGGAGGTGACGATTTTTTCTTTCAGCAACCCCGCTTTGTTGAGGGGTATCAACACATATGAGCTCATGAATCATACCTCTGTCTGAAATGAACTGCGACAAACGTTGCTTGAAGTACTTAGTACCATTATCAGATCTTAATCTTTTAATACTCTTACCAAACCGAGTCTCAACTATGCGATAAAACCGAATAAATATCTTTGGTACTTCAGACTTGTCTTTCATCAAGAATATCCATGTTACCCGAGTACAATCGTCAATAAAAGAAACAAACACCTTGCACCTGAAACACTATGCACTTTAGAAGGCCCCCAAACATCAGAATGGATAAGAGAAAAAGGTTCGCTGCTTTTGATAGTGCTAGAAGGAAATGACACTCGATGGTGTTTTGCAAATTCACAAACATCGCAATGGAAGGTCTCAACTGACTGATTTAGAAACAAAGAAGGAAACATTAACTTCAATAGACTGAATGGTGGATGCCCCAGACACTTGTGATGGAGCCAAATCATAGACTGTCCAGTAGAAGGATGATGTGTTATTAATAACTGATTTTTTATATCATTTATAGCATGTTCTGGAAGGAGATAATACAACCCATCCTGCTCATTAGCAACTCCAATTGTCTTCTTCGTGGTAAGATCCTGAATAACACAATGAGAAGGGAAAATGTGATAGAACAATTCAAATCAGTTGTAAGTTTTTGAGTGGAGATAAGATTAGTAGAAAGCTGAGGAACATAAAGAACATTTTTAAGAAACAAGGTTGAATTTGAATGTTACCAAAACCAATAACTGATTTATGGGATCCACCAGCTACGGCTATAGTATGACTACCAACAATAGGATGATAAGAAAAAAAAGACTCAGTAAGACAAGTCATACGATCAGTTGCACCAGAATCCAAAATCCATGAGGTTTTAAAATTAGTGCAAGAAGAGATGTAGAACGTGTGTTCTTACCAGACAAGATCAAAGAACGGTCAGATGGCTTACACAGATTATCAATAGCGGGTTTAAGCTGATCCAACTCCATTTGCTGAATATTCACATATGGAGAGACATGTGGAGGCTGCGTAATAGTCGAACCATCTTTTAAATCGGCCATAGTGATAAGAAAGGGTGAAAAAAACAGCTCCAAAAACACACAACGGACACCCAAACGAAGTCGGATCAGAGATATAAGTACAGATCTAGATAGAGAATGAAGAGACAAGCAGAACGACAGTGGTCCGAAGCGAAGAATCGTCGCCACGCGCCGGTGAGGCTGTCGGCGCGTGGGTTTCACATGCAAAAGAGGGGGTGGCGCGTGAGAGCGCGTGCGGTGTCTTCTGGGGCTGAGCTTTTCATGGCGAGGTCGTCCGACGAGCGCAAACCTGTCTGTGGCTGGTCGGAGTTGAAAGGTCACCCGAAAAGTGTCCAAACGCTGTAAACAGATCTGGTTGGAGGCGGTCGGAAGTGTTCGAGTCGTTTGCTACTTAGAAACAGTGCGTAGAATGATAGATCGGAGAAAAACAAGGTCAACAGTGGTCCTCTCGGTCCAAAAGGTCCCCGAAATTTTTTTTTGGTGGCGGCTGATGACAACGAGAGGCAAAATAAATAAATAAATATAAAGGGTTTCGCTCTAAAGGCGATAGGCGCGGAAGCAGAGCCCTCAGAATCGAAAGCTTTGATACCAACTTGAAAAAAGTAATGAAATATATTATTGAATTGTATGTAAATTGTAAACTGTACAAAAGATTCTCTATTTAAAGAGACTACATGACCTAATGGGCTAAGCCCAAGAAAAATTCTAAAATACAACAAATAAATAATTATTATTATTTACAACAGATGCACATTGATACAAGAAATACAGAAAAGTTATTGCCCTCACCTTTCCTTTCTCATCAGAAGGTGGATCTCCATGTTCAATCATATCTTGAGTCAACTCCTCAACATTTGCTTCATAAGGAACAGGGGTTGCAGTTGAACCTTCATGTTTATCAATCCGAAAAATTTCATAAGGTGCAACCTGTTGGAGCAAAAATAAATTTATAACGAGTTCCTGTATATGAAGGCATACAAAGTAATGTATAAATTACAATAAAATATAAGAAAGAATTATTCTTAAGTGACTAATATAATATTGGTGCAGTCAAAGTTCAGGAGGATCATTAAATAAATATGATGCAGTTCAAGTTCGGTCGTTGTAACTTGGAAGGTATTTGCCAATTATCCAAATCTAGATTTTGACCAATGAATGGAAGCATTTTCTGTTGTATCCCGAAAGAAAGGAAAGGATCATCCTAAACCAACCTTAACTACACACAAAATAGCTGCTATAAACCAACCCTGGCTTCAGATTAGAAAGATCTTATACATCACAGGCAAACAGCAACACACGGTTACAAATAACATTTCCAGGTACAAGGAGGATTGCATGAGAGGAGGGGATCACTAAACTAATAGGATCAATCATTGTCTATTAAATTGTTCTTTTATATAAAGCATTTATGGGAAGCATAAACTTCATGAGTTCTACATCATCATTTTTAGCCAGTGGCATCATTAACTACAATATATTGGGTACAGGAAGTTTTATGTCATACCTGGGTTGTTAAACCAGTAGCCCATTTCACCTCCACGTCACCATCTTTGAAACCAGTAACATTGCCAATACAGGACAGGTAACAGTTATCTTGGGACTTATTCTGATAACTGATTTGGTCCCAGTTTCTCAGAGGAGCCTCTGCATTCAAGTCAGACACTGACTTTGCATTATCTTTATCAGCTTGGTAACCAAGCTGTTTTTGAGCCGCCTTGAACACAATATCACCAAAACAACAGGAATAATCTGGGTGCTCAACAAGTTCGTAGGCACTCACAGTTTCCATCACTGTATCTCCAGCCAAATTATCTGGCTCAGATATGGGACCAGTTCTCCATTGTACCTTTACAGTATGCTCTTTTGCATCCACGGATTGAACAACACCCCATCTTTGATTTCTAGGCTTAAGAGGATCATCAGAAGCATCTTTTTCCAGGACGAACTGCTGAGGCCAAAATTCATGAGTGTTTATGACATTCACTGGAACTAAATTCTGTGGATCTAATCCCAAAGTATGTTCACCATTTTGCCAAACAATATCAACTTTGGTCTTTATCTTCCCAATTATAAATAATTCCCCAATGTTAGAATTGATGTTTCTTTTCTTATATCCTCTAGCCATCCTATGCTCATGAGAAAGGTCGCCAGTGGATGCATCTTGAATCATCTGTTCCTTTTGGTCTGCAACTGGGAGCATGCACCAGTCACCAAGTTGCCAGTTTGCATATGAAAAACACGACAACAAGGTCAAGTTTTTGGAATCTTGCCAACATGGAGGAGCACTCACGTTCAAGTTGGAACCCAAAAGAACAGAGACAAGCCAGTTAACACACACCAAACCTGCTTCCACAGCACAAACAGTTCCTTTATCATGATTGTCTCTCCAAGTACCACATAACCATCTAGCTGATTTAGAAGCAGTGGACGACTTCACCTTTACTCTCTGCCCTGGATAGTATGGATACTGTGAATCTTCAAGAAAATTATGGGTCAGAGGTAAAAGCTTATCCTTTTCCAAGGTAATGATCTCACATTTAGTTCCATCATCAAACAATACAGTTACTCTGTCCACCACCATTTGAACCTGGCCAAGCCATGGCCCCTTGATTACATAGTCACCTTCTGAAATGGAGCGAATCTTCAGAAGTTTCTTGGAGTTGACATTTTTTAATATGCTTCCTTGAACATTTTCCAAATCAACTAACACATCAACACTTATGACCCTGCCCATCTGTCCAGATGGGTCTGACAAGGAGCATACCACATCCCCATGAACAAATGCCCTCTCAAATGAGAGAAAATCATCAATCTTCCCAATGCTTTCCTCTAAACTTGATAATATGCTCCTAGCTTGCCCACCATATAGAAAATCAATATCCTCTTGATCATCACTGCTGCTGCTCTGACTGGAAGTCTCCCAGTCCAAATCACTAATGTGTGCATCCATCAACTAGATGCCTGTCATAATGTGTTCATAGTAACATCAATGAAATGAATACAAGAAAATAACTTCAAAACCCAACAATGGGAAAGGATAGAGTTCTTAGTCAATGGACAGGAATCCTGACAAGACTGAGAAATAAATGGAATCAGAATTAAACTGCAATCAGTAACATCTTGAGAAGAAAGCACACAACCTAATTATTAAGATGTAGATTTTCAACCCTCAATTTTATTTTATTTCTTTGAATGAGCTATTCATGAAAAAATTATAAGTAATCTCATTTCCTTATTAAGGAAAACCTAGAGCAACTAAGTTATCAATTTAGACAACAAAATTTTAACATATCCATAAACGATCATTAACAATAAATAGGGATTCAAGAAGATCCTTACCTTCTCAAGAAAATAGAAGCATTAAACTCCGGTGTCAGTATGTATCGCGATCCACAACAGGTGCACCAACATAGACTTCAAAGGATATTTGTTTACAATACAAAATGTGTCTGATACTGCTGTTTGTCACAGATAGTAAGAAGCCAGTTTCTTAAATAGATTATCTTGACCACCGAAACTGGAAACTTGATGCCAAAGAAGATTTGCCCGATAGGATAACAGGAGTCGAACAAGGACTCCAAAATGCCAAAGGAGATTTGCCCAATTAGGACTGGAATTTCCACAGATAGAAATTCTTGAGAGAGATTTCCAAAACTAGTATCCAGGAGCTACAAATATGAGATGAATTTTTATTTTTATTTTGGGGGTGGGGAGGGGGGTTTTCGTGGAAGAAAAAACTATAGAAGTTGGAGGAAGCAGAACAAGATAATCAAAAGATGCCAAAGGAGATTTGCCCTAGTGAAAATGTAGAGTTCCTAGCGGAAGAACTTCAGAATGGTAATATTTTTATAGAAGATGACAAAAGTTATTTTCATATATTTTTTACTTCCAGGAATCCAACCAAAGTAAATTAAGTAATTTTTGCCAAAGGAGATTTGCCCAATACAACTGAATCTTCAAACATAAGTAAATTCCAGATAGTTAATAAATTTGTCTCTTCTAATATTGGAACTTGGAAGCCATATTGCCAAAGGAGATTTGCCCCACATGAAGCCAAACATTCTATAAGGTCTATCTGGTACCAAGGAAGATTGGTTAATATCTGGGATCAATAAAATTTCAGAGTTGAAATCAGGAGTGCATTTCAACAGAAATAACCAATCAAACACATACTTTATGCTCCTTGATTCACAGCAAGAGGGAAGCAATCAGATAACCTGTCTGAGAGAACTAAATCGAATTAGAAACACAATTGCCATTGCCAAAAGTCAAAAGAGCTTCCATTACCGGATCATTTCTTTTGAACCTGCAACAAGAAGACTAGTGAATACTTTCTCTAATCATTTTCTATATGAAAAGAAAGTGGAAACAACAACATAATGAGATTGCGATTAGAATATTTAAGCTTACAATATTTTGAAAATATTGCATCCTGATTCACGAGGCAAGAGAAAGGCAGGGACTTAAATTGAATTAATGAACTACTTTTGATGAATCCGTATCTTAAGCGCACAAGAAAGAAATGAAATCTAAAAAGGGATCACTGTGTTTTGACTGAACAAAACTAGAAAACTATTTTAAAAAAAACTGATAACTAATAGTTTACTTAAGATTCCTTCCACACATATAGAGATGCGTGCAAGTCAATATTGCTGCTTCTAGCACCCAACATAAAAGTCACTTGGTAAGGCAGCTATTGCAACACTAACTATAGGTTTTCTGCAAGTCAAATTAAAAAATAAACAAATAAATAAAAATCTAAAAAAAAAGGTTCAAGTCTCACAGTCTCTAATTGAGCTTTGGAAGAGACAGAGAGAGAAATAAGGAGGGATCAAACTTGTCCACGGAAAAGAATGATACTTATCAACCACCAAACAATTTATAATTTCTGGATATCAAATAAACCACAGCAGCTTAATTACTTTTATTAGTTGGAAGAATAATACGAATCATTCCTTTAGATTAAATTAAACCTTCAGAATTCATATGAAAGGACTTGTAACTTAATCATGTTCTATGGAAAACAATAGTATTGAATTCAACACAATCAAATACCAAAAATCAAAAGCATTAGAATGAGTTTACAAAGGGTTAGTTCACAAAGCAAGTGACTGTACCATTTGCACCACTGAGAAGGTTGGAATCCATATAAACAGCTAAGACAGTTATAGACCCAAAACCAAGAAACCCCATGACTCTCTAAACGCAAAATGAAAGGAACTCCACCGAAAACATAACAAGTTGAAAGAAGGTTACTCCCAAAATTTGCTTCGAGTTTCAAAAGGTGGGTGCTGTTCATTTAGGCCTAGTTCCGCGCCCAGTCCCACCATCGTCCACTTCAACACCGTACTTGGGAACCATTTCAGGTAGACACACACACACACTGTCTCTCTCTCTCTCTCTCTCTCTATGTATGTTTTCTCTGCCTAAGGTTTTGTGTAGTGAAAGAGAGAACTAGTTTAGAGTTTTATTTGGTACTTGGTGGTGCCTTTGTGTTTCAACAGAAATAGTGTACTTATTGAACCAATGGGAAAAGTATATGCCAAACAGTATCAGACACAGATACTGTAGTTCTAGAAAAAGACAGTCGGCCGCTTGCTACGCGGTATTTTTTCGAATTTTCGAAAAATTAAATTTTTTAAAATTTTTAATTTTTGAATATTATAATAAACTGAATGTAAAAATTATATTTTTAAAAATCAAAATTTTTGAAAAAAAAAAAAATTTATCCTGAACCATACATTCTCTCGGTAAGTTTGGAGTCAATGCAATTGGAATAGAAATTGGACATGTTTGGTTATGTAAAAACAATCCAAAACAATAAAAAATTTTGAAAAAAAAATATATATGTAATGTTACTTTAAATAATTTTTGTAATGTTTATCGAAATAATATTATTTTGGGTTAAGAAATTAGAATAATAAAAATTAATATAATTTTAAAATAAATTAAAATTACGAATATACTATAATTTTTACATCAAAATAATATCATTTCGATAAACATTAAGTAAAATTATCTAAAATAACTTTCAAAAAAAACGTTATTTTTATTCGTATCAAATAAAACATAACAATAAATGTTATTCCTTATTTTACTTCATTTTCTGTTTTCTTCATATTATTATTCTTGTTTGATCTAAAAAAAAATGCTATCCAACTAAATTTTAACTAGGAGGGCAGATATGTCATTACCGTATTACTTGAAGCACCAAAATTTTCCCAAGAAAGCAATCCAATAAACACCAATTCAAAATTCCAATTGTTCCTTCTGTCCCCTTTCGTCTTTTTCTTTCGAAATGAAACCCATTGGACTAAAATCACGAAAGGATTTGCTGTCACTATGTCGCAATGACATGCATGTCCGTAAGTCGAATTGTATAATTATTCACAAGTTTAATTCTGACAAATAATTTATTAATTTAATTTGAAAAGACGTATGTATCAACAATACGTTTAAGTTGTGCATCACTTTATAATGTGTTATAAAACATGACACTATTACAGCTGCTGATTTCTCCCTTTTCACATTAAATTAATTAATCATTTACCAAAAAATTTAAGACTTTAACTTTTTTACGGTTAATATAGATAAATTATTTATATTTACTCTCAAAATAATATTGTTTTATATTGAAAAATTAAAAAATTACAATAAAAACAATTATTATAACCCTAAAATAAATTACAATTACAAAAATGCTTTGATTTTTGGTCCAAAACGATATTATTTTGGATTTAATGTAAATAATTTATCTATATTGACGGCAGAAAAAACGAACCCAAAAACTAAACCCGAGAATATGTACCAATTTTTTTCATAAGGGTCAAAAATAATTGGGGACACAATCATCTTGGCAATGATTTGGAAAAAAAATAAAAATAGGCAATGGCTATATTTTTGTTGAGATGATCATGTTTACTAGTTCAGGTATCAATTTAATCTATATTTGATAAAATGACAAATTTTAATTTTATAGTCTCTGACGAATGATTAGAATTTAACTTTGAGTAATCCTTTGGGATAAAATAAATCATGTAGATGTGGTGAAAAAAAAGGAAATATTTTTAATTTAAAGTATTTAAAACCAAGAATATATGCAATTTTGTTATAAATTATAATACTGTCATTGATGCATTTTAAAAATTAAACTGTCGTTCATTCCAACTTACAATTTCAAGCCATTAAGCAATGTTATCTCAAGTTTATTCTCTTGAATATCCTAGTAAAAATGTTGCTTTTCTACGGCCAAAACAAAGAATATTCTTTGTGCTTCAAAAAAGAGTGGGATGCATTAGCATGATCTAAAAGAGTTGAATGTTTGAAATCAAAAAAAAAAAAAAAAGAGTGGAATGTTAGTAGAAACAAGTCTTTCTTTTTTCTTCCTATTAGTATACCTCACGCTACGTCGACAATTTCTTTACAGATAACAAAAAGAGAGGATATTAGGAGCGAATCAGTTTGGTTCTATAGTATATAGTATGTATGAACTGAACAAAAATATTAGAAACACTTGCTTTTGTAGTTGAAAGAATGACATGTGACTTTGCCTAACGCCAATAAGTATAAGACACTACTTGAAAATGACCAATTCCTAACAACTTTTCTTACACACTATGACCTTATGGAGTTTTAAACCCTTTCTTTTCTCTTTTCGTTGGGTAGATTTTAGGTTGACAGTTCCTTTTGTACTTTATTGTGCATGTGCCCCGGATTTGATCCTATATTCCAATGACCCCATGATGATTGCTTGGGACCAGTTCCTTTTGTACTTCTTTAACAAGCAAGCCTTTAAAAAGTACCACTGGTGAAAATGTTTTTGACTTCTAATATTCTCAGTAACCCAATTTGTTATCCATAACTTTACTAGTTCAAAATCCTAACCCCATACATACTTCTTAAGTTGCCACATGCCAAGACAAGAAAACTAATTGCTTTGTATTGCTATCATCTTCAAGAGAACGCGGGAATGCTGTTGCTACCTAATCAAACCGCAGGTGACAAGTTTCTTTCAAAAGCCTAAACTAAATTAGAAAAATGCTTGTGTCATCAGAGGTTTTAAGCATATGCAACAAGTTTCTGAATCATAGTTTGTTTTAATTGTATCACTCAAACTGCAATTTTTATCTGCTCAACAAAATTTTTATAAATGTTCTAACGGATCTACAGTGTATGATTGCTCTTTATTTTTTATTCCTAACTGTGACTGTCATTAAATTATTTGCATAGTGGATTCCTTGCATTTAAACAAGTAGCTATGTCAATGGAGAATGTTATATTTACAAACTACACTATGTCTGACCAGTCATACTTCAATCAAAAGTATATGACCGATCAGACTTAGTGTAATTTGTAAAAAAAATTTGTAAAGGGATCCTTACCCATGCCAATCTGCACCAGTTGATAGTACATTGGTACTTACTAGAGAATTTTCACTACTAAATAGAGAATTTTTTGGTGGCATGCAATATAGTTGTTTGCAAAATATGATGGTAATCTTCAAGGAATATGGTGAAAGGTCCACATTGGTAGACTTTACAACACGGATTGAGCCACCTGTGCACCATAACCACTATATATATTATGAAATGGGTGTTTACGTGTCAGTTTTGTCTCTGTGTGTTTGTGCGGGTCTGTCATGCCAAATGAGATATATTAACCGATGAAGGTGGATGTGGAACTATTCTACTTACTTAATGTTGTACCACTAAATTGCATCATGTCACTGGTGGCATTTTTCATATTAGTGCTTTCATACAGGTTTTAATTAAAATCACAACATCAATGTTTGTGGGGGAGGGAAAACATCACCTAAAAGTGTCTGTCAAAATCATGCATTCATGCTCATCCTGAATCTGTTCAACACACACCTTACCCCCCCTTTTTTTTTTTTGAAAGTCTCTGTTTCTAAACATCAAGATTTCCAAACTTTCTGCTTTGCTGCTAAAAATCACAATTAGAGTGAGAACGGACTTGTAAGATTTTGAGAACTTGTTCAACACACAAAAGTTCGGTCAGTGGCCAACACAACACAACATGTTCATATCTAGCATGGTAAATGAATGGTTGAGAACAAAGCCACTGTCAAGATCAACCTTCTGCAAAAGCGCCAAGCTTTGGCTGTTTATTGTCTATAATTAAAAGGGGAAATTCTTTTAAAAATGGTACTTTGGGCACTGAAGAAGATCTATAATCAAATTTTATTGAAAGAGTGGCTATGCTGGCATTCCAAAGACAAGAATAGGATACCAAGTAGTGTAGTGGTGTCCAAATTTTGATATATAAAAAATCAAAGAGGGAGAGAGAGAAAAAGAGAGATGCTCTTCATAAACAATGATAGCCTTAACAGCATCAATGATAACATGGTAATCATGACTACAGAATACAGATACTTCAGTTGTTACTTTATCCTTTCCCCCCCCCCCCCAAAAAAAATTACCATTGTTTTGCCAAAATCTATTTATTCTTTAGAGAGCATAAAAGTTTATATTTTCATTACGTGGGTCACTGTTTAAACCTTTTTGGGCAACCTTTGCAGTAAGGTAGGGGCAAAAGGCAATTAGAATTTTGGGGGGGTAACCTTTGCATTTGAAGAATAGCTATTTACTTGTCTTTATGAATATCTTTTTATTCTCAAACCAATGAGTTAGTGCATCCACTCTGACTTGCAATTCAGAAAGGGAAAGATGGCAGCAGGAGAGTAATCATCCACTGGTTTGCAAAATCCTTTGTTTATTGCAGAATAAAGGTAGGCTTTATAATTGGTCCTCCACTATTTATATATTAATGAATTATAGAACCACTTGCTAGATAGTGCTTCTTTATGGAATAGAATAGTTTCACAGCTAACGTGGACTTAGAATCGTCTTTTTTTTTTTTTTATTTGAACTTTTCTTTTTTGAGATTTTTTCACCCCATTGAATTATTTTTAACATAATTACGTATTCAAAATTTAAACTCAAAATTATTTATTAAACTGAAATAATTTCTTGTCAATTTATCCACATGCATGAAGTGTTTTCTTTCGTCAGTGGCACAAATTGAAATAAGTCAAATCGTGTCAATTAAATTAGCCGAGATTTAAATCCTTCTAAAAACACTTGGTTAAGTTTGAAATTCTGTCTTAAACATTTAAACGAGACAATCACTTCTAATTTTTTTTTTCCTATCAAAAAGATGAAAACCCATTCCTGGGCCCAAGTCTACCTAATTAATAGATTCATGAAAAGATTGAAGACTGGTACAAGTCTAATCAAAATCCACCATCTTCCAACAATTAAAAAAGAAAACTACACCTGTAGGGGGTGGCGTGATGAACAGTGTAAACAAAATAATAGTCACATTGAACAGTAAATTCATCGCAATCTCAACCTATAATAATAAATTAAATAACTTCATACTTTTATATACTTTTTTAAGTGCTATATATTTTATATATACATTGTGTGGTGGCAAGATGAAAAGAAG